TAAAGGTAGGATTGGGCGTTTGGAGACGATCCATAGGCACAAATCGGCGCAATTCCTGAGGGGCAGACAAAGTCGTGGGGAAAGGCGATCCTCGCCGACTCTTGCATTTCCGTCCTTGCTTGTGCATCGGACAATATGTCATGTGCCTTACAGGCGCCGATGTTATAGCTCGAGCGCGTATAAGACGCGCTATAGAGGGGCAACAGAACTTGTGTATGTTTTGGGAGTTGAGATATTAGAGATAGGGTAGCTGGTCGCACAAGGGCAACACGACCCCTCACCGCGTCTGCCCTTGTGTTCCCTCGGGCACCAAAGGATAAACACGGTATAGACCGAAGATTTAATATTGGGATCATTATGGCGTCGTTGCTTCTAGAAATATCAACGGGCTGAAAGGATGCTCTGAACCCCGAGGTGTAACGAGTGATTTGGCGTAATCTTTGATCTGTGCTGTCTTCTCCGGTCCGTTCCGTTGGCTGCTTATGGCTAGAGATATGAATGGCTGCCGAGGTTGTCGTCCCGGATTGTTTTCTTTTCAGCCTGCTCATTCATGCTACAAAAAGTTCTGCTACAGGGGAAGAATTTAACCTGTCATTTTCTCTATCCTCGTCGTCCCAGAGGAATGGCAGAGGCACAAGCCACATGGCTCGAGCTTGGAGTGAGATATTGAAGGAGCGGAGCCGATGAGAATTCGGAGGTTGTGATTGGCTGAAGAGAAGCTACTGGGGCTGGCTTCAGACTGGTAGGTTCTTGTACAAGGTACATCTTTACACTCTCGAGGGGCTCGAAGCCGATGGAGTGAAGCAGTCACTCATATCGAGCCCAACTGACAGCGAGAGAGAAAGAGCAAGTGAGAGCCATGCTGTGCGGTCATTAATAATATTAGAAGGTGACAGGATTGGTATCACATCCTCTCGAAAGCATTCAAAAGAAGTCACAGTCCTGGTTGTTTGAATGTATCTTGACGGACAGGAGACGGCCGTGCGTCGATGACATCCTTGACACAGTGTGGCTGATTCCCCAACGACGTTGCAGGTTCGGGGGTCTCAATCCGCATCGACGGTTCCTGGTACCTCCGGAGCAACAGGCCCAAAACTATCGGGGCATGGTTGAATCGACCGTTGATGTTGATCAATCGCCCGGGTTTTTATCAGACTTATCAACTGCATGTTGCCATCTTTGTCCAGACTACGACGACAAACAGGGCGTTGGAAAGGACCCTAGACCTAGAATGATCCCAAAGATGGAAGTCCCGGGGCTCAGTGAACAAGCTCTCCGTGATCGGCCGGCAGCAGAGAATCAAAACGTTCCATCGAGACTCGGGACATGGCCTGATTGCCTCCGTTTTCATCAACCTTCAAACAGCGAGCAGTTCACCTTCCACGGTCCCGATGGCAGTACACCTACGCGTATTGCCTGCCAGAAGAAGGCTGGAATAGTTGTGCACTTTGTACGACGCTCCCGTCTTGATGAGACGATGCTGGTGGCAAGGGAGGAAAGCGGTCTCTGAAGCACCGTCCGGGGGCGGGCCGGGAGCTCTCCAACCACTCAGACGTGCAGCAGGCTTGCGCAGACAGTCCGCCGACACAGGACGGCCCCGGACCTTCAATCTGAAGCCGTGTCCGCCCTTCCCCAAGAGGGAATCCCGAAGCCTGATGGCTTCTCGGGAGGGTTTGCCTTGTGCTGCCGTTCCTGGACTCTTTCAACGTTTCCCCGGACAGCGGACTGCGGAGGATCGGCGCCTTTGCAACGGCCGGCAGAATGCAAAAACTGCAAGCGATGGAAAACAGATAACGAAATCTTGACGCGATCAAAGCCTCTCAACGATTCAATCTGGCTCTCCATCACGTCTCGGAGCACTCATTGGGTGGTATCGCATCATCATCATCGGACAGTTATCACAATGATACAAGAAACCCATTCGGCAGGCCGAGGAGTTGCATTTTGTGAGGCCAAGACTCATCCCTTTTTGGCAAGCCGAGGTACGTACCCGGCTGCTATCGTACTTCATAATCTCGGCCACGATTCCCATTGGAAGAACTCCAAAGCCGGCACCGCCATGGTGACAGACACACAGGAAACCATGGAGGTGTGATTCAATAGAGGATGGCACTGTGTAGAAAACTTTCTCGCCAGCATGTGCAGACATACGATGCCTATCCAGATCTTTTGGTCAAGAGAGCTCTCTCTGCTGCTCTGGAGGGTTTCGCTCTGGCGTTGGAAGATCCCCCTGCTCCCGGAGACTTCGACATGACGCTAGCATCTTGATGTTTCCACAACCGCCAGCCATCTGCGGAGGCCAGAGAGGAAGAGCAATTCCGTCCCCATCCGGCTTGCTGGACAACTTCTGAGAGAGCGGTCTGAGCTGGCAACGAGGTCGCCGGTTATACGTTATGCAGGAGACAGCACGCGCAGCTCAAGTCTCGCCGGCGAAGTCCAAATCGCCGTAAAACATTGCCATTACGGCGCCCGACATGGCAGCCGGCGTGCCAATGGGGTGGTTAAGGTTATGTGCGAAAAAAGCTGAGAACCACAGTGGCGTTGGCGCCTGTCTTTGTCACACCCGTGACCAACCGAGAGCAGCCGCTGGGCACAGACCACAGCTAAACGGAAAGCTCTCGCTGGCCATCACAGGCAGGACGGCAGCGATCCAGCGCCGCTTTTTGGGTTGATCCAGCCAGTTGGGAGACGGGAGGGGCTCACTCAGGTGCCAGGCAGTTCCCGTGCTGCATTAGACGTCGTGAAGTGTACCCGGCATATACCTGCTCCAGAGATGGCGTAGGACATCCGGCGACATAGGGTCCGTAGACCAGATGTTTCGGTGTCGTACCACGGCATTGTCACAGTCAAGGAGACTCCACCCAGAGGACGACGTGGCAGGAGACGAGGCCGAGATGAAAACCAACGATGACGGGGTCTCCAGCGAGGTGAGATGAATGATGGGGTGAGGTCTAGGGGCTGACGTCCAGTCTGTGAAATCGGGGAGGCCCGCTTCTCATCAAAACCGCGCCGCAATTGCGATGTGTCCTCCGTCGTAGGCCCGGCTTCATTTTGAGTGATGCTGCCAATTTTCTCCACTCGTACCGGCTCAGAGATGCTGCTAAAGCGGCATCCGGCAGGGCAACCAACCGAGAGTCAGTTGATAACATCGTGTCCATTGTCCGCACCACATCACCTTAACTTCTTCTTGTCCTTTCACAGTCTTGCAACGTCCCGGCCGTTGTGATTTGGGTTTCACTTTGCCTGACACCACAACCGCAGGCCAGGGGTCAGGGGACGATTGCTGCAGTTTTGCGAGAGGCGGAGGGGTCGTCTTGGCGGTCCCGCCAATCGTCGCCCGTCTGAGGTTAGGGCGATAAGCCTGGCCCCGCCTTTCCCGCTCCCAGTTCTTTTTTGGCCGGGCTCCACGAAACTGTCTTGGCGATTTGGCGATGGCGACCAGGGTCATCATGAAGGAGTTCGGGCTGGGGCTGAGCCTGTGCAAGAAGTACCTGTACCTGGCATATAGACCACATGCATCAAGCACGTCGTCAATGCTGGCAATACCTACTGCTCGTAGACAGCGTAGGCGAGGCATTGTGTGTTCAATTGCGATTCGTAGACAGCCAGCGTGTCAATAAGCAATGCGCGTGGACACAGACGATGCAGACGCCGCCAAAATGGAGCGGATAAGCTTGCCACACCTCGCCATCTGGCGTTTGTGCGTCTGATTATCACATCAGTCTGATTATCATATCACTCGCAGGGCCAGAGAAATATGAGCTCTTGGCGGCAAAACCGTGCCAGTGAGCCAGCAGTCTGCCAGAGATGCCCGGCATGCTGGCCCAGAATGATTGGCAGTGCGGGTTGCTAGCCTAAGGCCGTCGGGGCCGAGTGGTCTTCGATGGGGATCTGTCAGTGTCGATTCGTCGAGGACGCGTTCTGCTTAGAAGATTCCATTGCGTTTGAGAACGTCTCCAGACGGCAAAGCAGCACGGCGCGGAAACTCTGCACCGACATGCGTTTCTGAGCTCATAGCTGCATCATTGGATGCCCATGTGGGAAGGAGTGAATTCGCAGGCTTGCTCAGCACTGGCCAGCATCAAAGAGCAGTGTCTAGCAGACAGTGTCGCGCGCACCGTTTACCTCCAGAGCGTCGGCGGTGCAGGGCCAGGCATTTTGTACACAGTACAACGAGGCAGGTACGTACCCAGCGGCCCGGTTCACGACGGCGCCGCACCTCTGCAGCGACTGCAGCTATGGCAGCACGCCGAGCCTTGGGCCAGCAGCCCAGCAGCCCAGCAGCCCCGCTACTAGCGCCGACCACGGGCAGGTTCTTGCCCTGATATGCACAGTATGCAGACTGGCTAGGACTGTGCTCTGCGGGCATGAACCGGCCCCGACCTGCAGCGGAAGTGGGTCGGTGGGCTCTGTGGGTTCACTTTTCCTTGACGACCCTCCCACCTTCTTCCTCTGCTGCTCCATCCCGACCACCGACCGACGAGTCTTGCGTTTCCGCATTCTGGGTTCTAGCACCCGCTGGTCCTGGATTTCTGGAGTCCTTGCCTTGCCTTTTGTGGCTCCGACTCCAAAACTCCTGGATGCTGCCTTGCCGTCATCAAACCATCCACGCCCTCCGCCATTCTCAATCTCATCCCTCGCCATCGCCTAGCTTTCAATCACACATCAACGCATCGATTCTTGTGCAGTCTCAGATTCCCCCCCCCTTTTCCCTACGTCTTGCGCAGCATCGCAGCATCCCCTCTCTTTTCTGCCGTTCGACCGTCTTTCCTCTCCGCCAGCGCGTCGTTTCAACCCATTTCCCCATAATTCAGCGACTGACCCGACCATGGCCGCTTAAGCGTAGGCTCGACCGCCGTTCACGCGACTGACAGGAAAAGCCAGACGCCAGTGCGATTCGATCAAGATCCACTGCCGATTTTGCTTGCGATTATCTACTGCCTCTTGACCGGCCAGCATGAGGTCGACCCCCCGTGGCTCCCAACAGCAGGATTCCCATCATGGAGCCTCATCAATCCGGACAGCAACCACCTCATTATCCTCACTCTCAACCTCCCCAAACTCATCGCCACAGGCCCTCTCATTCTCACCTTCGCGACATCTTGCAGTTCGCGTCTTCCTCCCACACCATGCCACATCATCGGACGGCACATAGCACTCCGGTGTCATCGCCGGGACTGTTTAGTCCAACAGTCGCCCGCTCGTCGACATCGCTGTCGCCGTCGCATCCGCACCAGCAAGGTGGCTGTGATAATGTCACCCCGGCTTCTGCCAGTACCCCTTACCTGCATCCGCTGCAGGGCCCTCCGCACAAAGTGAGAGAGTAAGTGTCTAATACGATTTGCCCTGGTCCCATTTCTCGCGCGCAGCCGGCAACTGGCTTGGGGTTGTCTTTGCAGGCAATTGCGGTTTTGTTCGCTGCTCATGGGCTCATGGGTCGCGCGGGGCATGCTCTCCCCACCCCCCTCCCCTCCCCTCCTCTCTCCCCTGATTGGGTTTGAGACATGTTGCTCACCGCTCCTCTCTTACTCCTACAGGACGCACAAGGCGCTCGTCGAACACGACAACGTCACTGGCCGCAAATACATCAACAATTACGAGATCATTGAGGAGCTTGGGCGAGGCGTGCACGGCAAGGTCAAGCTGGCCCGGAACACGGAAAATGGCGAGTTCGTGGCCATCAAGATCATCCCTCGCTTCTCCAAGAAGCGGAGGCTTGGCAAGGTGACGGCCATGTCCACCCAGGACAAGAGCAGGAGGGAGATTGCCATCTTGAAGAAGATCCGTCACCCAAATATCGTCGCTCTGCTCGAGATTATCGACGATCCCGAGCTCAAGAAGATCTACATGGTACTGGAGCACGTCGAGCTGGGCGAGGTCGTCTGGAGAAAGAAGGGGCTGCCGTACATCTGCCTGTACGAGCGCCGTCGTATCGAGCGAGAGATGCGTGGAGAGCAGCCCACCCCTCAGGAGCTGGAGTTCGAGCGCCTGCTGGAGCAGCGTCAGATCCTTCGGGACGCGGAACGCGCGAAACAAAGGGCAAAGGCCCAGGCAGCCTCGGCAGACTACTGGAGTCTTGAATACGGCCAGGGTGAAGACTCGCCGGTGGTGGCGTCTTCGCGGAGGAATTCGTCGGCTGGAGCTGGCGCTTGCCCCTCGCAGGCTCCGGCAGGCACCGGGCCCAGTAATCCTGAGAGCGACGACATGGAGACGGAGAGCGCACTATCCTCGAAGCCAGGCTCCTCAACAGCACTAGACAGCATTTTCAACGTTGCCAACCTGGACGAAAACACGCTCCAAGGAACTACCTCGAGTCTTCAGCACTTAATCATGGCCAATCCTTGGCTTGAGTACAGCAAGGATGACCCGTACACGGACGACTTCTCGTACGTGCCCTGCTTCACCATCGATCAGGCGAGGCAGACGTTCAGGGACACGGTTCTCGGCTTGGAATACCTCCACTGGGAGGGTGTCATCCATCGCGACATCAAGCCGGCCAACCTGCTCTGGACCAAGGACTATCGGGTCAAGATCGCCGATTTCGGCGTCTCCTACTTCGGTAGGCCCCTTCGCGATGGCGAGCCCGACGACACCATCTCTGAGTCGGAGGCTAAGGAGCTCGATAATGAGCTCGAGCTCGCCAAGACGGTCGGTACCCCGGCCTTCTTTGCTCCTGAGCTGTGTGCTACGGATCTCTGGGATAGCCCCCCGGGCCACCCGCCGAAGGTCACGGAGCAGATTGATGTTTGGTCGCTGGGTGTGACGCTCTACTGCCTCATCTACGCCAGGCTTCCCTTCCTGGCGGAGGATGAGTGGCAGATGTATCGCAAGATTGCCAATGAGGAAGTGTACATTCCGACTCGCAGGCTGCGTCCCGTTGACCCTTCGACCAAGCCCAACGAGAAGTCTTTGTACACGCGGATCAACGGGCCGCCTTACCGCGATGACGAAGACCTCCTCTACGAGGACATCGACCCGAACCTGCAGGACCTCCTGCGAAAGATGCTTACCAAAAATCCCGAGAAGCGGATTCGCCTGCGTGAGGTTAAGCGTCACCCTTGGGTCACCGACGGCATTCCCAATGTCCAGCAGTGGCTTGAGGAGACTGACCCGGCCAGGAAGAACTCTGGCCAGAAGATTCAGGTCGACGAGAAGGATCTCAGCCATGCTGTTATCCCCCTGACCCTGCTGGAGCGTGCTCGGTCTGTCGTCAAGAAGATCGGCCGCGTCATCCATCGTGGCGAGAGGGCTGAGAGTGTGTCGACGCGCCGGCGTGCCCCAAGCAGTGCTGCGAGCACGGCTGGAGACACGTCCATCAGCGGCATGGTAACTCCCCAACACCATCATGCTCGCCGGGGAAGCCTGCGCCCTGATGAGCACGTGCCGCCGAGCTTCTCGCAGCAGACCACGCCGCAGGGTAACCGCCCATTAACCCATAGTGCGCTGGCTTCTCATCAGGAGCAGGCTTCTCCCTCTCGCCATACCCCTCCTCCACAACAACAACAACAACAACAACAACAACATAAATCGACGGCAGGTGCTTTTTTCAATGCGCTTCGCCGCCCCCTAGAATTGGTGACCAACATCCCTCGAGATGAGCTCACGGCTCATCATCCCTCGCCGTTTGCGCACAGGCCGTTGCCTCGTCACGGTCATGCGCGCTCCCTTACTAATAATTTCTTGTGGTTGACGCCTACAACGTCGAATGAAGCACAAACAGCCCCTGCAACACCGGTTTTCGATAATCCCGCGGAAGATACAACCAAGTCGCTTAGGAGCACTCGGGATGCCAAGCTTGTTGCGGAAGACTCAAGCCGGTCACGGTCAGTCGACCGCGGCTCTCTGGCCAGCACGGAGAAACGGATCTCAGCGTTGAGCACGGCGGCTGCAGCTCCGGGTAACTACCATGCTGCCGCGCCGCTGCTGCGTTCAGCACGCACGATGGAATTCCCCAGAGGCCTCGAGAACGTTGCACCGCAGTCTACTGTTATCAGGAGGCCCAGCTCGCCTAGTACGCTGACAGGTTATCAACATGGCCATTTCAGGTCTGACCCCAACATCAACAACAAGCAACGGATTTCTGTGGATATTGACGAGAGACCAATGACGGCGCATCGTGTAGACGACCATGGAAGCGGATCCGTAACCAGGGAACCACGGCAAACCACCATCACTCTGGCCCCCAGCCCGACGATCCAAGCACCCGTTAGGACGGCACCGCCGGCCGAGCAGCCCACCCAGGACCAATCGGTTGACTTGTCTTCCGAACCTGACCCTGCCCAGATCCCATGCCCGCCATCTCCTCCGTCCAGGGACGAGACGATTCCGACCGGAAAGTCCTCCAGCTCGACGTCCATGGGCGCCATGACGACCCCGCTGACCAGCCCTAGCGAGTCTGCCAGCCCCGTCTATGGATCTAACTCACAGGTATCCAAGAAGGACTCGTCCGAGCAGATTTTTACCTTCCAATCAGACCCGTCGCTCCCTGCTCTTCTTAGCAGCACGAGCTCGGTGTCGGCGGACCCCGAGGGAGACTTTCTCGGCAACCCGGGCGTCGTGAGTCGGTCATCGATCGTGAATACGACGGATTCGCTCACACCCCAGGCCTTGACTAAGGAGCCAATTTCTGGATTTCCCCTGGAGATGAACGACGACGTCCTGCCGCCGGATGAGGCTGTCCCTGTCAAGCTCGATGACAGGCCCCATTCTGCTGCCGCTGCCATTCCTTCCCATCATCCCCCGGCGTTCCGTTCGCCGCACCAAAACCATGCCGTTCCGTTTGCGCCGTCACCTCTGTCCATTGTCACGACCCCTCCGCACGCTCATCGTCATCATCCCTCGCTTCCTGTCTCGGCTCACCCCTGGCGCTCCCCTCCTAGCGCCAGCCCTTTCACCCAGTACAGGCGCGGCTCGCTTGCCTCCAACTTTCGTCGTCGCGACGAGAGCGAGGATGAGGGCAGCGATAGCGACGAGGGCTTCCTAACGATGGCCAAGCTTAAGAAGAAGGTGTCGACCAGCACAGTGATGAGCTCGAACAACAGGGACTCAGAGGAGCGGCTGGGCAGCGGCTTATTTATGGGCGATAACCCGAGGCGCAGAGATACCAGCGTAAGTGCGGGCAGCACGGATACGGCGAAAAAGCTCGTCATGCCAGAGGACGAGTAGTAGAGTAAAGCATGGATGGGGACAGCATTGCGTCGGTGTCAGCGAGTGTTTGGATTCTGAAGCCAATGGCTTGTGTTGCGTTCTGTGAAGCTTTGGTTTTGAAGTCCGTCCCGTTGCTGTTGCGTTTTCAAAAGTCAAGTCGAGTTTATACTGGGGTTCGATATTACCTTTGCTACTACCTTCCGATAACATACCCGCTGCGCTTCCCGCCAGTTTTTTTGGTGACCGAGTTGAGCTGAGATCGACATACCGGGTCAGGTGACCAGACCGTCGTTGGATCTGGGATTGTGCTCGCCGCTCGACGGCAGCAATCAACCACTCTCAACGCACTCTGGCCCTTCTGGTCAGACTTTATGCCAATTCAGTTTCTTTCTGTCTTGTCTCTCTCATTGCACTCATCAATCATCAAATCAACCTTGCAACAAATTCGGGCGGGCACGGGGTTTATCTTTTAACGGGATCATCATCTTCTCATTATGGCGTTTTGTCGGTTTACTACAGGACACAGGGCAGGTTTCGCATCGCATCATGGACACACGGACATGGACACACAGGCAGGGTCTAGGGCAGGACAGGGTTTTTCTAGGATGGATTGATTCTCTTTCACATATTGGACTGGACTGGGCTGGGTTGTGGTTTGTTGGTTGGGTGGTATCAAAGAAACAAAACGGAACTAAACTAACAGGCATGAATATGACATAAACACTTTTCTTCGTTCAAGGGAGTTGCCCACGCAAGGTGTTATATGTTATACTCTTGTCGACGTCGTTTCTGTTTCCATTGACAAGGTATGGGTGGGAGGGCTGGGGTTTTGAGAAGTATAACTCTACAATCGGGCTGGGTGGATGGGGATGGAAATGGAACTTTTTCTCTGAGAACTGATTCTTCAGTGTGCGGTGTTTTGTTGAGCGATGTGAATGGTGATTGACTATAGACGTGGGTTCTTGGTGTCTCCTTAAGATTTTTTTTAAACTGTTTTTCCTGTGTCGTGAAGGCTGGTGTTGGGTTGGGTTAGGTGTTAAGATTGCTTGCTATGTTGGGCATAGCACTGGGGTTTACAGACTGGGGAAGTGTCGACTGCTGCGGAAGATTACCGCCTACTTACCTATAGCTTGCTCTACATCGTGTTTGGGATATGGAGAAGATAGGAGTTGGGTGAAAGAGCTCTTAGAAGATGGCGACGATGGCGGGGATTGGGAGACAACTACGGTATCGTGTAGCTTGTAGGCTGTAGGCATTATGAGCCCTGTCTATATGACTACGGGCAATTGAGAAGTGAAGTAAAGAAATATATAACAGCACGAGCAGCGTTGCAGCGGCATTGGCTTTCGCTTGTTCGTTGCCTGGTGATCTTGATTCTTGATGTGACACGCTATCTCTTCTCTCTCCGCTTCCCCTACCCCTTGAGGGTGGTCTCGGTAAAAGTCGTGTACTTACAATATCATACTGTGTAATTTACATACCTCCCCTGTCACTGCCCCCTGGAGCGCTGTGCGGCAGTGACATCACACGTTGCAGCTGAGCTGAGCTTGCGGCTCCAACGTCGCAACCTGTCCTCTCAAACATCAACTCTCGAACCTCACCACTTGACGGACTCGACCGGCCCTCCAATATGACCCCTTCCGACGACACGAAATATACAAACGAAGCATCAAAGAAAACGATTGTCTTCCTCCACCCCGACCTAGGCATAGGTGGCGCCGAACGTTTGGTAGTCGACGCAGCAGTTGGCCTGCAACAGCGCGGCCATCGCGTGGTAATTTTCACAAGCCATTGTGATCGGGGGCATTGTTTCGATGAAGTTAGGGATGGTATGTCGCTCCCCTTTCCAGGAATGATAGAAAAACACAGAAGACAAGAGGTGCTAATAAGGACGGGGTGGGGGTGAATATAGGGACGTTAGATGTTCGTGTGCGCGGCGACTGGCCCGTTCCTCCCACGCTGGGGGGAAAGTTTGCTATTTTGTGTGCTATACTCCGGCAGTTGACGCTTATACTGCAGATTGCCGTTTTGACGGGGGAGCTGAGGGGGCTGAAGCCGGATGTGTTTTTTGTGGATCAGCTAAGTGCCGGGCTGCCTCTTCTCAAGCTCCTGACTGGGAAGCCGATCTTTTTCTACTGCCATTTTCCGGACCTGTTGCTCGTTCAAAATAGAAGGAGCTTGCTGAAGAGGCTGTACAGATTGCCCTTCGACAAGTGGGAAGAGTGGAGTATGGGATGGGCGGATACGATTGCGGTGAATTCGGGGTTTACGGCGGGGGTTGTCGGACAGACCTGGCCGAGGCTGGTCAGACAAAAAAAGCTGGAGGTTGTCTATCCGTGTATTGACACCGCTTCTATACCCGCCTCAGAGGGGGAGGAGAACCCCTGGCCGGGGGTGAAGTTTTTGCTGTCCCTTAACCGCTTCGAGCGCAAAAAGAACGTGGCCCTTGCCCTGCGCGCCTTCGCCGCCCTCTCACCCGACGTTCGAAAGAACGCGAAGCTGGTCATCGCGGGGGGTTATGACCCCCGCGTGCGGGAGAATGTGGCCCATCACGAGGAACTCGCCACCCTAGCCACAGAACTGGGTCTCTCCCACACGACAGTGTACCGGCCCTCCACCCCTACCGACGTCCCCCTTTCCTCCATCTCCCCCGACGTTCTGTTTTTGTGTTCCGTCTCAACCGACAAACTGAAAGACCTCCTCCTCCGCCACTCCCTTTTATTATTGTACACCCCTTCGAACGAGCACTTCGGCATTGTCCCTCTCGAGTCCATGCTCCGACGGACCCCCGTCCTGGCTTGCAACGATGGCGGGCCGACGGAGACTGTTGTTGACGGAGAAACGGGGTGGTTGAGGGATGCGGGGGATGTGCGTGCTTGGAGAGGGGTTGTTGAGTCTGTGCTGGGGATGAGTGAGAGTGAGGTGAAGGGGATGGGCAGGAGGGGAGAGGAGAGGGTTAGGGAGAGGTTTGGGAGGGGGGTGTTGGTAAGGAGGGTTGAGCGGATTTTGGAGGGATTGGTGGGAGGAAGTAAGGGAAGGGAGGAATTAGGTTTGGGGGTTGTGATTTTGGGGGCTGTGGTTGCTCTGGTTGTGGGGATGGTTGTTGTGAGCGGGTTGGTGAGATTGTAATGTTCCGAGGGGGGAAGGGAGGGTTTTGTAGGGGAGTATTGGTGAGATATACCCCGATTTGAGTTAATCTCATGGTTTTGGGATTTGGCATGTTCAAATATGGTGATGACATCGTGTTAGTTTTAGGGGAGTCTCTCGGCTTCTTCGCTGGGACCAGGGCTGAGGCGTTTGGTGGTCATCTTCCCCTGATTATGATGGATTGCCCACGAATGGTAAGAATCCCAATCAATCTCTGGCTTTGGGCGGCTAACAGAAGAATAATCGAGTTCGAGAGTCAATTTCATCGCTAGAACTAAGCTTGGAAACCTGCCTTAGAACATGGGGAGCTCTCTTACGAGTTAAGGACCAAGATGATTTCCATCGGAAGCCAATTATCTCATACACACAAACACTGTAACTGTTCGCTGAGTGTTGCTTTATTCACATTTCACATATCTACTTTTCGGGACTAAACCCTATTTGTTAATTTGTTATGGCTCTGGACTGGCATGACGTCCACCATCACATATGCTCGCAATTGTTCTGGGGTAAAAGCAGCCTGGTATCACCATTCATGGTTTTCACCCAAACCCTCTTATGCTAGGTTCTCTCGACCTGCCCAGATCCCTAGAACAAGGCCTAGTTCTTCAAGAGCATAACACAACACATTTGGCTGCGAGCAGCATTACGGTCTCTTAATTCCAAGCCTCTACGGTACTCATTCTGCTTTAGCAGTTTGAGTTAGCTACTCTAGAGGTCGATGACTGCATGTGAGAAACTTAAGTGTCCTGCCATTGGCCTCATTGCCCTGCACCAGACCACAATGGCCAAATCGCATCATTATATCGTTGTTCTCCTTCTTACACCTTGTCTTTATCATGAGATGCCTCAATTGTTGCCTTTTCTTGGCCCGTCCGGTCACCAATTATAAATTTTATGACTCTTCTTTTGCTGATTCTCCTTTGTAGCCCCGAGAACGCCTACGGTAAATTTCACGTATCAGCGAGACATACCTACTCAAGGAGCATCAATCCTATGACCATGCCAAGTAGAGTATCTCGCTGAGATAGGATCGGCCTGTATGACTTTCTTGGAGGAAGACTAATGAATATAAAATGGAACTCGGAGTCTTGAGCACGCTTGGCTGTTTTTCACATGCAGCTAATTCGGTGAATCGGTCTTCGAGATGCCAACAGTGGCCACGTCGCATGTCACAGCTGGACAGCAAACTAGCGAGTTGGCAAATATGACGTTCGATCTCATATCGAGCAATTGATCACTTAGAGGCACACTTTACAGAATACCTACTGCCATCTACTACTCCGAACATACAATGCCTTCTAAACATTGAGCCAACTCGAGCCCTCAAACCCAAGGCTAACCGAAAGTTCTCATTCACTTCGACCCGATCGACGCTCCGACCGCTGCTAGGCTTGGCGAAATTTGGGCTCCGCCACGGGCCAAACCACGTTTCCGGGTGATTGGCGGAGAGAGGGCCGGCGGTTGGACTTGGCGATGCGGAGCCCCCAGCCGTCCGTCGATAGCCGTGGTCGCATGCAGCGTACGTAGCTACGCAGGTTCGCTTCTCCAGATGGACAGGAGGAACATGAGGAGGAATGACAGGTCAGGAACGGGTGGCGGATCTAAGATCAGGAGTTCATATTGTTATTGAGGGGGAGAAAGTCTCAACGCCGGTGAGAATGGTCGACAGGAAAGATCTAGTTGTGAGGTTCAGAACGGTGGCGACTTGGCAAGCTCGAGTCCTGCAAAAGACAAAAAAAAAAATTAGAGAAGCTTTTCTCCAATAGGAAGGCTTCCAGACGTCTAAGCCAAGAGACCTAATTTGAGCACCTAGCCATGTGTTCGTTGGCCAGATCTTCCCGAGGAGCGGAACTGTTCCCTTAAGAACATCCATGACTAATCATGGTGATGCTTCACGAATAAAGGGAACAGAAAACAACAGCAGCGTAGCATATTCTAAGGTCCCTTACGTAAGTCCGGGTAGAGATGTCATGCAGTGGAACGAGAAACCGACGGTGAAAAACCGAGAGAGTGTGGTGATGTGTCGGTCACGGGTTTTTTACCCGAATTTTTGATTCGGTTTTGCCTGGAGAATCCGCGGTCATGGAGACGCAGCACGCATCGCAAATTGCAAGACATGCGTGCCTTCAGGCCGCGTCCAGCTGTCTGGTTGCACCTGCGTTAGCGTTGCCAGTGGGCTGGGTTGGGGTTGGGAACGAGACAGCAGCAAGCAGTAGTGGCTGGCACATGGCAGTGCCGGACATTGATGGATTGGCACGGTCGGGGAACGGTGTGTGGGGCATGAGCGGACTGTGGTGGGTCGTAGTGGACCCCTGCATGGGTGGATCGATGGATGACTAGACCAATGACAGCACGGAACGCGCTTCCCAGGACGGGTGCAGGCGGGCTCTGGGCGGCCAATGGAAATGCAGGAAGTGACCACGGGTCCCACTAGACCCCACTGCACAAACAAGATGGCCACTCTTAATCGGGACCGCCCTTTGCGTCAGAGACGGCTTGGCCGCTGGTGAGCTTCGACCGAAACATCTCTCTTTTGCACTTCACAGTTTCTTATCTCGATTTTATCTCCGTTTTATCTCTCCTCGATTACATTTTCCAAATGATCCTCTAGGCCCTACACCCCAGCACAATCCGTCTCTGCTGTGTCTTGTCTGCTGCTGTGACGTTTGTGTCTGTCTGCATTGCATTCCAATCGCCCGCAGGGCCTGCCTTTTTTTGATCAGGTGATTTGGGAAGATTCCCATATCCCGTATTTTTTTTTGCCTTTTTTTTCTTTGGTTTCATTGGTTTTTGAGATTCCCAGCGTAGGTTTTCGGGTTCAGTTCCAGCACGCAGTGACAGCACGGAGAGATAGTGCAGGTGGGGAGCACACGATCTCCCATTTTATCATCTCGATCTCTCTCGATCTCCCCACAGCCCAGGCTCGCCAGCTTTGCCGTCTAACTAGCCAGGTGTCGTGGAACACGCCCAGACCTGGCCAGCGGTCGCCCTATCGAGTCGCATTGACGGGACAGGGCACGTTGAAACAAGACCAAAAACGGCCAGAAGAGAGCACGCTCGGTCAGCCAGTCGACCGACCACGTTGTCTAGTCCTGCACTCTGATCGAACCGACTTTCTGGACGCAGCCACAGCCACGACTGCGACCTTGCACAACACATCTCTACTAATTCGAACCTCAGCGCGAGCCTGTCGACGAGCTGCACGAACCTCGAACCTCGAAGACCATACAGCGCGTCGCGCCCGATGTTGGCTCCATGTCTAACCCGCCATTGTCTGACGATGCTGCATCCGCTGCAGGGGTGAGCGATTCCCACGCTCACACTCGTCCTGCTGCCTACGACGATGCTGCCGCGCTCCAGATCGAAGCCGGCCAGGTACCACAAGAGCCACAGCCACAAAGACAATCACAGACACAAGCACAACCCCAACCACAAGAGCACCAACCGCCACACACCCCAGAGCCCATCAAATATACCCGGGGTCCTACCCTCCAGCGGCCTTCTGGTCCGTCCCTGCTGACCCAGGCTCTTGCAACAGCGCGCGGCATCCCGAGAGACAAGCAAATTTCCGCCTTCTCTTCCTCCCAGCCCACGTCTCAGGATAAGGACAACGAAGGCCGACATGAGTCGTCGACACCGCGTTCATCCCCTCGCAAGACGACCATGCATGGAAGACTCGATCTCGGCGAGGTCAACTCCAGGCTCCTCAACGGCGAACACTGCGATAGGGAAAGAGACGGACGTCCACCCCAGCCTGCTCGACCGCTGCCCGAAAAGGTATGGTCGATCGGAGCTGGCGACGCCGGCATCGGCGAGGACGGCAAGGTGGAAAAGTCAATTTCCGAGGTCCTTGCCGGTGTTGAGCCCAACAATCGCAGTCGCAAGGCCAGCCACAGTCTCCGCTTTTTCAAGGAGGGTCTTCCGGACGAGCAGCGGCCAAAGAAGAAGGAGCACAAATCGGAAAAGCTGCAGGAGATCCAGGAGCGGTCTGTCGACGAGAAGCTGAAAAGCGGCGGTGACAATGGCACTGGCTCCCATATCAGGTCACAGGCTGCTTTTCCGTCTTCATCCGAAAAGGGGATCGGTCGCGACATCCCTCCTGAGGACCAAGCTGTCAAAAAGCCAGAAGGCGATAACGTTGTGTCGGTGGTGGGCTCGCCCCCGTCGAGCCCCGGCGCCGGCGACAGCGAAGAGGGACAAGAGTCAGGCGAGGAGCAGATCTCTTCTGCCGTGTTTGTGCCGCACAAGGACCCCCGAGGAGCAGCCGGAAGACCATGCGGCAACGCCCCGGCCGACGCCTTCGAGGCGACACTCACGGCACGATGACTACCATCCGTGGCTCGTCAAGGCAGACGAGCCCGAGCCGGATGAAGAAGAGCTTGAGGAAGAACGTGGAGAAGATGAGCATGAGCCAGCGCAAGAGCACAAGGACAAGGACAAGGACAAGCACAAGCACAAGCAGAGAAGGATCAAATCTGATGCTGCCGATGGTTGTCCCACTGTAGCTCCCGAGGTAGCTCTCAGGCAGGTTGATCAACCCACGCCCACGCCCACACCTGCCCCCCATGATGATGATGATGATGATGATCATGATGATGTTGATGATGAAAGTGAACGATCGGCGCGTGCCCAATCCTCGTCCTCTTCCGCCCCGTACCATGAAGAAGCTGCGTACGACCATTACTATAATGCGCCCCGGCAGCCGCTGGAGGCGATTGAGTTGATTCCCTACAAGCACCAAGTGGGAGGTCACACCACGCTGTGGCGTTTCTCCAAGCGTGCCGTCTGCAAGCAGTTGAACAATCGCGAAAATGAGTTTTACGAAAAGATTGAAAAGTACCATCGCGATCTGTTGCGCTTTCTGCCGAGGTAGGCTTTTATTTTTTATTTTATTTTATTTTATTTTTTTCCCCTTCTCCCCCACCCCTCCCTAATCTTTCTTTTTTTTTTTCGGTTTTTCTCTACATTATGTTACCATACTAACGTTTCCAGATACATTGGCGTACTCAACGTCACATTTCAGAAGCAGCCGCGGCGCAAGTCGACCAAGCGCGAGGATGCGGGCGAGCCGCAGGCCGAGTCACAGGCCGGCGCCGCCGAGACGTCTCAGGACGGGCAGCCGCGCATGGTCAGCCAGTCGATGCAGTCCACGGCCGGCCAGATCCCGACGGTCACCTTCGTCGACAATCGCCACATCCTACCTCGCAACTTGTTGCAGCCGAGTCTCCCTCCGCTCGCCGGCCGCTTTAGAAGTGCGTCCGAGTCAGTGCGGGGCGCCACGTCTGGTAACGACAGCAGCCAGGGCTCTGCCGCCGCGATCCAGAACGAGTCTTCCCGGACAGGACAGCAGGAGCGTCCCAACAGCTGGGGTGCTACGACGGTGAACAAGAAGCTACGGAATGAGGTCTTCAACGATGCTTTCCTTAAGCAACCCATCGCCATCCACCGCCACCGCAAGGGCCACCACCGTCCCTTCCCGCGGCCGCGGCCGGTTGTTGGCTCCGAGGGTGCCGGCACGCCTGCGTCTGCTGCTAACGGCATTGACGTCCCGTTACCTAAGAGCGCCATCGACCTTGCCCACGCAGACAGGTATGCGGCTGACGACGAGCTGGGGCCGAGGGATATCACCGGTACTAGTGCGCCAGAGCCCGAGATCCTGGGCGACACGTCGCCGGCGCAGAGGAAGAAGAAACGGCGGTATTCGGGGTCAGGGCTAAGGAGGAAGCCGAAGGATGTGCAAGATGGGAGGGGTGACCTGGAGTACTTTGAGGAGGCGGATGATGTCGATTATAAGAGCGCTCGCGGGGATGTCCCGTCGCGCGAGGAGCTCAAGACGGCCCTGTCGCAGCGCACGAGTACCGTTGCTAGTACCGTGTCTAGCACGGCGATCCCGACTGCGTCGACCAGTCCTGCTCCCCTATCAACTACCGCCAGCGCCGATGGGACTGTTGGGAATGCCGTAGTACCTAACGGCAACGGCCAGCACCTCGCCCCCGTCCCGTACAAAATCCCGCGCCCGCTCAACCCCAAAGAAGCCCAGACCCAGCGCAACACGCGCGTCGAGTACTTCTTACTCTTAGAAGACCTCACGGCCGGCATGAAGCGCCCGTGCATCATGGACCTAAAAATGGGAACCCGCCAATACGGTGTCGACGCGACCCCCAAAAAGCAAAAGTCCCAGCAAGGGAAATGCGCGAAGACCACTTCCCGAGAACTCGGCGTGCGCGTGTGCGGATTGCAAGTCTGGGACGTCAAGACGCAGAGTTATGTGTTTAAGGATAAGTATTATGGGAGGGAGCTGAAGAAGGGCGCCGAGTTTCAGGCCGCGTTGACGAGGTTTCTCTATGATGGGGTGGATAAGGCGAGCATACTTCGGCATGTGCCGACTGTGTTGAGGAAGCTGGATGAGCTAGAGGTGATTATTGAGCGGCTGAGGGGGTATCGATTTTATGCGGCTAGTTTGTTGATGTTTTATGATGGGGATCAGTCAAGTGGCGTAGCGAATGGGGAGGATGAGACGACGGATTTTACTACCGATGCGGAGGAGGTGCATCAACAGCCACAGCATGGCAATGGTGCAGCCGCACAACAGCCGAGGAGAACGAGGAAGAGTAGGAGGGAGATTGATTTCAAGATGGCGGATTTTGCGAACTGTGTGACGGCGGGGGATGGAATAAAGGATCGACCATGTCCGCCGAGACATCCGGGGGAACCCGATAGGGGTTTCTTGAGGGGGTTGAGGAGTCTGAGGAAGTATTTTTTGAAGATTCAAAGGGATACCAGGGTTGAGCTGGGGCTGGCGGCGCCGTTTAGGAATGGGAATGGGGAGAAGGATGAGTGGACGTGGGAGGATAGTGAAGAGGAGGGGAGTGTTAGTGAGTAGGTCCTCAGAAGTATCAGGGGACTGCTCGACAGCCACCGGCTGAGGAGGCACAGATGCCTCGGACGGAGCTCTTTCCTGACTGAAGTACGTTGTTGATGTTATTGTACGGATTCTGTATGTCTGATGGATGAACGATGCTTACTTATCATATGGTTGGCCAACGAACGGGTCATGGACGGACGGATGCATGGATGGATGGGTTTGGTTGTGTAAGGGGACCTGGCGCTAGGAATCATCGGCTGTCTGTGTGTGTGTGCGTGCGTGTGTATGCGTGTGTGTGTGTGTGTGTGTGTGTGTGTGTGTGTGTGTGTTGCGCGTGTGTGAATACTTTTAGGTATCATCATGTATTGTGGTCCGGATCGTTTTACTTAGTTTACATACCTAGTGCTACTACTACATACTGTGTCTGCTGCTGCTGCTGGCTGCTACGTTTCGCCGCCTGTGTCTGTCCTCGGCGGCGATGTTTATTGTCTCATTGCTGGTTTGGAACTGGACAATGGGACAAAGACGGCGGGTTCAAGGTTTCGTCTGCTCTGGGTCCCGGGAGGGCACCAAGTACGGTGGGACGATGAGATATGAGTAGGTCATAAAACCACTCGGAGGCTGCGATCTTGCGTCTGGCTCTTGAGCTGCTCATCAACCACTGCTGTGTCGATGATAGAAGGTTGGATGAGTAAGCGCTGAAACTGGTTTCGAAGCTCTTTTCTGTTGGTGCTTTTACTTTTCTCTGTTTGTCTGTGGATTGACTTGGTCTGGCTTGTTGTCATTTCTCTTCTCTGGAAGGGACATTGTAACAGTTGGAAGATATTTCATACTGGGGAACTTTTGATGTAAGGTAGAAAAGTACCTAGACAAACACAGCCCTCAGAATGTTTTGGTGATATCTGCTCAGTTTTTGATCCATGATGAGGCGTGTGGTGTGTAGTGTATATTAGCCGGGTCTTCTCTTTCTTCTTTGTAAACAATAAAACCGCGTGGTATCCTCGCTTCTATTCTGCAGTCCCACGATCAAACAAGACTACATGCTCGAAGTCATCATTTTTCAGTCATTCAAAACAACCAAACCCCCAACCAGCGTCTACAGGCTTTGAAAAAAAAAAGAAAAAAGAAAGAAAACCAGGCTCCTAACATGATCCCCAGACCAACCAACGCAAAACCTCTTACAGTGATACGTCTACTTTCTTACAATTTCAACTTGAACTCTTTCGTCAACCTCTGCACCGTCTTCTCCCCCTCCTCCTTCTTTTTGGCTTCCTCCTCGATCAACCTCCTCTCCTTCTCGTCTCCAGCCTTCCACCCCTCCTCACTCAACAACCCCACGCTCTCCCTATACATCTCGGCCTTCAAAAGCCCATAAATCCCACTATCCCCCTTCCCGACCAGTTTCCTCTGCTCAATCAACTTCAACACCTCCTCTAGCCCCCCCACAGAGTCCACAATCCCCGCCTGCACCGCCGCGGCGCCGCCAAACCTCTTCGCTTCGAGAACCAAGTCCCGGTATGTCACCGGAGGAAGTTTCAGGCGGAAGATACTCGACATAGCGGGCTTGAGCGGCACCCCGAACTCAAGCTCATTCACGCAGGCGAAGCCCTTATTGGGATTCATCACCCGATAATCATGGTGCATAGCCAGCATCAGCCCTCCCGCAAAGGCGTGCCCGTTGATCAGCGCGACCGTCGGCATCGGGTACGTCAGTAGCCGATGGAATAACTTGTACAGCTTCTTCGGCAGGAAATTTGCATCCGACAGTGCGTGCTCCAGGTCCAAGCCGTTGGAGTAAAACTTGGGGATGCCGGAAGTCGTGATGACCACGCCGGGCTCGAGTGAGGGGTGGTACTCGATTAGGTCGAGGGCGTCGAGGAAGGCGGTACAAGAGGCGGTGGTTAGGCGGTTGTCGGGGGGGATGGTGAAGGTGAGGAGGTAGACACGGGGCGCTGCTAGGGAGACAGTGATGCTGCCGGCGGGTTGGGAACCGCAGGGGGGGATGGGGAAAGTGAAGAGGGTTTTGCCAGGAGAGGACATGTTTGGGTTGTTTTGGTTGGGATGAGACCAGGATGATCGGTTGTTGGTTGAGCAGAAAGAGAATAGTTAAGCTGAGAGCGAATTATGTTGATGTTGACTATGATTGAGATGAACTTGTATAAGCTGGGTGTATGAGGATAATAATTAGGTATTGGGGCTTGAGGCTCAATAAAGTGAACCTCGGCTTTCTTTGCTTGGTTCTCAGCCGCGTTTTCTTCCAGTCAAAACAGTCAAAACACCTGAGACTGCCAAGAAGTGGATCGCGCCGTTGGACCGTGACAGTTTCACTTTAAGCTCCAATCTCTAGATCAGGATGTTGTAAAAGGTATGAAACAAGAAAGAAAGAGAGAGAGAGAGAGGAGAGAGAGAGAGAGAGAGAAATAAACCGATGGTTATGGACAAGTGATACAGACACATACATTCCTGGATCGGCAGCGCTGTGCCGTCCCCAGTCGGTGTATTGGCCCGAACGGCTTGGGGTCGGCGTCGGCTTCGGCATGTGATTACCGAGCGCCCCACTGCTTAGCCATCAAGGTCGCTTCGCAACGGTGACAATTTCGAGGACGACATCGTAAACAGTTATGCTGTTGCTAGAAGGCATCTTGTTGAAGCATTGCCATACAAACCCGGATGGACGTTACAACCCAGCCATCCGAACCTACATACCCATTACCCCCTTCCCCCATTACCTTACGAATTCATGGCCATTAATATAGCTCTCCGACACCAACTCAAGAACCTGGTAGTAATCGCATGGACGGAACCTTCCATCATAGAAATATATATTCATATCATCACCATCACCCTCAACATACCATGCTATGGATATCCTCTGCACTTTGTTCTATTCCTTCTGAGAGAGAGACGCTCAAACCGCCGAGTACCCGCCTCTGCTCCCCGAGCTTTGCACCGTGTTCAACACCCGCCGAATGACGTCCCGCAACAAGTACGGGATATCCCTAATCAAGTCGCTATGCGGCAGCAGATCCCATCCGCGTGCGCCATACCGGTGGTAGTTGAGCCAAGACCCAAAGATGAGGTAGGATGCGACGGCGAGGAAGGCTCTGTGTCACTCTGTTAGCATATCTCTTCTGCAAATCCACACAGTCAGCTATGAGAGAGTGGGAGAGACTCACATAATAAACACCCAAGTAAAAAAACCCCAATGCTTACTCTCCTTTCCCCCATCTGTCGGCGGGTTTTCTCCCTCCGCCCGACACGCATGCTTGGTATACCACGTCAGATACAGCGTGTCAATTTCCTTCGTCTCAGTCCCGTCGACCACTTGCTCACGCTTATATCCCTCCCAAAGCAGCGCCGCATCTTGTTTGCGCAGCTGGTGCTCTGGCTGGCTGATATCTACGGGGTCTTTCTCCTCCTTCTTCGTGTCCTCTTGAGTCTCAACCCCCCGCTTGCTGTTTTTCTTTGCAGGTTCGTACTCAACCAACTTCTGTTCCCACTCGCCCTCTGTGCCAACTTTCTCTGGGTCGCAGCGGAGGGAAATGACTGCGCTCTGTGGGCGCTGTTGGTAGGTTGTGTCGCTTTGGAGGGTTAGACGCAGGCCGTCGTTCTTCTTATCCTTAGTGTCGCGCCCCTCGGCTATCCTCTTAATCCCCCAGTTAAATGCCGCGTGATCGTTGCCGTGCCCAATGACGATGGGGATCACGCTGTCGGTGACGGATTTGCCTGTTTTGGGGTCGAAGCGATGCTTGATGGCGCATACTGGACACATTGTTTCCATCAGCCATCCTGCCATGCCTCACCCATACCACTCACTCTCCCTTAAGTAGATGGGCGGTCTTACCTCTCGTACCGTCAGGACATCTCTCCTCCTTCGCTATATCCCCCTTCCGTTTCAGCGGCCCGCACAAGTCGATGGTGTAGGTCGTGTTCCGATATGTCGGTGCCGCATACTCGGTCGTGACGATGGTGTGGGGACCGGCGAGGTCGTGGAAGTCATAGGTGTGCCCGTCAAACTCTACTTTCGCACAGTCAAATGTTGAAGGAGGGGCTGTCGCGGCGGCTGAGGATGGGGACGCGGTTGAGCCGAGTAGGAGGAGGAGGAGCAGAGGGCCTGCTGTTTGGGTTGGTCGGGAGGGTCGTGTCATTTTGGTTGTGGTTCTATGTTTGTAGGTCGGTAGTAGAGGCGGCCCAGCGGGGGCAGGGAAGGGAGAAAAGATGAATCAGTTGTCTCGTAGGCACGCACACACACAACGTTGTTTTTCTCGCTCGGGCTGTCTGCCTGCCAAGTGTCACGGATGGGCGGTTATTGAATCAGACCCTTCGAATGTTCAGACCTAACCGTCCTTCCTCTAAGCCGGATGAACACGTTGCGCGTCCGTGATGGAGTGAATGAATTTCGAAGCTCACTGATCGAAAGAGCTGAGCTTGCTCGAACTTGGGCATAAGAAACAAAAAGTTTAGGAAAGTAATGAACCACTCTCCCGCGCCAGCCGATCGACCGTTCTCTGGGGTATAGAACAGAAAGTAAAAGGCTCAACACCAGCTGGTTTGTTATCAAATCTGCCAGCGAGTGTAGTGTACACAGTAGTTAGTATGTTAAGAAGTGGGAACGTCAACGGGACACTCTTGGACAGGACAGGAAGGTCAGTTGTCGCTGTCGACATTCACTGGCTACTGCTGGTCCCTGCATGCATACATGGTGGACAACAGTGCCTGGGCAATGTGCTGAATGTGGGGACTGGCGCTGGGTAACGTCATTGCTGAAATTAAATCACGTGTCATATCACGTGCAGCAGGAAAGTGGGACAACAATATGGCAAGGAGATCAACCGACGGAACGCAGATATATATCAGTGTTTAAATGGCTGACACTGCGGTACCTATTGCCATTAGCTTGGTTCACAACTGGTATGTTAGCCTCTTAAGCCAGATATGTTGTGTTGTTTAACTCTCGGTTACCAAAGAATGAGAAATTTGTCCATAGAATATATGTCCTTTCCAAGTTGAAGATCATCAAGAAGTCAAAGACATTGATTACGCATCTATTAATACGTAAAAGGTTGATAAAGAAAAATAGTGAGTTAATCGCATAAAAAACACAATCTATCTATCATCCCAAATTTTGAGTTCGCCCATGCGCCCCAGCGCATCCAGCGATCACCCGTCGGAGACTACTCATGACTCGAGTCTGTCAGAAGTCTGCTGATCTGAGGGGATGTTGCCAAAGCCTGATGATAAGGATTGCAATGTAAGCTACATGTGGTTTAGTGAAGCTAAAGGCTGGGATGAGAGAACCTACAGGTCAATCCTGGTTTACGTTAGCGTGGTTTTTAATAACAGTCAGAGCCATGATTTCAAGAGCTTGTCAGTAGTACGTACACAACCTTTGGGAAGGATTCTTGGCATCAATCATTAGCAGGCTTATTATTAAATCCAGTTGAATGTTCTGATTTCATATATACATAGTTGAAAGTGTTGGTTGAAAAAACTATGGTTTTACAAACTGATGTTGACACCACCTTCACCTCCGTCAAGAGTATTGCGCCAGCCTCCGTTTCCTCTTCCGAAAAAAGTCAACCCTCAGAACCCCCCCACCGACCTGGCAGAGTAACCCACGACCCCTTCTCTTCCTTCCCTTATCCCATCCTGTCCTTCCTCCCCCCAGACTCCATCATCGCCCTGCGCATCGCCTGCCCCCCGATCCTCGCGACACGCAGCGCAGCACTTGGCTACGGAAGCGCCTGCTCGTGCGGGGCATGGCCTGGTTCTGGGAGCTGCATCGGGCCCTACGCGATATGACGCTCGCGGAGGACGAGGAGCTTGATTGCCGGCGGCTGTGGCTCTATTTGGCGACGCATACTTTCCCGAGGTATGGTATGAGGGGTCCGTTTATGAGCGTTGCCAACCGGAGACGGATATAGCAGGCTTGTGAGGGTTGGTGAAGGAGTATTAGAAGAGGGTAAGGACGCCGTTAGGAAGGCAGGGGGAGGGCGAGGAGGAGGAGGAGGAGGAGGAGGATCTTAAGGGGTTTTATGTTGATGAGGGGGACGTTTATGCCGGCTGTGGCGGTACCCATTTCCCTTCCAAGGTAGAGAATAATGAATTCTTCAACTATGGCTATGAAAGAAGGAATGGATGACAGCGGAGAGTGTTGATGAAGTGAACGAAGAGCCTCCTTCACAGGCTACGTCAAATGCCAGCTCACCTCTTGCGTAGACATCTCAAGGAATCCGTCGAAAATTTTCACCACTGGCTGGCACTTGAACGGTAGCTTGACCTATCTCTGTCTGCAGTTTCAAGGAAAGGAGGGAGAACTCCGCCTGCTGATGACGAACAATGCTGTGAATGTAGTGTTCAGGGACGATATCGAGTTGATTTTCCACGGTGACTGGAACACTGCGTTGATGCTACGCATCTCGAATAACCCCTCTTTAAACCAACTGGCAATTACATATTCGGAGGTGAATCTACTGCACCTGGTGGAACAGATCAAGATAGGCTCCGAGTCCCATGCCAACGGATGACATTTAGGTGTATATGCGAATGTAAAAGGTGAGATGCTAACCCACTTGACTCATGGCCAGGTTATTCTTTGCTCAGGCCTTTGCAATCACATTCCCCAAGATCATCATCCGATATAATAAGTTTCAGCACAGTCTTACTGCCTACAGTCGCATCTTGTGGTGCCACGAGGGCAACGTTGTCACGGCCTACAGGCCAAGTTTCGCAGGGCATGATCCAGGCTTCTTTTGGCCTTTCCTTCCCACCTCCTTCTTCCTTATCCTTGTCCTGCCCCCTAGATTGTGTACTTAAACTAGGTACTCTTCTTATTACCGCCGGGACGGTACATTCTTTCATATAGGGTCTAATCCAAAGCCCTGGAGCAAGTCCCTCCCTCCTCTTCAAACGCCCCTGCTCTCTTACCGCATCCTTTGGCACCATTCAGTCATTCACGTCCCCCATACCCACTACTCTCCCTACCGCTTCCATCCGCACTCACCCATCCAAATCCAACTCATTTCCCATCCTCGACCAAGCAAATAGCAACAAGATCAACAACAACAATGATCATGGTAATCAGGAGTTGGTTGATTTGTTGTCTGAGAACGTGACTAGGGATGAGGATGTGGAAGAGAGAGAAATGGTGGGGGTGATGGGGAAGCTGATGCTGGAAAACGCAAACTGATGAAATGCATCAGCAGCAGCAGCACGAACATGATCAGGACTAGGAAAGGCAGAAAACCTCTACCGCTACATGCACGCAAGCCCCTATGGGTTCTTCACCGTCGAAGGAACTGGACCTCTCGGATCAAGTGGGCGAAGAAGGGAGGGTATGTCAATGCAGGAATGATGTTTTTGAATTTGATGGGCCGGGAGGAGAGAGGGTTGCAGACGTGGCTAGCCCACTTTGTTATGAGGATGTTCATGATAAAAGCACAGTAAACTTTCAATCCTTGTTATTCTACCTAACCTTCATACCCTTCCCACGAACACAGATCCGCGCCAACTTCAACCGCTCCATCATTTTGGGCACTCACCCCTCTGATGATACCAACCCCCCCGAACAATTACCTCTAACCCGACCACTTGGTCCTGGTCCTGCGTCTTCCTACCGCCAGACCGCTACATAGCCGGCATTGCAGCCTGATTTAGGACCACCCTGCCACCCGAGGAGGAGAAGAAGCCGGCAAGTACTCCTCCTCTCCCTCTTGTAATACATCCATGTCTTATGTTAATGGGGATGGGGGTGGGGGGTTTAGCAAGGTATCTTTGGTCAAGACCAATGTTTTTATTAACTTCCACACAGTCACCTTTCTTGAGCATTGCCGTCTTGACGGGTGAAGACACGAGTATGTGGGTAGCGATGCGGGAAGGGGTTAAGCTCAGTCTCTACCATAAGGTACATTTCGTACGGATATATAAACCTGCATGTTGTAAGGCCCCTTTTAATTGTTTGGGCTACTTATGTAGGCGAAGTGAGGAGACTGAGTGCTTTAATCGGTAGGTATTTAGAACACACAGTTATTGTTCAAAGTCTTGGGCATAATTTGTTGTATTGAAGATGGGCGAGATATAGTTCCTGCGCAGGTACCTACCTACCTACCTACCTACCTACCTACCTATGCAAAAATTTGGTATCTAAACCGCTGACATGAATCATCTACCTATCCTGCAGGTCTACTTCCAGGTCAAACAGAAATGAAAACCTAAGCACCTAGGTACTGTTACACCCAACGCCCCTCGGTTCGATATATATCACCAACCTGCCAACCTACCTAGATACCTGCTGCAACACTTGCTCACATCTCAACAACTACTCACCTCCCTTCTTAAATCCCTCCTCAACCCCCAACGGGCACAACAACCTCCAAGCTCCCCATCCAATGAAAATGTGGCTCCCCCAGCAATATCTCCCTCCCTTCTGCCTTCGCTTTTCTCTTCTCTTCCTCATACGCGGCCCTCGTCTGGGCACGATACGCCTTGATAGCAGCCACGACGTCACGCATCTGCGCCAGCTGGGCGCGCGTCGGTTTTGGCGCTTTGCGAGGGGACGAAACCTGGGATTGGAATTGAACGTGACTTTGGGGGGTAATATAGGCTTGATGATTTTCCGTTGGCCCCGAGCCGGTACTAGAACAAGTTTTTTGCCCCAAGAAAGGCGTTGTATAATTGTTGCCGGCGCATCCTTCGCAACCATGCACAGCACATGATGATAAATCACCGCTGGCACAGCCGCCAAGACCGGCCTTCAAACTCTCACTCTTGCTACCCGTATTGCCGCTGCTGCTACTATTACTCATCCCACGCGGCAGCAGCGGAGGTGTAGGCAGCGCACTCCAATTCCGATCACTCAACGTCGCCAATATCCCCTTCCAAGCCGCCCCAAACACGATCGCACCCCCCGGCACGCCCGCCGCCACATGGCATGGTGACGCGGGCTCAGGGTCGGCGAGGAGATCGGCATCGCCGCTGGCCAGCAGCCGCATGTACTCGTTCAAAGCCGGATGGTTACTTGGACGGAGGTGGCCGTCGCCAATGAAGACAGGTGCGATGACGGTCCGGCCATGGTACGTCCAGGTGTGGCGCATAGTGTTCTTGTTCTCGTTCTCACGGATGCTGTAGGGGTAGAAGGGGGTGAGTTGGACCGATTGAGTAGGGGAGGTCTCCTTGGGTTCGGACGCGGGTGGAGCGGTGTTGGGGAGACAGGTACCGTAGGGGGAAGGGTCAACTTGTCTCTGCGCAACTGGCTTCTCATCGGCCAGGGATGAATCCCAATTGAGAGTATCTGTGATGCTGAATTCCTGGAAACTGGTAAGTGACCGCTCAAAGTCCAACTCCTCATCATAATTTAGGTCCTCTTCAAAAGTCTGACGAGGATCCGGCTGAAATTCAAGCCGAATGTGCCTGAGACCCGATAGCACAGCCGGTCCCCTCCGACTGCTCGATCGTCTAACATCCTGGACCGCCCTCTCCTGAAGCGAAGCCAGCTTTAAAAAGGCAATCAGCTTCTCAATCAGACGACCCGTCGAATACCTCGGGATGTGCGTCAGCGTCAGGGACCGCAGGCGCGGGTTCATATCAGGCACGAAGGCTTGGGGATACGCCATCTCCGCGCGTGGCAGCAGATATGTCTCGGCCAGCCACAAGGTCTCCATGGGCAACCGGTACGGGATGTGTAGAGTCAGCAGCTGCGTAACCAGCGAGTGGTGGATGCGCAAGACCTGCAGGTCGGGCGCGACGAGCGACCGGAACCAGTGAGCCTCCCCGAGGATGCCCCAGAGCTTCACCTCCTTGCTGGCCAGCCACGATCGTCGTCGGGCTGCCTCGGGTATGGTGAAGAGCGGAGTATCACACTCGAGGTGTTGCAGCAGGCCGGGCGACATGCGCATCCGTTTGGTCAGGGCAGCAGCCGAGATGCTGTTGCCGTTCAGGTACAGGTGGGTGAGGCCAAAGGGGCTCTGGCAAATGACGAGCCCAGGAATGCGCTCCAGCACGGGGCTATGGCGTCCAGCACCGCCGGAGAGCAGGGTCTTGACCGCGTCAGCTGAATCGTCGTGTATCTTGACCGTGCCGTCCAACCGATTGGTATGGACGTCTTGAGAATACCCAGGAGCATCTGCAAGATACCTGTGAGGATGGTTGAACGTCCCGCTCCATTTTGACTCCCAGATGTGGCTGAAGAGTCCAAACATGCTCGTTCCTAACGCCGAGTGCTGCATGATTGATCCCTCAACACCAGCATCCCCTTTCCGGCAAGGAACAGGCGCAAAGCAGAGGTCCATGTCCTCAAAGACAGCGTCAGTAAGCCGGTTGCGGCTCAGATCCACGCTCCAGAGCTGCGCCCCAAAGACCTTGAAGAGAAGGGCCGCCGTTGCATCATCCATCTCGCGCCCTTGGGCCTTCAATATGCGAAGGTAGGGCAGTGAGGCGGGACTCAGCGTCTTCTGGGCCAGAGCAGTCTTCAGTGAGCCGGGCAGGTACGACACATCGAGGTACACGAGACTCCTCAGGAGCGGCGAGGCGAAAAAGGCCGCGGGCAGTTCCGTCTGGCACCGCGGGATGCTCAGCAGCAGCAGAGGATGCCCGCTCGCGTCCTCCGAAACAGGCCGAGCTGCCAGAGACGCAAGATCGAGATCAGGGTGACCGTCCACAAGCAGACAGGCCAAGCTAGGAAATACAGACAGCGCCCGGCTCAAGAGAGCGGAAGATCCCGCCATCGAGACCGAGAACTGGGCCACCGAGACGGCAGCCAACAGAGGCCGCAGGTCGAGCGAGCGAACAAGAGCCCTCGTCTCCGGCCGCACTCGCTTGATGCAATGGGCCAGAAACACATACAGCCAGTCGAGATCTGCATCTGTCAGTATCTCTTCACCACCAGTAACATCAGCGCACAAGCTAAAAGGGGCTGAAAAGGTGTTCCTGACCTACGGGGTCCCTGCTGAGCAGGCACACCACAGTTACAGGATCATTCCACAGGCGGGGAGCGAACTGGGCATAGAAACGTTTCGACACACGGCAGAGACGGGCGTAGTGCTTCACATTCATGTACGGCGCTACCAGATCGAGCCAGTCGACCCGCGCGATAGCGTCCTGGTATGAGGGCAGGCATGGCGTGTCGCTTGCATAAGTGTTCGCCATCGTTACCAGGTATGAGGTGAGTGAAGACGTTGTAATTTCGAGATCCCGCTGCCAGATCTGCGATCGAAATTGCAGCAGTCACGTCAGTCACCACGCGCATGAGCCAGAGAGCCACGATGCACGTCAACGCTGCGGGCGAGACAGCGACGTCGGTAAAATACGTATGTGGCTGACCCAGAGAGTCAGAGAGTTCCTGTGGGCTTATATCATATCATGATCCCCGATAATGTAGATTCCCAGCTCTTCTGCCCACTGAACTTGCTGACATGACAGGCATACCAGGAATGCGTCCCCGTCGGACCTTTTTCACCATCGCAAATTTTTGGTTGGCGGCTGTGAGCTTGTGGTTGAGGCGCGGGGGAGGCAGTGCTCCGAGGTTAGCCGCCAAGGGCACGCAAGATCGCTGTTATCGGAAAATTGAATTTTCCGATACGTTTATGCGCGTTAGATCACCCCGATACAACGATATAAGTGCTCATCGCATGGAATCACCAGTCTGTCTCATCTCAAAGGCTTCCTCAAGCATGCTACCTGCGGTAGGCCAGATGTGCTCGCAGCTTCCCAATCACGATCTCGCTTCTATTGCGATCTGTCCAGGCGCAGCGATCACCCACCGTATGGGTGCCACGTATCCTCTCATGCAGCGTTCGCCATAAAACATCTTGAGGTTCGCGATCCCATACCAATGACACCCACGAGCAACAAGTTCCCGATGGAAGCACAAGAATGCTTTCTGCTGCTGTTGTTAGAATCAACCCGGGAGCAACACACGATTTTTTTCTTGGAGAGGGCTACATCCAACTGCCAATATCGAAAAGACTGGCCGCACGGCAGGCCGGAATGTGCGTCTACCTAGGTCTAGCTCGCTTCAAATGTGTCTAAAGGCAAGCTGTTTTGTTGTTGCGACCGCAACGAGATGTACGTATCTATCTAGGTAAATAATAGATGATAATTGCCAAAACTGTATCCATCACTGCAGCAGCGCAGTCGATTCGCATCCTGCAATCAGCTGTAAACCATCCGTACACGCACCTTGCCAGCTGGGCAATCAGCAAAACCACAAGACCGTTTGTTGCGATGGGGAGTTGATAGCTTCACGTTCTGACCTACTTAACTTTTACACCCTGATCAGCAAAATAATAGATTCTCGTCCCATCGAAACAATCACACTGAGAAATCTCATCCCAAAACGCCCCTCCAAGCAAGCTCTCCCATTTGATCCTCACCCGATCTTCGTCCTCTCCGGTTCCTGCACACCCTTCCATGTCCAAGACAGCCCACTTCTCCATCATTACCATGCAACCTGAGCCCAGCCCAGCCCACTCAGAATCGCCATCAGAACCAGCTGCGACAAGCCGTTTCCATCATCCACGCCGTAACACGCCTCGCCTCAAGCACGCAAATGCAAGCCGCATAGCATGGCGGGTGCTGAACGACCAATGGCTAGGAGAAGATGGATTAGTCTGTCTGTCTCAGCAGGGCAGCGTATCAGTCATGCGAGCTTTCGGCAACGCAGCCGGAGAGAGTAAGTCAGTAAAAATAAGTTACCGGGTTTACCGAGAGACCTGTCATAAGGACTGGTCGGAAGATGGATTCTATTACTATGATGCTTGGTAGGCAGGTACGTGATAGAAGAGATCGACAGCGGCTATTGTGTAAGGGGAGTGAGATTCAATGGGAGTAGCAGGTTGATGTTTGAGCTAAACATATCGTGGGATCTAACAATCACCGTGTTCGTGTGACAATCTGGAAGTGAGCTGGATGGGTGAAGATGACACAACGAGAAGTTTACAGGTCGATGCGCGATATTCATTCCCAGAGCAATTGTTTGTATTCCGGTTGTGTTGCATTTCATGATGTATTTCCTAGCAAAATTAACCAAAACAAAAGTCCTCTGCGAAGATACCTAGTCAGAATCTATCCAGAAATGCTAACCTAGCCAAATCCTTTTCAAAAAATTGTAGCCACAGTCGTTCCTGAAAATAACACCTAACCCAAATACTGTAAGCAATGGAACCAACCCTCGAAGATTTCACCAAAAAGACTGGCTAAACATACAGATTATGAAGGCATGAAATAGAGAGAAAGTTTCCGTGATCCCAGCCCAGATATCTAAAAGATTGTGTGCGAACCCAACCCAACCCAGAAAAATAACCGTTATACAATAACACGTCCAACCCATCCACCAATCCAAAATTCCCAGGAAAATCAGAAAGTAATCCCATTTCCCTTCGGTTTAGCCTTCATCTTTAGTTCGACTGTCCCCCATCAGCATGCATCCTCTCAACAACAGCGGTAGTCTCCAACCGTTTCTTCGTCTTCGCGCTCCCCCTCCGCGAATGAATCCGCCGCATCTCTTCCTCATACTGCTTGACGGCGCCAGCCTCGTACCGCACACGCCCAGCCGTACCGCGAGGCAGCGTGTGTAGCTTGATGTGCGAGAGCCAGTTGTCCTTGCGGTTGACCACCTTGGGACACCAGTCGCAGGGGTAGAGGGTTCCTTTGTGGGCGCTGAAGACTTAATGTCAGCTGATTTTGTTCAAGTGATGGTTAAAAGCAGCAGAACTCACCATTGAATGTGCCTCTTAAGATGCTCGTTCCGACGATAAGGCCTCGTCTTGCATCCCTCATAGGGACACTTGAATTTACCCGTCTGGATATTCTCGATAGTTACGCAGCCGCTTTCTGTGACAAGGGCATGGGGTTTCTTGGCATTTGACTCTGGTTTGAACTGGATTTGTGCCGTGCTGAGCGTTGATGATGTCTGCTGGGCTTGCTGCAGAGCCGTGGACCGCAGCCGTGCCTCTCCTATCCTCGCTCGTCTTCTTGACACATTTGAGGAAGACATGGGGGAAATTATGTCATCCGTGCTATTTCCGAGCTTGACCGTTGACACGCCTGGTCTCATCAGCCTGGGAAGAGAACGCTCTTCGAAGTTGATCGGGCTGTCGGTCCGAACCCAGAGGGAATCCGATAGCTGGTCTACATGCCCAAAAATAGCCGTTGGCACTGAAAAGGACTGCGAAGCATAGTTGTTGATAAAGAATACGGAGTTCGTAGGCTGTGGTGACGCGATCTGAGTCCCACAATTGCCGAACGTGTGTCCAGAGAAGTCCAGCTGTCCTCTTGGAGGAGTGAATGATAAGTCCGGGTACAAAAAGTCCGTCGTCTGGCTCGAAACCTTCATGCTTGTCGAGAAATAGGTCGAAGTTGTGGAAGAGGGCGGAGTGAGGTCTAATGGCGTGTCAATAGTCGTCGCAAATGATGAGGCATAGTCTAGTGAGGCCGAGCGGATAGGGGTAGAACGACCAGAACTTGGTGTCCGAGGGCCGTACGTCGAAGGGGCATAGGATGATTTGCTGATGTTTGCGGTTGAACACCCTTCGGCCAGGTTATTGTGTCCGCCAAAGTCTGAATCATCTTCAAATTCAATTCGCGGTTGAAGAGCACACGTTTGCAACGCTGAGAGTTCCATATTGGCCTGTGCCATCAATCTGTGAGAGAAAATTATAGAACAACAACGGAGTTGGTGGGAGAGGCTGTTCTGCTTTCCCCCGGGGCAAAACAATTGAGGGATGCCAAATCGATAAAGCAAACAGACACCAGATGATCTCCGGAAGAGTGACCCGTACCCTTTAGACAAGATGAACAAGACGATGACAATCCAGGTGGGCCGATGATCTTAGGGAAGACTAACAAAGAGTCGTAGGAATGTGCCCCAGCAGCACATAGCAACAAGGACACATATACTCACGCTCTTTCAAAGGCAAGTCGAGAGGGATGAGGGGAAGGAAGGGAATGTTTAAGAGAAAGTAATGCGATCTAGAACACAGAGCCACACAGGATGCCGTCTCGTTCTTGATTGTCCTGCCAGGGTCATAGGTACTCCGTCCAAGACCTGGGACTTGTGTTACCACACCCCGAGGAGTGGTTATGTGCTGCGCGCTGCTGCAGGAACCACAAAAAAAACAGGAGAAACACGCTAGGAGCCAGCCTCGACCAAGATAACCCCCCCCCACTTTCCTGATACCACAAACAGCAGCGTACCTCTTCCAAAACGGTCAGCGATGCTCAGCCAACTAAGCTGAAGCCAGCCATGGGTGGGTGAAGAGTAAAATCGGGAGATCGGATAGTATCGCAGAAAAGCCAGGGTGTTAGCCAGTAAGAGAAATGAATCTATCCGTATCGAAGCCGGAAAGTCTGGGCAAGCAGTTGTGCTGATCCTAGCCAACAACTGTATCGGGCAAAAAGCAATCTGGAACCTGATGCTTCGTAGATCTGCCAAAGTCTGGGGAAGATCTAGAGCGAGTTGGGTAAAAGGTGAAATAGAGCAAGGTGGAAACCGTCTTTGTCTAATTGTTATTTGTTATTTCTATTTCTACTTCTCAGTTTTTATCTTTTAGTTCTTTGACTCGACATCTGGATTGGCCATGAGCACAAAAGGGCTATTCCTCGAAACTAGACAGAATGAGACGTGTCGGCGGTTCTTTTAGTCGACCCAAACAGCCCCGAGACACTTCTACAGGTTTAAACGACCAAACATACCGAACAGACAAATGCTCGATCGACAACCCATCTCTGGATACATAGTCCAAGCATCTGTTTGCCCTTCGCAGCAAACTCAGAAAATCGCGCCAGGCACTCGGCTGGCGGGGCGATGGGACCAGGAGAAGCTGAGCACCTTGAACCCCGGACCGAGTACGCTCATGGACCTCGAGCGAGCCGACGGTCCCTAGTCGGGCACCCGTCTCTGTAGATGGAGCACCATAAAGAACCACCAATAGCTGGCGACGATACAAGCACAACGGAACGAACAGCTTACTCGGGCGAGCGCATGAACATGAAAAGAACGCCAGCCGCATCCAGCACACCGGCACGCCAATCAAACGAAGACCTTAAGACCAGAAAGACCGGTATTGAGTCGTAGCAGTCTGACTCAAGCCATCGTCCTGGATTGCTGTGTGAGTGTGATAGGGTGACAGCCTGGAAATCTTGCGCTAGCGACTAACAAACTCTTAGCGGCTGCTGGGTTTTTTTTCTCGGCTCTTCCCTGGTCGACTCCAGGTTCCAACTGCATGGGGTCCCTTTTCCACGCGCAAAGGTGCCTTCCGTCTTGATCAAAATGGTATTTGCGCTCACAAGAGCGTCGAGACTCGAGAGCTGCTTCCCCCCGGATCCGAGCCAAGACCCGTGAGTTGTGGAGACCGGCGGCGATCATAACTGCCGGGCGGGGCCGGCAAGGGCAGGAATAGGAGCAGCCAATGAACGTTGATTACATCGATATGTCGAGACAAGTGGAAACCGGTTGCCGCTAGCAGCGGCGCAGAACATCTTGTGCGACGCTGTGATACGCGATACCAACCTTATTTTAACTTCGACACGGTTCAAGATGCACTGTTTGCCTAGGTCACAGATCGTCGATTGCCAAGCCGACGCCGCAACGGAAGCAGACGACTTGTGCGTCGAGATTTCCCGGCTTCCTCATATCCAGAAAGGAAACGGCGACCATGTGAGCGAGATGACTAGGAGGGCCCAACAACGCTCAACGAACTTTCCCAGCGGGTTGCAGGCTTGCGACTGTCCTGTCCCAGGGCTCACCAACTGGGAAAGCGCATTGTCGTGGGACAGGTCCTGGAAAAGGGCATGGCAACCATACGGCAGGCATGGCAGACATGGCAAGGGCCAGTCGGATATGCTATATGTAGCACGGGTTAACAGACTCCGACTCTCCGAGCCGACTGTCCCCAGCGCTGCGGCACTTTTGGGCCATGACCATATATATACTGTGTACAGCCACAAGCCCAAGGATTGAAGCCACCGCTTTGATCAAGCAAACATATCCCCCTTCGGGGTATTTTTGGGAGCCTATTGAGCAGCCACCGAACCACAGCATCGAGCTCGGCATTGGGCTCCAATGCCAGCAACCGACCCTCGTCGCAACGATTGGAGAGACTGATGATGGCTTGACTCTTTGAGGCTTCGCCTCCAGCGCCTTACTGTGCGCGCTGCTGCCTCCAAGCTGCCAAAAAGTCTGCACCTGCATACTCTCACAGTCACGGCCTAAGTCACGACTGGCCAGCATGCCTGTTGGCAAGCTCATCGCAGAGTTTCCATGTAACCTTGCTACTCAGTACAGATGCATCCGTTCGTTCCCACGGATTGCCATGCACCAGAGCTTCCCCTCGTGGAAAGTTGAGTGATTGGAGATGATAGTAGTGGTTCTTCTCTCTACCATATCCCAGATCCTTCGATGTCTCTATCGGCGACTCACCACCTACAATCACACCCCCCCATCAACACCCTCCATGAGCAAAATGATAAGGGTTCCCCGCATTTCTGGCATCCCCAGTGGAGGATCGCCCCGCGAGTGTCTGCTCTCTGTGCCGTCATCGTCACGGGCCCTATCGCGATAACCTTGAGGACGCCACCCAAGCGAGCTGTATATTGGACCATAAATCTCAAGTCCAGTTGGCCTTTCATTGGGCCCTGTATGTTTATGGATGCTTAATGGCCCCTCTCGCCAGGCGACACATCACAATTTTGAACTCACGTTGGTCATCGTAATCCATCAGACCCTGACTACCCCGAAGCGCACACTTGGTTCGTAAATCCTCGTTGCGACAAAAATCGGCCTGGACAGATTAGCCGCAAGGATATCCGCGCAGGAGTATCTGTGCTGTCACTTTGCTCTCACTACGATTGAGTCTCGTCTTCAGACCTTCTCAGTTCATGAGCAAAGCAGGTCAAGTCCTGCCTTGCTTCCGATCCTTGCCTGAGGTTCTGATAAAAATACCTTCATGTTGTGTAAAGTGCTCCGCGCAAACCGACATCCGCGGACCTGCTGTGAGACAATGGCATTGACAAACTTCCCATGTTGCAATGTTCAAGATGATGCGCCGAGGTTTGCTCCCTGTATATCCTCAACCCGAAAGATTGACGGACGGACAGGCTGCAAAATCTGCCTTCCATTTACAGAAGCTCTTCTCTCATACGCTGGATAGCCGCGAGATTCCGCAAAGCTCTGAAGATCGGCAAATCATGGCCCTCAGCGCGGTTGTCTACCACTTGGTCGGCCAATGGGTAGAAGCAAACATTGTCATCCAAGACGCGCGGAACCAGGGCCAGAAGCGAGGCATTGCGCCGGGGGGGGCGCCACACTATTGAGCCCGTCTTCTTTGGTCCGCGTTCGCGAACTTGCAACCCCGTATGCGATGCTTCTTTGCCGTCGAAGAGGACTCTTCAAGACATTCTACCGCGGCTCCAAGCCTCCAGTTGCGGCACCTGTCTTAAACCTTTCCCATGGCGTCGACGGGTGTCACGTCTCGTGGACAGAAGGAGTCTGATGTTGTTTCAAAAACGCAAAAACCTGTCCGTCTGTCGTGTCTCCCTCTGCCCACATTGGGTGTTCAAGCCACATGGTAATATACGTCACATGCTACTACCATCTCGTTCCAACTGTACTCAAAACATGGCTTTTACCGGTGAGGGTCCAATGTCTCCGTACACCTGGGAGCCATGCCCTATTTGGTTCCCAACATCGAGATACTCTCACCGCAATATCTTCCTCTGAGTTTTTGTGTGTTGTTGGGGGGGGGGGTGATTGAGACAGCGAAAGCAGGCTGATGAACTAAGTCTCATTTTAGATCTCAAAGCTTTGCCTTGTCGTAAGTCCCTACCGATGGCCACGCATTCCATGACCCGAAGTGCGTGCAGAAACAACCCGAAGCCAACCCCGGGCCGCAAGATCTTAGCCATCCAACAGAAATACACTAGGAACCTAACTGTCTCCTCCGCTTAATTCGCGGATCTAGAACGCCACAAGGCATCTAACATCTTATCGCCCCCATCGTTGTTTGGATCTGCAACGGACTTGTTCGTCAAGCAATTTGCACTGCATGTCGCTCACGATTCCATTCAGCCCTATCGGTATGTAACGCGGGGAGCAATAACTTACGGCCTAATAACGACCGGGAGCAGGATTCAATTATACCTTAAGGTTGGATAGCTGAAGACGAACTTGTTTAAGCGAACTACGGATTGGCGGGGAAAGCAAGGTGCATGATATCAGAGCCAATGGCGGGGATAGGTGCGTTTACATCAATTTGCCTTCCGAGGACTGATGTTAAGTCCTTACGGGAGGAGGAGGCCTGGCTTGGTACCGTTTGCTGTGGCGGGCGGAAGCTGCCTTGTCTTGTCCAGTCAGTGTTTTGTGCGCAGCCCCCCCCCCTCTCCACTTCTCTCTCCGTGACAAGCCATGCCATACCGTCGGGACCGGCACGCACACATACTAGTAAGAAGAGGAGAAGAAGAGAGAGTGCAATCAGATTAATCAGGACCCGGCAAGCTTTGCTCACTTGCGAAAAACTCCCTCATCTTCTCTGGGAGGGAAGGCTTGATATTACTGTGTTGTGTTACGAGACGAGGATGCAAACATGCTCTGGTTTGGGCCGTCTCTACATGGCGCGGTCGAGATAAAGGTAGTCTGTACAGTTTTATCCTTGTTTGTTTGTTAGCGTGGTACTTGATGTGAGCCAGAACAAGCCATAGTAAAGGCGTGAACTAGGGTACAAAACCAATGGAATTGAGTGCTCAGAATGCCGACCTTGGGGGCGATCAGAAGGCTTGGAGCGAGTGTCCGGAAGCTTCGAGGTCTACGGGTGTGGCTGTTACGCCTCTCTAATGGCCGAGATATCTACCATCCAATCAAATTTGGCTATTAGAAGTTGAACAATGCTTAGAATGTGAGAGATCGAATGAGTCGCAAGCTATCTTCCGAGAATGGGATGTGGCTTGCAGAAAAGTATCATGTTAACAAACAAACCAGGGTAAAACTGTAGGTCTCTGGCGCTTAGAGTCTAAACTGGGAGTCTACGACTGAGAGCATAGGTCTTGTCTTGGAACTGTTGAGGCTAGCTAGACTGGAACTCGGGCTGACGTGTTGCCGCACTACTGTCTACCTGCCTATCCACTTATCTACCAATGCAGGCACACGTACGTGCACACTTCACTTTTGTCTCCAGGTCCCCACAGTTCATCCAGGTTAACTTTACTCCATTTTGTGCCGTCTTGTGTGTGAGTAGAATAGAACCTCAGCTCCCACCTGACGCTATACCTGACCACATCCACACAAAGCCAACGGCCTACGTGACCGCCCGGGCACATGCCCTGCCAGACGCATCGCGGCGCTTGTGGGGCTGCTTTCCAATTCAGTCCAGGCAGGCCGGTTGCGGAGTGCCTTTTTTTTTTCTCAGCGCGCGGGTTGTACCTAGTATGCTGAGGTAGGCCTGAGGCCGGGTAATGTCAAACACTGATGAGCCTGGGCTGAATCCGGAGCTGGCTGGACAGGGGAGGCGAACACAGATCTCGCCACGCCCACCCACCATTTTCTTGCTCTCTTTCTCTCCACACCACAATTAAGTGAAAGAGGGAAAGGACGGAAGGAAGGAAAAAGAGTGGGAGAGAAATGAAGAGAGAAAAGTCCTGATTCCGGGAATAGTAACTGGGGTGAATTCAACGAGTGGGGGCACTCGTGAACTTCATCAGGTACCTACACATGTGCGATGAGGGCCACGAACTGGAGTTTGTCTGTGTATCAGGTTGAGTTAGTTGCAAGGTAGGTAGGTCGTCTTCCGCCGGATTTGATGATGATTTTGGAGTTTGTTTGACGAGGCTTGGAGATTTCTCTAGGGGTAGACATGCCGCAACAAGGGACAGCCTACCAAAGAAGGTGGGTATATCGGACACATGCCGTTGGAGAGCCCAAAATCATCGCCAACCGCGGGTACCATTGTATCTTTGTAATGATCGCCCGACAACAGCCGGAGTTGGTTGGTGTCACGCGTGGGGTAGATTTGTTGCGGTAGGTTCCTCGGCTTCCTGCAGCGGTAGATTGAAGGAACTGAACAGATACATGTGGGGTGAGAGAAAAGGCAGGTTGAGTATTTCGCCAGTCTCTGCCGGGATGGTAGACAGAGACAGGCGGGCAAGTACATAAGTACCGCAGTCCGTAGTGTGGCTGGGTGCGTATTCAGGGGTCAGGTCTCCGGCCAGTTATCAAATCAGTCAGTCTTCGATTGCAAAGGTACCTTGGAAGCTCGCATAGGAGGGGAATCTCTCATCGATGCGTAATGAGGAGAAGGCTGGACCAATTCATTCATTTGCTGCCTGCCTGTCTGTGAGAATATTGTTGGGAAAGACATGGCCATTTGAGAGAGTATGAGGGATGGTTCACACGACTTCGCTCTCGCGAAGAGTCTCGTCAGCAGATGGGAAGGTACACAGTTACTCACACAAATCAATTAACACATCAAGCTGACTACACAATGCTACCGCTCCAAATGCCATCAGAACCTTCAGCTTGTGGATGATGGGTGCGGAAAACAGTTTCGACATGTATGGTATTTGCATTCTTCTCACACTCCGTTATCTTATCTGCTTCATTGTCCAGCCCCCGATTCCCATTGAAATCCCTAGAGAAATCTACCAACACTCAAAGGTACGAAACATTTACATCTACCACAAGCTACAAGGAACCGAACCTACTCCTTATCAGACTCTCCGCCATCCTGATACCCATCATGCCCATCCTCTTCCTCCTCCTCCTCCTCCTCCTCCTCCTCCTCCTCCTCCCCATCATCATCATCAACAGCCTCCAACCCAGAGGAGGACATGAACTTTTCGTCTTTGGCCTCGGCTGTTGTGGGGGTAAAGTGTTAGCTGATCCGACTGGAGATAATAACTGATGCTTAACGCAGCAGGGCAAAAAACAAAGAATGAATCGACGACTCGACAAACGGAAGCAATATGCTGTGAAACTATCTTTGCAGGGGCTTGATGTTTCATGTTGCTGTTGGCTGCGCCACTCTCCATGACTCTCGTTGCTCTGCAGGTCTGAGGCTGTCGGGGAGAGACGTGGCTTGGAATGTTTTGCATTGGATAGAGGCAATGATAGACGGATAGGAGAAAGGAGATCGAATGAGTATATTGGACAGTATGCAGGTGTTGTGCTTGAAGGAGAGAAAGGAAGAAGTGAACAAAAATAGTACGTCATGAAACACCATACCACGCACGCGAGAGCAATGCAAGCCATCGCATACTACACGAAGACAATGATAACAACGGTAACAACAACAACCGCCGAATACCAGATCGAACCAGAGCGAAAGGAGAAGCAGAGAAGAAAACAGGAAACATGATGGCAACTTACTCTTTGCCTCCACCAACAAATTCTCCTGCACCTCACACTCCGTGAGCACACACCCCTCCCCAATCTCTGCCCTCTTCCCCACTACACACCGCGTCAACTTGCAATTCCTCCCCACCACCACCCCATCCATCAGCAGACACTGCGACAGCTTCGCCCCCTCCCCGATCTGGCACCCCGCCCCGATCACGCACTCCTTAATCGACGTCTTCTCCTCGACCGTCACGTTGTCTGCCACCAGGCTGTCTGCCTTGGTGATCGTCGTACGGGGTTTCACGCCCTCCGGGTAGGCGATCTTGCGGGCGTGGGAGAAGGGAGAGGCTGGGGCATCTGGGCCCGTTTCTTCCAGGGAGGGGAGTTTCGCGAGCTGGAGAGAGACGTTGAGAAGGAGCTGGGCGGTGTCGACGCGGCGGATGATGGGGCCTGTTGGTTGAGACGGTTGGGGGGGTTGGTTGCGGTTTGAAGGGGGGTTCGCGGGAGCTGTGTTGGGGTTGGAGGGGGGATGGATGGATGTAGGCTAGCATAGGCGGGACGGGGACCTCATCGCGAGGGGATGGGCTTGAGGGAGAGCCGGGCTTGCTGGGAGGTTGGGAGGTTTGGCCTTGGGGACCGTCCTTGGTGGGAGGTTCGGCCGCATGCTCCGAGTCAGAGTCTTCGCCGGGCCCGCGGAGAACACCGTCGAGGCCGAGTTTGGCGGATAGACCCTTTTGCCAGCCGGCCTTGGCCCACCAGCCGATAACGTCCTCGCCGATGCTCTCCAGACGGTCGTTCTCCTTGATAAATTGCATGACCCAGTGCGGGAAGATGTAGAGGTGCGCATCGCGGTGGGTAGTAAGCATGCGGACCCGGGGATGCTGCCGGATCAGGGCATGCCGGATGGGGAAGCCCTTCTTGTCCTCGAGAAGATCCTTGAGCGAGTCCGTCGGGATCGAGTAGACCAGCTTGCTGATGTGCGGAAAGAGTGAGCCCTTGGCGGGAAGGTCGGCCGAGGGCGGCAGCGGGACGGTCGCGACGAAGTCTGTCTCTTCGCCCTTGATGCGTGTCGGCGTCCGCGTCTCGTACCACACTCCTAGGCCGCCGCTGCGCCGGCCTTGACCCGCGTCACCGCCTAGCAGGTCATCCAGACTTGCAGAGCGCACCATCCATGCCTGAAGCAGCTTGTCTGCGCTCAACTCGCAAACCAGGTCGCAGGGTAGGACGAGGAAGTCGGACTTGACAGCCTCTTGCAGCTCGGGAAGACGGAGCAGCTCGGCCGTTCCGGTATTGTTGTCCAGATCCTTGGGCGCCAGAAGGTTCGGGCGCGGGTAGGGCAGGCTGGTGAGGAAGGGGTTGGTGTTGAGGGCGGTGGTGATGGCATTGGCGGCGGATGGCGGGCAGACGAGGGTGATATCTGGGTTATGTGAGCACTTGAGGTGGATATTATGAGACTGGATAGTTAGGGTTCCTCAAATATGGCACATAATTGAGGTCTCAGAACTGTTATGTGAGAGACTCACTTGTGATGCCGGCGCGATAGCAGAACTCTAGGGGATACCACACCATGGGCCGGTTGGCGATGGGCAAGAGAGCCTTGGGGTTCTCATCGGGGTTGGCCGTGAAGGTCGGAAATGAGCTACCGGGGCCGCACAGGATGAGAGCCTGGAGCCCCGGGGTGGCATGGCTGATGGCGTGGGGCATGACGGCAGGAAGGCTTGTGATATTCTTCGATGCCCCGCGTTGGCTGTGAAGCTCAGGTGCCCCGCACTAATTTTAAAAGAAGCAAAATATTCGGATTTGGCGGGCCGTGAGGTACAGGGAGAAGGCTTCAACTGAAATGTCCCCCCGATTCAAATGAGTCGCTGTATCGTTGCGGCTCTCACTCGTTATAATAGGTTGTGGTGTTTGTTTTATTTTGATCGCTGACTCACTTGAAAACGGCGATCTCAAAACCCACATCCCACTTCGAGGAGTTGCTGGTGTCGTAACTCCAGGGTTAGGGTTGGAGCTGAATATGGCTCGCGCAAAAACACAGAGAAGTCGAAGAACTTGACCCTGGTAGCCCGCAGGTCTTGGCATCAGCTCCTTGGCGCTCAGCTCCCAGGCTGCGCAGGCTTGGCGCTGGCCGCTTCTTGTTTTCCATGCAGGCCAGGCCTTGGCCGCCTGGTTCGGCCAACCATCAGGCCTCGGTTTTGCTTGGAGCTCGGCTTGTGGGGAGCTGGAGCTGGAGACCTGGAGCCAGAAGGGGGCGGACATCAACAATCCCGACACACACACACACACCACCCCCCCCCAATATCCCCAGCCTTCGACGCTTACCAGCCACATGTTTCTACGATTCGCTCCGAGAAAGCCATCGTAAACTCCAACGCTCAAAGTCATCGAAAAAACGCGTCTATCGCGAGCCCCTACGACGTTGACTGATGGTGTTTTAACGACCCGCCTGTCGCCTTTTACACCCCTGTTCGCACGCCTGGGAGACACAACGGCAGAACAAGCGCCGAAGCGGTCTACAACACCCACATTGCGGCAGCGCGCTCCCCGTCAATGCGATGATTTATCCCCGCGTCGCCCATGCCGCAGCCATATGAGTCGTCCCGCCGCCGCGGGGGTTGGGGCCCCTGGGTTCCGCTCGTCTTGACAGTGACGGCTGCGACGGTCGGCGTGGCCGCCTGGCTCTGGAGCCAGCAGAAGGAAGACGAGGAAGACGTCCGCGACCTCGACTATAACACCGACAGCAGCAGCGATATCTCCCGCTACGGTGAAAGCAGCCGCGAGCTGTCAGACATCAAGGAGCCGCTAGCCGACGATGAGGAAGAACGCCTCCTGTCCCAGCAGTCGCAGGGCTCGCCTACCACGACCTGGGCTGCCCTGCGCCGGACCCCGAGTCCACAGCATTTCTTCGACAGCGCGAAGAGGACCGTCGCGGCTGGCATGACGGCTGTTGGCAGCGCGCTGGCTTCTATTCGTGAGGAGGATAGACGGGACTATGCCGACCACGAGACCTGGTCCGAAGTGGCGGATGCGCGCAAGGAAAAGGAGCGGGTTGTTCCTACTACTCCCGCTGCTACCACGTCGCAACCGACTAAGGAAGCCAACAAGCGCCGCAAGAAGGTTGCTATCATTGTGTCCGCCGACACCCAGCTGGATCACTCTGATGTCGATGGCTTCCTGGAGCATGCTGTAAGTGATGGGGCACACTCTGTGGCAAAATGCGCCGTGCTGACAGACTACAGTCTATCCTCTCGCACATTCCTCGCCTTACCGACCCTTCGCAATACAAGCTCTACATTCTCATCTACGCGCCGAACCTCAAGGACACGGCATTGGATGCTTCTGGCACCCTGAACCATCCCCCTGCTTCCCTGAGCTCGTCCTTCTCTGCGATCGAGCACCCGCAAGCCGGCGACGAGGCGAAGAGTCCACTGTGAGTATCCAAACTTACACGTCTCTACAAGGAACAGGTTACTGACAACCACACAGCGTTGGTCCATCCTCCCCCAACCCCGCCTTCAACGCCATCTACTCGCAGGCCCAATCTCTCGTCGAAAAGGAGAGCATGATCCTGACGTTCACGACGCCACAAGGCCACGCCTACATCCTGCGGCACATCCAGCCCGAGATCATCTACCTGCAGGAGTCGCTGGCGGGCGAGAACGGCAGCGTGGTGTCGCAGCTGCAGACGTGGCTGCGCCACGACATTGTGCTAGTCGTCGGCGCCGACAGCGCGCACGGCGGCGGTCTCGTCGATAGCGAGTCTGAGGTGGAGAAGACGAAGCAGAAGAAGAAGGATGGGAAGGAGGTGGTGTGGTGGCAGCGCGAGGAACGCGTTGGTCGTGGGCGTGGTGTCATTGTTGTCGATGTGTCGAGGGTGCATGATGACTGGGTCCGTAGGGTGCTAGGCAGGGAGTAGGCGATATAACGGGATTTGAGGAGTGATGGAATAATACCTGGCTATTATGATTTGATGTGAATCTTGAAATGATGACTGTCAATTGATGTTGTTTCATGCATTACCAGCTTCCGATTGTTGCAAGGTGTAAGGTTAGAAGGCTATGGAGGACAGGCAGGAGGTTGAAGTTCTCTCTCTCACTTTGTCATAAGGGTTCTTAAGTTGATCAACAAAACCCTACGATATACTAAGAAGGCGACGCAGAGAACAAAAGCTCGTTTGCGATCAGCGTCCTTAACCTCTTTGAAGCATCTCATATGTTAAACCACCTGTAGGTTACCTCAATAAAGCTATAAGTGAGGCAAGCCACAACACGTGACGGTGGCGTCAGCTAAGCCTCGGATCTGTTCGCCACAGACCTGTCCGGGACGAAAGCCAAGGCATCTCCCCCCCCCCCCACCACACACAAAGAGCCGCGACACCAGCGAGCGAGCCATCAGAGGCCGGCCAAAAGTCCAGACACGACTTTCTGCGACAGCCTTCCTCCTTCGCCATCATCACGACCACCCGCCATCGCGCATTCTTCCCCGCCATTATCGCGCGCATTCAACTTGCGACTGCAACATACGATTCAAGCTATCGCGATAACCGTCCGACCGATTGAAATTTGTTTTTGCAGCGACCGGCCATCGCCAGCGCCAAATTTAAGAATTTCAGCTGTTAAGGAGGCCGAAGCCAGTAGCGAAACGTCATTGGCTTTGCCGGAGCGCGCCGCACCTGACTCCAGCGACTGCGGCACTCCAGATTCCGACTTGCGTTTCCTGCCCAGCATCGCCGTCTCCGCAGCGATTTCAACGTCGACGACGACGGCCATCGCCCGTCCGTGACGCGTGTCGCTCTACGTCGAGTTCGCCGTGTTCCCAGCGGTCCCTTCAATTATTAGCTCAGCACCGTTTATCGAATATACGCGCGTTTGGAACCAGCTCCAGATTCTGAGATTTTAGTTTCCAGATCGGCAGAACATCTGGGGAGCCTCGCACCAACCTCGACCCCACATAATACACGACCCCAACGACGCCATCTCGACCTCATCACTGGCCCGCCTTTACACTCTCTGACACTTTCTACCTCCCAGCCTATGCTCGCTGATCGCCCCCCGGATGCGATCTGAGTCGGGAGGAGGACACACACGATCCAGGGTATCTGTGATCGCATCCAACATCTGATCTGCGCTGCCTCGGGGCAGCCCATCGTCCTTTTTTTTTTTTTTTTCACCATGGCGCCCACGGTCACTGCCGCGGCGCCACCCGTTAATCCCCCCTCCGCCACGAAGGTCAAGCGGCCCATACCTCCAGGCATTCAGACCAACGGCGTCGCCCCGTCTCGTTCGTCGCCATCCCCGTCCATGGCTGCGAAGCGCGCCCCGTCGGCCGTTCGCCAGCCCTCGAATCCCCCGTCTGCCGGCGGCACGACGCCCGGTGCGACCCGTCCGACGATTAGAATCCGCCGGGATCCGGGCCCCGGGCCACCTCTCGGCAGAGGGCAGAGGAGTGCCGGGTTACGGTCGGCCAGCATCGCGACGGACCCCGTCACCTCGCCTACTTTTGACGCCCCGCCATATGGTTTGTCTCCCAGCTGTAGTGTTTATTGTCGAGTCCTTAGCTAACATGTCTTAGTCATCACCCCCGAATACATCCTCAAGAAGTTCGCGGGCCATCCCCCGTCGCTCATCGTCCATCTCTACCAGAACCACTTTCGTTTCGACCAGCAGGAGGGCATGTTCCAATACAAGTCGCCCATGCGCATATTTATCGAGCACTTGAGGAACCGGACCGTCCCCCACGAAATCATGGAGTACCTCATACAAGGCGGTGTTCCATTCTATGAAGGGTGTTTGATCGTCCAGGTCTTCGACCACAGGACTGTCAACCAGACTAAGGAAGCTGCAAAGCCGTCGTCCGAGTCGAGTAAAACCGTGCCTTTCTCCATCCACAACCACAATCCCTACATTACCCCCTCGCCCTATGTTCCTTACCCCAAGGAGGATACACCGGCCGACGGCTCTCAGACCCCTGCATCCGAAAAGCCCTCGGAGGACAAGGACAAGGAGAACATGCCGGCACCGCCTGTTCCTGCGGACGGTCAGAAGGCCAAGGGCGAACCAGCCAAGCCAACGGTCTACACTGTCGTCCTGATGCCGACGGCCCAAGCTCTACATACGGACCTCCTGCTCAAGACTGTCACGCCGCGTGGAGCATCTGACAGCGGCGGACCTCCGCCGACTCCTCACACTGCCGGACCCCCTCCAACGCCGACGGCTGCGGGGATGCCGCCCCCGGCCAAGAAGCAAAAGCGAGACCACATGGAGCTCGATCCCAAGAATATCTACGAGGTCGAGGCCAAGATTCTTCTGGCGACTTACCCTAAGCTAGACCTCGAGCCAACCAAGAACGCCGAAGAGACGATCGCTAAGCTGGAGAAGCTTGCACATCCCGAACACTCACACAAGCCACCAGAGCCCAAGGTCCGCAAAAGGACAGTCGCCGAGGTGGCCCACGACGAGGCCCTCGCTGCCGAGCAGGAACGCTACATGCTCACGCTCGACGAACGTCTGTCGTCCAAGCTGGCCGGTGCCCAGGCCGGCGCGAACGGTGCCGACGGCGATGGCCAGGCGCCCTCCGCCTCCTGGGAGCCCCGGTTCGAGCGGTTCAAGCTCATCGAGAATATCAAGCAAGAGCATGCCGAGAAGAAGGAACAGGAGAGGATCAAGCAGGCTGAGCAGGAGCGCAAGTTGCTGCAGCAGAAGCAGGAAGCTGCCATTCTTCAAGCCCGACAACAACAGGCGGAAATGGAGCGCAAGCGCCAGGAACAGATTGTTCTCCAGCAGCGGCAGGAGGCTCAACGGCGTTTGCAGCAGGCTCAAGCTGCTCCAGTCGCGCAGGCTCAAGCACAAGCACAAGCACAAGCGCAGGCCCAGGCCCAGGCCCAGGCCCAGGCTCAGGCTCGGGCTCAGGCTCGGGCTCAGGCTCAGGCTCAGGCTCAGGCTCAGGCTCAGGCTCAGGCCCAGGCCCAGGCCCAGGCCCAGGCCCAGGCCCAGGCTCAGGCTCAGGCTCAAGCGCAAGCACAAGCGCAAGCTCAAGCCCAGGCACAAGCACAAGCACAAGCACAAGCTCAAGCTCAAGCTCAAGCTCAAGCACAGGCCCAGGCCCAAGCCCAAGCACAGGCTCAAGCTCAGGCAGCGCAAGCTCAAGCCCAGGCACAGGCACAGGCACAAGCACAAGCACAAGCGCAGGCGCAGGCGCAAGCTCAGGCCCAAGCACAACAGGCGGCAACCGCGGCTACCATGGGCCAGACGCCGCATGCCCATCCGATGCAGCCGAGTCCTCTGCCTGCGGGCATGACAGCTGGTATGCCGGTCAGCATGGCCCAGCAGGCCCAGGCGCGCTTCTCGCAGGTCTCGCAGCCCCAGCAAATGTCGTCCCCTATCGTCCAGCAGGGTACTCCCCAGGCGGCTTCTTCGCCGATGCCGCCGATGGCTGCCGTGGCCATGCAGCACTCGAACTCCAACATGGGACAGGCGGGGAGCCCACCGCGGCCGCCGTCGGTGGTTCAGAACCACCCCATGGGAGTTCCCATGGCGCCGTCTATGTCTGCCCGCGGCAGCCAGCAGAGCCATGCTGCTGGAACGCCTCGGGTCCCTTCCGCCACGCCCAACATTCCCCACGCGACCCCGATTACCCGGCCCCAGGTTGTGCCGACTCCGCGCATGACGCAGGCCAGCCCGCCGGCCGGTGTCATGACGCCCACGCCGCAACAGATGGGACAGGCCATGCTCATGAACAACCAGGGAATAGCGCAGATGCCGAACGTCAACATCAACAGCCTTGCTGCTGCCCAGCAGATGGCCGCCCAGCAGCGTCTAATCCAGCAGTACCAGCAGCAACTACAACAGAGCGGCATGGTGCCAGGCAACGTGCAGGCCAACATGCTGCAGCAACAGCTCGCGGCGCGCCAGCAGATGATGATCCAGCAGCAGCTCCTTGCCCAACAACAGCAGCGTGCCGGGCAGATGATGAACCCCAATATCCAGGCCCAGCTGGCCGCGCAGTACCAGCAGTCGCTCAACAACATGCAACAGCAGCAGCTGGCACAAATGAACCCGATGCAAGCAGCCCACATGCGCCAACTACTGGCCGCCCAGCAGGCCCAGCGCCAAGGCATGATGGGCGTCAACGTCAACGTCAACGGCATGACCCCCCAGCAACTCGCCGTTATGCAGCAACAAATTCAGCTCCAACAACAAGCCCAACTCATCCAACAACAGCAACAGCAACAGCAGCAACTCCAACAGCAACAACAACAACAGCAGCAGCAGCAGCAGCAACAGCAGCAACAACAGCAACAGCAACAACAACAACAAGCCGCCCAACAACAACCCCAACCCGGCATGCCCGGCCACCCTCCCCAAGCCGCAGTCGCCCCAACGGCCCCGCAAGTCCCAATCGCTCAACTCCAACCCCCACAAAACCAACTCGCCGCCCTTATGATGAACCCTGCCGTTCAAAACCAAATTCGCAACCACTCCAACGCACTCTATTCCAAGAACCTTCCCGCCTTGGCCGAGCGCTTTGGCGGCAACGCGCAGAACATCCCGCCCGAGGCGCTCGCCGAGTTCAGGCAGAAGTGTCTCAACCAGGCCAAGGTGCAAGTCCTGAGTATGTTGCAGCAGCAGCAGGCGGGGGGTAGGTTGGCCGCGGGACTGCCGCCGCAGGTGCAGGCTGCCCAGGTGCAGGCTATGCAGCAGCAGGCGCAGGCATTGGCGGTTGCGCAGGCGCAGGTGCAAGCTGCACAACAAGCTGCAGCGGCGCAGGCTGCGCAGCAGCAGGGGGGAATGGGGCAGGGGATGTAGGATGTCTACTGGGGAGTGGGGTGTGCTGGGAGGGAGAGTGTGGTACTGGAGGAGAATCAAGTAAGGATTGGGGTTGGTGTCATGGGTTGTGTAGTGTTGTTGGTGTGTATGGTCTTCATGGAGGGCATGAGAAGCAACATTTTTTCTTGGGAGCATGCAGTGGTTCGGTTCATTTGGTTGCGATATGACACAAAAGTGGTCATCATCAAAAAGGAGGGTGTTGTTCTCTTGCTCACTTTCTTCTCTATTCTTCACACTTTGACTCGGCTTGGTTTTGGGTAGGCTAGATAGGAGGCTACGCAATACGTATATAGGTTGATAGGCCCGGAAAAGCATGGGATGGATGGATGGATGGATGGATGGATGGATCTGGGTTCTATGCACTGGTGGGCATTATAATCACGGGGATGTTTCTTGTTTTCTTTTCACCAAGCCGATGGGTGGTTACCCTGATTTCTTCTTCATTCATCATGTTCTTTTTCTTTAACCAGTTGTTATTGAATACTATATACCCTGGGCTTGTTTTTATTTTTTTTTTTAAAAAAAAATAACTCTTTTTACAACACATGCAACTACTACATTACTACTGATTGGAAGGATGAGGGGTGGCTAGGAACTCAAAGCAGGAATTATTAAAACTATGAATTACATGTATATAGGATTAGGCTACTTAAGTTTATGGAATGTTAATGGACAGATGAGGTGTGATGAGACACGTTCTGGTGAATGGGGATGGGGATACAAGAATCTGGGGGTGTTGGAACTGGTTCTCTTAGGGCTGTACACCTAATAGTTCAGGCATTATACTGCGTTGAGTTTTGCTTTGCATGCGTGAAGTGTGTAGAGGGAGCACGAAAGGAGGGGGGAGGTTGATTATTAGGTGGAAATGAGCACGTTACAGGCTTAGCTGTATCATAGAGCAATTGAAAGAGCGTTCGAGAGATCTGATGTGTATAGTATAGCATAGTGGTGCTGACCGTGATTCTGTTGAGTCAACATCGTTAAAGTCGGAGGTGTCATCAAACAGTTCATGGATCTCACAACTGGCCAAACATTTCATTCCTGGATGCTGGAAACACCTGATTGACACTACCGCTATCGACATAGTCCATACCTCTCGCTCTATGCCTAGGTACTTTTACAATGGTAGCTAAACCATGTATTCTCTTCATTGGCACCCTGACGGCACCCTGGAAAAAAAATGCCTTTCTCTTTATCTCATTCCCCTTCTGATGAATAACACCAAGACAACAACAACAAAAAAAAAAGAAAAAAAGGGGGGGTTGGGTTGGGTTGGGGAGGAAGACAACCGAGAGGAGGTCTTGTAGACTGGACACAACCCATTTCAGTGGGCGGCCCAATCTTGTTTGGTTCATTGGATTGATGTTTGGCGGGTATCTTGGATTGGAACAGATCATAGGATGGGCTGGAATGGGTACGTGCATGTATTCAAACCCTCAAGTCTCAGAAGGCATCTATTGGAGGAGATGCTTCTTCGGAGGTTAGGTTTACGTATGGCGGTGGTGGATTGCTTTAAGCAGCAATGCCCTTCTTGGCCACGGACCGGCGCAAGCGGACAGAGTACTCGTAGAGCACATCCTTGAAGGCGAAGAGGAAGGCGGCAGTAAGGACGCTCTGCGTCACCTTGGGGCCAATGCCTGCTAACCGTTAGTATCACGTCTGACGCTCGAGAACGAAGAAGATTCTCAAGGGGGCATAGTCTCATACCCTTATACAACCCCGCATAGCCCTCCTCTCTCACAACCCTCCTCAGCGCCTCGGTAACACCCTCCTTCTTCTCCCCCGCCTTCTTGACATGCATCTGGCTCTTGACGGTAATATACGGATACGTGACCGTCGTCGCAAACAGCTTGCCCAGCGCACCCAGGAAAAACGCCACAGTGGGCGTGACCCTCCTCTTGCGCCTCTCCACAGCGTTCTTCATCTGCTCGAACAGGGTGTACTGCAGAATTGGGTTGATGACGAGCACCAGGGCAGGCACAACACCCGCAAACAGCGCCTGGGGGCCCTCGGTCCGCAGCAGCGCCAGCAGCGTGCCAATCGTCGAAGGCGGCTTAGTCTCCTTCTTCGCGGTCGCAGGAGCCGGAATCACCTCCCCCTCTTTCTTCTCCCTGCTCTCCGTAATCTCCTTCTTCCCCTCCTCCCCTGTACCCACACTCTTCCTAGTCGTCATCCGCGTATTCACAACCCAAATGGGATTTGTCAGAATAACCGTTGCGCTCCCCGCAATCGCGCCCGCGATCATGCTCTCCACGGTCGTCAGCTTGCGCGACGACCTGCCCGCGCGGGCTTTTGCGGCCTCGAAGAAGGCCCGCGTCCACTCGTACCAGTAGTAGTAGACGAAGTTGGTCACGCTGATGCCGAACAAGGCGGAGGACATGCCGCTGTAGAGACCCGAGATGCCCTCGCGCTGCACGATGCTGCGGACTGCTGAGAGAAAGTCGGAGGAGGCGCGGCGAGACTCGACTTGTGCGCGCGTAGAGAGGGTTATGAGGGGGTAGCTGGAGAAGTCAGTATGGCAGGGAGCGTTGAAAGGAGGCTTTTTGGAAGGGAGAGAGGGGGGGGGGGAAAAGAGGATAGCGTACGTCAGAGCCATGGACAGCACGCCGCCGCCTGCACCGGCAAGGGCGTGGGCGACGTTGTCATTTTGGGGGAGGACGGGCTTTGACTGGGACATTTTTGTCTTGATGTTATTGTCGATGTGGTGAGTTGACAGCGGTGACGGTGATGGTCACGATGGTGGTGATGATAGTTAAGATGGAGTGGGGCGATCAGATGCCGACTTATTAGAGGCAGGGCAGAAGGCAGGGTTCAATCAGGGTTTCACACGTTGCGAGTCCAAGATCGCTCTGTCTGAACAATCGGGGTATTTTTAAGATTTTTAACTCATCTCACTACAGACACTGCATTTATTAAGTATTCAGTCGTTCTGTGCGGCAAAGCTAACGGGTTACGGCAGATGGAGATTCAAGTCGAGCCGCGCGCTGCCGAGGTCCGATGGAATGCGGGTCCCCCTTGGCACTTTTTTTGGGGTGTGGCCGTTTTCCCCGGAAATGGACAGGGGGAGGGAGGGAGAGGTTTGGCCTCTGTACGACGTCACTGGGGTTAGTGGGCGCCGATGCGTTACAGCACTCCGGCGTGCTGGCGTCCACTGAACAGTAGTGAAGCGGCCAGGGGGGGAACGGGAGGGGGGGCCACAAACTACGGGCATTCGCGGAACGAAGCTTGGTTGGAAGTCTGGGGGGTCTGGGGGGTCTGGGGGAACGCGAATGGATGGATGGGCCCAGGAATATCATGTGAAGCGGACAGCAGGCTGTTAGTGTAACGGATTATGGATGTCCATTTCCGGGAATCGTAGATTGATGCCCAAGCAGACAATGTCATAATGTCATAATTCAGAGGATTCTTTTTCTTGGTTCATGAGAGACATCAATTTTTTTTCTGAGAGTTTCAATTTAAACCATCCTTGAAGTTTATGAATTGAATGAGATTGAATTGGACTCGAGAATTCGTTTCCTGTAATTGATGAGCGAGACAATCAGTACGAAGTTATGTATTAAAATATCCTCATCAGCTCTCGGGGCTTTGACTCGGATTGTAGCAGCTCATGCCACACCCAACCATTCTAGTCGATTCGTGAATCCAACACCCAATCTCATCAGCAAAGGAGGGAGGGGGGGGGGGAAAGAGGACAAAAGGAATCCCACTTCCATCTCAAGCCCACTCAATCCAGGCCATAAGGCATCAACATCAGGCACCCTCGTTCCAGGCCAAGACTCCCAGCATGTGATCACAGCAGAACCAAGATGGCCCGTGCGCGACCGCCCACTCCACAACGTCGCACTACCATCCCACACGGGCCACATCCAGGCTTGGCACCCTTGGCAAAGTCTATTTTTGGACGCCATCACTAATCGCGGTCTGCCGCCCGCAAGCTCAGGAAAAGGCTGGCGCTGCGCCCGCCCGCAAACGTGATCGCCAACGTCAATGCGACCTGCCATTCTGTTGTCTTTGTCATGCCATGCCATGCTATTTTGTGTAAGTTGGCGACGCGTAAGACTGAAAATCAGCTGAAGACCCCGACGCGACGCAACGACGGATTGCGACTACGATTAGAGATGGACTGTCCATGACCACTATATCTCCAACACCATCACGACCATTGACGCCGACACCCCCTCACCACAAATGCCATGCCCCCCTCTCGCGCCCTCCCCTCTCGCGAAGGCATTACCTCCCCATCAGCCCTCGAAGAAGCTTACATCGCCTTCATCCTCTACTGCAATCCATGCGTGCCTCTGACGACCGACCCTTCCCCCCTGCGCGAAGCCTTCCGCACCCCCCCAAAATCCGACGGCAAGACCTTCTCCACCTACACTTTGTTTACACTCATTCGCAAGCTCGAGTCGCGCGAGCTCAAAACATGGGCCGAGCTGGCGCTACAACTGGGCGTCGACCCTCCCGACGCGGAAAAGGGACAGAGCGCGCAGAAGATTCAGCAGTATGCGGTTAGGCTGAAGAGGTGGATGCGGGCGATGCATGTGGATGCTTTTTTTGATTACTTGATGGGGAGGGAGAGCGAATATTGGACATGTGTGCCGCCAGCGGAGGTGAGTCCTTTGGACATAGAAAGGGATGGAGTGGCGGCCGAGGATGATATGGCGTTGAGGGCGTTGATACCGGCTGTTAAGCCAAGGAGGGGGAGAAGGAAACTGGATGCTGCCGACGAAGAGGCTAGTAGTAGGTCGCGGAGGGAGTCGCCTCAGGAGGGAGAGGATGGAAGGGTGCAGGACCGCGAGCCGTGGACAGCTTTTCCGGATGGGAGGGGCAGGGCGTTTGTTTTTCCTCCTCCTCCTCGTCCTCCTCGTCCTCCTCCTCCTCCTCCTCCTTTACCGCCGCCGCCGCCGCCGCCGCCGGGGAAATCTGCGCAGGGAGGAAATGGTGCCCAGTGGCTGGGAAGTGATCTTGTGCAAACGCCGTTGAGCGCGTATCCTGCTGCACCGCAATCTGCTATCACGCCGTCTACCAGGGCATCGTTTTGGGCGGATGAGCCCAAGAGCGCGATTGCATTGACACCCTCTGGGGCTAAGCCAAGGTCTGTTAGTCGGAGACACGGTGCGAAGGTTGTGTCCTCGGCGTGGAGGAGTGGAGGGCTAGGCGCGACGGGCAAGACGAGAGGGCGCCCGCCGAAAAGAGGATTGGAGAGTGAGGGCCCGTTTTCTGCTTTCCCGACGAGTGATGGGCCCGTGTTTAGGTTCCCTTCGCCGGTGAGGGAGAGACCGGAGGAGGTGCCGAAGTCTGCGGTGCCGACGGGGTCGGGGTCGGGGGTGGAGCCAGGTACATCTGCGCAGGCGACGGCTTCGAAGACGAGTGTGGCTGCTCAAGCGCCTTCTACACAAGCACAGACGACTGTATCGGCGCAAGCATCTCAAACGCCGGCTTCTACGTCGACACAAGCGCCTGCGGCACAGCCGACGCCAGCGCAGCCGGCCTCGGCGCGACCACTTGAGCCTCTGCCCCCTCTACACCCGCCTACACAACCCCCGAGTCAGCCCGTGCGGAGTCGAAGTCAGCCGGCCCCAGCAGACCCGAATAACCCCCGGCCAGCCAAACGCAGCAGGTTATCACTACAAGTTCCCCCGAGGATAGGAGGCGAGGTTCGACTGGCTACCCCTCCTCCGGCAGTCCCTCCCGCATCAGCGGTTCCTCCAGCGCCGGTTATGCCCCCTGCGCTGATGACGGTCAACGGGCAGGCTGCGGATGTAGCGCTGCAGAATACTTCGAAGCAGAGTAAAGAGCCAAAGGGTACGGGAATGGGGCCTGGCTCGTTTGAGGCTTTCTATCCCCCTTCGACGACCACTACCAACACCACTCGACCCAACAACAACGATGCCGCAACAAACGCATCCACAGCTGCTCCCTCTTCCAACAAGATCACCAGCAGCAGCGACAGCATGACCAACTCGACCACTACACCCACCCCTCCCCCCAACCGACAACGCGTCTTCTTCACCAACCCGCACGACCGCACCAACAAATCCTCCGTCGAAGCCTTCTTCACCTCTTCCATCCTCTCCGCAGAATGGTACGACCCTTCCCACCGGCGTATCCCCCCCTGTAGCGTCGAGGAAGCACATGCCTTCGCGCAGCGCGTCATCGAAAACCTGTTGGAGACGTCCGAATCCAAGGAGAAGTTCTTGATTAATCTGGCTGCACTGGTGGGCGGGAATCTGATGCTTCATAAAGGGAGCCTGAAGATTACGAGGTTGGGGGAGGATGAGAAGGAGGTGAGGTATTTGGTGAGGTGGGAGTTGAGGTATGGAGATTTGGTGGGGAGTTGGGGGATGGAGGAGCGGGTGAAAAAACGTAGGGGGGATAAAGAAGGGGGTAAAGGAGGAGCTAGCGTTGATGGATCGGCTGCGGCGAGTGTGAATGGGAGTGCTGGGACGAATAGCGCTGAGCCGTCGGTGGCTCATGGGAGTGTTGAGAGTGGCAACGGGAGTGGTAGTGGGGATGGGGGAGAAGAGACAAGTGTGAATGGGGACGGGAGCAATAAAAATAATAAGGGGGAGGGGTACTGGGAGCAGAGATATAGAGAGATGGCGGCTGCGTTGAAAGAGAGGGATGATGAGCTTGCGAGGCTCAAGCAGAGAATTATCGAGGCAGTTAGGGATGTTTGATGATACCCTGTATATTTTGTATGGTCTCTTGGGATTAGATAGTAATTTCTGGTTTGAACATGTTGTTCTCTTCGCTGAGAGATGCTTTCCTTTTTCTCTACTCTTGTTGACCTCGAGGGGACTGGAGTCTGAACCCTGGGACCCTGACCCCTGGTGACGTTTGCTCTAACCCTGAGCTCTACCCTAACCCTGAGATAAGCGACCGTTTAATCCGTAAGGGGCTTATCGATAAAGCTTCACTGCCTGCTGGCAACGCGACGCAACTGATTTCACCGACTTCAGCTCATCTCTTTTTTTTGGTTCATCTTTCATCTTTGCCACTGTTCAGGCTTCATGACATGTTTTTAATGCCAACTTTCTTATTCATCTTCTAATATCTACTTTCACTCGTTACGTTAATCAAGGTCTCTCTTCCCCCCCCCGTTTTTTTTTTTTTTTTAGGCAGAGCTATCTCTTGATTCCTAAATCATCGTATCGCCAACAATCTCGATGTCATTCTTCACAATAACCACAACTTCATCGACTTAATTCATAACAAATTTACCATCAACATGCCACGAATCCACCGCCGCCCTTGCCTCTTACTTACCATCACCCTCCTCCTCTTCTTCACCCTCCTCTCCCTCCCCTCAACCCCCTACACACCCTCCTCGTCAACCTTCCAAGCCGCCTCCTCGCGCATCTCATCGGCCCTCCCCAAAATCGACACAACCCAACACCCCTGGCTCAACAAGCTCAACCCCTTCCGCCAGCCGTCGCATCCCCCGCCCCGTCAAAAGAATGATACAGATGGAGACGGATCCTGGTGGTACGCTGACTGGAAGTGGCTTGCGATGCCGTTTAGCAGCTCTGTTACTCTGGACGAGAATCGCGCGCTGCTGCCGGTGTTGGGAGAGAGGATGACGGTGTATTGTTATGTGGATTCGACGGAGGAGAAAGAGGGGGATGTGAGGGCCGCGGAGAGCGAACTTGTGCTGGCGTGGCGTAGGGCTTGGTGGGCGGCGGGGTTCAGGCCCGTGGTGTTGAGCACTGCGGAAGCAGTGGAGAATCCTGGGTATGAGGAGTTGTTGAGGTTAGGGCAGACACAACAGGGGGAGCAGAAGGGGATTAATGGACGGGTGAGGGAGGACTTGATGAGGTGGTTGGCGTGGGAGAACATGGGAGGTGGGGTGCTGATGAGCGGGCTGTTGTTTCCTATGGGCGGGAGGGATGATGCGTTGTTGGGGTTTTTGAGGAGGGGGGAGTTTATGAATAAGGAGCAGACGGTGATTCGGTATGAAGGGTTGGGGGACGGGCTGTATGTTGGGCCAAAAGGGGCCGTGTCGGAGGTGGTGAAGCAGGCGTTGAAGAGTCCAAAGTTGAGGGAGGCAAGGTCTGTCGCTGATGCAGTGGGTGTTGGTGAAGGAGGCCCGTTCACTACCGACAAGAGGCCTTCCGGTCTGGCGTTATATTCGCTCGAGACTCTTGAGGAACGCTACCCCAGCATCGCGACAGCCATCCAAACCTCTCGCGCGGCCGGCCTGCGCCAGCTTCGTCTACTCATTACGGCTCATCTCCACGCTACTTGGCGCACGCTCTACCCCGACGGCATCTCCGTGCTCCGCCCAGAAAAGCGCTCTTACACGCCTCACCTCATCCGGCCTGCCTTTGACTTGGCTGCCCGTCTCGCGCACTGCTCCGACTCCCCCTTGCCAGATACCTGCCCTCCCAACGTGCCGGTCGATGAGTGCGTCCCTTGTGATGACTCCAAACCCCTGAAGGTGACAACTGCAATCGAATACGTGAACTCGTCGAAGCTCTTCACGATCGGCACGGTCCCGCACCCATACACGACCACCATCCTCTCCGCCCGGCGCAGAGCAATCGACATCCCTTATATCCGCCGGCAGGCAAAACGCGACGTATGGATCACGGCTGTCACGAGGAAGCTCTTCAAGGAGGAGCAAATCTCTTCCACCCCGCGGGTCCTCAAATTGAAAGAAATCGTCGCCGCTGCGGAGAGCCCCCTGACAGAGAATAGTTCCTCCGGCAAGGGGTTTACTTCGTTATGGCTCGTTGCCGAGGCTGATCCGGTGGTTGCGGACCATGAGCTGGGGTATCTGTTTGGGTTTGAACTGCCCGCTCAGGCAACCTTCGCAGATACGAAACTGGACATGAGTAATGGGGGGGATTTTGATTCCGACAAAATGGCCGAACTAGTCGAACACGCGAAGGACCTCATCCTGCGCACAAACACCGGTGATGACAAGAAGAAGGGCGACATCAAGTCTACGGAGGGAGAGAGATTGTTAAGAGAGGCGATCGAGGCGTGGAATCTGGCTGATACGGAGGCTTGGAAGTTTGTGAGGGCTTTTCTTGCCAGGGAGATGGTTGAGCGGAGATTGTGGGAGGAGAAAGAGAGGGGGTATGCCGGGGGGATTGGGGCGGATCATTTTGGGGAGGGTGAGCAAGCGGGGAAGAAGGAGGGGGGAAGGAGAGGTTGGGGGAGGTGGTTTGATCGGGATTAAACAGTACTTAAACTAATAAGAGAGTTTAGGGTCTGGGTTGAGCTTACCACATGATAGAGGGAATAATACATATCTATTTTAAATGAGCGTGATGTGTTGTATTGGGTGAACTAAGGACTCAAGAACCTTTTGATGGGAGGTAGCCGGCTGTGGCAGAGGAGGAGGTTTCGAGGGGATAACAGCAGGTTGGAAGCTGTATCACTAAAATATCCATCGGAACTAGGTACCTAAACTGCATCTCTCTTGCCTATTCCTAACAGGGAGTCTGTAATGTTCATGGGGCTTGTTTAAATAGCAACAACCCTTCAAGTCAGAACTGTATACAGGAACGGGTGAAGACTGGGGGGATTCTTCGAAATCCAGAACAGGCTTCTCAAGCCGTGGTTTTGACCCGATATTGATACTGTTCAAGGCCAAAGACATGGTTAACAATTGGGCTGTCTACCTAGCTGGCTTTGTGCCCTAGCTCTGCTCACTTTAGTCGAACTTTTGACCAGGCGCGGTAGCATCCAGACAACCTCTTGGAGGTCATTGACATAAAATACCCCTGATAAAAGCTCTCTTCAGTCTATCTGTCCCCAGCCAACACATCAAAATGAGTACACAAGAGTTATAACCACTCAACCTAGAAATACGTGCAAACACGCAAATACCTACGTGGTGGTCTGAAGAAAGGAAGCTGGTACACCATTTTTTTTTCTCACTCACATACTCAATTAGATATAATATAACACTGCACACTACTCTTGCCACATTCCTCACCACTGGATCACCCAGGTTAAACTACCTGCCCTCAAACTACCTGCCCTCTTTCCCCCTCTTTACTCAACCCCGGAACGACCCACCAACTATGATATCTCTCCTCGACCTTAGGCACTTCAACCTTAACCCACTCCTTGTCCTCTCCATTACCAACCCCCTTCAATCCCTCAACCACAGTCCCCGCAGCCACAGCAGCACTCATCCACTTCCTCACATTCTCCCTCCAGCTTTCGGTCCCCCAGCCAGGGAGACAAAACGGTCCCCATTCATAACTCTCCTTCCCTCCCCCTTTCCCTCCATCTTGCGCACCCGAAAAGGTCCCCCAGCCCGCAAGCGTCTCCAGCCCTTTCTCAGCCCTCTTCGCCCCCCTTACAGCCATCTCAAGCAGCTCGGCCGTGGACACATCCGCTCTCTTAACACTCTCCACAAACTCTTCGTAAGTAGGTAGTGCAGGCAGAGAAACACTCGCCCAAGGCCTCATACGCAACTCATACCGTAACTCATCCCCCCCGTAAGGGAAATTCTGTTTCCGCTTAATATCAGGGAGCAGCCCCATTCGTTCGATTGCCGTCCACAAGCAGGAGAGGGAGTCTGCCAGTGCATATGTGGCGCTTGCTTCGAGGAGTGCTAGGCGTAGGAAGGATTTACACCGGGCCGCAAGCTTCTGCTGGGTTGGCGTTAACGGCGGGTTGGCGGTGAGTTGCCGGTCGACGGAAGATTGTGTGCCCGAGAGGTGCCGGACGTGGTGGTCGGCTAGGTAGGCCAGATACCAGTACATCCCCGGCAGTTCGGCAGCCTGATAAATCTCCAGCTCGAACCCTAACAACACCGTCCACTGCATGAGCCTCAATTTATAATGATACGCCCAGCTGCTCAGTGGCATCGCGTGTCCCTCTTCCCCCGACATCGGGGGATACTTTACCGCTTGCTCCAGGAGTACTCCCATCAACCTCCCATCAAACTCCTCCGCCTCCGCCTGCACTGCCTCCCAATCCGCAATAGCATGCACCATCGTCCTTCTCACCCGACATCTATTCTGACACCAGGTGCGAAACACATCCAGATAGGACTGCGCAACGCGCTGACGGAAGAGTTCCATAGTCTGCGCGAGCTGGTAGCGTGGGTGATGCGGGTGCTCGACTGCGTCGTTAGCGCGGTCGAGGAGAGGGGAGGAGGGGAGGACTAGAGTGGAAAGATCGTCGTCCAGGAGCTGGCGGATCGAGAGTCGGCCGAGGATGACCATGTCGTGGAAGAGAAAGTATTGTAGGAGGGTGCGCGGGAAGAGGAGGGGGGAGTGGTAGGTGAGGATGAAGTTCTGGATGGGTGTCAGCATCTCCATCATCGTTGTTTGTGAGTTGAGTAAGAAAAGTGACTTACGAGCAGGGACTGCGCATCCCTCCATCCCAACACCCCCACCACCCTTTCCCCATCCTCCCACAACTGCCCAAACAATCTCACCATCTCCTCCCCGCCCAACTGCACAATCGGCCGAGGCGGCATGGTACTCGCCAGCCGTCTCTGAATCTTGGTACTAAACGCCTCGGCAACCCGTTTTCCCATCCCCTGCGTGCGTCCAACCTCCTTCCAGATCTCCTGTAACTTCACCCACGGCTGGCGGAGAACCTCCGGGTCGGCGCTGCGTTGCTCCATCAGCTCGACTGCGTAGAGGAAGTTTAGGCGCATGTCGAGGCGGGAGACTAAAGCGTTGGTAAGGTCGGGACCGATGGCGGAGAGAGAATGGAGGAGGGCTTCCCGGGCGGAAAGAAGCTCGGTGTGGATGACGGAGGAGGGGATGGTGTCGAGCAGGGGGCGGTTGTACGTGTTTGTGACGAAGTCTTCTTCCTGTTCCCACAGCACAGGTTAGCAAGCCTGGGGTTTGTAAGGTAGGGAGGGGGAGTGGGCATGCCTCGTAATAATGCTCAGACTTGATCCTTTCATTCACAAGCCAGCATGTCTTGATCAGGCCGAGACAATAGGCCCTCAGCACGCGGTGCATGAGCTGCTGCTCACCAGGCCGATCCCGGAAAAAGTCGGCCTGCTCGAGGGTAGTAGGAGCCGGGTCAAGTATCTTGTCAATGTAGACGCTTGTGAAGACAGTCTGGGATAGGGGATAGCCTAGATGCCATGCCATCTGATCCGTGTCAGCCGTTCATTCTCCCCTCTGTGAAGGGGGTGGGGGTGGTTGTGAACATACCTCCAGACACAGCAGCTGATCGATCACCCCCAACACCTCATTCGGTTCCAGGGGCCTCGTCACATCATACTCCTCGTCGAGGGACTCGCCGGGGGCGAGACACCCGCTGTCCATTTTGGGATCCATGATCTAAGCCAGGGTTAGCTCACCATCCCCCACGTAGCATCTCCTTCCACGCGGCTGGAGAGATTGGTAACGGAAAAACGAACCTCTAAGGCTCCAACGCTCTCAAACAGCGTAAAGTATCCATCCTTGACCAGTTCTCCAGGCTCAAGGGCTAGATAAATACCCCTGCGTCAGCACAATCCACGACTCCGTTCCCTATAAAAAAAAAACTCCCCTAGAGCTGCTAGAATAGAGAAGTAGGACGAGGGCACTCACCTGCCGCAGCATCCCTAAACTCCCTCGTAATATCAAACGCTACAATCCCCTCACTAGAAATAAGTGGCGGCGGCGGCGGGGGGGGAGGAGGTTGCTGGTAGTATTGAGCCGGATCCATATGTGCGGCGGGGTGGTTGAGGTCTAGGTCGGCGAAGCCTATGCTGATCATTAGCATGTTATGAAGAGAATGGAGATAAGGGAAACAAACATACCGCGCGACATGCTCAGCTCATCATCCGAGGGGGAGTCTGGGAAGCGGGATTGGAATGTGGTCATGTTGTGGCAGTCAGAGAGATGATACCCTAGGTAGGGTGAGGTTATTCCAATTGTTTATCGTATTAGCTGTTTGAGTGCAGTATGTGTAAAGATAAATCGGGGCGCAAGCCCCGTGTTGTGTGTATTGTATTGTGTAGCACGGATCTGTGTAAGTGAGTGGGATGTTATGTGGTTGAGTGTTGAGTTGAATTGCAATTTGAGGGGTGAGCTTGGACTGAGGTGAGGTGAGCATTAAAAGTGGGTATTTCATCCCCCGTTGAGCTTGACAACCGTGACATGAAGTTGCCCGAGGTCCAGGGACTCTTAATCAACCGACTTTGCTTGATCTCAATTGCGATAAGAGCAATTATTTGATTCTAAACAGAAGCATTGGGTCACTTGGTAGGAGATGGGACAAAATGACTAGAAAATCTGAGCATTCACATAGCAAAAAAAGCTCACGCATTCACAGTCCTTCCCATCACAAAATAGCTTGCCAATGCCTCTATTCACCACGCCAAACGGCCATGGCCTATGATACAGTCCCAGCCAACCACTGCCCCAACTTCTATCTTGTTTTGCAGCAGCGGCCAGAGACAAAAGACACAGCTCAATGCACTTTCTGCGCCCGTTCTTGCCCAAGGTTCTTCAAGGCCCATCACCCAACTCAAAAGCATGCCCGATGATGAGCCCGTCCTCGTCTATCCTCTCAACCCAACTATCCCCCCATGCAGTCCCGGGGTATCCATCTCCTTGTCTATCTCTCTACCCCTCCTCCCAACCCTAAATCGGCGGCCGATTGATCGATTGCTTAGGCAGTGCCACCAGCAGCGGCGCTCTCGACGGCGGCAGCGACGTTGGCGTCGGCGAGGTTCTGAATCTCGCCTTGCTTGCCGTTCTGTATTGACAGCATACCGATCGTCAGCCTTGTTCATGTTCATTGAACCCCATACCAACATTAACCTCCCGACTCTTGTCCTTCCAAATCCCCTTTCCTTCCATATCCTCGTCGGTCGATCGGAAAATCTTCAGAGTGTATGACATTTCGGGCAACAACTCACCGTCCACTTAGCAAACCTCAGCTCCTGCCTATTGCGGCGCTCAGCAGCGAGCCGCTTGTCCTCCTTGAGGGCATTGCGCACGGCGCGCGAGGCGACGGCGAGGTAGCGGTTGTAGCTGTTTTCCAAGTTCGTTAGCTTTTGTCCAACCCCTTAGAAATCTCCCAGTTCTTTCTCCCGTAATTCTTTTTTTTTCTCTCAATGTGTCCTTTCACCCATTCGCAAAAGGCAATTCCTCCTTTTTTTTTCCCCAATGCGTGCACCCTCTCGTTCCAATCCCATACTACCATCCCCCCCACTTCCTCGAACACCCTCCCAAAAAAAGATCGAGCCCAATATCTTTAGGTAGGGAGACTCACGTAAGACCGGCGGCTTTCCACGCAAACGTCATTTTGGCGGCTGTTAGAGCAGGGACAGCTGTTCCGGTTTGACTGGGCTGGGTTGATGGTGGATTGCGCTGTTATGGAGCGAGCAAAGCAAGCAAGGCGGGTTGCGTAAAAAGGTCTCGCAAAGCCGAGAAGCTCCGCAGCCCGCAACCTACATCGGCAATGTCACGTGACATGATAGGTTCAACATCAACCCCCGTTGATTCTATGTTGACTTTACAAAATAATTTAGATGCTGGGCATTTGCTATGATTGAGCCCATGTCAATTTTCATTCACCGCCCAAAAAGCAACATTTCTTCCCTACGTGTTGTAATCGTCTGGATATTCATACACCCATACAACCTTACACCCATCCCACAACCCACCTCTCTTTCAAGCATGATCTTCACCCAACAGCCCAAGACCATACAGCCCTTTCAGTCACACATAGGAAAGCGGGTTAAAGTCTAGTCACTATATGCACAATGGGACAAAGCCGCAGTCGAAAAAGTCTACACAACGGCCGATGGGGCTGTGGTGGTTGTTGGTACAACATTTCCCGGTTTAACAGCTTTTTTTCCCCCTCTCTCCTCTCTACCTCCTCTGCTTCCTCTACTTTGCTCCTCATAACGCCTCTCCTCTCCCCTCTCATACATCTCCAGTGTTTAAAGGTTGTCTCACTTATACCCGGAGACCAAGGTCCTCAGCGAAGGGCAATACATGGAGGTCGCCGACGGCAGCGACCGAGGCCTTGCCTTCTAATAGTGTCTTGGCAGCCTGCTATCTGTTAGCATCTAACTTCACTTCACAAAGAAGAGTGAGAGAACGTACAGCCTGCAGCTTCTCAGCCGTCACACCCTCCAGGGCCGACACGGCCTCAGCAACCTTGACGAGCTCACCGGCATGGATGAGCTGGGAGCCAGTCTGGGCCAGGGCAGAGCCGGCGACCTCGCCCGCAGACAGCAGGTTGAACTTGGCCTTAGCAATGGCCTTGACCAGGTCCTCCTGCGTGACACCGCCCTCAGCAACGCTCTTGAGCGCCTTAACGGACTCCTCTGCAACCTTGCGGACAGCAGCGGCCTGGCCCGTGATCTGGATGGCCAGCAGACCGGCGTCCGAGTAGGCGAGGTGGCTGGCTTTGGCGGTAGCGCCAAAGGTGCTGGCGGCCGCCTTGGCCAGCAGCGAGAAGCCCGGAGACCACTTGATGGAGGACTGGCCGCCGAGGAGGGCCGCGAGAACCGCGGTCTCGGGCTGCTTGGCGCCCTGGGCGGCGCCGGGGAAAGCAATAACGAGCGAGTTGCCGCCGGTGAGGGCGATGCGCTGCTCGCCGCCGAAGTACTTGGACGGGGCAGACTTGACGGCAGCGTCGGAGGCAGCGGGGACGTCCTTGAAGAAGGGCTCGATCCACTTGCTCAGGCCGGCCGAGCTGGCACCGTCAGCCACGATGGCGATGTTAGGCTTGGTGTAGGCCGCCTCGGCGAAGGCAGCGACGGAGTGCTCATTCAGGTAGGACGACACGGGCGTGCTGGGCGTCGGGTACAGCGGGGCACCGAGACCGGTGTGGAAGGCCACCGCGTGGGCGGCATCAAGGGCGATGGCCGCCGCGTCCAGCTTGGCCTGCTTCTGGTGGATGACGTTCTCGACCTCCTCGTGGAACTCGTGGGCTGGGAGTAGAGTATAAGTAGGGGTTACACTCGGTCTGTAGAGCAGTAGAGCACGCACAGGTGTAGCGGGTCTGCGACACGACCTCGGCAAGCAGCTCGGCGAAGTAGGGCAAGTCCTCGCGGAGGAAGCTGGCCTGCAGCACGAGGGCCTCACGGGTATGGTACGAGGTCAATTGGCCGCCGAGCAGCTCGGACTCGCGGACGATGCGCAGGGCGGAGCGCTTGTTGGTGTTCTGGGGACGGGGACAAATTAGCTCAGGCCGAGAGCGGCGGGGATGTCCTGCCCAAATACCTTGAAGGCATACTCCTCCAGGCCGACCGTCAGGCCCGGGAGAGGCTCGTATCTCGTGCCAGCCTTGGCGACGACAGCGAGGCGAGTGGTCGGACCATTATCATCACGGGCAGCGACCTTGACGCCGGCGATGGTGGTGGGCTCGTACGACGACTTTGGCGCAGCGGCAGCGGCAGCGGCAAAACCGCGCTGGGCAAGCTTCTGGACGCCCGCCTGGCGAGCAGCCAGCTGGCTGCCCCTCGTCAGAGCCGACCTGCAGAGCATACCGACCGAGGAGAAAGGAAATCTAAGACGAAGGGGTGGTGGAGGGCGGGGGGGGTTCGAGACGTCTCGCGGGCGTGGAAGCTGGGAGGCGGCCCGGGTGTGTCGTCAATTGGAATTGGCTCGAGGTTCGAGTCGAAAGGCAAGGTTTGCGGCAGCAGGCACAGCAACTGGGCCTGCGTGAGCGAGCTCTTCACCACTGCACCACCACGCTTCCGAAAATTCCCTGGGGGGGTTCCCGGCACGACGGAAAAACTGCCTGTGCCGAGCCGCCCGCCGCGAGACTAGCAGCTGATAATTGGACTATGGGGGAATGGAAAACTTGTGAGGCTCTGAACCCCCCACGGAAAGCTGAAGAGGTCAATTGAGCTCTGAGTGAGCATACAGATTGAATCTGAAAAATTTCCCAAATTTTACAGCGAGAAACCAACTGCTTGGGTTGCTGCTTGTCATCATCATTACGCTAGCTCCCACAGCAACTTGTACATTGTGCGTCTAGCCATCATGGCCGCCCTCAGCAGTGTCAGCAGTGAAAGAAGGTTTGTGATTGGCCAGCCTCGACCCCTCGCTCTGAGCCTGGCGCGGCGGCGAAGGAGTCGCTGGCCGCACTGGCAGTGCCCCGCGCTGGCCGCGGTGACTCGACTCCAACTGCTGAAGCGGGCTGCCAGCGGGACAGGCCCTGCTCCTGGAACTGCAACCTCAAAAAATTATTGACGCTGGCACCAGTTCCCCCACCACACCACCTCATCAGCCGTCAGCCTGTTCCCTTCATTTCCTGTGTCCTCTAAATCTGCCATAGAGGCATTTCAATGACTAGCCGGTAGCAATTGGGGCGGCTCTAGAGATTAGTGAGAGGATCTCTAGACGCTCTGATCCAATCCTATCCACGTTCCATCGTTACTCTCCCGTCGCATTTGCCATCGCCATGCAAGTTGTAAGTCGCGCCAACAACGACCGCGTTGCTTGGTCTTTCGAAAAAAAAAAATATGTCATCGTTTTATTCACTGTTGCCTAACAGGCCCAGACCAAACCCGTCGCAGAGCTCTGTACTCTGCTGGTGGACGAGCTCCATGGCGAACTGCCGTCGGTACGTCCCTTCTATCTGTTAGCCTCTCTACACGCACTCTAACCAGACCATGTTGCAGAGGATATTCTCGACACTCGTCAACAAGGGCCGCTCGACCCTGCCGCAGCTCGCCCAGTACACGTCCATGACACCGCGCCAGCTGCGCCATGGCCTGGCAGTCCTCGTCCAGCACAACCTCCTCTACCATCACCTCGACCCCGGCGCCGAGTTCGCCTTCTACGAGGCCAACGTCGAGCACGCCTACAACCTGGTGCGCACCGGCAAGATCCTCGAGATGGTCGACACCTCGTTCGGTCCCGCCGCCAAGGACGTCATGCAGAGCCTGCTGTTGTCGGGCCAAACGCGCATCGGCGACCTGTTGGCCGCCTACCAGGCCAAGATCGAGCAGGCCAATAAAAAAGTCGGTACGAATGACACCGAAGAGTTCGACGGCGAAGCGAACGGTGTCAACGACGATTCCAAGAACGAGCCCGTCGTCAAGAGCACCGCCCATCTCAACTCCATCCTGTGCCGGCTGATCGAGGCCGAGCTGATCGATGTCGTGCACGACAAGACCTTTGAGAGCCCCGCCGATGTCCTTAAAATTGTCGAGAAAGAGGTCATGGACAAGTACTTCCCCAACGGCGTCAAGGGCAACAAAGCCAAGGCCGAGTTCCAGCAGAGGATAGCCGAGGGATTGCGCAAGGTCCGGGACGAATCCAAGTCGCTGAAACGCAAGCTGGAGCAGAACGGCTCGGCTGCGAAGCGGAGGAAGTTGTTCTCCGGTCTGGGTGTGGCCACCAACGGCAGCGGCGCCCAGCAGGATGAGGAGATGGACCCAGCGTTGGATCCGAAGCAGGTCATCCGCGTCAACTATGAGAAGTGTCTGGTCGACCTGCGTAACCGTCGGCTCGTGCAGTTCGCCACCGACATGTTTGGAGAGACGACTGCCTACGTGTACGGTATCCTTCTTAAACTCCTTACTAAGGACATCCCACGTTGCAGGCTAGATCCAGTCCTCGACAGCGTCGACGATGACGATGACGACGACTCCAAGAAGAAGGGACCAGGCGTGGTCACTACCGACCAGATTCTCGACAACCTCAAGACCTCGGTCGACCTCTCGCTGGGGATAGGAAAGGCAGAAAGGCACCAAATTTCGTCTCGAGCAGCCAACAAGGTCCAGACACACCCACCCAAAAAGAAGCGACTGATCGCCGAGGCCGAAGTAGACGGCGAAGCGAGCGAAGACGAAAAAGAGGACGATGAGTCCAGCGAAGGCTCCGACTACGACTCCAACTACGAAGAGACCAAACCCAACGGCGCCAGCGGCATTAACGGCGCTAACGGGGTAACCCACGAACGCCGTATGGACCGGCCAACCCAGCTACGACAGCACCTCATGCTCCTCGCCGAAAGCACCCAAAACTTCGTCCGCCATTGCGGCCCCAACGAATGGACTGTCGACTTCGAGCCCGTCATGAAAGCCCTCCGCGAAGCGGAGCTCGACAGCGTCATTGAGCGCACCTCTGGCCGGCAAGGCCTGCGCCTCGTTCGCATCCTGCGTGCTAAAGGCAAGCTGGACGAGAAGGCTCTGCCCAACGTAGCCCTCATGCGCAAGTCCGAGCTCCAGCAGAAGATGCTTGAGATGCAGACCGCTGGGTTTGTGCACGTGCAGGAAGTCCCCCGTGACGTGAAAGCTGACGTCAAGAAGTCTTTTTTCCTGTGGTACTGTGATGTAGAGAAGTCGCTGAGCCGGCTGCTGGAGACGAGCTATGTGACTATGTTGCACTGTCTGCAGGTGCTGGAAGCGCTGCGGCGCAAGGAAAAGGATGTGCTACAGACGACCAAGCGGACAGATGTGCGCGGCCGTGAGAAGGATGCTATGCGTAAGGAGTATTATGAGAGGTATGCGCGATTCCTGGCTTGTGAGAGGAAGCTGTTTGCGCAGGTGATGAGGCTGGATGATTTGGTGTCTGTGTTGAGGGATTTCTAATGTCTCCAAGATTAAGAAGGGTGGGGGGGGGTTCGATGGGAGCGTAAACTATTCGTCTACGTCTTTCGCATCACCGGAATCTTCATTGGGGATGGTATACGGAAAGTAAAAATAATCACAAGCAGAGAAACTTGGTGCTTGTCGGGTTCGCATTTGGCTGGCGTTTGACGTTGGGGATGATGGGAGCTTCATCAGGTTGCCAGGGGACAGATGGTTATCCTTCCACAGTTGATAAATAACTAGACATACATAGCCATAGCCTTGAGAGCATTGAACAAGAGGCTTTGCATACATACTATTCCAACAACAACCACTTCTCCAGCGATCCCCCGAGTTGACAATGCTAGCGATGGCACTGCCCCTCATGCACTCTACCATGATCTGAGCTATTCTACTGATAAGATAAAGCCCCTACCCCACCACTAAGGGTAGCCAAGTGTGGGGAAACACCCCGCTGTCGGAGCACGCTAGGAGTTGTGGATCCAATTTTTTTTCTCTCACGGCTTGACTTTGTGGTATGCAGCGTAACGAATTTTTTTTTTTTTGCCGCGTCCCAGCCTGCCACTGTTGCCGCCTCCCAGTGAGTCGTCAGAAAGTGACTGACCAGGGATCCATTATCCATTGGTAGCCAACCCCCCGGCCGAGAATCGACCGACCGATAATAAGTCGGACGGCCCATCCACTCTTCTTGTCTGTCCCTCATCCTTCGGTGTCTTGCAGTGATTTTTTTTTGTCTGTGGTTGTCTTTGGTGTGTTATTGTCTTATCTTCACCCTCCGTCTTCCCGGTCCGGTTTGCTCATCTGTTGCTGTTTGTCGCCGTCACTCAGTTGAGGTCAATTGAGTGTTTCCCGTCTCTTTTCATTCTTATAATACTTTCTTTCACAAGACAAGCGAAATGTCGCCTCCGATCGCTGCTGCTGCCGGCCGGGAGAAGGAGTCCAACCTGGCGCGGTTGCTGGGGTCTGGTGTGTACTCCCTCGTGCTTTGCTGTTGAGCCTGTAGAGCGTTGTGTGCTAACCGCTGCGAAGGCTCTGCCGGTATCGCTGAGCTGGCTATCTTCCACCCTGTATGTTGAACAACAAAACTTCTTGCGCTGGTGTTTGAGTCACCTCCCTTGGGGGGGGATATTGGCCTCTTTCAACACTGCGACGACGATGATGGCTCTGTAGAACCATCGGCTGACTCCCCTTCCCCCTACCAGGTCGACACCATTGCCAAGCGCCTGATGAGTAATGAGGGCAAAGTGCGTCACCTCCCCCCTTTTCTTAACCCCTTGTCATGACCAGTCCCTAACTCTTCTCCAGGTCACTTCCCTCAGTAAGCTCAACACCGTCATCTTCAAGGATAAGGCCAACGCCAGCTTCGGCCGCAAGTTTGTCTCGCTCTTCCCTGGCCTGGGCTACGCCGCCGGCTACAAGGTCCTGCAGCGGATATACAAGTACGGCGGCCAGCCCGTCGCCCGCGACTTTCTCAGCACCCACTACGCCAAGGACTTTGAGGCTGCGTTCGGCAAGAAGACCGGCAAGGCGATTATGCACTCGACTGCGGGCAGGTGTGTTTCTCTCATCCTTTTCTAAGTCTGACAGAATGTGGTGCTGACGGAAACAGCTTGATCGGCATCGGCGAGATCATCCTCCTCCCGCTCGACGTGCTCAAGATCAAGCGCCAGACCAACCCCGAGGCCTTCCGCGGCCGCGGCATCTTTAAGATCATCAAGGACGAGGGCTTCGGCCTGTACCGCGGCTGGGGCTGGACCGCGGCGCGCAATGCACCTGGCTCGTTCGCCGTACGTTGCCTCTCTCCCTCCTTCTCTCATCCATCACCTTTAGACACTAACAACGGGTCTTATAGCTTTTCGGCGGCTCCGCCTTCGCCAAAGAATTCCTCTTCCACCTCCAAGACTACAACAAGGCGACCTGGTTCCAAAACTTCGTCGCCTCGATCTGCGGCGCTAGCGCTTCCCTGATCGTCTCCGCACCCCTCGACGTAATCAAAACCCGCATCCAAAACCGAAACTTCGAGAATCCCGAGTCGGGCTTCCGCATCCTCGCCAATATGGCGAAGAACGAGGGTCCGACCGCCTTCTTCAAGGGCCTCGTCCCCAAGCTGCTGATGACAGGCCCCAAGCTGGTGTTCTCCTTCTGGCTGGCGCAGACGCTCATCCCGGCGTTTGATGTCGCTTTTCGGAAGTAAGGGTCCTATGATCTGATCTGATCTGATCTTGATTTCTTTCCTTTCTTGTTTTGGTTGACAAGAGGATTGATTTCACTTTCATTTCATTTCATTCATGACCTCTTTCTGAACAAGTCGTATCACTCGTTGTTGAGCTGACGGACAGACGTTAACCACATTAACAACAACAGGGTCGGGGTAACGGAGTAAAAATCTTCCACTTGCAATGAAACGCAACGCAGAGGATCAACTCCTGATCCTCCTCCTCTTCTACGGGAATGACGAGACCGCACTTCTCCTTGAAGACGGACTCCCTCTGTGGGATCCTCCTCCAGGGAGGTGTAGTCATGTTGATATAGGGCTGGTGGGGAAACTCCCCCACCCCGTGTACAGTACATGTTTGGCGTGTTAGATTCCTCTCTCTCTACGGTCTTCGGGTTCTTTCGGCGTTGTGGTTCTTCGGAGACGGCACATAAAAAGAGATACGGAGACGAATAATCAAGACACGCAGCGACGGCCGGCGGGTAGATGGATGCTAGGTGGATGGATAGAATACATAATGAGTTATCTCCTTTCTGGGACACTTGCTACGCTACAAGTCAATGATGATGCCTCTCGAGAATTTTTAGCCTGCCGACCAATCACACAACAACGACGAACCTGACTAACTTTTAAGAGACTCAGATACACATGTATTAGCCCATGAGCTATGCTATCTTGGTATGAGCCTAATCTTCATGATCTGGTAGTGATCTGCCCATGGTATGACATGCTTATCCTCTGCCCATCAAGTCCGTAAAGTTAAGATATGGCACATGGCCTAGTGAGCTAACACGATATCAGCGGCAGGAATACTCTAACACTGCTCTAATCCCACACCCTGCCATAATACATATCAACACAATAACCTTGTATACTCGAATTTCTAATGCCTCTCCATCCTTCACATCTTCGCCCTCAAATACCATAGCTGGGAGCAAGACCCTGGCGGGGCGACCCCTCCAGCGCCAAGTTGATAAGCTGGTTCTGCAGAGCGCTCACACTGTTGGGAGGGCAGTTCTCGACAAGCTTCTCGGGGGTTGTCGCCATGTGCGCATGGTCGCTGCGGTCCGACTTAGCTGGAGAGTTCTCCTTCACCTCGGCCGCCTGATTCGTGTTGAGCGACGGACTCAGCGAAGCAGCTGCGTGTCCGGCGTAATGCGGCAGCAGGCCCTGGGCCGTGGTCGACGACAGAGCACTGCTGGTCGGACCCTTGTTCTTGAGAACCGACTGCCACAGTTTCGCGCTGTTCAACGCATGGTCAGTCAACACACCCTCATAAGACCAAGCATGGAAAGTTCCATACCCAGACTTGTCCGAAGCACGCTCGGCAAGAAGGTTGGCATCGTTGCTCTCACGGTACTTGAGGGCATCGTCGGTCGCTCGAGAATCCTCCGACTCGCGGTTCGCCTGCATGTCAAACAAGCTGCTGTCCCGACCATGACGGGCCACGGTGCAGTTGTCCTCGCTCGCGGTCACCAGCTTGGGATCGGGCTTCTCAGTAGGAGTCATGGGGCGGAACGGGTCGCAGTCCGACTCAGTCTGGCGATTGGCGATGTCACGACGGCTGGTGTTGATAGCGGCGTTCGACTCGGTGTTGGCATCCTTGGAAGCATCATTCTCCGGCTCCCTCACAGGTGAAGGGGGATAAAAGTGCTTGCCATCAAACTTGGGCAAACCCTTGGTGGCCGCCTTGGGAGCCTTGCCCCAGTACAAGAAACGGGCACGGCGCTCCTCATCGGTCAGAGGACGGCTGTAGACGTAATCCTGGTCCCTCGCAGTACGAGGGTTGATGCCCTTGGGAAGCGTGCCAAGCAGGTACGGGACGCCATACTTTGTCTGACTCATACTATTCTTATGGCCGCTGGAGGCAGTGCCGTTCGAATAACCACCATGAGAGCCCGTGAAGGGGATGGTATACGAACCCTGATCATTGGCAGTACCGCTGCTCTGTTGAGATTTTTGCGAGTCCGTCGAGGAGAATCGCTTTTCCGCATCCTGCTCGGCGGAACGCTTGCCGTCTCCCCAAGACGATGAAAAGCCACGAGGCTGGAAGCTAGGGGCCAAGGCCGAATCGGCAGTCAGGCCAGCCCTCCAATCAACCTTGGGGAAGGTACCAGGAGGAGGACGGAAGTACACACGGTCATCGTCATTGTCACGGTAAGTTGAAGTAACTGGGGCCGTTACTCTGCGACGGGCCGCATCGTCCAAATCATCCTGACCCAACTGGGCACGGTTCTCAGATGAATCGGTGGACGAGCCGGCAGCACGATTGTTGTCTGATGATGATGAGGTGCCCGACTGGGCCGAGGCGTTCTGCTGCTGCTGCTGCTGCTGCTGCTGCTGCTGCTGCTCGGCCTTGGCCTTGGCTTCGAGGGCCTTGCGCTGATTTTCCTCGTACTCCAGCTGGAGCTTCAAAGTGGCCTCGAACCTTTCAATGTGGCCCTTGATTGTCTGGATCCTCATCTCCATATCCCTCTCGTCGATTTGGTGGCGGTTGTACTGAAGCTGATCTTCATGGTACTTCAAACTCTGTTTGAAGGACGCGATCTGCTTCTTGGTGATCTCGCTCAACTTGATCGACGAAGGCGGGGGAGCCGTAGCCGGATTGAAATTGGCATTAGCTGGGACAATCGGCTTGACAATGGGGGGAACCGGGGTGAGCCCGTTTGCCGGGACGAAAACGCTAGTCGTGCCTGAGCTCACTGAAGCCGTTGAGCTGGTCTGCGACTGTGCAAAGTTGTGCTGATGATTCAAGTGGCCAGGCAGCTGTGTATGAATCGCTCCGGGAGGAGGAAGGCCAGGAGGAAGGCCAACCATCGAAAGAGGAAGCATTGGACCGCCCAGCGGCGATGGGAACGCAGCGCTGAGGGGGTAGATGATCTGGCCATTGTAAAGATAAGGCTTGGTGTAGTCAAAGAACTCAGGCGACGAAAGCTTGGTCTTGTTGTCCTGCTTATCATCAGCACTAAAGCCGTTGTTGTTCTGCAGACCAACAGCCGCCTTGGTGTTGTGCATATCTTTCAGCAAGTTGTTGTCGATGGCGATAGGCGTGGCAGCTGCAGGCGCAGGGCTAATGGCAGCCTGAGCAAAAGGAATCCCAGGAGCCAAAGGAGTACCGAACGGAATGGGAACGAAAGAGACGGGAGCTTGCAGAGGCTGGAAACCGGGAGTATAGCCCGGAATGAGCGGAGGCATGACGGGAATCGCTTGGCCGACACCAAGAGGGCTCGGAGCGACGGCTGCAGGGGCATGTTTATTGGCGGCCGACTTTTCGGAGCTATCATTCTGGTTATTGCCGGCAGGCTGGTTTGAATCCATGATCCTCTTTGTGGTAGGTGAATGGGGAGGACGGGTGTTGGGAACAATGCGGCCACCAGCCGTAACACGAACGTGAGTTGGAGAGACCACTGCCTTGTAGAAGCGCTGGAAACCCTCCACGCGCTGGGCAGGAATGCCCGAAGGAGCAGGTATCGGCTCGGTAGAGGCTGCCTCTGCCTCAGTCCGGCCACGGTACTTCCACTCCATGGACTGCGCCGAGTCTTGTACGAGGTTATGAGCAGAGGGACGGATGGGATTGCGAGAAGACTCGCGAGTAATGTCACGGCCCATGCGACGACTCACAGTGCCCTTGAACAGAAGCTCTTCAGAAGCTGACGAGGAATCGTCCTTGATGCGGTTGCTGTTCGGGTTGCAGCTGGATCCAGTACGCGAAGCCGACGAGTCGCTCCCAGATCGACGAACAATATCAGCTGGTTAGTGTTAGCGCAGTTCAGCAATGACAGAGCTGTGCAGAAAGCGTACCCAGCTCGGAGTTGGTCGTTAATGACATAATGCTCCTCGAGTCGGAGCTGCTGCGAAGCTCCAGAAGCTCGCTGAGGGTGTAGGTGCGGCGAGGCATGGAGAACTTGATGTAGGCGAAAAAGTAATAGGTGCGGTGATCCGGCGGATAGTACCAGCGGAACAAGGACGCGTATCCTCGGTCACCGCCACGCAGATTCGCGAGATTTTGACAGACAAACAGTATATGCGGCGGCCACAAGATCTCCTCGCTGTCGTTGGGGTCAGTCAAAACCTGCTCCTCGAGCTGAGAGACGATGAATCGCGGAAGAACCACGCGGGCAGTTTTGAAGAAAAAGTCGTCCAACTGGTAAGGATGCTTAATGGTGATAACGCGGCAGCAATGGTGCTGGAGAAGGTGCTTTGCGGCAATGAGAAGAGGAGCAGTGATGGGATGATCGCTGGTCTGAAGCTCTCGCAGGAGCTTGACCAAATGCCTAGCGCGCCGGCGAAGCTCCAAGCTCATGATGCTATATAGCGATCGGCAATGAACAAAGCGGGTTGGAGGCAGAGAGCAGTTCAAAAGAGTATTGAAGAACAGATAAGGATGGTGATGATGTCTGCGGTGGTTCTTGGAGTCGATTACCGAGGGAGAAGAGGGTGATGAGGAAGAAGAAGAGAAAGGGAGGGCTTACCAATGAAATACTCAGGTCAGGAATCAGACCCCTCTTCCGCAGCAAAGACCAGATGTGGCAGATCACTGTTGAGGAAAGCGCCAGCAAGGTTGGCGAGGATTACAGACGATAGAGATCAGGTATCGAGGCAGAGAATGGTGAGTACAGGTGAGTGATGGATGTGGTAGAGATTGAGGGTTGAGGATCAATGGTTGTGATTTGTTGCGAGACCAAAAAAAAAACGATGAGAGAATCGGTGCCTGAGTAACAGGTCAATAATAGACCAGCCACCCCTAGGGCAACAAAATTCTCTCGACCGTGAAACAGGTGACAGCCAGTTAAGAGAAGAAGCCTAGAGAAGAAGGGTGTGGTACAGAGTCGATGAGGTGGACAATGGAGAATGCAAAAAGGCACGGTAGAAGTAGTAGAAGTGGTCAGCGCGGGAGGAGGACGGAAGAGCCGAGAAAATGAGAACCTGTGGTAGTCAGAGAGAAAGGGAAGGGAGAAAGGGTCTCCCTTTGCTGAATCAGACTGCCTTAAAGCGCTGCACTGGCCATAAAGGGCAAAGGGAGTAAAGGCAGGAAGAGCACAAGGCGAGATTGGCCGTGACTGTGGAAAGAGCAGAACCAAAACATTATCAAAGGCGGGGCGCGGGTCCAGGTCGTGAATTGCTCGACCAAAAAAAGAAAGAGGAAGAGTGAGAGATCAGGAAGGCAGATGCGATGGGTGTCGAGGAAGGTCCTCTGCACTGGATGATGGATGTCGATGGGTCTGTCACAGAGGAAGAGCCCCAAGGCCGCGGACAGAACCTGGAAAGGTCGATTTTTGGGAATGGAATGATGCAATATCAGGTATTACAAGCTCTATCTCGAAAGTTCTGAAGCTACCTAGAGGTAGGTAGGCATGCCAGCGTTGCAGAAATGGAAGCTATGAGTTGGAGAAAAGTGCCATTTGGTGACAGCTCTTATTGTACAGGGCTGAAGAACAGACCTAACACCTGATGCAAAACGCATCTTTGATGAAAGGATATGCGTTTCCCGGATTATCATCTCTTTGGTGAATGGATTCATCTTCAGTTTGACCTGTGGCAGATCAGTCTTGCGTGCATGTGATGCGTCTGAGTTAGGGCTGACTTTGGGTTGCGGCTCAACCTCACGTGGCTCAATATGGGGATCAAACTAAGAGTTAAGATCGTAATCAGCATAGAACAACAATGTATCATTATCTTAATATCATAGCAAAAGCCATCATCCCAAGTAACGTAACACAAATCTCCAAGGTAAACTCATCTCAAAAGTCTGTCGGTTTTAAACAGCTCCCCAAATCCCCAAAGTCCAAGCTCCCCCACTCCCCCTCCCTAACCCACCGCCCAAACTCTGCCTATGCGACGAAGTGCTCTTACTCATAACCTGGTGCTCAACCTCCCCCGGCTTACTAGCGCCTGCAACCCCATGTTGAAGCCACTGGTCCTTCTCGACGACCGCTAGCGCCGGCGCCTTGAAGTGAGTAATAAGACTGGCGCCGCTCCATGCTCCAACCGACTCAATCGCCCTTAGCTGGCCTTGCACAGGCTTGGGAGTTTTATCGGCTTGACGTTTAAGTTGTTCGTCGATTGGGTCGATTTGGGGGGCGTCGCGGGCGGGGGAGTCTTGCCAGATGCCGTCTTGTTCTTGTCCTCTTTCTCCTGATTCTCCTTCTCCGGATTCTCTGCTGCCGCCGCTGGGGGTGGTGATCTGGATTTGTGGTTGTGTTTGTTGTTCGGGCGTGCCCTGCCGCGGTGGTTGGCCAACCGGCGGTCCCCTCTTAAGCTTGGTATTCTTCTTATACTGCTCCACGCCCCTGCCCTGCACGGGATCCCATCCCCTTTCGCGCACCAGATGAGAGACTTCATCGAAAATCCGCCCACGCAGACCCAACACATTGGCACAACCCCCGGTGAAGATGATGCGCGCCATGCAGACGGCACGCACGTCGAGGGGGAGCTGTAGCAGGCTGCGGTATACGAGTAAGGGGATTGGCAGTTCGTGGTCGTCGAAGCTGGCTGGGGCGTATTGGGAGTCGAAGAAAGTTTCTTCGCAGGGGTCGGAGAAGGCGTCAAAGGGAATTGAGACCGTGACTGGGCGCGCACAGGAGGTGAGCGGGATATTGATGATGGTTGGCTCTTCGGCAGATGGGGTTGGTTCTTGGACTTGAGGGGGTTCTTCGTGTTCTGGGACTGTAGGTAAAACACTCGACGAAGAAGAAGGGGTTTGTGTAACTTGCTGCTCAGCAGCTGCAGCAGCAGCTGCTGCTCCTGCTGCCCCCGGCCTCGGACGACACCAAACCATCCTATTCGTAACATCACTGCACTCCTCAAAGCTTAAGACATGATCCTGCCCCAGGCTGGGCCGTTTCAACGGCTCAGGCAGGTAGCTCGCAAGCAGCCTGTGCGTGTTCTCAACCAGCATCCTACCGCCACGAATACTCCTGCGCGAGCTGACCTCGCGATACTCGTAGACGGCCGTGACCACGGTCTCGCTCCAGCCAAGGTCAACCACCAAAGCCGACCGCACGCCAGCTCCAACAGTTATCGCCAGCGGGGATGACAGGAGCGAGATAGTAGGCGGCTGGAAGCGCGTGAACACGCTGTCCAGGGCAGCCGAGAGCAATGGGATGGGCAGCCCAGACGGCAGCACAAAAATCATCCTCCTCGGCCGCGAGTCGATGAGCATGTACCTAGCCCCAATCAGCCATACAACCTCTCATCAAAAACCTCACCCCATCCAAAGAAAAACTCACTTCGTAAACCCCTCCCTCAAAGCCCTCTCAACCCTATCCCCAACCAACCCCAGATCCACCCCCCTCACATCAAACCTCCAAAGCTCATAATCTCTTCCCCATCTGCCCCCAGCCGTCTCACTTCGCCAATCATACCGATACCCTGCCTGCCATTCTCTAAAATCCCCGACCCGGCGCAGCTGGTCGGGCCCGAACCACACAGTCCCCCGAGGAAGGGCGTCGCCCGAGAAGCCGATGTGCAGTTTGCGCGTGCCGAGCTCGACGATGATGATTTCTTCGTCGGCGCGCAGGCTGGAGGGCGTGGTGAAGGCTGAGAGGCCGCGGAGGGGGGTTGTGGTGGCTGTTGTGGTTGTGGAGGAGGAAGGGTCTCGAGATTCCTCGGCGCGGGACGGGGCGCGGATGTTAGCCACGGAGCGGTGCGCCAGTAGTGCTGCGGCCGTCGGGGTTGACATGGTGATGATTATGAGGGCATATGGAATTAAATTAACATTGGTACAGGATATCAGTCAAGAAGCTCTGATTTGAAAATTTCCCCTCTTCTCCGCAGAGTACTTCAAGTCGAGCTAGTGTTTGACATGTGTTTGTGAAAGTGATCGATTGGGAAGAGAATGAGATGAGGTTGGCCTTTAACCCGATTCATGCATATGCCAGGCCCGTTATCCGTCTACCGAAGGCCAAGACCATCCAGCCGCAACGGTGCCCTTGACAACCCCCAAAACGGCTCGAAGTCAACACAGAACTTGGCGGCGACGTCACAGCCCGCCATCCAGTCCGCTTCGCGTGCCCTCGCGTTGCACAGGGGCAAGTCAGAGTTGCGATCGCGTCTCTCTTTGGTGTCTGAGCGATCATGATCCGTCTTGGAACCTGAATTGCTTCATCTTACCCTCTCGAACTGGAAATCGCTTCTTGAATCGCCTTGCTTAATCTTGCTCTCTCTTTGCTTCCGCCTTTTGAACCCACTGAGCGGTAAAGATTGTCACAATGGGCATCAAAGGGTAAGCGTTAATATCTCACCGTTTCTTGACATGCGCAAGAATCTCACCGTTTCCTAGGATCTACAAAGAAATTGGCAGCGGCGAGCGCATCTCGCTTTGCAAACTGGCCATCGACCATCTCGAGCAACACAACCGACCCCTCCGTCTGGCCATTGACATGGCCATATGGCAATTCCAAATCCAAGCAGCGAGAGGTGAGCCAATCCGCTTCTTGTCGAAAAGTGTATCCTAACATTACCAGGTGGCTCTAACCCCGCAATCCGCACCCTCTTCTACCGCTTCGTGCGCCTTCTCAGCCTAGGCATCCACCCCATCTTCGTCTTCGACGGCCCCAACAAGCCGATCTTCAAGCGCAACAGGCGCTCCGGCACCGGAAACGGCGTATCAACCGCCATGGCTAAGCGGCTGATCCGGCTCTTCGGCTTCACCGCTCACGACGCCCCCGGCGAGGCAGAAGCCGAGTGTGCCTACCTCGAGCAGCAGGGTATCGTGGATGCGGTCCTCAGCGAGGACGTCGATACCATCATGTTCGGATCGCGGGTGACGTTGAGGGATTGGTCCTCTGAGGGGTCGAAAGGAGGACCCCCGACACATGTCACGCTGCATGATGCGAAGAAGATTGCGGAGGGACCGAGCGGGCTTGATAGGGAGGGGATGGTGCTTGTTGCGCTGATGAGTGGTGGTGATTACTTGCCAGATGGGATCCCCGGGTGTGGGATCAAGGTTGCTTGCCAGGCAGCCAAGGCAGGGTTCGGCAAGGAGCTTTGCCGGATTAAGCGGGCCGATAAAGAGGCGATTACTGAATGGAAGCAGCGGTTGCTGCATGAATTAAGGACGAATGAGAGTGGGTTTTTTAGGACGAAGCACAAGGCGTTGGAAATACCAGAGAATTTTCCTAATATGGAGGTTCTGAGGTATTACACGCATCCTGTGGTGTCGAGCCCGGCGACGATCGAGAGACTGAGGCAGGAGTTTCCCCCCTCCTCAACTGTCGACATTGCTGGATTAAGGGAATTCACTCGGGAAACATTTGACTGGACCTTCCGGCCGGGCGCGATCAAACTGATCAAAGTCCTTGCCCCCGGCTTGCTGGTCCAGCGCTGTCTCGATCGGTACGTCTCTGGACCGCGAATCGACGATCCTGACCTTAAGAAGAAGGAGGAGTCGACGTTGGTCAAGGGGATTTCTATGAGACGGGAGCATTTTAGCACCGACGCCACGCCCGAGCTGCGCGTCTCGTTCATACCCGCCGAACTCGTCGGCCTCGACCCGGGTCAGGAGCCCGAGGTGCAGGTTGAGGCGTTCGGCCGGAGTGGGCTCGCGCTGAATAGTGATGACGAGTTTGATGAAGATATCTCGTCGAGTCAAAAAGCCCCGAAAAAGCCCTTTGATCCATGGCAACCTGATTTAGCTTGGGTTCCTGAAACGATCCTCAAGCTCGGCGTGCCTGTCACTGTGGAGGATTGGGAAGAGGGACAACGAAGTAAAGGACGAGCCAAGGAAGACAAAACTGCAGCCAAAGCGAAGCGCAAGACCAAGATAATTCAGTCCAACATGCCTGCCGGAGCATTGGACAAGTATGTCACGGTTACGAAGAACATCAGCGACACCACCGTTAAATCCAAAGAATCTGCCCCCATCACCATCCCCAGCTCACCTCCGAAACCCAGCAGCCAACCCGCGCCGCCAACACTCACAAGAAGTAAGCAGGCCAAGAAGCCCAGCACAAAATTGTCCAAGCAACCCACCACCCGGCCGTCCCTCGATATCAATCCGTGGACAATAGCAAGCTCACAGTGCAGTCCACCTAGGGCCGGCCCTTCTTCCACTCTCACTGCCGATCTCCTTTCTACTCCAACCAACGACCCTCCGCGTTCTCCAGCTGTATCACACGTGGCTAAAACAATGCCTGGAGGTTCGACTACTTCCAGTGACATTCTTCCAAGCCATACCGCCGCCGCCGCTCGCGATGTTGAACCCATTCTTATCGAATCCAGTCCCGTCGTTCCTCCCCCCGGTACGACTGCGTCATCTACGATGGCTAACTCTTCTCACCCGCGTCAGGGTACGCTTGTCCGCGGCGGTGTGAGGGGTTATGGGCAGAAGACGCCGCCGAAGAGGCAGAAACGGAGGGTTGGGCAGAGGGCGTTGGAGGAGGCGGAGGATTCGCCTGCTTTGCCGACGGATGAGGCCAAACCGAGTGAAGTTCATGCTGAGTCTCAGCTGGTTAGGAAGGATAGGACGTTCAAGAGGGTTAAGAGCGGTACCGAGGACGACTTGAGTTCGAATACTGCAAGTACGACGACTCAGGCCGTTAAACAGACAACTGCCCCCTCATCAACGTCAACCCAGACGTCGATCAAATCCTTTGGGAGGGTATCCAAAGAGCCGATCAAAATATCCTCAGAAAAAGTGGCGGCCATCGAGACAATCGTCCTTTCAGATTCCGACTCAGACTCTGATGATGACGATGACTTACCCCTTCTCTTCCCCACCAAGAAAGCTCCACCCTTCCTTCGCAGCGAGCAAAACCCATCCTCGTCTTCAACTGGATCTCGCTCCGCGTCGTCATCTACCTTTGTCCCAGCCTCTAAGTCGTCAACCTTAGTACCAGACGACGACAACCACGACGAAGCCGACCCCTTCGGCCCTATTCGTCCCCCTTCCGGAGACAATGGGACCCAGCCCATCAGAAGCGCATCCGAAATTCCCCAAGGTATGATGAATAAACCCACAATCAAACTAATCACCCCGATACGAGCAACTTCCGAACCGGCGATCGGCCACTCTTCCAGTCCAGACCTACCTCCCTCTAACGACACAAAGTCGAACACAACAACCGTAATCATGCCTTCCACCAATCCAACAACGGGTTTTTTTGTTGGAATGGAGATGTCTCGTGAAGAGGCGATGAGGTTGACTAGAGACTTTCCAGAGCCTGGTGATGATGATACTAAGGCAGAGAAGAAGGTGCTTGGGCGAGGGGTGTGGGGATGGAATGCTAGGGAATGGGGGAAGGAAAGGAGGATGTGGAGAGTGAGTGAGATTGAGGTTGTTGATTTGACGGGGGAAGATTAATTGGGATGTGGGAAGCAGTTTTTTTTTGGGGGGGGGGGGGGGAAGAGGGGTAACTCATAGATGGGGACTCGGGGAGTTAAATTTTGGAATATATGGGATGGGGTTTGTATCTCTCTGCATGGGGCTTCTGACTGCCATTGAACGAACAGGAGATGATTTCTGCGGATAGGGACCTAGTGATTTAGAAAGACTTTCAGGGTCGTGTAAAGCGTAGAAGGACGTTTCGTGGGGAAGCGGGGAGAATGGGGAATGTCGACAAGGGTTATATATATATACATAGAAGATATCCATGGTATCAAACCATACAATATAGCATTGCCAAAAAGCGTATCGTAGGTATTCCTTCGAATTATGGTCTCCTTCTATATTTCAGGCTTTACCAGACACAGAACATAGGCAGATCTGGTGGCATGCAAAACAACAGGAAAAGGAAAGAAAGGAAGAAAGAAAAAGAAAGTCGAAGCGAAGAAGTCCGATAACAAAGCTCAGAAATGGCTTTTTATCACGGTTTTGTATGTAGGTAGCTGCTGCATCCCACGACCACAATCTTTGGCCGCCACCAACTCACTCATGAATGCTTTGGCTCCCATATTCTTCCACATCTTCAAAACCAGCCTTTTACCTCATGATACACTGTTCGTAAGCCTATAAAACAGCCCCTGTCTCAAAACCCCAATCCCACCCCTTCAAGGACTGGGCGGCGCACCAAGGCAGCTACTACACTTAGCATCAATAGCGATTGTCTCGGTTTTGTTGCTCATGCACGGCTTGCCATCGGTCTTCTCCTGGCAATCGACAGTTGCGCCGTCGAGTTCGCAGCCACAAGCCATTTTCGTGCGGTAGGTTGTGCACATATTGGTACGGAGGATCGTAGATCGGTGTAGAACCTGCCAATGTATCGTTGGTGAATGGGTAGACGGGATATTGTTGGAGTCGGAGGTACTTGGTTGATCGATTGTAGGTATGAGTGTGTTCGTGGGAAATCGAGGTTACTTTTGGGGAGGTTTGGTGAGCTTGTATGGTTTCTGGAAGTAGTAGCAGTTGACATGTTGGTATCAAGGAAGATAGGCTGGGTAGAGTGTAATACCTCTCTTTGATATTGGGATAGTCCGATCTCGACCAGTTGCCCGCCAACGGGGATCGATATTGAGAGCTTTTGCTGCCTTTAAGCGAGACTGTTGGTCGCTGTCCGAACAAAGCCGACCAGGAAGCCTGGCTTGCAACAATTACCGTAGGAAACCATTGCTTGTGATGTGCTGATTGATATGGCAGTCAGAAGGGTAGCCAAGGCACACACTACTCTTCAACTTTGAAGTCCCAAATCACAACTCCAATATACAATTAGCCTACAGAACTGACAGGACAAACTACACACAAAGACACCACGGCAAACGCCATACCAGAACAAAAGCAAATTGTCTGCCTCCTCCCTAACAGTTCTTCCTAGAGAGTACCTAACCGAACCACGGCTCCATCTGTAACTTGAGAAAATTTCCCAGTAACGCCAATCTTTTTCCGTACTCTCCTACCCTCCTATCCACTCCCCATCAGCGCTTCATGAAACTCTCCCGTCCTGGCCAGCTCACCTAAGCACCAAAGGCTGCTTCGCCAACAAAACATTAACACTCTCCCTCGCGTTCTGCGATGCCCACACACTCTCCTTCCCGCCCCTCCTCCACTCATCCCCCGCCGTAACTGCCTCCTCCCCACCGCCAGCCCCCAACCCTCCGGTAACCCCGTCCCTACCAGCCCGATTCGCCTCTCCCAAAATAATATCCAAATCCCTCTTTTGGCTGCTCAACCATCCTTTCACAAACCCAACTGGATCGCGCGCCATACCAGACAGGAAAGCATGTTTGGCTTTGGAGTGCGCCACCGCCTGCATGAGTGTCGCCAATTGATCGTCGAGGGCGGCAATTTCCTTGAGGGTGGTGGCATAGGAGGGGTTGGAGGGGAAGGGGAGGTATGGGGAGGAAGACTGGCGGGTGCGAAGGGGGTCGTCGACTAGGACGCGGATGTCGTAGATGGTGGGGGAGGGGTTTTTGTGGAATTCTTCGTCGACTCGGATGGTGTAGGGGAGTTTGATCGGGGAGAGGGGGCGGAGGTGCGGTGTGAGGTATTCGTTGAGGTGGGGGATGAAGCCTGAGTCGCGAGGGATGATCTACACTGTTGTCAGCGGCTGTGGGGTACATTGAGGGGAGGGAGGAGGGGACCTACCTTCTTCAACATGTCATCACACCTAAAATTCCGCTTCTCCTCATCCTCCTGCAGCTTATTCAACTTGATATACTCCCACACCGCCATAACCGCCTCCTGCCGCGTCGCTTCCTTCATATCCACAATCTCGGCCAACTCTGGGCTGAGCTCGAATCTCTCCGGATCCTCGTGCCGGTACAGGTTAATTATCACGTTCACGTTCTCATCCCCGGGGCGCTTGAACGTGATCTCGTCGAAGTCAGCCATCGCCGGCAGGTTGGCTGCGCCAGCGGGCGTCCGCTCAGGCTTCTTCCACTCAATCGTTGTCTCCCTACCAGCCGCCGCGGCGGCAGCAACCCGGGACTTGTCAAATTCGACGGTGAGTGCCTTAAAAAAATGCGAGAAGCGGTAGCGCTGGCCGTGCTTAGCGGGCACCGCCTTCGCAGGCTTAGCCGGCTTCGCGGCCGGAACAGAGTCGGTGTCCATCTTGTTGCCGCCGTTGGCCGAGGGCTCATCGTCATCGGAAGAAGGGTCCTCTTCATCCTCGAGCAAGCGGCCCTCGATCTTGAGACGGTACGAGGCCTCAAGGTTGGAGGAGAAGTCAAAAGTGTCGACGTTGAGGCTATTGTTCTGCCAGTACTGGTCCTCGACCGTGTTGCTGATCCAGACGCGCATAGTTTTGTAACGCTAGCCAGTCTTAGCCTACCTCTCCACCCACGATCATTCCCTTGGTATAGGTACACACCTTAGTATTCCGACTCAACGAGTCTACAATATCAAGCCTCTTCCTCGTCATGGTCGCATCCAGCCTGCGCTCAAAGTCGCGCAGCTGGCGATACGCATCAACCACGTAGCCATGGTCGATCACTATCTCCTCGACGCCGTCAGGCAGGTTCTTGTCGGTCGGCTTGCGGCTGCGCAGCTTGGCCAGGTGGTTTGCCTGCTGCTGGGCCTGATGCTGCTGATTGAGTTGGGCCGCGCTCAGCGGTGCCTGCGGGTGCGGTCCAGCTGACATCATGGGTCCTGCGAAGTGCGGAGGATGCGCGTTAGGTCTGGACTGGTGAGGGTGAGGTGCCATGGTGGAGAGTCAATGGGTCAGAGTTTGAGGGCAGATATGTTACTGCACGACAGCTGGTCGAGTAGAAGGGACAGAGCTTGGACAGAAGTCCCCCGACAAACAAACTCCGAGTCCGACACTTGTCGCTTGGTCCCGACCCTTGGGTATCAAAGCGAAGCAACCTGCGCGCGCGCGGGAGCTCCACCAAGCGGCCCATCCTATCCGATCGTGCCCATGCCTGCCGCCGCGCCGCCGGGAGGGGCCGGACACGCAGCACAGCAGCATGCCAAACTCTGTTCCATAGCAGCAGCTTGCTACCATGAGTGTTTGTTCCAGCCAAAGGGCTGGTCTTTGCATAAAGCGGAGCACATCCAAGACCATAAAGAGATAGACAGTTCATGGGAACCAGGACTGTGATATCGAATCACAAGAGAAAAAAAAATACAGATCAAAGAAGAGACGTACCAATGCCGCCCCGGCGCGGTGGGACGCCATGCGGTCCAGATCCAGGCCGCGGCGGAGTGGGAGCATGTTGCCCGTAGCCGCGGAATTGTTGCTGCATTTTTCTTCGTTCTTTTAGTATTTCCCCCCCCCCTTCTTCTCTTGTTTGCTGTTTACCCCTTCGATTCGACCTCAACACGTTTCACTCTTCTATTTTTCGTCCCGCGTAACCGAAAGAAGAGAATGTGAGTCGTAGTTCCAATGCGACGGTCGCAGTGCTAGTTCTGACGAATTAATGTGTAATGTGAGGCTGCGACTCGGCATCAATACCGGGGCACCGCGACTGGATGATGGACGGGGATGGAGACGGGGATGGGAATGACGCTGCGGTGTGGATGGGCGAGACGGGGCCAGTGTCGATTGCTCCAGCGTCGCGTCGATCGATCGCGTTTCTTCTGCGTTTGTATCGTCGTGGTTTAGCATGCTGGCTTGGCTCTTGCTCGGGCTTGGTTGGCGGCTGGCCTAGATTTGCGCAAGTACGTTGATTGGCTGCAGGGACCGCACTGGTGGGGCACCCGTTGGCAGGGACGGGTCCCTCTAATCGAACAGCTGGTAGCAGCTGGCAGTATTAGCAGCGTTGGCAGTCTTGGAAACACCCGACCACCTCCCAACGTCGATATCTCGAAACTAAAGAGACCAATTACTGCATTTGACGTCAGGTTTTTACCTCTGATAGCTTCAACTATGTGACTGTAATTTCATACTGTACAGTTGTAGTCCCGAAACCCTTATGGCCCCCAAATGCAAATTTACTTGAGGGAAGAAGTTGAAGTTACCCCCCTCCCCATCCACCACTTAAGGTGAGGAGCCAGAAGAGACCCATGCCCTCTCTCATTCCTCGCCCCTTTGGATGTCCATGGAGGAAGCCTCAGTCAACTCCTATCCTCAAGCTCAAGTCCCATCAAACCTAGAGATCACATGCCAAGCTATCACCTGAAAGGGAAAAAAAAAAGAGGTGCACCTGTACTATGATCAACCACATCCAGTTGACTTCTTGATTTTCTGTTTTTTCAAGGCTCAGAAAAACGAGAATCAATCAATCCTACGCCGCGCTGCCAGCTACCAAAATGCCCATTAAAAGTGTGTAGTACGTGTAACCTAGGTATTCGGTGAGAGGGTAGTTGTAGTGTGGTTTGTAGAGGTTGTAGTTCTAGTCCTTGTACGACTGTGACTGTGACGCTTGATGGTGACTGTGCTCAGTGCTATAATGCCTTAGCTCCGTCCATCCACCCATCCAGCAAAGACAATTGGTTGATCCCCAAGTATGAGAGTTGAATAGAGTAAAAAACCCTTACTCTCCAACTGGTTGAACGGCATGGTCCTATGAGAGCATCTTCCAAGTAAGAAATCCAATCCTCCTCCTGCATCCATGAATGCTCCTCTGTAAAGGACCTTTGTTTGGTGACTTTCAAGTGTTGTGCTCTCCTTCAAAAGACAATCCAGATCTTCTCGCCTCCAATCCAAACGGTCAGTCCAAAGCAGTCAGCTGTAGCCAACCAAGACAGACCATAAGACCAACGAGGCTATGGAATATGAGCGGGAACTCCCTCATCAGCAAAATAAAAGAAAGAAAAGGAAAAAAAGAAGACGAGCTTGCCATTGAGTCCAGCAAACCCTGTCCGTCCATCACAAACCCGCTCCTCAAGCCTCTTCAGTTCCCTATTCGCCGAACAGAGGCGAGCCTCCCGTCAAAATGCCGCCCCCAACCCATTCTTACTTTGCCGCTTACTAAACCGGTTCCTCTTCACATTGATACTCGAGCTGTCCTCCAGACTGGCCTGGCTCTTACTCAACTGGTTTCTCCCGGCCCGATCACTGATCGTGTACCCCGTACCAGCCGCATCAGCCGAGAAAGTCGGTGCCCCAGAGGAGCCGACCCCATGCATCGTGCTTGCGGGACTGGACATGGACGAGGACATGTCGCCGAAGCCGTTCTCGGCGACGCTGGCTGCGACATTCTGGGAGATGGCAAGTTCCTTGGAGCGCTCGAGCGCGTCGATCCACTCATCGACGGAGAACTTGGAGCCGTCGGCGTTGTTGGAATTGTTGTTGTTGGTTGCATGGGCACCTTTCGGCTCCTCAAAGGTGTAGTGCACGCCGTTCTAGGACAACCGTCATCGCGTCAGCACTCGTATTCTAAGCAATCCTCGCATCCCAGATGACGATGACCGAGGATGGAAAGAGGAACGGGGGCCAAAGGGGGTAGGGGGGGGTAAAAAGGCATGGGAAACACCCACCGTGTCGACACACCACACCGGCTGGCCCTTAGCATCGATCTGCGTCCTCCACACGCAGTCCGCACCCAGCAGCGAGATCTCCTGCTTTGCCCTCTTCTCTTCGCCGCCGGCCGGACACAGGATGATGCGCCCGCTAGATGTGACCATCACCAGGCGTTGCCGCTTCTTGGTTGTGCTGCCGCCAAAGAAGCGCGACAACTTCTTGTGGCCTCCTTCGCCGTCGCGTCCGTGAGAGCTGTTCGGTATCGGCGAGGAAATCACCATAAGATCTCCCAGCTTGAGGATGCGCTCATTGGCCCGCGTAAGGACGGGAGACCACTCGATGTCGAGCTGCGTCGGCGGGGGCAGCTCCGTAATGATCCGGGCAGGTCTCGAACCGTTCGATTGGCTCATCACGGTCTGCGTCTGTGGTCCGCGCGTGCTGTTCGGGGTGACCGGTTTGCTCTGGCTACCTCCTGTTCCATTAAGCTGGATAATGTGAGGTTCCTGGGGAGGGGGGATGTAGGGCCGCAGCCGGGGCGCCTTCATGCGCCACAGCTCCCTACCGAAAGTCTGGCCTTCAAAGAATTCATGGTTCTTGATGTGCTCGATCGTCAGCCGCTGGTTTGGGTCGAGCACCAGGCACCGCTCAACGAGGTCGCGCGCGGCTGGCGGGAACCCAGCGGGGAACTCGTATTCCAGCTTTACGATCTTCTGGAATGTAAGGTATTCGGTCGCACCCTTAAAAGGCGGCCGGCCGGCAAGGAGCTGGTAGATGATGCACCCGAATGCCCACAGGTCGCAAGGCTTGCCCGCCTCCTTGTTCATGAGCAACTCGGGGCTCACATATTCAGCTGTGCCGACAAACGAGGCATTGCGCTCCGACTCTCGCGAGCCGTTAGACTGTCTGGAGGGGTCGTCGTTGCGTTGTTCGCGGGGGTCCGGGAGCAACTTAGCCGTGCCAAAATCCGTAATCTTGACATGCATCTGGTCGTCCAGGAGCACGTTCTCCGGCTTGAGGTCGCGATGGATGACTCCTCGGGAATGCATATACTCGATGGCATCCAGGATCTGCGCGCCGTAGAACCGCGTGCACTCCACATCGAACGTCCCCGTCTTCTTCAGCACGCTCAGCAGCTCGCCGCCATTGCAGAGGTCCAGGACGAAATACAGCGACGACTCATCCTGGAAGGTGTAGTACAGCCGGACGATGCCCGGATGCTCGGTCAGCCGGTTGAGCGTGTTCTTCTCGATGTTGACGTATTTAACCTTCTGCTCCTTGATGATGTGCCTCTTATCGAGAACCTTGATGGCATGCTCGCGCAGCGTCTGCCTATCCGTGGCAAGATAGACCGTACTGTACGAGCCCTCGCCCAAAATGCGACCAAAGGAAAAGTCACGGACACCCTTCTTGATATGGCGGATGATCGTCCGACCCTCGGCATCCACCTCTTTCTTAATGGCGACGGCAGCGCCCTTGTCCTTCCACTCCTCACTGCTGTTGCTAACAAACGGCGGATCCTGGAAGGTAGGAGGAGCCATGGGGATTCCCGCGATGGTAGGATAGCCGGCGCCCTCCGCGCTCCCTCCTGTACCAACTCCTCTTGAGCTCCGGCGCGCCGGAATGGTGCCGTCAGTGGGTCCTTGCTGCTCTTGCCACGGTCTTCCAGAGTGATAGGATCGGCTGGGCTCTCTTTGCGGGACTCGGGACGCATAGTGTTCGTCAGCGCGTGGGTCGGGTCGCATGCCGTACATCGAGGTGCGGGTATGATCGGGTCTGGGCCCGCCATAGTAACCTCCTTGCTGTTGATCGTAGTATTGTCCCGGATGGCCGGGTCCAGAAGGAGGTACCCCCGACTCCGGGGCCTGGGTCCGGCCAGCCCGGTACGACCGGTACCGCTGGAGACCGGGGCTAGGCTCAGGAGAAGGACCCGCATACCCCTGAGTCGAGGTGTTTAGGTTGCTCTGCGCATTTCTGAGAAGAGCTGCCGCAGACTCATTAGTCGCTGAATATGTCTGTTGCTGATGCTGATGCTGTTGTTGTTGTTGATGTTGTTGTTGCTGTTGTTGTTGTTGTTGTTGTTGTTGTTGTTGCGTGGCGGGTTCGTGAGGAGCTACTGATTGTGAGTCGGATTGAGCAGTCGGAATAGTGCCCCCTTGGATATTAGGAGCAGCAGCAGTGTTCGACTGGGTCGCAGCGGAATCGTCTGTGGTAACCAGAGCCTCCTGCGAACGGTTAGGGGAATCGTCGGGATTGGCGATTCGCAGGCCGCCCAGCGCCTGGGAGAGGCTGAGGTCGCCGTTCATGGTGGATGAACTGAGCCTCCCGCAAGGGCAGAGGCGACGTCACTTTTGGGAGATGGCAAAAGGAGAGCGGGTGAATGGTCGAGATGGAGTCGAGCAACGCTCAATGGTTTAAACTGGGCATGCGGTCTCGGTTGCAACGTTGCAGTCAGGGGATGGGAACAAGTCTAGCCCGAGAGAGAGTCGGTCAGGATGCCATGAGGCGGGCAGAAACGAGAGAGAAGGTCAAGTCGACGGACAGCAAGAGCAAGAGCAAGATACGGAAGAAGGGGACGATGGATGACGCAACGCAGGCTTGCTGTCGGTGAACCGGTGAGTGGCCGAACTGTTTCGCGTTCGCGGGTCGCTGGTCGCAGGCTCAGGTCACAGATGCGCTGCAGCAGGGCTCGTCTCGAAGGGGCTGTGCTGGCTGTGTTGGCTGCCGGTTCAGCAGTGGATACGCAATCGTGCTGTGAAGCGTGCTCTTAACGACTGTTGGGCATCCAGCACTCACACCTGGCCTCGTCGGTATGCCAATGCAAGGCCGTAACGGACTGAGTGCTTGATGGATTGGGGCCCAGGTGGATGATAAGCGATCGGAAGCCGGCCGTGGCTCTGCGCACACGCTCGGAGGATGCTGTAGATGATGACGGCAGAGGAAATGGTGAAGGTCGGTCGATGGTTGCGTGGTGGAGGTCGAGGCCGCGACCTTACGTGGAACGAATGTAAGCCAATCAACCATCACCGGAGGATCTAAGGGACCGTCGAGACTCAAGGCGCCAGGTGCTGTTACAGTGCGAATCTATGATATGGACGGTGCCGGCTTGGCGATCGGATATGGTGGGGACAGTTTGATGAGGTCACTCTTCTCTGAAATTAGCAGGCAGGGTACCTGAGATAAGGACTGTGCGACATCTCATCTGTACACAGTATGACGGGAGAGGATTGAGGGGCAAGTGGCTGTGAGCACCGAGGAAAATCTTCGAGAATCAACTATAGTTGAGGGCAACAGAGGGAAATTAGGCTGGGCTATCGATGTGGCGACTTTTGGTTGTCGTCGTGGCTCTGGATAATCTTTGGATTTTTCAGGGTCCAGCTCAGGGCTAACCTTAAGCCAGTAGAAGCCCCTTGGATGGAGAGACGCTTCTTTGACAAGAACACTTAATCTCAGCAAAAAAGGTAGTCTGCTCAGATCGCCTTGATGGATTCTTCTATATTTTGAGTCCGGTATTTCAGCTACAATTCCTGGAAATAGGAGCTTGTCGCTTTGTGAAGGAGACAAAACTCTTGAAGCCTCTGTCTACGGCTTTTTGTAGGACAAGAGAAGTGACTCCGTGGCACTCTGATCTGTACTTAGCCGGACCATCAGTCACAGCCATGATTCAAAGCTACTTGGTATACGATGGTTTGGTAACTTGGCTGAAGAAAATTCCTCCGGCTGTCTTGGACAGGGTCAACTCTGTGAGGGTTTGGCTCAAAGATACCCAGAACCAGGACATGAAATGATAAGGAACTGGCTCTGTGACTTCTCAGTAGGAGAGTATATGGGGCCGATTGTGTAAATCATGTTTAGCGCTATGGATAATTCAATAGAAACTTCCAGATACTGAGATACATATCTTGAGTTTCTGTGCTGACGGCAGGTATATGCTAACAGTCACTTTAATTGTATTGGATATGGCCTGACTGGGAAAGCAAACGATGGAATGTACCTGTATGTGCACTTTCCCAAAGTAATGTTGATGCCAGTTGTGAACAAAGGCTTGTTAACAGCCCGCTATTGTGGGCTCTCTTCACCAGGTCTGTTATGATGTTGGATGCATTACCCATTGTCCCAGAAGACCATCCAGGGATGAAGATTAAAAACAAATGAATCGGCCAAAAGCTTTATCTCCAACCACTGAAACTGGAAACCACGATATTTGGTCTCTCCTATCCAACTCAGTCTTCGTTCCTTCCCTGCTCTCTCAGTAACATCAAACCCTTTTCTACTCTCGACTCACACCCAAGTTCATTTTGCAGCAACTACCTTCTAGATTGTCGAGTGCTTTGGACTCCAGGCATCCTATCCCTCAACATCCAACGTCTTGGGTATACCAACTTCAGACTATGGATGTTGCCAACCACTATCGCCATAATGCTTCGCCTTAAGCCGACAGTCATCACGATGACCCCCGCCGAGGTCATCGAGGCCGAACATCGCCGCCGCTTCCGCAAGTATCTTCGCGAATCCGAAGATCTATCTCGAGTCGTCGATCGAGGGAGCTGGAATGCGACACTTCCTTTTCGCCCTGCTTGTCTGCAATCATCGGTTGTAGCAGACGCTGGAAGGAGACACGCCCACTCTGTGGAGGACCTCAACACCCATGCACTCTCATCAGAGCTGCAACTGGCTGCAACTCGAATCCCCGATGACGATGTTATCTCTGTCATATCCCAGCCAGAGTCTACGGTAAGCCGTGGACGTCAGGGAAGAGGGGATGCGGGCGAGCAACAACCGTTACTAGGAACAACACAGCTGCCCCTGAGAACGAAATCTGGCCCGCTTCCTGCCACACCTGAAGCTGCGCAGGATGACGTGGAAGATGTGACAGTTATATCCGGCTCGTCAATCACCGCTTCATCTAGACGACCGTCTGCTTGTAGCCGACGTAATGATGCTGCAGGGAAAGGTAAGGCATTTCGGGGCCGAAAACAACGAGAGTACTATTACTAATGATGCTTTTGATAGGGCGAATCCAAGCTATGTCTTTGTCGCCTCCTGCTTCCCGTGTAAGCCTGATTCAAGAGAATCTACAAGTTGAATGCATCGGCTGATCTTGACAGACCCGTCGCTGGCTGGATGGTGCGGACTCGGACTTGCCCAGCGAAAAGATGCCTATTACTCGACGTCGTCGGGCTTCTCTCGGCTCAGCTTTCCTCTCAAGAAGAACGGTTGCCGGTCTGGAGCGTTATGTATGTCTGCACACGTCTCTCTTTGGTAGCTCAAGTCAGATCTGACAGCATGCAGGTTCAGTCCGAGTCCTCCGCCGACACAGAAGACAACGACATGGGTTTGAGGTTAGGAAGGGTAAGACAATCAATTGTGAGCGGTAGATAAAAAGCTCGAAAAGCTGAACAAGAGCGTCTAGGAGCCTGAAACCTCGTTGGCAACACCGCGCCATAGAACTCCAGGCCAACCTCGAATCTATAACGATCACATACCCTCTTCATCGCATCCTCAAACCCCGCGAAATTTGCCCGAGAGTCACCGTCAAGACCATCTACGCGGTGCATACACAGCTCCCGTCCAGCGAGGGACTCAGCACCCTGAAGCGACGCCCTCCACAAGCCGTCGCAGACGTGGAACTGGACGTAGAAGAGGCACTAGTCCTGCAGGACTGCAAACTCCGGGGTTCGTGGGATTGTATGGAGGTATAGAAAATGCAGACGAATGGATGCTGTATGAACAAGTGACGCCAGAAACATGAGTTGGCAATGTCGCACAGGTTTCACTTCAGTTGGTCAGCATGGTCAACAGAAGCGTGAAAGGGTAGCGGCAGTGAGGAATGGTGGTGTATCGTTAGAGCATCGAAACACTTGACCATGATAAACCTGGCCAAACGCGACCTATCCGGTGTGTGTGAGCAACGGAGCCATTCATAACCCCAACTCCCTTAATGAGCTGTGGCTACTCTGAGTATCTTCTTTCATATCATGGTGTTGAGGGCTTCCTCCGTCATCGGCCGATTACCAAGCATTCAGCCGAAAATTGCAGCTCGGGTCACATGGGCTTGGCTGATGCTGTGATGATGCGATCTGGTTACCCTGGATTACCCCCTCTCATCCAGAGGATCTCGTCTGTTGAGCGCTGAGTGATACGGAAAAAGGACTGGAGCCGCAGGGCGCGGGATGAGCTCCACGGAAGCCAGTTAGCCCACGAGTGGATGCCCCGGGATCATCCGTCTCCACTCCAGCCTTGTTGCCTCAGGCTTCAATGTGGTTGCCCTAGATACACGCTCGCGATTGGTGAATTCAAAGCGCCCCACTCCGGGTTACATCGTGCACGAACCTCAGCTGGTGCCAGTTGGGAGTGGGCCGGAGCCGCCGCGACCGCGGCGTTACGCAACTCTGGCAGGTGTCGCCGGTCGCTCGCGGGCAACCAAGGGGCAACAGCCGATCTAACCGCTTACGGCGCTGTGGATCCCTCGCCGCCTGCAAGTCAGGTTAAGCCAATCAGATTGGACGCAGTGGAACCCAGACCCCACAGCAGCCCAGACCCAATGGGATGTTGCACATCGCGCTTGCAGGCGATGGCACGTTTCCCGACGGGACGCCTCTTTTCACTGCCTCGTGCAGGTCCCCAAGCCAGATCCTGGAGCAGCACCGCGCGCGCTGCCGGCTGGCCTGGTCTTCCCGTTGCCTGCGGTCCCCCAGGCCTGTGCCGTCTGCCTCACGTTGGATCGTTCGCCCGCGCAGCCCTGCTTCGTCCCTTTTAGCTCCTCTCCCTTCTTTTTCTTCTGGGCTTCGTCCACGATTTTCTGCCCCAGATTTTTCTTATCCATCCCGTTCCCACCCATCCACCTTTTTCTTCGATTCCTTCTTCCTCCTTCTAACTTGCCTGCCTCGCGCATATTAGGTCCATCGCCGGCCACTACCCTCCATCGCCCATCGTAAAGCCACCGTCCACTTACACGCCGTCTTGGTCTCGCGGCTTGCCGTGTGCCAACACCCAGGGCCTGCGCAACCTGTCATCAACGCGCGCTGACTTCGTTACCTCACCTCCAATCCTCAACCTCCTCGTCGCCAATCCTCGATACCTTCTCACTAATCGTTCATCCTAATCCCTTCTTCTGGCCAATTGCTTTGTCCTTCCCCGGCCACAAGCCCGTCGCTCGTCCTTCTACTTCTCACCTGAGCCCCATTGACATTCTCTCACCTCCATTGCCTACCTATCTCCCCTACCTTGCCCACTTCACCTCTACCTTGACACCGACTCGCGTTTGCTAACCCAGTGCTACCTCATTTCCTTTGACCGAAACATCTAACACATCCTGTCTCGTACTCATCTAGCACTAAGCAGGTTTTTCCCCGTCCAAATGGCGTCCTTCGGCCGCGTCTACGTTTCGTCGCCGATCCTCGCCATGCAGCCGCAGGCACCTCACCAGGTCTCGTTTGGCGGCAACCCCTTCTTCCAGGCCCAGCCCTTCTCCTTCTCCCAGTCTAGCTCATGCGGCGCACGGCTCATTCGTACCTCCGTGCTCGCCGGCCGCAAGCGCACTCGGGACGAGGCTGCCATCAACCTCGACCCTCCTGAGAAAGTGGTTTCAAACAATGCTGACTATGTCGTCGGCACTAGCTCTCGGTCCGCCACGTGGGCCGAAGAGCGCGCTGTCGAGCAACAAGGTCAAAAGACCGAGGCCGCGCTCCGCGCCCAGCAGCAATTGGCCCAGTCCCGTCCGTCTCTGCGCAGCTGCAAGTCGCAACGTCTCGATCTCAGCGCCTCCAACGACAGCAACGGCAGCCAGCGCTCTGGCAGCCCTTCCCGTGAAATCAGCAACCCCATGACCTCCTCTTCGGACTCGCTCTCCCAACCTATTGTTGACGACTTCACCATCCACCTTGGCATTGGCTGGAGCCGGCTGAGCCCTTCCATCCAGGACGCGGCGCGTGGTTGGGCCCGTTACATCGAGAACCACTATCCCGTCACCAATGCCAAGCTTATCCTGCAGAGCCGCGGTCTTGAGTCGTACCTTGTTGAAGCCAACGAGGGGTATTTCCTTTTCGATGAGAGCCTTCGCAAGGGCCGTCTCGTCAGCCGTACCCCCGAAGGCGCCCTGCGCAACCTCAAGGTTTCGCCTCCCGTCTTTGAGGGCGCCGACGTTATGAACGCGTCACCCACTGCTAAGATCGCGCATTCCAACGACACTGCTACCACTACCAACACGTCTGTGGACATCGACATGAACTAAACGGGAGAAATTTTTCGGCTTGGCAACAATCTGGCATATGCAGGAAGGGTGCTTGTTTTCCAAACGGGACCTTTTGAGCTTTCCGGTGGCTAGTATGGCATTCGACGAACCGGTAACGCTAGCGCTAGCGAAGTGTTTGTCGTTTCTTTCGCCTCATCTACTACTTTCCACCTACTTGCTTCTTACAGGTTTCAGGCTTCGTCGGGATCCGGGAAATATGAGGCTTTTGTCGGAAGAGGACGTACACAAAAAAGGTAACCTGGTATCTGGGTGTTTTACGGGGATATTTCGCATGCGGTTTCTGATTTTTTTTTTCGTCTCGTTTTCTCTCGAGTTTTTGCTTTTCTTCCGTATTTTCCAGCGGAAGTGTACACTGTAACAATAGGACCATTATCAGTATTGAGCACTCGGAAGCGGAATCAAATAGTTTTTGTCAGGTTCAGACATGTTGGTAACCCTCGTGAAGTGAGCTCCCTTGTAGATGAGAGGGTTGCACGTAGATCTAAATCTCAGGGTACCAAAAGTCCCAGTAAGGAATGAGGCAACGTAAAAATGAGGCCGTTGATGGATTCCTGCCTCATCTAAGAACCCGTACTTCTTTCGGCGCAAACCTGGATGATCTCTCGTCACCCAGCCCTTGGCTTCGACGTGTGTCAGCTCGGAGTTTCAGTCCGCGGGTGTTGAGTGAGGTTGTCAGCGGACCCGTTTGCCAAGACTGTGGAGACGCGTTCGGTGCCTTTTTGTTTGTCGGCTGGTATCGGTTGGTGTCTGCTGGCAAAGGCTGCCGAAATTTTCTTGGCGCTTGGCATTTGGCAGGCGTGATCGCTTTTGTTCGCCAGCCCGTAACAACTGCAAGGAGGAACGGCAGCATCGCATTCCACAGACATGACCGCAAGCGGAATGCAGAATGTTCGGTCGGATAAGGAGAAGGGGCCTAGAAATTGCGTTTGTGATCTTGTCTTATCGGATTGACCGCAGTTTCGCCCCCACCAACATTCAAAATCCCTAAGCTTATTGCCAATCGATGGAGGTAAAAAAAATGGGACAAAATCAAGCCAACCAAGCCATATGGTCCCTTTTGTAGGACTCGAGAGCGAAGGCATTAAGGACACCTACAAAGGGAAGGAGAAACATCAAAGCAGGGTCCCGGATCAAGAAGCGGTCGGGCGGTGGTTGGAGTGCGGAGCAAGACGCGACCCGAATCTTGAATGGGGACTGCGAGGGACGCGACATGCAGCTCAAGCAGGTCGTCGCGCAGGCAGTCAACATAGATGTTGGGTAACATGGTTCCTGCTTTGCTATGCTTTGCCCTGCTTTCGTTACCCCTATGAATGAATCGCGCTGTTTTGTTTTGCTTTGTTTTGGATCCTTTTTGTCCCCTTTATGCTTCGACTCGAGTCCGTTTCGATCTCGAGGCCTTTTGACTCCTGAGATTTTCTTTGCATCTCGTCAAAGTCCGCCTTTCCACGACGCTACATACCCATCCCCCATTCTTTCTGCCTTGCCTTGTCTAGCCCTACACCGTCTCGCTGGTTTAGCTCACCTACGGTTGTCCACCTGGCCCAGTCGTCTCTGGATCACCAATCGTTGTTGTCGGCTGGGACACCTTGCAACTGCACGCGAACTGCACGCGAGCGAACGAAGCTAAAAAGCCAAGCCCTTGACTTTCTTTGGGGGAGGGGGGAGCTTTTCTCCCAGTGGTGGCAACGGAAGTAAAAACCCCACAACACCACTCACTCCAGTCACCACACGCGCATTCTGCTCTCTCTAGACAAGAAAAGTGGGTGGTGGCAGAGGTCACAGAGGTTACCTCCCGTTTACCATAATCCACATACCCACACACCGCGACTGGCTGAAGGGCAGCCGGGAAAAAAGAAACTTAACTGAGGTACCTTCGAACACAGCCTCGCCCAAAGGCCGCGTCCACGACAGCCGAGTTAGATTTGTTGCGACGGCTCCTGATTTGCAAGAGGGTGAGGGGGCGTTGGTGATCTTTTTTTCTTCTCCTTTAGTTTTTGCCCCCTCCTGAACGGCTCTTGGAGCTTTTTACATATCTTGAAGCTCTTATTCGGCTGTGCTATCGACAGAGGAACTTGGTTATTTTGTTGCAGAGTTGCTTTTTGTTTAGAGGGAAGATGTTGTGAACTTCTCATCACATCACATTCTATCGCTGTGTGCAGCCATCAGCTATTAGCCGAGTAACGAAGCGATCCTGCAACTCTTGACGGCCAGACACCAGCTGGCAAGCATCCCATTCCGGCCGGCAAGATACCAGCCCTCTCATTCATTACCTTCTATCGGTTCCGGGTGTGAGTCGCAAGAGGAGAAGACGGGGACTGAGGCAACCAGCATTGCATCATTGTTGCTGGTCGTACAGGTTGTCACCGGTATCTAAGAGGAGTCGCGACACATATTTTTTTTACGTCGCCCACACACATCGCGACAGAAAAACAACACAATCGCTGGTGGGCGTCCCGCCCACACACCAGCATCATCACTGTTACCATGGTATCTCAGTACACTCCCAGCGCCGGTGACGGCCAACAACTCGCCCTCCGCGGCGCAGCCTCTGTCGTCGGCGTCCCCTCTACCTCTCACCATCGCCGCGACCGCGACGACACGTACAGCTCATCCCGCGCGCGGCGCTATAACCGCTCGCACGCCGGCGGCAGCTCTTTCGCGCCACAGAACGAGTTCCCCATCTTTAGCAACACGGGCGACGTCGAGATTATTGTGAGGGTCCCGTCCGGCCATGAGAATCGGTACCTTTTGCATCGGCATATCCTCACTAGGTGCTCGGGGTTCTTTGAGGCGAGTACGAGTAGTGAGTGGTCTAGAGCGCAGCAAATTCCGGAACTGCCTGCGCCGGGAGCCGGGAGGGAAAGTCGGGAAAGTGAGCGTGGGAATGGAGATGAGCTTGCGAGGGTTGAGGAGCATAAGGAAAGTGTGTTTGGCGCGGTCGGTTTTGGGCAGGGGAAGAAGAGGTGGAGGTATGAGCTTGATTGGGGGTCAGGACAGAATGATGTACCGATGTTGGTGCAGAAGGATCCGGGGGAGAGCAGTGGCCTGCCGGCGACGAATAATTCTCTGTTTGGGGATGGAAGAGGCTCATCATCAGCGCAACACTCGTCGAGCAGACACTCCCATCGGAAGTCGAACTCCCACTCCTTCTTCCGCTCCGTTGCGAATCTTACGCTGTCCGCTACGCACCATGCGCCGGCTCTGCCACCACCAACGCCAGAAGAGCAAGATTTACTACGTGACTACGACAACCTCTTCCGCATCATGTATAACTACCCTCCTGTCCTTGACGGCGTGAACATCGCCGATGCCTACGTTCAATGCAAGTCCCTCCTGACCCTCGCCGACCAATACGACGCGCTCAGCGTCGTCGGCCCCCGCGTGGACCACCATCTCCTCCAATTCCAGTCCCGTCTCTGGAAGCAAATCGCCAAGTACCCCATCAGCTACCTCCGCCTGGGATACATGGCCCGGTCGAAGGTCATTTTCCAGGAGGCGCTGATTCACGTGGTCGGGCAGTGGCCTGCTGGGGAACGGTCAATCCGTGCCGCGCTGCCGGAGAGCGTTGTAGACATTATTGAGGATAAGGTTGACGAGCTGGAGGAGACTGTGTCGAGGATTGAGGCGAGGCTGTTTAGATTGACGCTGACGACAAGGACGGGGGAGAAGGTTACGCCTGCGACGAGTTATATTGATTGGTTGGCGGTGAGCTTGTTCAGGCAGTGGTTGGCGGAAAATACAACGCCCCCGCCAGTGCCATCGGCCGTTGGAGGCTCGGGAAGGTCGTCGGCAGCGGGTGTGAATGGGAATGGCAGTCGGGCGAGGGAACAATCGAGAACTCGGGGAAGGGGCGGGAGTACGAGTAGCAGCGGGGGAAGTAGTCATGGTAGGTCGAGCCGTGCCAGGCAACATGGAAGTGGTGGAGGGGATAGGAATGGCGAGGATAGCGATTCGCCTCCTCCGCCGGTCTCCCCGCTTGCTACGCTTGGTAGGACTTACAGACTGCTGGGGCAGCCGCCGGATAAGTCAGGCCGGGACGGGTTCCTGGGGCATGATGAGTGTAAGCGGTTTTTGAAGTTGACTCCAGAGCTGTATACCAGGGATAATTTGAGGAAGTTTGAGAAGAGGATCGAGGAGCTGAAGGCGATGGCCAGGGAGATTGTGAGGCCACTGATGGGGAGCGGGCTGGAATTGGATATGTGTGGGCAGGGAGGGGGCGCTGGGCTGGGGTATTTGACATGTACCACTCTCAGGGAGAGGGAGTTACCTTGGAAGGGAGACGAGTATCGGTGATGGGATATGAATGGCATGAGTTACAGGGATGATCACGCTGATTACGTGATGAAGACGACAGTACTTTTTTTTTTTTTTTGGTTATCTTTCAGCTTGGCTACAAATCTGGATGCGACGGCTGGATGGGTCAAGGCCTGGTGTCTTGACTCCCATCCTCATGGAGGATGTTTTGGTTGACGATGTATATGACTGACGAGATGGATGACATATGATAGCACTGTCTTTGAGGATACCCGTTGTTGATAGTTGAAAGATACTATGAGTCTATATACCTACACTACATTTTCAACGACAGGTGTGATGGTGAAGAGCAAAGATGAGCCCACTTCAAAGCTCGGACTTCAGGATTGTTGCTTCGACAGACTCATGGGCCTCGAGGATGACATATTATGACTGGAGATTAGCAAAACAAAGTCTGCGTTGTGCTGAGATGTTGGTCGAGGCCAACTTTATATCCTGAGTCCGCCCTCGCCGTCTGTTGGCAGGACGAGACCGCCACGGTAATGTTGGTAAGACGGCCTTGGCGCATTAACATTTTTCTCCGGTCCTCGAAGCAGTCAGCAGTGGCCCGTGCGCCTGACCCAACGGCTGGTACTTCTGTAAATTACTTCCATACGGCCCTTACGGGGAAGTCAGTATAATACGTACAATACGACACTCCCGTCCCGTACGATACGCAATACGGCGTAACAGGTCGACCCCGCTACCCCGCCACTCCTCCCTGTGCGGGAGCAGCCGATGTTGATCGAGTCACAAAAAGCACCTTGAAATTTCTTGGTCCCCAGGTCTGCGGCGCCCGCGAAGAGTGACTCAGACCCGGCGCAAGTTCCCAACTGCTGCCACCAAATAACATACAAAGAACCCGCATAACTTAGGGGACTCCACTGCCGTTTCCTGCCCAGCAACTAGCCGGGACGTCGACTGGATCCCAACTTCGAGTCTCACAAGAGCCAAAAAAGGCAAATTTCAGCTGTCACCATGTCGATCGACTTCCCCAAGGAAGAGGAGGCCATCATCCAGAGATGGCGCGAGATTCAGGCGTTTGAACGTCAGGTCGAGCTGTCCAAGGGCCGGCCCAACTATGTTTTCTACGATGGTCCTCCATTCGCGACCGGCTTGCCGCACTACGGCCACCTGCTTGCCTCGACCATCAAGGACATCATCCCGAGATACTGGTCCATGAAGGGCTTCCATGTCGAGCGCCGCTTCGGCTGGGATACTCATGGTCTGCCGATTGAGCATGAGATTGACAAGAAGCTGGGCTGCTCTGGCAAGCAGGCCGTCGAAAAGCTCGGTCTTGCTGGGTACAATGCCGAGTGCAGGGGCATTGTGATGCGCTACCGTGAGGAGTGGAGGGGCTTCATTGAGCGGCTGGGTCGCTGGATTGACTTTGACAATGACTATAAGGTGAGTCTAGAGTACAGGAGAGCTTGGAAGAGAATACTGGCTGACCCCTCAGACCATGGACCCCAGCTTCATGGAGACCGAGTGGTGGGTGTTCAAGCAGCTCTTCGACAAGGGTCAGGTCTACCGTGGCTACCGTGTCATGCCCTACTCAACCGCCCTCAACACCGCGCTGAGCAACTTCGAGGCGAACCAGAATTACCAGGACGTCACCGACCCCGCCATCGTCGTGGCCTTCCCCCTGGTTGACGACCCCGAGACCAGCCTGCTTGCCTGGACGACCACCCCGTGGACCCTCCCCTCGCATACCGGCCTCGCTGCCCACCCCGACTTCGAGTACGTCAAAATCCGCGACGAGCAATCCGGCAGGAACTACATCCTGCTGGAGAAGCTCCTCACTACGTTGTACAAGGATCCCAAGAAGGCCAAGTTCCAGGTCCTACAGAGGTATAAGGGTAAGGAGATGGAGGGTTGGCGCTACGAGCCGCCCTTCCGTTACTTCTACGACGAGTACAAGGACATTGCCTTCAAGGTCCTCAACGCCACCTACGTTACCGACGACAGCGGTACTGGTATCGTCCACCAGGCCCCCGCTTTCGGTGAGGATGATTACAACGTCGCCGTTCAGTATGGCATCGTCAGCGAGAAGCGCCCTCCTCCGGACCCGGTCGACGAGAGTGGCCACTTCACCAGTAAGGTGTCCGATTTCGCTGGTCTCCACGTCAAGAAGGCCGACAAGGAGATCATCAAGTACCTGAGGAACTCGGGCAGGCTGGTGGTCGAGTCGCAGCTGAAGCACTCGTATCCGATGTGCTACCGCTCCGACGAGCCGCTCATCTACAAGGCCGTGCCTTCGTGGTTCGTGCGCATCCCCGAGATCATCCCCCAGATGCTCAAGAACATCGAGGGCTCGCACTGGGTGCCGTCCTTCGTCAAGGAGAAGCGCTTCGCCAGCTGGATCGCTAACGCGCGCGACTGGAACGTCTCCCGCAACCGCTACTGGGGCACGCCCATCCCACTGTGGGTCAGCGACGACGGCGAGGAGATCGTCTGCGTCGGCAGCATCCAGGAGCTCAAGGAACTCAGCGGCTACGAGGGCGAGATCACCGACCTGCACCGCGACAAGATCGACCACATCACCATCCCCAGCAAAAAGGGCAAGGGCGTGCTCAAGCGTGTGCCTGAGGTTTTTGACTGTTGGTTTGAGTCTGGTAGTATGCCGTACGCCAGCAAGCACTACCCGTTCGAGAACCGCGAGGAGTTTGAGAAGGCCTTCCCTGGTGACTTCATCGCCGAGGGTCTCGACCAGACCCGTGGTTGGTTCTACACCCTGCTGGTGCTCGGCACGCACCTGTTCGGTGTCGCGCCCTTCAAGAACTGTGTCGTCAATGGCATCGTTCTGGCCAGCGATGGCAAAAAGATGTCGAAGCGTCTCAAGAATTACCCAGACCCGAGCATCGTCATGGCCAAGTACGGTGCCGACGCTCTGCGTCTGTACCTGATCAACTCGCCCGTCGTGCGCGCCGAGCCACTTAAGTTCATGGAGTCTGGCGTCAAGGAGGTCGTCGCCAAGGTGCTGCTGCCGCTGTGGAATAGCTACAAGTTCTTTGAGGGCCAAGTGGCGCTGCTCAAGAAGGTTGAGAACGTGGACTACGTGTTCGATCCGACCATGGAGTCGTCGAACACCAATGTCATGGACAAGTGGATTCTGGCCAGCTGCCAGAGTCTGCTCAAGTTTGTTGAGGGCGAGATGGCCGGTGAGTACTCCCACGCAGATTGCAGGAAAGTTACCAGGCTAATTAATGATGATTTTAGGCTACCGTCTCTACACCGTCGTGCCGAAGCTGCTCGAGCTCATCGACAATACGACCAACTGGTACATCCGCTTTAACCGCAAGCGCCTCAAGGGTGAGAACGGTCTGGACGACACCCTCCACGCCCTTAACACCCTCTTCGAGGTCCTGTTCACCCTGTGCCGCGGCCTGGCCCCCTTTACTCCGTTCATCACGGAAACCATCTACCTCAAGCTGCTGCCGCACATCCCCGAGAAGCTCCGCGGTGAGGACCCGCGCAGCGTGCACTTCCTGCCGTATCCGACCATCCGGCAGGAGCTATTCAACGCCGACATCGAGCGGCGTGTGCAGCGCATGCAGAAGGTCATCGAGCTGGCCCGCGTCTCCCGTGAGCGCCGAAACATCGGCCTCAAGCAGCCGCTCAAGACGCTCATCGTCATCCACCATGACCCCCAGTACCTCGAGGACATCCGCTCGCTCGAGAAGTACATCACCGAGGAGCTCAACGTCCGCGACCTGGTGCTCACCTCCGACGAGGCCAAGTATGGCGTGCAGTACTCCGTCACCGCCGACTGGCCCGTTCTTGGCAAGAAGCTCAAGAAGGATATGGCCCGCGTCAAGAAGGCACTGCCCAACGTCAGCAGCGAGGAGGCGCATCAGTACTCGCTTACCGGAAAGCTCGTCGTCGACGGTATCACCCTTGAGGCCGGCGACCTCGTCGTCAGGCGCGGCCTCAAGGAGGACGAGGCATCCAAGAACCTCGAGACCAATACCGACAACGACGTTCTCATCATCCTCGACGCCGAGATCTACCCCGGCCTGGCCGAGGAGGGCCTGGCGCGTGAGATCATCAACCGTGTGCAGCGCCTGCGGAAGAAGGCGGGCCTGCAGACCACTGATGATGTCCGCATGGAGTATCGCGTACTGAGCGACCCGGAGAATACGGGCATTGAGAAGGTGTTTGAGACGCATCACGCTATGATTGCGCGCGCGCTGAGGAGGCCGATGGATAAGCATGAGGTGACGCATGTGGATGGGAAGATTCCGGAGGAGAAGGAGGAAGGGTTAATTGCGGAGGAGGAGCAGGAAGTGCATAAGGCGACGTTCTTGTTGCGGTTGTTGAAGTTGTGAAGAGGGGCAAGGGGACAGAAAAGAGGGTTAATCCTGGTGTGGTTTTCTAGGTTTGTATGTTCGGTGTAGTGGGTAGAGGTGTAACCGTTCGGAATACAGACAATCTGTCTGTTGGTATTTATGTCGAAAATAGAGTTCTACATGAGAAAAGGTTCTGTTTGTATGTTTGTATTGATGTGTCTATTTGAGCCCCTTGGCTGCTGTCTGCTGTGTGTAAGAGGTCTGCTTACTACGATTACAAGCTCAAATCAACTAAGAGGGCCATACCAGGTAACAGTCCTTAAGCTTCATGAACTCCTTGACACACTTGTCTCTATGTACAAAGTTGTAGTCGGCCATGATGCATTGGCCGTAGGCGGTCGCCTGGAACAGTTTATGAGCTTCATTCACTGATAAGACAGTGAAAAACCAGGGAAGCTCACCTCGGCAGAGCATTTCGCAACAGCTTTGGCGAACTTGTGGATTGGCCGTGGCTTCGGCTGCATTGTCTCGAGTTCGGGGCTTGCCAATTTGTCGAAGCCGAATTGAACTTGTTGGAATGAAAGACCGAAGTTGGGCTCCAAGAACACCAAGTCAATTCAATTTCCAAGGCTCTCATCTCAGCCCATCACAAGAGTAGATGTGCCCCGTCGACATGTTCGTTCCAGATGTGGTCGGTGCGTCATGAAAGAATCAATCACGTGACAACAGCCGGATGTCCGGTGGTGGAAACCTGCCAAGACGCGCAAGCCACGCAAGTACCACGCGAAGCCACGCGCCAAGACGCGCTTTGGGCGCCTAGCCGATCACACGGTTAGTTTACGCGAGACCCTCAGAAAGGAAATAGCGGGCCCCCGGAGAGCAAAAGAGCGGGACCCAGAGAAGAAAGAACGCGTGGCCCCACCTGACCCACCTGACACCGCGAGCGCGTCGAGCTCCGGAGCTAGCTCAAGGTAGCTCTCTCCCGTCCGTCGCCCTTCGTCTCGCCCATTGTTTCCGCGAACCTCGAAGTTCAGAATCGGATCGCAACACGCTCCATCGCTGCTACCAAACAACGCTTCGGCCATCATCGTCAGTATTGACTCGCGCATTCCGCTTGTCACGCACTTGCTCAATATCGCTTTTTTTTTGCACAAAAATCTGTATACCCCGTGTTCTACGGACCATTGTCCTTGTTACACCATGGCAAACTCGCGTCGTGTTTAGGATGCCTCGAAGCCTGTTCTTTGCCAGGAACACATGTTTACGCCGTCTCCCAAGCCCGCTAGAGATGGCAGGGCCGACACTACCACCTCTACCTTCCCCGGTGGCAGCATTTATAATGAACCTATTGATGGTCACGGTACGTCGCTTCCCCTCCTCCCAGCCCATTCCCCTCCTCCATCGCCACTCCCGCTTGTGATGGCCTCGCGGCATCGCTTCCATCACGCGGCGTGTCCAGAAACCCATCAGCTGACCATCTCACAGAACTCGATATTGTCAATGACGTTGTTGGCGCCGCTGAGAAAATCTTACCCACTCTTCCGGAGCATGAACAGTTCGCTACCAACGCCTTGTTCATTGCTGCCGAGCGAGTTCTCCCGCGCTACGGCTTCGATATTGAGAATGCTCCGCCGCACATCTCTCGCCTCATCTTTAAGATTGGTGGGGAGAGAACTGGAGCCACCATCGGCGACAAGTTCCGCAACGTTCTCCAGCACCTGACCATCGGCAACCTTGACGCCTTCGCCGACTACACTTGCATCAAGGAAGGGAACATTGACATCGTTGAGCTCGCCGAGAAGCACAATCGCAATAAAAAACCTGCTCCTTCTGTCACTTCTGTCACTTTTAGCTCTCCCGACACCTGGGATGCCAGTGTCGCCGTTGTTCCTCCTCAGTCTGTTCGTCCGTCCGTCCGCCGGCGGCATAGCAATGCCTCGCTGCCTGATGGACGTCCGGTCTCTTCAAGCAGCTCGGCTTCTTCTGCCACCTCTTCTTGTCTCAGCAACCATCCCTGGTTGAAGGTCCCGGCCGAGTTCTACGAAAAGCCACTGTCTCAGGTTGTTGGTGGTCCCCGCCAAGGCACGCCCGTGAGGCCTAAACCGCATCGCTCTGGCATCCCCATTCTCAAATCACGTCGCGGTTCTCTTTCCTCCGTCCCGACTGTTTCATCTGTTTCTGCCGCGGCTCCGACTCCAGCCCCGGCTCTTATCAAGCCTGAGCCCCCCAAGGCTGACCATGACGACCTTGAGGTCAAGCTCAAGATGTTCCAGAAGAAGCATGGTATCACCTCCCGCCCTGTTTCCTTCAAGCAGTCTTCTGCTCCCGCTCCCTTCCGTCCCGAGCTGCCCAAGGTCGATTACGATGACCTTGAGGCCAAACTCAAATCGATCCGCGAAAAGCACGACAATGTCCTTCTTGATGCCTGCGTCGCGGAGTGGCAGGACGCCGCGGTCGCTCTTGCTGAGAAGAAGGAGTTCTCTGAGAAGCTCGATATGTACGATCTTCTTACCGAGGCGTGCGAGGTCTGGCAGGAGGAGGCCGGCTTTGCACGTGACGCGCGTAAGCGTCGCGAGCACAAGGAGTGGGTCGACAAGATGGAGCGCAGAGCTAACCGCGTCTACGAAATTTGCACGGCCCGTGACGCTCTGGCTCGCTGGCAGGCTGCTGCCAAACAGGAGCGGGATCGCACCGCAGTCGCCCGCAGGCATCTCGTTAGGAAGCGTGCGTTTGAGGGCTGGCGCGACGAGCATATCCGCGTTGAAAACAAGGTCCGCAAGTTTCAGGCTGATCACTATCTAAAGAAATGGGGTGAGGCTGCGCTCGAGAACGAGGTTCGTAAGGAGGTCGCTGATCAGTGGAGGTGCCGCCGACTCTTGAAAAACTCTGTCAACTTTATGTTGAAGGAGACTAAGGAGCGCCAGGCGGACAACGTTTACGCCAACAGCCTCGCCAAGGACGCGCTCGCTACTTGGTCTGAGAAAGCTAGAGAGCTCCAGGAGGAAGGTGAGGTCGCTGCTGCTGTTGACAAGCATGTTCTCCTCGACGAGGCTGTTGGCATTTGGCGCGAAGAAGCGGACGATCAGCAAGTTCGGGCTCGTCTTGGACAGCGTCTTCTGCAGCTCAAGCAGTTGAAGCGTGGCATGGACCGTTGGCGGGAGAAGGCCACCCTGGTCCGTCGTCTCATTGAGTTAGAGCAGAAGAGGGCTGCTGAAACGAAGCAGGAAGTCCTCGACACCTGGAAAGAAGTCTCGAAGGGCCAGAAGACACAGGCTGAGAAGGCTGATGCCTTTGCTGCCAAGGAGCATGTTGAGCACTGGGATCGTGAGATGAAGCTCAAACTCTGGCGTGAGCGTGATGAGCACGAGACCAAGATTGCGGTTGTGGAGCGCTGGAGCAACGAGGAGAAGCTTGCTTGGCTCAAACGCCGTCATGACACTCAAAACAAGAAAAATGTCCTCAATACTATGCTTTTGGCCGCTCGGAAGGCTCAGGATGAGCGTCTCCGTCAGGAAGATGATGCTGACGCTCTCAACGAGTACTACACTCAAGCTGGCGCTCTGAACACCTGGAAGAAGGCGCATGAGAAGGCAGACATCGGGCGGCAGAACGCTAATCTTGTCAACCTCTACCGCACCGGAAAGCCTGCTGTGGACTACTGGCGTGAGCGTTTCAGGGAGACCAGCGCCCGTGGTGCCTACTGCAAGCGCGTCGCTGACAAGTCCCGCAAGCGCTCTCTCGTCAAGGGTGTGCTCGAGGATTGGCGCATCAACGCCAAGCAGGCTCGCCGTGATCGCCTGATGTCCAGACTTCGCCAATTCCGCCGCCAGTACAAGGTCGATCTCGCTCAGTCTTGTCTCGACAAGTGGCAGGACGCCGCCGCCGATGCTCTTGACGCCAAGGCCGATGCCGATCAGATCAACATCGAGTACAAGCGCGCTGACATAAACGATGGTCTGGATCACTGGCGCGACAGTGCCAAGCGCAACGAGGATATCAACAACATCGCTGCTGATGCCGAGCTCGAGGTTTACACCAACAAGTGGCAGGATCGCCTTGACGAACATCGCGAGAACATGCAGGACGCCGTCGACTACGACGCTGAGAAGACTCGTGCTCAGACCATGGAGAAGTGGGAAGTGCAGGCTCTCCAGCAGAAGTCCAAGCGTCACATGGCCGACGGCATGAAGGATCGTTATGACAAGCGTGTCGTCCGTCAGATCCTGGGTGACTGGCAGCAGAAGGCTGTTCCCGAGTCCGCCATCCCTCGTCTTGATTTCCGTCAGAGCACTCTTGCTGCCCGCCGCGGTGTTCGCCAGCAGCTTTCACGTTCGACTGGTCCCAGCCAGATTCCCACTCGCTCATTTGGTTCTGATCACCTTGCTGCCAGCCAGCCTGCGCCCCGCTCCATTGTTTTTGGTCGCCTGGCTGCTAGCCAGACCGCGTCCCGGTCGACTGCTGCCTTTAACCCGGAGAAGTCTTCTTTGCGTGGTACTCGTCCTATCCCCGAGACCCCTGCTATCTCGACGGCGTCGTCCCGCATTCCCATCAGCATCCGCCCGCATGACCGTGAAAACGTTAACCCAAACACCAACACTCTCGCGAGTAGCCGCGCCGCCGTACCTGCCTCAGCGCCGGCACCGGTCGCGCAGCGTCCTTCGATCCTTCGCGCAACAAACTTTCGTGCGTCAACTCGCACCGCGCCGTCCACGGTCCCTCGCGTGCCCACACCTCCCGACCTGGGCCCCATGAGCGAGTTTGACGAGGAGCCGTTCGACCCCGATAGCGACGGTGCCGATATGAGCACACCAACCAAATTAGCGCGCGGTGGCGGTCCTGGTGGTTATCGCTACACCACCACGCCATCAGCGGTCCTCCCATCGCCCTATGAGCGTGAGCTCAGGATGAGGTATGGAGGCTTGGGGAAGAGGGGAGGTTTTGGAAGGAGTATTGGTTTGGGTGGCATTGGTGAGGAGAGCAGGGAGGATTGATTGGATTGATAATGGGGTTTTGGATTGGTTTGGTTTTGATTTAACGGGATTGGTATAGAGGCGTTTTTGGTTTGTGGTTTTTTTGGGGTCAGGGTGTTTGAAATATCATCATTGAAAAGGGTTGGATATACCCTGGGTGATTCGAAAGGTTTAATGGCTGATGATGACTGGGAATGAAAAGGCGTTTTGGGTTTTGGTCTTGGATTCGGCAACGGTTTTGGATTGAGAAATGATTGGATCGGGCCTGTAAAGTATAATCAAAGAGGCTACAAAGGCATATAATGTCTTATTAACCTTCGCCCCCTTTGCGTCCTGTGTGCTGCCCATGATTGATCCTGTCCGCGTGTTTGTGTCTTCCCGAGTAATTCAATACCCTATGGAACCTGCATCATCCAGGTTTCCAGTAGTGATACAAATTAAATAGTGAAGTGGTCGAAACCTAAGGACAACAATATTGGTGATGATATCTGGCGTTGAGTCTAGTCCTCCAAAAATGGACCCACCCTTTGTCAACCGCGGTCAGCTGGCACCGCTACCCCACAGAGGAAGGCGGTAAGATTCTGCCGGAGCGCACACTCAAAATTCCGCCCACAAAAGACCCTTCCATTTTCAAATTTTCCTTCTCCCCAAGATCACGGCGATCCATAAGACAACTCGACCTCCTTGTCCTCCGTCGGCACAACAATAAAAATGAAGGTCCGCCCTAGTAAGTAACTACTTGAACGTTTGAATTATCATCAGGATGGATGATTGACAGTAGTTTAGCCGTCTCTTCCTCCCGCCGCAAGGCGCGCAAGGCGCACTTCTCCGCTCCCTCGAGCGTGCGCCGCGTCATCATGAGCGCTCCGCTCAGCAAGGAGCTCCGTGAGAAGTACAACGTAGGTTCCCTCACAAGGTTCGGATTGAGGCCTAGAGTAGAGATTAACCGCTGCAGGTCCGGAGCATCCCCATCCGCAAGGGCGACGAGGTCCAGATCGTTCGCGGCGCCCACAAGGACAAGGAGGGCAAGGTCACCTCGGTGTACCGCCTCAAGTACGTCATCCATGTCGAGCGCGTCACCCGCGAGAAGGCCACCGGTCAGACTGTGCCCATCGGCATCCACCCCAGCAACGTGGTCATTACCAAGCTGCACCTCGACAAGGACCGCGAGAACATCCTTGCCCGCATCAAGGCCGGCCGCGAGCAGGTCGCCAAGGCCAAGGGCAAGAAGACTGCTGCTTGAATGAGCTGTTGACAGCTCTTCAACTGGGGTGTGGATCAAAAAACGCGCCATGATGACGAAGTAACTCGGTTCGGGAACACAAAAGCAATATACCCACGCGCATTCCGCAGACGGCATTAGCTCGCCAGACCGCGACGCTGGTCAGCGCTGGCGCTCCTTGCGGCATCTCTGAAAACGGTTTTGCATGGTTTGGCGGCTGTCATTTGACGACTATTACGAGGCGTCATGACAGCGCAGGGGAAAATCCGGAATCCAGATGCAGAGAGTCAACGAATCGAGACTTTGTTCTCTATGGCCATTTCACAAATGCTTGCCGCTGTCGTGTTGCTGCGCTTGCTACTTGTGAAATGCTCCATGGGAGGTTCTCCCGAAGCCCTTGTGCCGATTGCGATAGATCGACCGCAACGGCTTTCCCACTTCTTGACTCTCGCGTGACTGACTGATTGACTGCGTTGTGTCGATGCTGGTCTACAGGGAAGCCAAATAGTGTCGCTCCCTGATGTTTTTGATTCCTTGCTGAACAGGTAGGTTGACCATATTGAACGACATTTTCCGGATAATGCAAGTATCTCCAATGCTCCCGACCCACAAAGGTAGGATATCAACCGCTAGGTTATCTCCTTGTTAACCACTAGACCCATGGTTCCCGAGGTATACGACTAGCGAAGAGCAAACCCAGCAGATGGTGTTCACCAGCACTTTCTAGCTCTCGCCTGCAGACTTCCATGGAGATTATCGATGATATCGGGGGTTTGAAGGCGAGGAACATGCGTAGATGCTATTTGTTTTACCGTAGGCCGTAGACATATGTAGGTTTTCGAACAGAAGCTTTCGACCTGTAGCTCAATCGGACTAGTTGTCCAACGGTCATCAATTTTACTCGGCGGCTGTTATCTTGGTTACACAAAGCCATTGATATTCTGTTTATCAAATCGAGCGGCGTTTTGTTATCCTACCTATCTAGAAAAACACGGACTTCAATCTAACTGTATTGAAACCTCGTCTAATTCCATCATTGGCATCGTGAAGGCTGGGTTGGTGATGCTGTGGGTGCCTTGCTGGTGGAATGGTCCCCTCCATCTGGTTGCCCGGGAATCAGCGACATGAACCTGGCCTGCACAGTGGCCACAGTACACTGTGACATCATGGCAACAGCTCCTATCGAAGAGCGGGACAATCCCTCGAACAATCGATCAACTCATTTCGCGACATTGAAACGGAAGAAATGCATTTTGCTAGATCAATCCAGAGATAAGAGTTTCGCATCGTCATTGTTGTCGGTGCTGCTGCTGTCCAAGGACACCCAGTTGCTGGGTCGTCCTTTTGTCGGTCGATTCGATTCATTGGATTGCAGGCGGATTTTGTTTGGTTCTTTTTCTCTTCCCCGCCCACTAGGACCCAGGACCCGGCGCTGAGGGGTCCCCATCCGGTCCTCAAGGTCCGTTCGCTGCGCTTGTTGTCTTTTGACATTGGATTGTTGATTGGCTGCTTGCCCCCTTCGTCGCTAATTCAGCCGCAGGCGAACCTGTGCTGTGAAGTGTAAAGAGAGAAGTGTTGGCGCTTGCGAGGAGCTTTGGAACTTTCCAGGAAACAGGGATATAAAGAGAAGCACAAGAGGGATCGGATCGGATCGTTCCACTTAACTGCACAACGCTGCGAAGCTCAGGTCAGCGAGGCAAGGCAAGGTAAACTGGCGGAGGCTTTCGAAGGACGGATTAAAGAGAAGCGAAGCTGTTATCCGGATCGAACTGATGAACGGCGGCGTTTGTTTGCGAAGTTGACTCACGGACGATTGACGACCGATCGATTCGACTCGACTCGAACCATACGAGAAGAATTAAGCGAGATCAAAGACGAGCAGAGGCTTTGAAAGAGGAGGAATAGAGAAGAAAAGCTACAGTAAACATGTCGTTTTTCTTCTCGAGGACGCGCGCAAAGACAAACGGCGCTGACCTCGCCCGCCAGGCGAGGGAGCATGTCACCAAGCTAGAGGGGCCGCAGGGGGCTACAAAGGTAATCAATATGCACAAACAATGGAATGCCTTATAAGATTGGGTCCAAATCCCCAACGCAAGGACTTGACAGGCATGTCGCTGACGCGTGTGGGATATACTAGGCCGAGGAGCTCGCCAAGGTGCTGTCACAGATGAAGCAGCTCTTGCAGGGCACCCACGGTACGTGTCTCATCCCCTTCCCTTTCCTCCCTCCGCCGGGGGGATTCCCGAGTCAAACTCAGTCGAGGTATTAACTGTTCCTCTCCCATAGACCAAGAAGCAAACCCCGACCAAATCTTCCAACTCGTCAACGGCCTGATCGAAGAAGACCTCCTCTACCTCCTCGCCGTCAACCTCTACCGCCTGCCTTTCGAATCCCGCAAAGACACCCAAGTCATCTTCTCCTACGTCTTCCGCTTCCGGCCCCCCAACCACCTCCTCGCGCACACCAGCAGCCAGCACTACCACGCCGCGCCGCAGCGCCCCGAGCCCTATGCGCTGGCGTACGTGGTGGAGAGACGTCCCCAGGTGCTGATCGAGCTGTGCAGGGGGTATGATCACAAGGAGAGTGCCACGCCAGCGGGGACCGTGTTGAGGGAGGTGATCAAGAATGAGGCAGCGGCTGCCGTGATACTGTATGATGACGGCGAGGAGCCGGGGAGTAGTGTGCGAGGTGTGCAGGCAATTGATTGGAATCGGCAGCAGAGCGGGAAGGGCGTGTTCTGGCAGTTTTTTGAGTGGATTGATAAGAGTAGTTTTGAGGTTAGCGCGGATGCGTTTACTACGTTCCGGGTAGGTAACCCCTCGCAATGCTTCCAGGAGGCGATGCAGCTGACGCTGGTTAGGAACTGCTCACCAAGCACAAGGAACTCGTCCCTCGCTACCTAGCCACCAACTTCGAGCTCTTCTTCAGCAAATACAACACCATCTTGGTCCAATCCAACAGCTACGTGACCAAGCGCCAATCCATCAAGCTCCTCGGCGAGATCCTGCTCGACCGCTCCAACTACAACGTCATGACCGCCTACGTGGACCGCGGCGAGCACCTCAAGATCTGCATGAACCTGCTGCGCGACGACCGCAAGATGGTACAGTACGAGGGCTTCCACGTCTTTAAAGTCTTTGTGGCCAACCCCAATAAGTCGATCCCCGTGCAGAAGATCTTGATTATGAACAGGGAGAAGCTGTTGCATTTCTTGTCGCATTTTCTGGAGGATCGGACCGATGATGAGCAGTTTATTGATGAGCGGGAGTTTTTGATCAAGCAGATTCGGAACATGCCGCCTGCGCCGGTGCCGCCGTCGCAAAGGTGAACTCACCCGAGAATGATGAATGAATGAACGGATGGACGGATGTGGGTAATATTGTTGGCTGGAAGGTAAGCAGGCGTTGGGCGTATTCCGTGTATGTCATTGGTGTCATGAAGATGGATGATATGGCCTGGGGTTGTGCTGTTGGGTTCTTTTTAGTGCTAGCTTACGTATGGGGAATTGTTGTGGATAGGAATGGGATAGGTTATAATATGTGCTTAGTAGTATACGGTTCAGTTTCCCCCGTTGTTACCTGGGTGTGTATGGCTTGATGTCTTGTTGGACATCGAGCTGTTGAACTCGCAGTCATGCCAATTCGCTGAGAGGATCAAAGACGTATGATTACAGTTTGTGCTACCTGGGAAGCAATGCTCTTAAGGTTCGGCAGCAGCTTTGAAATCATTGCAAGTGTGAGCCCCTTTCTCAGCTAATGGTTGATCCTAACGACGACATGATTCCAGGTGAAGTTGTCCCCTGTTGCAGCAGCTTCAAGCCTACGTGGGTTCAATGGCCAGGCCTTCGCACCTCCAGTAAGTTCCGACACTATGCTGCGAGCTCTCGTTGTTCGCTGGTAGGTCTCTTATCTCCTCGACCTCTCTTTCCTCCCCCTCTTTGTTCTTACTTTTAATTCATGTTGTGGAATAGTTTTCTTCGGTTCAGTCGCAAAATTAGGCAAAAACGAATGAAAAATGAAGACCAAAGAAAGACAAGGGAATAAAAGGAAGAATGGAAGACTAAGTAAAAGGAATGGAGAGAAAATAAATGACTGAATAATGGAAAGAAGACTGGACCTGCAAATCGAGAGGCAGAAATCAGGCTTGAAACTCCAAGTTCAGGAGCGTGCAATCATCTTCATTTCTTCCATATCTCGTTTTTGATCCTCTCTTCCTCACTTTTCTCTTGTCCTCATTTCGTTCCCCTTCGCCATTCCCAGTCCTCCCGTAAGTTTATCCCTATCCATCGATCAGCCCTACCTCATACCACCCTGACGTCAAAAGTCCGGGTCTTCAATAACCTCCTGCAACGCCAAGGATGCCAACTGGGTGGCCTGCAGTTGGTTAGGATCTATGTTGCTGGGAGCAAGATACGCATTTACTGGGAGGTACCGCGTCTCTTTGTCTTCCGGTGTCGTCAATTTGGCTGTCTTTTTACGCTTGGTGTTAGCTGGGGGCTCGGAGTTGGTTTTGCCATTGGTCTTGGTCCTAGTATTTCCTTTGGCCTTGAAGCTGGGCTTCTTGGCGGACTTGATGACAGGTTTGCGAGTGGTCTTGCGATCTGTAATTGGCGGAAGTGCCGCACACGCATCGCGGTCCTCATCCCAGTCGAGTTTATATCCAGAGGATGTGTGAGGGCAGGCGTCAAACTCAATAGGTGGGAGAAGACCCGTCGGAAAGACCGTGACGGCTTGGTTTGACTTGAGGCTACGACGGTTGTGCTCGGAAAGGAGGTCAGCGGGAGTAAAACAGACCGGTCCTTCGAGGGATCCTCCGTCCTCGTTGGCCTTATCTGCCTGATGCATAGACCCCCGAGCGGTTGCTCTTGCGGTTGTTTCTGCACCCGTGGCGGCTGCAAGAGCTGCAGCAAGAACTGATGCCACTTCCAGAGAGGACTTGTAACGTTTTTGTGGGCGTCGAGCTACAGGAAGCTTGTGAGATGCCGAGGCTCCAGCAGGGGCTTTGTTTTGAGTAGCTCCAGTCTCGGCAGACATGCTTTTGGATTCATTACTGGTGCGTTTGTGGTTGTTCGGAGTATTGCAAAGATGTTGAGAATGAGTGTTTTGCTTTGTCTTCCTGCCACCACAAGACCGTTTGGTCTTGGAATTGGGCAGACTTGCGGTTTGGGGCCCAGCTACTTGATCTTTAGCGTTTGGCTGGTCGTTGTCTGGGAAAGTCGGCAACAGATCACTTGTGACGAGCAGATGGGGTTTATGTTGTTGGTCATTGGAGGCCGTCGTCTCCAATAACGATGCGATTGTGCTTCTCACGTTTGCCAGACCCAGACCTACGGCGTTTTGGGGCTGGCCGAGTTGCGGCCTTTGCATAACTTCAAGCCCCCTTTCCCTTTTACTGCTTGGCTTCGAAGTCTTGCCATTTTTACCCCTTCGTCGGCCTTGTGGTCCAGTAACAGGCAAAGGAGCCAAACTAGTGTTGTTTAGATTCTGGCCGCCAGACTCCGGCTTGTTCCTAACCGAGCCGGACACTTCGCAGAAAAGATCAGCTTTCGCATTTCCCCTTTTACTTCCTTGAGCGGCGTGTGCCACAGGCAAGTCGACGGCAGCGTTAGACCAGCTTGAAGTAGCATTGGAAATAGTGCTGTTGGTGTTAGTTGTGTTTGCAGCGGCGCGACTAGAGTAGTTTCCTATAAGACCATGCAGGCAAGTGTTCTGCCCAGACTTTGAGGGCTTTGGCACCGGGTTTTGGTGTAAAATTGCTCTGGGTCTAGGAAGTATGGAGTTTTCTTTGGATCGCTTGGAATATGTGCCATGGGAGGTTGACAAGGCATCCTTAGAACTCGTGGCTGTTCCAGAGTCTGTATGGCCATCCTGCTTGACAGGCTTGCTCTGCCTGTGAACAGGTTTGCGAGGTCTTTGGGGCATGTTGGCTTAGCTGTACTCAGTAAGATGTGTGTTTGGGCTCTGACAGTTACTAAACGGTCCCAAGGCTCAGATCACAGCAAATTACCAGGTTGATATGTTGTTGAGGGGAGAGTGTGGCCAAATACGAAAAGGAAGAACGGTTGGTAACAGAGAAAGGCTGAGGTGGGGAGATTGTTGGACAGTGAGATGTGAAGTTGGCGATTAAAACGGAAGCATGTGCGCCTCGATAAAGCACAAAAAAACCTTGTGGTGCAATACATTGGAAGACGGAACCCATTATTTGGATTGAACTGAGAGTTGAGAATCATACTATATGCGTGGCAACTTGGTCCTTCAAGTCCCAAAGTTGGTTTCTTGCCAGACTCAGGTGTATGTCGGAACAACTGCAGTCGATCTCAATGAGAATGCTTGGAGCAAAAAGTCAAATGCTCAGCAACTGCAATGTCAAATGTTAGATCTAAGAAGCAAGTAGTCTCGCGGTCTTCATCGCGATGTGTCTTTAACGACAAAGTACTCTTTGTATGGTCAGCCATGTCTCGATCGTGTTACCTGAACCCCATTTCGCTTTGAAAAAGAGTTCATGTTCACTCTGTTGTACGCAGACAGACTGCTCTGGAAGCCTGCCAAGGGATCAAAGGCATCAAGTGTAAAATTGTTGAGATTGGCATTACAACCTTGACATGCAGGCACCATTTGATCAGATGACGGAGTAGCAGTTGGATATGATATCTCAACAAGGCGTCAATGTTGATAAACAGTAAACAAAACCCTGAGAGTGGTTGTAACGTACCACAAACTGGTCACTATTCTTATAGGTTTAGCCACGTAAATCTGGGTAGAATCATAATCGAAGCCGATTTTCTACAAAGATGCTAATTGTTCGAGACATGGTTATCAGCCTCGGAAAACCAAGTGTCTTTTCTTTGTCGGCAGTCGAAGACCAAGGATTTCAGACTCCTGTTGTTGGTTGATGACAATACGGGAAAAAAAAAGTGAATTGTGCTGGGCAATTGGCAGACTTCCTCCTTTATACAAAATCGCAACTACTTATAACCACTTCCTCATTCCATCCATTGCCAAAGCAAGTGTAGATCGAAACCGGCACAAAGGTAAACCATAAGATGTGGTTGTCTTGTAGAACACCACAGATCTTGGTTACTATGAGGAGTGCCTGGTTCTATCCCTGCTTTTACTTCTCTTTTTCGTCTTTTTTGCCCCATTTAATCATGCTTTCCAAGTGATTGTGTAGCTGCACAGGCCATTGAGGGAACACAGAAGCTCTCTATTCTGCCACTGCCACAGCGGCCTGAGGCAACCGAGTGCCATCCCAATTATTGGGCTCTGCACTGAGTTTTCATTAGTCACTTTCAACACCATTTTAAGCTGCAAGAGAAAATTTTACCATTTCCCGTAATTAATGTGACAACAATCCTGAGGCTTGCTGTCAACGACATGCCATACCTCCATTGGAAACTGCGATTTTCAAGATTAAGGTAGCCTTCACTACGGCAGTTCGAACGTTGAACTGATTGAATTGACTAAGAATTCCAGTTGCACACTCCTTGTTCCTTTCAAAAAAAAAAACCGGAGAGTTCGATACAGCATCGCTGATTTGTTGCTAAGTTCTCGACGCTTGCAGTCTGTCTTGCAATTTTAACCTCGTTGCTGCCGGCTGAAAATGACATTGGCATCATTGTGTAACATCAAACATCGAAAACAAAGCATTAAACATAATGCTAGTTACTGAAGCGCTCCGTGGCAAGGTAAAGAATCCAACTAATATACCCTCTTCAATCAAACAAGTCACCTAAAGCTCAACTAACCACAGACCGTCCTAGGATGTTCAGTCCCCTTGGACCTCGAATGCGGTGCTCTCGTCGTTGTTTTTGGACCACCCTAAATCCGGACAGAGTGGATGTATCGTCTTATCATTAGATTGAGCAACCACCAGGGATGATCTTGCTTCTGCAATGGAGCTTTCCATATGAGACTGGGTGGAGGACAAGGGCCCAACGACGACATGGTTGGTGATGTGCATACAAACGTTGCGGAGTGCATGCATCTGCATGCACTTAGTGACAGCATTATCCACAGCTGCCTGGTCGCATCAAAATGGTCTGGCTTCCCTGCAACCTTGAATCGGAGCTAACAACTGGCTTGCACGTGAAGTGGATGAGTTTCCCAGCCACCCTCTTCCCCTAATGAAGCCAGGGTTTATTTGTTTACTTTACCCCTCCATGATCTTTACCGTAATGCATGCTGTAATTTACTGAAATATTACGAAGGTGGGGAAAGGAAAAGACGAGAATGCCCATCGACCTCATTGAGATAGAGTGGGATGGGGCAAACCTCCATTCATCATGAGCGATCAACAGACGGAAATGAAGATTGATCCGGCACGGGCGGCAGCCCTCGTCTCGCAGCTGCAGGCCGTCCAGGAGCGGATTGCTGCGGTGGCCAAGGGGCGGGCCGTAAGTTTTCCCTTTAGCTTTGTGTTCATTATCTTTGAAGGCGGGGGGGGGGGAGGGGAGGGGTCAATGAATGAGAGTGACGACGATGGCTGACAGCTTCCCAGGTTCGGCTCGTCGCCGTGTCCAAGCTCAAGCCGGCCAACGACATTTTGGCGCTGCATGAGTCGCCGCTGAAGCACACTCACTTTGGTGAGAACTATGCGCAGGAGCTGGCGCAGAAGGCCAAGATGCTGCCGCGCAGCATTCAGTGGCATTTTATCGGCGGGCTGCAATCTGGTATAGTTACCCTTTCCTTCTTATACTTTAGTCAATGATGATGGGAATGCATGCTAACTCAGAGACAGGCCGCTGCAAAGAACTAGCCCGGATTCCCAACCTCTGGTGCGTGTCGAGCATCGACTCTGTCAACAAGGCTCAGCTCCTCGATAAGCATCGCGGCGAGCAGATCAAGGCGGATCCGAGCATCGCCAAGATCAACGTTCACGTGCAAGTCAACACGTCGGGCGAGGAATCCAAGTCTGGGTGTGCGCCGGGAGAAGAGGTAGTCAAGGTTTGCAAGGCCATTGTCAACGAGTGCCCGAACTTGAATCTGCTGGGTCTGATGACTATCGGCGCGATTGCCAGGAGTGTGGCGACCACACCGGAGAATGAAAATGAAGATTTTGCGCTGCTGAAGGAGCAGAGGGATCTGGTGGCTAAGGAGCTGGGGATTGAGAGTGAAAAGTTGGAGTTGAGCATGGGTATGAGCGAGGACTTCGAGGGTGCTATTGCTATGGGGAGCAGTGAGGTCCGGATCGGGAGCACCATCTTTGGGGAGAGGCCGGCGAAGGCTGATGCGAAATTGGTGGTATAGATTAGAGTAGAAAAATCAAATCTGAAGGCATTCACAGACCAACATGAATTGCCCAGTATATGAGCATTGTATCAACTCCTACCATCATCAATGTTTTTGGCTCCACACAACGTTCCTATCACACAGCCGAAACATACGTCTCATCACATCGAGCCCCATCCTTCCGCCTCCCCCCCTCCCCCCTCCCAGAGAGCACCAACAAGCGCCAGCCACCGCTCGAGAATCGCGACCCAAAGTGACACGACACCCAGCGCGCGCGGCACGCCAGGCCCCACCACCACCGCAGGAGGGGCCACCCCAGCCGCGCACCCTCCCCAAGCTTCTCTTATCGATAAGACCCAGCCCCTCCACCCCCGCCACCCAAACGGGTGCTCCCGCGGGCACAATGACTTGATTGGCTGAAAGCAGGGTTGACCCCCGGCGCAAAGGGCCCGGTTGCCCAGGGAACCCGCAGCAAGCGTCAACAGAAACGACGCCAGGCAATTGGCTGCAGGCTGCGGAGCGGGCGCCAGCACAGGGGGGCCGGGCTGTTGATAGGTTGGGCCCGAACGCTTGGTTTTGGTTGGCGTGCAGGTGTGTGTGGACTGAAGTGCTGGCGTGGAAAGTGGACGGCTGGGTGTGTTAAGAAGTCGGTCAAGAAGCGAGCACGCCCTGCCTGCATCCTGGCCACAGTCTCTTTTTTGTTTTGTTTTTTTTTCCCTTTTGCTTCCTGCAAAAAACATTCCTCCCCTAACTCCTCCTTTACTCCACAGCAAGCCAGCATCGCAGTGCTGCGGCTGGTGTGAAAGTTCCACGAAGTTGTTGCCTTGCAGCAGTTGTTTACTTTTTGCCCTTTGTTTCGGGCCGAGGAGGACTGGGAGTCTGGCACTCGATCGAATCGGCACCCAGGGGCGCCTGGCCTCTCTGTTGTTGTTGCTTCGATCGTCGAAAGTAAGCGACTTCCACGCCGCAGAAATAGTCCGTGCCTTCCACTCGGTTACACTACTTGCGACGGTAACGGTTGTTTGTTGTCTTGACGAACCTGAGCACGACTGGACGGTTACGATTACGACTACCGACGATTCTTCTCTCTACCTTACGACCCGATTGGCTTCCCTTCCTACCGTGATACCCCATTACCTTAACCCGACCATATCGCGTACCTTTGTTCAGATTACAACCTACAAGAAGAGAGATTGAAACACAATGCCGCCTATCGAGAGGGATGCCCCTCGCGACTTTCTAGATCGCCCACCGAGGCACCAGCACGCCGGGAGCATCGATCACGGCCGCAACGTGCCAATGTGAGTCCTCTTCTTCGGACTTTGGTCTCATGAACTCTGCTGACACGCACAGGTGGGACTCATCCGACCCCGACCGGGCCCCTCCCCCGCTCCCTCTGAACCCCCAATCGCCCGGCGTGTCGACGTCCAAGGCGACCGGCTCGGTCGTGCAGGCAGCCCACGCCGCGCTAGCTGAAAAGGCGCGCGAGAACGCATCGCTGGTGCCGCCGCCGCTGACCAAGCGCAGCACCATCCCCGTCGACAACACCAACCCGGATCGTCCTGCCCCCTTACGGACGGCCCAACACCGCCGCATGCAGAGCCTGGGCCCGCCCTCCGTCAGGGATATGAGCATGATGATCGAGGCCAATGCTCGTGCTAGCCAGGAGAGTCTCGCCCCGCCGGCGCCACGATCGCCCGAGAAGTCTAACTCTGACAGGCCGACTACCCCGTTGCGCGGGAGAGAGTCGGTATTCCTCTCCGAGCCGAGAGATGATGCCCACGACCACCACCGCGAGCGCAGCAACTCCAGCTCTAACACGCCCAAGCCCGGCCCCAGCCTGACGCCCATCATTCGTCCTGCGGTGCGCCGCCCGGCCCATCACCAGCCTATCCTGGGCGAAAATGCGCCGCCCCAGAGCGCGACCATGCAGGCTCTGCACAGCATGAGCACGCAGAGTAGTAACTCGAGCTTGCACAGCACCGCATCCTCTCTCAACATCAACCCTCCTAAAGAACCTACCCCCGCCTCGTCCATCGACAGCACCCTCGCCGATATCACCAACTCCTCCCTCCCTAAGCCCGGCAGCGGTTCTCAGTCCCAATCCCTGGAAGCCCTCGCCAGCCAGATCTTGACCCTCACCAACATCGCTGCCTCCCTGCAAAAGGAAATGTCGCTCCTCTCCCGCCGCTCCCGCGACAATGCCACCGACCTCATGTCCCTCAAGGAAGCGACCAACGCCCGCGACGAGGACATTCGTAAGAGTCTTCGCGAACTGATCAACGACGTCAAGGCGCAGAAGGCGGCGGCCGCCGCTGCTGCCCAAGCCTCACCCGCAAAAGATCCCTACGGCGGGCCGTTGAACGCTGGACCTGGGTCGCCCTCGCAGTTTTCCAAGTCGACTGGGTCTAGGCCGTTCAGTCTGCCTCGGATCCCGAGCCCCAACAGCTTTGCGGCCACGTTGGAACGCGAGAGTATGCTTAGTACCCCGAGCTTAGTTTCGGAGGGGTCGCCGGCGCAGGTGGCACTGTTGGAGAAGATTATTCGGGAGATGGGGACTAAGGAGGGGCAGGATACGCTACTTGCGAGGCTGAATGATCTGGGGAGTAAGCTCGCCGGGCTGGCGACTGGTGAGAAGGTGGAGGAAGTGGCCAAGTTTGTGAAGGAGCAACTGCAGGCTAACCAGAATGCTATTGTACCCGCCGGGCATGCTGGTAGTGAAAGTGGTAAAGAGTGGGGGTATGATGAGCATCTACCGTTCCAGCCTTCGCGGGCTGCGAACAGGACGCCCGCGCCGAAGAGTGCTTTCAGTGAGGAGCAGAGCCAGGCCAGCGAGGAGATGCTGCGCACGCTGCGGACCGTGAAGGATAGTGTTGCTCACGGCGGCGGCCTGACGGCCGAGGTCAAGGCTCTTGTCAAGGAGCTGAGGGGCGAGGTGTTAGGCATGGGCAGGGAGCTTGGTAGGCGGCTCGAGCAGGTCGCTGAGCGGGCTGGGGCCGGTGTTTCGACTTCTACTGCTGTCGTCCCGGCCTCGTCTGCCACTGCGGCTAGTGTTGGCATGACGCCTGCCGAGATCGCGGCCACCACCAAGGCCGAAATCTCCCGCGTCGTTGAGGAAGCCCTGCGCGATCTGTCTCAGCAAATGAGTACCACCCTCCGCAGACAATCCTCCGTCCGCTCGCGCAGCGTGCCCCGCGCTGAGGTCGCCTCGGACTGGTCCAACCTCGACTACAAGGAGATCTACAACTCCGTCCGCGCCGCACTCAAAGATACCCAGGCCATGATGAACAAGCAGCGCGGGCAGGAACTCCGGCGCGAGGATGTCATGCTTGCCGTCAAGGACGCCTTCGAGAAGTACAAGCCTGAGATCGAGATCCAGCAGATTGGCCTCGAGCGCGAAGAGGTCTTGACCTGCCTCCAGGAAGGACTCAGGGAGTATGCGCCAAGGGATGATCGCCCCGCGGGGGCGACCAAGGACGAGGTCATGCAGGTTATTGAACAGGCCCTTCAGGGATGGACCCCGCCAAAGGTCGAGATCCCCCCCAAGCTTACCAAGGAAGAGATCATGGATGCCGTCAGGGAGTGCCTGGAGGAGTTTGAGTTTCCTGTCCCCGAGGGCAGTGTTGCCAAGGAGGATGTCCTTGCTGCTGTTAAGGAAGGGCTTTCGTCGATGGCTCCTTCGGCTGATACCGTGTCTAGAGATGATGTCCTTGACGCGGTTAATGAGGGACTGCAGAACTTTGACTTCGGATCCGTCTTTGCCGGCGCGCTGGTGCCGACGTCCGCGACAAAGGCTGATGTGGAGATTGCTGTAAAGTCTGGGCTTAAGGCGCTGGATCTGTCGGATGAGATTGCCGATGCTGTCAGGGAGGGCATCAATACGGTTGAGCTGCCGGAGAAGGTTGTCCAGGCAGTGCAGAGCACCCTGAAGGAGTTTGATTTTGTTTCGGCCTGCTCGAGTCTTGTGCCGAGGAGTGAGGTTAACCATGTGGATGTCGCTTCTGCTGTGAAAGAGGGCATTGAGAGCCTGGATCTTGTTGCTCAGGTTGCTTCTGCCGTGGAGAAGGCCGTTAAGGGGTATGACTTCTCTGAGGCGTATGCTAAGGCCCTCGTGCCCCGGTCTGAGGCGCAGCAACAACAGCAGCAGTCGGGTGCTGGCTTGACGGCTGCGGAGGTAGCATTTGCGGTCAAGAAGGGCCTAGAAGAGGCACAGATCGGCAAGGATGTTGCCGCTGCAGTCAAGGCGGCTCTGGAGGAGGCTGATCTGGCGGGAATCAAGACCGCGCTTGTACCTAAGAGTGCTGCCACCGCTGATGCTACGGCACCCGCTCTCAATATGGCCGATGTCTCTGATGCCGTCAAGCAAGGCCTGGAGACTGTCGAGAAGAGCGTTACCGACGCCGTGCGCCAGGTCGTCGACCAGTTTGTTGCGCGCTCCGCTGAGCAGCTGCTTACTCGCGGGGATGTACTCGAGGCCGTGAAGGAGGGCTTGAAGGAGATCTCGGTTGGGGAGGCTCTCAAGAAGGAGCTCGAGGCGTTCGATTTCTCGTCTAAGGCTGTGGTCACCCGCTCTACTGAGGGCGCTTCTTCTTCTGCCCCTGAAACCGCCGACAAGGAGCAGACGCTCAAGAACCACGAGGAAGTCATCTCCCGTCTGCTCGAAATCAAGGACCTGCTCCTCGCCGAATTCCAGACCCTCCAAGACGAAGCCAAGCAGAATGGCCGCGATACCGACGAGATTGTCGAGGCGACCAACGTCGGCTTCGAGAAGCTGCGTCTCGATATCGAGGGGTATGTCGACAAGGTCCGTTCTGAAACCCAGCCCTCTGCCGACATCGAGAAGCTCGTCGCTAGCCTCGACTCGTTCCGCACCGAAGTCGGCAAACTCCTCGAGAAGGCGGCTAAAGACTCCAAGACGGCTGTCAAGGAGGAGGTCGAGTCACTTCGTGAACTGGTCAACGCGTCTATTGTGCCTGCTGCCCCCGCGAAGGTGGACCATAAGGAGGTGCTCGAGGCCCTGCATGAGGGGATTGGCAGCCTCAAGGCTGAGATTGGTGCTCGTCCTTTGGCTGGGCTCAACCAGATCCTGGATGCGCTTCAGGAGGGCTTTGGCGAGATGAAGACCGGCCTGGATGCCATCCGCGACAAGCCTAATATTGTCGAGATCGAGGACAATGAGATCATCGAGGCAGTTCGCACGGGCTTGGATGGCATGCGCGCTGAGCTGGAGAAGCTGAAGGAGGAGCTCAAAGGCGAGAAGGCGCTATCTGGCCCGATCAACGATAAGACGCTTGTGCCGGTCGATAAGATGCTTAAGCAGGAGGATGTGAAGAATCTGGAGTTGTTGGTTACCCAGGTCGCGGTGAAGATCGATGAGCTGAAGGGAACGATCGCTTCCTCTATCTCTTCCCTCTCCTCGGCGGCTCCAACTCCGCCGACGACTAGGAGCGTCGACTCCGCCGCCTCCCCCACAAGCCCGTCCTCAACCCCCCTCCCCGCTGGCATCGAAGAATCCCTCCGCAGACTCCAATCCGACGTCGACGCCCTCGTCAAGCGCACCAACGAGCCCCTCCTCACCGACACCGCCAACAAAGAGGATGTCCAAGCTATCGAAACCATCCTGCGCAACACCAAGGCCCGCTTGGATGACCTTATGGATGGCGAACAGGCCGTGCGCAAGGACCACATCGATACCGTCGAGGCTTTGGTCCTGGAAGCGAAGGATGCCTTGCGGGGCGTGAGTGATAAGTTGGAGGGGATGCCGAAGAAGGAGAATGTGGAGGTGATTGAGGGCATGGTACTTGAGGCGAAGGATGCCCTTCGCGGGGTTACGGAGCGTGTGCAGGAGCTGGCGGCTAAGGAGGATGTTGCTGCTGTTGGGGAGCTGGCCGGTAAGGTTATTGCTGGGTTTGAGGAACTGCGGGAGAGGTATGATAAGGCGCTGGCTGATCCTGCTAGGGTGACCAAACCCGATGTGGAAGCTGTTGAGGCGCTGTGCTTGGAGGTGAAGGGGATTGTCGGTGAGGTGTTGAAGGGGGATATCGCTGCTCTGCCCAGCAAGGAGGATGTCTCTGGCCTCGAGACCCGGATTGCCGAGCTTAGGGAGCGCGTCGACGAGTACGCCAGTGCCAGTGCCAAGAGCCTAGAGGATCGCCAGGCCGAGATTGTCGGTGTCGGTGTTACCGTCAAGGAAGTCAAGACTGCGGTCGAGGAGTTTGAGAAGTTCATGAAGGGCCGGCTCGAGGATGGTGCGCGTGGCATTGACGCCTTGTATAAGTGCGTTGATAAGGTCAAGGATGCGCTTTCGAAGCAGAGCACGGCTATTAGCGACGATGTCAAGGAGGTTCTCAACACCGTCCGCGTTGAGTTCGAGGAGGCCAAGCAGGGCTTGGTTGGCACTAAGACTGAGCTCGACGAGAAGGTCCAGGCTGCCAAGGACGCGCTGATCGCCAAGATAGAGGACTCTGTCGAGCGTCTCATCTCCAAGCATGAAGAGCTCGTGCTGCTGCAGGACGATCGCGCACAGAAGAGCGAGGCGCGCGATGCTGAGCTCAATGCCGCCGTCTCAGGCACCAAGACCATCGCCGAGGAGCTCAAGACCCTGGTCGACACCCTCGGCGCTACCGTCACCGACTCGATGGAGAAGATGGAAGAAGCTAGCAAGACCGTCTTTCTGCGTGTCGATGAGATGGCCAACAAGAGCGATGAGCAGTATGCCGAAGCCAAGGCCGAGCACTCGCTTACCCGTGAGAAAGTCCAGGAAGTGGCTGGCAAGGTTGACAGAGTGCACAGCCAGGTTACTGAGATGCAGCCCAAGGTGCTAGATGCCCTCCAGGAGGCTATGAAGATGGTTGAGACGCAGTTTGAGACCCTCAAGGCTGCTGCCATGGCCATCCAGGACCGCGTTAACGAGCCGTACCCCGAGCCGGAGAAATATGACGACTCGGCGGTGCAAGAGAAGCTGGATGCGCTTGTCGGGCACGCTCTGACAGCTGATGAGCAGCTCAAGCAGCTTGAGATTCTAGAGAAAGTGCATGAGCAAGTCAAAGCGTCGCACGAGCAGCTGGCCGCCTTCATTGCCGCCCAGACGAAGCAGATTGCTGATGAGGCTGAGGAGAGAGAGAAGAGGCTGGAGGAGATGACAATTTTGCTAGAGAGGAGGAAGGAGGAGAAGGAGCAGGTCGAAAAGATGCTCATTGGCCTCAGGGAGGATGAAGCTCGTCTGCGAGAGGAGGTCACAGTCAAGTTGCCCGAGGAGCAAGCCCGTGTCAAGGAGCAATTCGTTGCGGCGCTGCAGGCCGAGGAGACCAGGCTCAAGGAGGCCGTCGAGAAACGCGTCCAAGAGCATGAAACCATCAAGGAGCAGTTCCTGGTCAACCTCAAGGAAGAACACGCGCGCATGCTTGAATCTAATGTCGTCCTCAAGGAGGAACAGGACCAGCTCAAGGAGATGTTCCTTGCCACGCTCAAGGAGGAACAGGCTCGCCTGATGGAGATGAATCTCCAGCTCAAGGAGGAGCAGGACAAGATGAAGGAGCAGTTCCTGGCTAACCTCAAGGAAGAGGAAGCCCGCCTGAAGGAGGTGAACGACGCCCTGCGCGCCGAGCAGGCTGTCATCAAGGAGACCTTCCTGGCCAACCTTCGTGAGGAAGAGGCCCTGCTCAAGCAAGCCAATGAAGATTTGCGTAAGGAGCAGGCTGCTCTGCGCGAGACCTTCCTCGCTGGCCTCAAGGAAGAGGAGCAGCGCCTGCGCGAAGAAAATAACAACCTGCGTGCCAAGCTCAAGGAGGAAGAGGAGAAGCTCCGCGCCGAGCTCAAGGCCCGGCTCCACCAAGAATCCGAGCAATACAAGGCCCAACTGCGCGAGGATCACGAAAAGTTCAAGATCGAGCTGCTCGCCAACCTCCTGGAAGAAGAGGCCAAGCTCAAGGAGATCAACGCTGCTCTCCGCGATGAGCAGGAGCTTATCCGTGCCGGCTTCCTGTCCTCGCTCAAGGAAGAAGAGGATCGACTCAAGGACGGCCTTGCTGCCCTGCGTGCTGAACACGAAGACCTCGGCAAGCAGAAGGCTCGTCTGGCGGCCGAGCTGTCTAGCCTGGATACGGCGCTACGGCTGCGTAGGGAGGAGCTGTACGAGATGGAGGCTCGTGCCGAGAACCTCGAGAGGAGGATCCTCGAGGGCGTTATGGATCACTCGCGCGTCCTGCTCATGGCTAAGAGTACTCGGGTCAGTGGCCTGGTTGGTCGGAAGAGGGTTAGCACCGCTCAGGGCCAGAAGGAGGCGGCTGCTGCTGCTGCTGCTGCCGCTGCCGCTGCCGGCGTCAACATAGCGCTCCGTGGTAAGAGTGCTTCATCGGGTTCGGGCGCCAATGCTGGTGCTAGTGCTGGTTCCGGCAACACGGCTGCTAAGGACGCCACTGGCAAGCGTATCCTGTCCCTCAGCCAGATCACGAATAACCTCCCTTCCGGCGGACTCAAGCGCAGCCAGAGTGTTAGAGCCGCTGCGGTTGCGGCTGCGGCCGCCGCCCTCGGCAAGGACCGCAAAACCAGCTGGGCTAGCACCGCGTCTGGCTCTGGTGTCAGGAAGCCCAAGGGGTATGGCGAGCTTGGCGGTCATAATAAGGAGAATGTGGCTGAGGTCGATGAGGAGGATGAGGAGGGCCAGGGACAGGAGGAGGATAAGTGGAGTGATCTTGGGGATGCTACCACGGCTGTGTCGGGTCACGAGGGGAAGAATGACAATGGGGAGGAGGATGGTGAGCCGGAGAGGGTTAGAAAGGTGAGCAATGGGACCACGGTGATTACGCCTCCGGCTGCTGATGCTGAGGGTGATGAGACGGAGGAGGATGATGATGAATCTGAGAGTGAGTGGACTGAGGATGAGGTTGAGCAGAAGAGAGAGACTCCTGTGAAGAAGGGGTCTGCGGCTACCGCAGCTACTGCTTAAGTTGGATGACTTGACGGCTTATGGTTTGATGGATAACGATGATGAAAGGGACGGTGAGCGGGTGCTTTGGCTTCCATTCTCTTTTGTTGGTTTATTTTGTATGACCTATGATTTCTGTTTGGTTGGTGTGTTGTGAGCAATTATTGATATGTTATGGCTGGATGGCTATGCTGGAGAGAGTATTAATGATGGGAGGTGGTTGTCGTGGTGTGTAATTGCTGGTTTGTAGTCTATTAGTTAGGATGGAGGCTTGCTTGCTCTGATAGCCAATGTACGAGTTTTTGTTACTGCACTTGTGTCCGATCCATGTTGATGTGTCATTGACCAGAGTGTCGAAAATGGTCTAGATACCACCCGTTTGTTTCAGGGGCCAAAGATTTCGTCAATTGCGCATAGCTATTCTAACCTTGAAGTTATGTCGAGCGGCTGACTGCCTTGATGTCAAAGAATCTTGTGCCCTCGGATCAGGGGAGACGAGGTTGGCACGGAAGAGAAAAAGAAACCTCAGGCCTTAAAAAAGGGGAAAAAAAACGAAGGGACGAATAACTACAACCGTTTCTGTTGTTGAACGGTAGCCTCTTCCAGTCTCCGCTCAACAACAGCAAACAGGAAGCTGAAAGCCTCCAAGCTCTGCCATCCGCGCGCCTTGGTTGTTGACAATGAGAAATCGGCAGCTGGATTCTCATCATCCTTGTCTCTGTTTAAATGCGGGGTTGGGCGTTTCTGTGCCGAATAACCATTTTCTGTGGTTGACAACATCATTTTGTTGACAACATCAACCCAACTTCTGATCTTGCGGAGATTGGTCAACTGTCTCAAGAGGAATCTCGAGAGGAATCCAGGGTATTAGTGGATAGACCATTTTGTGCTAGTGGTACACTCATAGAATAAGACTACTTTAACCATGATATACTCTACCGTGGACAGTCTACCACCTGCAAAATGTCCTCCCAGGTGTGATCTTTCGGATTATTAAGCCTCTCTGGTCTATTCCAAGGTAACGGTCACTGAAAGGGAGCTTGTAGTGGCCGGCTCAGACCTGTTAATGTGCACATTTCCACCAGCACGAAAAACGCAAAGCCAGCGGGCATATGATACAGAGTAAAAACTTCGAGAACTCGACAGGAACAACGCCTTCTCAAGCATTATGTCCAAGTTATCGGGAAGTTTGATCGTAAACCAAAGAAACCCTAACTCCAGATTGAGAATTCTATCCCATAAAGGTCATACAAACCCTAATAATACACCAGTGCTAATAATATCTACACAGCCTACCTCACCCTAGGTCCAATCTTTTCCCTCCCTTCCATCCAAGGCCTTAGCACCTCCGGAATCGTCACCGACTTCTCCTCCTCATTCCATCCATTCTCCAATATCGCCGCCAACACCCTCGGAACAGCCAGCGCCGTTCCGTTCACGGTCCAAGGGTACACCAGCTTGCCACTTGCCGTTTTCAACCGTGTCGCCAGCCTCCTGGTCTGGTAATCAGTGCAAATACTCGCGCTAGTCACCTCGCCCCAGCCATCGTTCCTCTCCCTCCGGGATGGGAAGAATGCTTCGATGTCGATCTTGCGCGTCGCGGAAGCGCCCAAATCGGTGGTCGGCATCTCCAGCACGCGACAGTGCAAGCCCAGCGATTGCAGAATCTCAGTCTGAAGATCGACCATCTCGTTGAAAACCTCCTCTGTCAGGCCCTCATCGGGATGCGTCCAAGCAAACAGCTCGACCTTCGTAAACTCGTGGACGCGATACAGCCCCTTGGTCTCGGAACCCCGCGCACCGGCTTCGGCGCGGTAGCAGCGTGAGGCGGCTACCAGCTTCATGGGCAGAGAGGCCTCGTCGATGGTCGTGTCGGCTTTCATACCCGCCAGAGGAATTTCGGCGGTACCAGCCATGCACCACTCTGGCTTGCCGCGGGCAGCGTCCTCAGCGGATTGAGCGATCGCGTAGATCTGGGTCTCGCCGTTCTGGTCGCGCGGCTGGAACCCGCAGGCGGATGCGATGTGCGAGTAGACCATGCTGGGCGGGCTAACCTGGCGCCAGCCTGCCCGCGTGGCGGCTGTGAGGGCGTACGAGACCAGGGCTTGCTCGAGCTGGGCTGCTTCGTCGAGAAGATAGTACCATCCCCAGCCAGAAGCTGTCGCAGCTCCCGCAAAGTCAAATATCCCAAGCTCAGCCCCAATATGCGCATGCGACTTCCATACTCGATCAGATGGATCCGGCCCCGGTTCAGGATGATCATTAATAAAGCTCAGCACGCGAGGCTCGTCCCCAACAGGCGTATGCTTGCTAGTGAGATTTGGGATCGCCAGCGCCAGGCGCTGCATCTCATCTGCAAGCGAGGACTCTGCCTCCTCGATTGCCGCTAACTCGGCCTTGATCTTGCGCGCCTCTTCAAGCAGCTGCTCACGGCTCATGCCCTTTAGCCCGTTGACATCATCCCCGCTCCCGTCGTCGATGCTGCTGTTTGGATCGGCCAACTGACGACGCAGGAGGTTACCGCGCTCGCGCAGGCCGCGGCCCTCGCGCTGCTTGGCTTGCCATTGGACGAAGAGCTCGTTGATGCGGGCTGGGTAGGTCGCGGCGGCTTTGTAGTTGCGGTCCAGGCAGTTTTGGGCGTAGAGCTCTGGGTTTTGCCGGATGTGCTTGAGGTCGATGACCGGCTTAGGGGCTGTTGTTGGTCGTTGCACAGGGGGAGGTTGGAGATGTTCAGGGGCTGTCTCGACAGGGTTTTGGCGAAGGCTTCTTGAGCTGTGGAAGGAAGCTGAGGAAGATGGTGAGGGTGAGGTGGATGAGAGAGGTGTTCTTTGGTAACGGGCGTGTGTTGGACGCCGCAGCGAGCGTTGGAACAGACACCTAAAACATGGTGATGACCTCATCTTGGCGGCAGGACTTGTCAGGTACGACAGTCCTTCTGATCTTTCGAGCTCTTGGTGTCGAAGAGTGAGTCTCACTCAAAGAGTTGCGATCAAAGATCGATCAATCGGACGTTGCGAGAGACAGGTGGGGCATGTCTTGGCATGGAGCTATGACCATATCAACAGTTTGCTGATTCTTTACTTCCTCGGAAACTTATGAAAAAGGGCACAAATTCAACCAGACTAAGGCTCATAATTATTACCGTTGTTATTTTCTACTAGTACCTCTGCATCAAATGACAAACCATCTATTCTCGAGGGAAGGTAGAAGGCTTAGAAACTGGTCAACTTCATTGCGGAAACCCTAACCCTAAGAAAAACAATAGATTTCTTAACCTTCTGCTTTGGGTCGAGACCCCGAAGTTGAATAAACCAATCAACGTCTGGTGAAAAGAGCTGGGGCAAGAGATCCAAGTTATAGAAGGGTACGGGGGAAGAAGCCTGTCGACTCACATGTCATCTGGACTTGCTTGGGAGCTTGATCAGTACTCTTTGCTGGCAAGACATCAACGCCGTCCGGCCCAAGGCGAGATCCACAAGATGAGATCAAAAACATTTGATGGGGTCTTCTTCACGTCGTTGTCGGCCGGCTGCGTCCTCTTAACAGAGGGAGATCAGCGTTACCAGATGAATGTGGAGTGCCTGGCCACCTTCCCAGGCCAACTCAAACAGATCATTGACTGTTAGCCAAGCTGACTCATCGTCTCTTTGCCACCTCACAGCACCATCTCTGCCGTTGGCAGATCGTTGACGGCTCCAGCGACTTTCAAGTGCCACACCATCTGGCTGCGTCTGGCTGCCGCCGGTGGAAACCCAAACCCAATACTAACACCCATCACTCTTCACAGAAAAAAATCATCATACGGTGGCAAAGGGCAACACGCAGATCCCCTCCGCAACATTTGGTTCCCTAGCCCGGAAAAACTTCGGCACATCGTCCTGCGACTATTTCTCACATCTCGATCCAGGATCTTGGACCAAGCCGAAAAAAAAAAAAACGTTGTTCCTGCTCCCAGATGCTGATCTCTCCAAGGCGGATGAACCCGCTGTGCATTGCGTCTGGCCAATCACAGGCAGGCTGATGAAAAGAAAGGGTTCCGCCAAGCAGAGACGGGCCAACATGAAACACTACAGTTTGTGGGGGGGGAGCATGTTTTAGCGCTCCGTCGCCAGATGGCGGCAGGTGGCAGCTGGCTCCTGAAATAAGTTGCCCCTGGTTGTCTTGGCTTTTTCCCGAGTTTCTCGTCTCGACCGCAACGTGTCGTTGTGCTGTTGTCGCCAGTAAACTCTCATCAACCACTCTCAGGTTTTTCATGCGCCAGTGGAGACGCGATGGAACGTTTGCTGCAGCCGCCATGTCTCCGTAATCTTAACGGCTCTTGGACTTGACAGAATGGGGTGGCCGCCGATCCGCCAGCTGGGCAGGGAAGGTCCAATCGGCGACGGCGTGGGCACGTTGCCATTCCCTCTCTCCCTCTCCATATCGATCCCTGGCAAGTTGGCATTGGCATTGTAGCATGGAACTGGTCCCATGGCCTAAACTCTTTTGGTGTTGGAGGAAAATCGGCCACCATTCCCTTCATGATTACTTTCAGCTTTTCCTATCTTCCTTTCATCTCATCTCCGTCTCTTCACCTACATTCTCTTTCCCACTGTCACACCTTGCCTTGTGCTCCCTTGCGGCCGTCTTGCCTCGTCTGGTGGCCTGTCCCAGGGTGACACCCTCAGTCTGAAGACGAGTTTCCTTAGGTCCCTCGGTTGTTTGCCTTATCGCGACCCTCGTTGGTCTGACTGCCTTTTTGGGCGCCGCTCGTTGGCTCAGGGTTCGGCATTGTTAGCTTTGAGTCTTTGTTTGGCTCTTAGTCCATAGTTTATCCACCTATGGTTGTTGGGTTGCTGTTTCAACAGCTTCTGTCTTTCTATCTCTCCCTATTCTAGAGACCTACCTCAACAGTCGGTTATTTCACCTTAGTTGTGTTCAGAGAGTTGCGCTACCATGTTCGCGACCTAGGACGCGTCTAAAGAGTCTACAGTAGTCTCGACAGTTGCACAACATCACTCCTAATCATCATCCGTTACCAAACTCCCACCAAATAGGAACACAACAACACCACAAGGACACCCAGTACTAATGTCCTTGAAATCCCCCCGATCCCCCACCCATCAAGGCTTTCGCCCCCTCAATTCTGCCAACAACTCCCGTACCGAGATGCACGACATCCCCCTCCAACCGGTCCGCAGCAATACCAGCATCCGCTCTCGTCGCGGTGCCGACGATGAGAAACAAGGCTACTTCGGCCCTGGGCCGACCCAATCCAACACCAATGGCCCTATGGTTGCGGGCCGCAGGCGCATCCAGAAGGAATTGAAGCGCGCGGGGTCGAGCGATCTGAACGAAGAACCTGCCTCGTTGAATGCGATGGGCCGCCTGTATGAGAAGATCGTCGGCTTCTCTGTCGTCACGCGATACCTAGTGTATGTGGCACCCGTGGCGCTCTTGCTGGCGGCACCGCTCGTGGTTCTGCCCCTCACCGGTGACGGTGATAAGGACCGGATTAAGCTTGGAGATGGAAAGAATCACAGTTTGTTCCAGCTTTTCTTGTGGATTGAGGTATCATGGTTGACGTTGTGGGCGGGGAAGTTGGTCGCCCATTTCCTGCCGGGACTGTTTATGTTCTTCTGTGGCGTTATCAGCGCCGGGACGAAGAAGTATGCGACTGTGCTGAAGGGGATCGAGATCCCGCTGTCGCTGTTCTTTTGGGGGCTGGCGAGCTGGCTGTCGTTCAAGTTTATGTTCCTTGGAGCGAACAGGGAGTGGGTAACGGTCGTGGGGAGGATCCTGCTATCGCTGTTCCTGTCCTCGGCGGTCCTGCTCATCGAGAAGTCCCTCGTCCAGCTGATCAGCATTACCTATCATCAGCGCTCTTTCGCCAACCGAATCCAGGACTCCAAACGCGATATCCACCTCCTGAGTCTCATGTTCGATGCATCCCGCAACCTCTTCCCCATGTACTGCGATGAGTTCGCCGAAGAGGACTACATTATTAATGGCAGCCTCGACATAATGCTCACCGGAGGAAAAGTGAGTGGGAAGCCCATGAAGTTGGTGGGTGATATGAGTCGGTTTGGCGACAAGATCACCTCGGTGTTCGGCAACATTGCGTCTGAAATCACGGGCAAGAAGGTTTTCAACCCCAACTCGGCGCATTCGATTGTCGTGGAGGCGCTCGAGAGGACGCGCAGTTCTGAAGCCCTGGCCCGCCGCATCTGGATGTCCTTCGTCCCTGAGGGCAAGGATACACTGACGCGGGAGGATATCATTGAAGCGATGGGTCCCAGCTATCGCGAGGAAGCTGAAGAGAGCTTTGATGCCATTGATGCCGATCAGAATGGGGATATCAGCCTCGAGGAGATGGTTCGCAAGATCGTGGATATTGGCAAGGAGCGCAAGGCGATTGCGAACAGCATGAAGGATATCAGCCAGGCGTTGGCTGCGTTCGACAAGGTCCTGCTGTTTGTCGTCTTCATCATCTGCATCATTATTTTCCTGGCTGTTTTCCAGAGCAGCTTCATTGGTACTCTGACGACTGCCGGTACCGCGCTGCTGTCTCTATCGTTCGTTTTCGCTGCGACTACCCAGGAGTTCCTCGGTTCTTGCATCTTCCTCTTCGTCAAACACCCCTATGATGTCGGCGACCGGGTCGATATTGCCGGTCCGGAGAAGGAGCAGTTGGTGGTCGAGAAGATTTCGCTGCTGTATACTGTCTTCACTCGCATCGACAAGATGCAGGTCGTTCAAGTATGCAACTTCATTTCCTCCTTCTTGAGTGAGTTAGACTAACGTTCAGTAGATCCCCAACATCGTTCTCAACAACCTCTGGATCGAAAATGTGACCCGCAGCAAAGCCATGAAAGAAACCATCGACGTCAACGTCTCCTTCGACACCTCCCTCGAGGACATCGAGCTCCTCCGCCAGGAAATGGAGAAATTCGTCCGCGCACCCGAAAACTCGCGTGACTTCCAGCCCGACCTGGGTATCTCGGTCGGTGGCGTCGGCGACTGTGACAAGCTCACCCTCAAGATCGCCATCAAGCACAAGTCGAACTGGCACAACGATGCCGTTCGCGCGGCCCGTCGTAACAAGTTCATGTGCGCCCTCACCATGGCTCTCAAGCGTGTGCCCATCTACCCGCCTGGTGGCGGCTCGGAGCCGCTTGGTGGTCCCGGAAACCCGAGTTATAGCGTTGCTGTGTCCGATGAATTTGCCGTTAGTGCACGGAAGAAGGCCGAGCAGGATAAGGAGGCCAAGAGGCTCGCCAATCAACTGGCTGAGCAGACTTCGGCGAGTGATTCACGCTCAGTGCATGAGCAACCGACTGAAACTCCTCTGGAGAGGATTCCTTCCGCTAACTCGCCTAGTGCTTTGACAACTGGGTTCAATTTGGGCAGACAGGAGTCGCATACCCGTGGCCGGAGGAAACCTGGCGAGTCTCTTCCTCCAACGGCTGTGTTGGGAGACGATAACGCAGTGTCGGTTGGCGTGACATTGACCAGGACATCATCCTCCATTAGCGCGACGAGGAGAGATCACCGCTCGTTTGATATTGAACGGAATGCTGGGGCGTCGCCTGACTGGGGCTCGTCAAATCCTTATGCGGGAAGCAGCCCAAGTCAGCAGCAGCAGCCGAATCCGTATGGACCGCCGATAAGGCAGGCTACGGAGCCGGCTTATCTGGGTGTGCCGTCCCAGCAGCAAGGGAGGGATATTATTGGAGGAAGGCAACAGGGGCAGCAGAGTCCCGGCAGGCAATGATGACAAGAAACAAAGGGAAATGATACCATGATGGATAACCAAAAAAATGGAAAAAGGGATGCCCAAGGAAAAGGGGACTTACCGTTCATTGGGAGGAATACTGGTAGTTGTAATGTTTGGAGACAAAGCCACTGGCTGGCGTTTGGGGTTTAGCTTTTTGTTCTGCTTTGATACACTTTTGTCTATAAAGGGGATTAGAGAGGTGTTTGGCCAGCTGGCTTTCCTGTTGTTTAAAAAAATGCTTTGTGCTCAACCAATACAGTGTATATTTCTGCTTTCCTGTACAAAGATTGCGAAATAGAGTCGCTATAGCCAGGAGCAGAGCTCTATAAGCCTTTGAAATCGTTTGGAGTGTTTCTCAAACTGCAAGGCAAGACTAGGTGCAAGTAGACTTCTACTCCCTTTGGCCTTGGATTGAGTGTCCGCTGGAGCCGATGTATCTAGGATTCTTCCTCATCGTTCTTCTTGTGCTACCTCCACAACTTTAACACATTGTGTGAGCTAAGTTTCATCCAATGCATGGTCATGAAAATCGGCCCACCTGCTTAGAATGACGATGGTTTCGTGCTGAATGATGGTGTTGTGGGCAGAGATAGAGCTAGGGCTGATGACCTCCGATCACTGGAGAACAAGCATGAGTAAGGGTCGGCCAATTCTGACTTTTGGAGACAAGGATTGCCTGCGCCTATGGCTCATTGAGCGGGACGATATTGGCGAAAAAAAAGTTGATGGCAATCTGCCTAGAGGGTACCATTGACGGTCGTTTCCATGGAGAGTCAAGCATTGAGCCATATGGTGATTAGAATGTTAACACAAAAGCATTCTTGAGTCAATATCCGTCTTATCCTTTGCTGAAGCAGCAGTTTGTTCACCTTTCGAGGGGCACAGGCTGATTCGTGATGCTTCCCACTTGAGGCCTGTAAAACCGGTAAAGGGCTTCCTTGACAAGCAAATGGTATATCTGAAACTATAAGTAAGATGGACAAAAGATAACAGCTGAATGTGACATAATCACCAAATTAAGCGTTGAAAACATCATGATTGGGAAGAATTGTCAGCTTAGTCCGAGGTCGTTGGACATCTCTGGCAGCTGCGGCCTGCCCTGCCAAGACCCAAACCCAAAGCTGTTGGTGCGGGAGATCAGACTTATCTTATCGCCCCTCATGACCTCACCATGAAGGTGGCAGGATGGTGTTTCATGTTGGAACCTGCTTTTTCAGCAGGATGTGGAGCATGGGGAGTAGGAGGGCAATTCAACTGACTCTGTTAGCGAAGATAAGGGCAATTGGAGTACATAGGTTCAGTAAACAAGATTGCATCCAATGGGCAGAGGCAGGCAAAGAATCTTGATAGATGACTGAAACTTGCAAACATTGCCCGCCACTCAGCCATCAGCCAAACTTCAGCTTCAGGCACCAGGCAAAGAAGTGCCAGACAGACAAAGCGTGGGACAGCGAATGACGGGGTGTGGGATTAGCGGGGTACTTCAGGGTACCTCTAGGGATCTTGATGCATGCCGCGCATCCAGACGGTTCTGCACCCCCTTCTGGCCCAGGAAATGGATTGGTTGGCTCAGGATTATAGAGCCCAGGCAAATCGTCCTTGTTACGACTGTTTCTGCCTCTGAGAGCTTTGCAGCCAATGCTCTGGTGGCAATTGAGTGGATGTGAGCTTGACGCTGTTGTGATCACTGGCACATATGCTAATGGGTAGACAGGATTAGCGGCCCGAGTATGGGGGTCAGGCAGCACAGCGCCCAACGCACACGCTTGTTGGGTTCTCAAGGTCCTTCGGTAAGGTCAGTACAGTATCAGGCTCAAAGCCGGGTGTCCATGGCTCAGGACCTGGCTTGGGAGAAGCTGAGTGAGTTGACTGTTAGTCCCTCCCAAGTGGCGGGAGGGATTGTGTTGTGGAAGATTCTCTGCCTCATAGAATGAAGCAGAATCTTAAGACTGCAGCTTGGCGGTTCCGTGGGTATGATGGAATCTAACGATAGGCAATCCAGACCACGTATTCGGGACGTGCAGAACCGCACGTTCAGGGAGATGGAATTGTGAAGTTGGCATTAGTTTGCTTGCTGTGAATGGGACCTTGATGCTAGAACACTCTACCACAAGGCTGCTAGCTACGGAACTGGATGCCCTGGGAAATGTCATGGAAGCACAGAGATGTATTGCGACCATTGCCCGGCTGTGGCAGGCTGAACAGAGATGGGATTGAAGATCCACTGCGGCAGCCCTGCGCCGCCTCACAGGGCCGCCGAATGTTCCAGTGCAGTGTGGAGGTGCTGAGAGGCTGCCAGAGGGTCCACGAGAGTGCTAGAGGCTGCCAGACCAATCGCGAAAGTCACCAGCCGTACCCTTTGTAGTGGGGTTGCGGAAGTCCACTGGAAACCCACCGAAGGTCGTGGAAGGGTCGACCCGTGCGACCTGCAGCTTAAATTCTCACGGCTGGTGCTGCCCCTCCTTCCCTCTTCCTATTTCACCATACCAAGCCAAATCTTTCCCGCGATTTTCTTTTTTCCACACCATTTCCAGGGAAAATCTGAAGTCGTGGTTTTTCAGTTTTCCTTTATACAACCTGTTCTGAGTTATTTGTCCTTTTCAGTAGATCAGAACATACAGCCAGCACAGTCAAGATGGCTCCCGCCGTCGGCATCGATCTGGGCACGACCTACTCGTGCGTTGGTGTGTTCCGTGAGGACCGGTAAGTTTGAACAGTCAAGTTGATTTTTCCCCTCTTCAGTTGCCCAGCAAGTCGTGATTGCGAAGTCAAGAAGAGAGCCCCGCGGGACCCGCGCATTGAGCGAGCAGCAGTCGGAAGACTTGCGGAGCCTGATCCTTAGAGTCATCGGGCAGCAACAGTCTCAATGGCATCCTCGCACACTTCTCGCACTTCTTGCACTCGACCTGCGAGCATGGAAGCTATCAAGATCTTCAGAATGTCGGCTAACAACCGACCAGCTGTGAAATCATTGCCAATGACCAGGGCAACCGCACTACCCCCTCGTTCGTCGCCTTCACCGATACCGAGCGTCTCATCGGTGATGCCGCCAAGAACCAGGTCGCCATGAACCCCCACAACACTGTCTTTGACGCCAAGCGCCTGATCGGCCGCAAGTTCAGTGACCCTGAGGTTCAGAGCGATATGAAGCACTTCCCCTTCAAGGTCATTGATCGCAATGGCAAGCCGGTCATTCAAGTTGAATTCAAGGGCGAGACCAAAGTTTTCACCCCCGAGGAGATCTCGTCCATGGTCCTCACCAAGATGAAGGAGACTGCCGAGTCCTACCTGGGCCAGCCCGTCACTAGTGCCGTCATTACCGTCCCGGCCTACTTCAACGACTCTCAGCGTCAGGCCACCAAGGATGCCGGTCTCATTGCCGGTCTCAACGTCCTCCGTATCATCAACGAACCCACTGCTGCTGCCATTGCCTATGGTCTCGACAAGAAGGCTGAGGGCGAGCGCAACGTCCTCATCTTCGATCTTGGTGGTGGTACCTTCGATGTCTCGCTCCTGACCATCGAGGATGGTATCTTCGAGGTCAAGTCCACTGCCGGCGACACTCACTTGGGTGGTGAGGACTTCGACAACCGCCTCGTCAACCACTTCGTCGCGGAATTCAAGCGCAAGTTTAAGAAAGGTAAATATCAGTCAACTCTCAGACCCCTTTCGTTTTTTTTTCAGATTTTGGCGGTTTTCTGCGATTTGGCGATTTTCTGCCGAGTACCCCCCCACCTTGCCCCTCCCCCGCCCCCACTTCATCTGCCCCACTTCACCCCGCGGACTCGCCGATCCAACATTGCAACTTCTATCATTCTTCTGAACCTTCATTCTAGTCTTGTGCAGCGGCTAACTGTTTTGCAGATTTGACCACCAATGCCCGTGCTCTGCGCCGTCTCCGCACTGCTTGCGAGCGTGCCAAGCGCACTCTGTCTTCGTCGGCTCAGACTTCGATCGAGATCGACTCCCTCTTCGAGGGTATTGACTTCTACACCTCCATCACTCGTGCCCGCTTCGAGGAGCTTTGCCAAGATCTGTTCCGCTCTACCCTCATCCCTGTTGACCGTGTCCTGAGCGACGCCAAGATCGACAAGTCCCAGGTCCACGAGATTGTCCTTGTCGGTGGCTCGACCCGTATTCCCCGCATCCAGAAGCTTATCTCGGACTACTTCAACGGCAAGGAGCCCAACAAGTCCATCAACCCCGATGAGGCCGTCGCCTATGGTGCTGCCGTCCAGGCCGCCATCCTGTCTGGCGATACCTCCTCCAAGTCGACCAACGAGATTCTGCTGCTCGACGTCGCTCCTCTGTCGCTCGGTATCGAGACCGCTGGTGGTATCATGACCAAGCTCATCCCCCGCAATACCACCATTCCCACCAAGAAGTCCGAGATTTTCTCGACCTTCTCCGACAACCAGCCCGGTGTGCTCATCCAGGTCTACGAGGGTGAGCGTCAGCGCACCAAGGACAACAACCTGCTCGGCAAGTTCGAGCTCACTGGTATCCCGCCTGCGCCCCGTGGTGTTCCTCAGATCGAGGTCACCTTCGATCTTGATGCCAACGGTATCATGAACGTCTCTGCCGTTGAGAAGGGCACTGGCAAGACCAACCAGATCACCATCACCAACGACAAGGGCCGCCTGTCCAAGGAGGAGATCGAGCGCATGATTGCCGAGGCCGAGAAGTTCAAGGAGGAGGATGAGCGCGAGGCCGCTCGTATCCAGGCCAAGAACGGACTTGAGTCTTATGCTTACTCCCTGCGCAATACCCTCAACGACTCTAAGGTCGATGAGAAGCTCGATCAGGCCGACAAGGATAAGCTCCGCGCTGAGATCGACAAGGTTGTCCATTGGCTTGACGAGAACCAGCAGGCCACCAAGGACGAGTACGAGGACAAGCAGAAGGAGCTCGAGTCTGTTGCCAACCCCATCATGATGAAGTTCTACGGCGCCGGCGCTGGTGGTGTCCCTGGCGGCATGCCCGGTGGTGCTCCTGGTGGCTTCCCTGGCGCCGCCGGCGGTGCTTCGCACGACAACGACGGCCCGACCGTCGAGGAGGTCGACTAAAGGGCTGCATAACCCTCGACTTTCCTTCTGCTTTCTTCTTGCACTAGTAGATTGCGTCCGCGTCGACGATCAGTTAGGGATGCGGAGTATCGGGTATGGGTTTAACGCCTAGATCTGGTTTTCCCTTTTTTTTTTCTCTTGATGATCATGATAAAGGGGAAAAGTTTACGGAGGCTGCATGGGTTGTATTTTAGTCATGATTCCCAGTTTCCTGCGACGAACAAGGAACAGTTATTAAAACATTGGCTTCTTGTCTGTGTGCGTGATGTGTCTCCATACTGATGTCATGTCCAATGTCAACCCCTACTGTTACAGCCATGTCGTTCCTGAGTTGCTCAATGTTGGCTGTCGTTGTTGTCCAGCATCCATCTTCCCAACAGCTCTGTACTTCATCGCCAGCAGTTTGACAAGCGGAGGACTGACAAGTGACTTGTTTCTAAGGCCAATCTGCTAGCTGATGTATTTGTTCCTTCCAATCTACTCGCGATCATTGCTGAAACGCCTCTGGCACATCACGTCTTTCGAAGTTCTGTATCGTAAGATCCCATTCAGTTGAAGGGCCAATGGTTAAAGCCCTTAAAAAAAATAAAAATAAAACTCAGGGTCTCAGCGGAAAAACAATTTTAGACTCAAACCACTTCCATGCAACCAAAGCCCAGGATCTTGGGTGAGGGCAAGAGTTTGGAGAATAAAGAGGTAATACAAAAGTCAATTCCAGATATCAACATGAGTTAAATCAGACATTACCCCAAACTCCAAACCCATCTCAGCCCTATAATACACACAAGATACACCGATTTTCTTTCAACCTCCCTCACTGTCCCTTATCCGACTCGTTAAACCCCAACTCGTCCCTTATCTTCCTCCTCCTCTCGGCATCCTGCCTCAAAAACTCCTTATCATTTTCAATCTTCCTCTCAAACCGCCCCCTAAACGCCGTCCCGGGCTCAACCCTCTCCTCCCGACTCTCCCACACATCCTCACTGCTCGGCTTGCCCCCGCCATACTTAGCTTCTTCCTTTGCCCGATAGTGTGCTTTGATTGCTTCCTCGCGCATCTGGGGAGAGAAGGATTTCACGCGCATGCAAAACCAGAAATCGTCCCATAGCTCGGAGCAAGTGCGGAGGGTGCCATAGCGGTAGACTGCATTCAACTGAGAACCGGGTGTGTGGCAGTGCCAGGCGTAATCGAAGGCGTCGCGGCAGGACATGGTGGTTGGGAGGAGGTGCTCGGACATGGCGTAGGAGTGGGGGGGACGGGTCTTCTTAGGCTTTTGTTGCTGTCCAGTGGTATCTGTTTGCCCAGGAGTTTCACCGGCTGATTTGACGCGGCCGAAGGGAATCCAGGAGGGGAGCTTAGAAGTGGATGATGAAGCGGCTTTGGAATTAGCGGCTGCTGCGGCCTCGGCCTCCTCGTCGGCCTTGGCTTCTTTCATGAGCATGCCGATGAAGAGGGCCATTTCGCGGTCTGCGGCTTCCTCTTCTGTCTCAGGGCGCTTGGGCTGGGACAGTTGGGGGGTAGTCTGGATTGATTGTGATGGCGGGAGAGGGGTTGAGGTGGGAGCTTTGGTGTTAGATTCCTCGCTCTTGGGCGACGACGAGGACCAGAACCATCCCATTGTATCAACTGGCCTGCTGGAAATATATGATCGCTATGAAGTTAAGTGGGGTAAGTGAGATGAAGCGAGAGAGCTGAGGAATTGGATGAAACAGAGACAGTCAGCGTGGTGTTGAGCTTGTCGTCGAGAGATTTCCCGAATTAAAGCTCACGGATTCGATGTGATAAGATTCTTATCGTAAAGTTGCATGCTGATTGGTTGATAGACAACAAAGGCGGGCTTCGATCAGGGCCTGGACCACCTATGACCTCATCGCCTAGTGCTCATGCCCAAGGCAGGGACATCCATTTTCAGGCCAGGAACGTCGAGCCTCTGAAGGCCCAGTAACGGCTGTATCGACAATAGAAATATTGGGTTTGAATATTGGGCCAGCTCGGACCGAGGGACCTCGTATCACTGTTACATAAGAGCTGCCACCAAGTCCGGCCTTATCAAGCCGAGGCAGCCGAACTTTGATACGGCTTTAGTTTAAGAACAGTGCTTCAAGAAAAGAGGGCCATCGTGCCATGGGCCAACCGCCATGACCCTAAGTAAAGCTCTGTGCAGGCCGCTATCAGCGCCGGGACCACTATACCGGACTCTCTCAAACCGCCTTGGGCCTGACCAGTTTCTCGTCCCCATCCATTGTCAGCTCACGGCCCGAAGATGGAAGAAAACAGTCGCCAGCGACCCAACTAAGATTGGACACATCGTGACCCAGCCGGGCGAGTCGATGCTATTCTTTGATAGTGCCGTGCCCTGGCCCATAATCGGTGCCAGCTTAGAAGTTGCTGACACATTCTAGATCTGTTTCCGCTGAAGTTGAGCTCTGTCTTGCTCTGGAGTCCGTGGGAGACGAATCGTGATTTGGCTAGTCTGTTGGGACGGCCTGAGGTTGCGCCGAGTGGGTTGTTTGACCCCGTAGGGCTGGTTAAGCAGGCCATCCCGAAGGATCTACCGATCAAGATCACCCAGGTTATTCCCCGGTTGAAGGAGTCGGGGGCCTATGTCAAGTTTACGTATCCTCCTGGTATTTCTCCGGCTGAAATAGAAGGTGAGGACTTATCTCTCAGTTTTCAGAGCATCTGCTCACTGGTTACCAGCCAAACTGGTCAAGTCACTCATCGAGAATCCGATCAAACCATGGTTCAGCCCCTTCCGCGGCATCAAGGCCAGCCTGGTCCAAGGCCGCCCCTGGCTCGAAGACCTCTACCGCCTGCCTAAAGGCCGCTTGAAGGTCGAATTCATTCCTACAGGTGATGGCGAACCTCCTGGAGAGCTCTCACAAGAATCCTTGTATAACCTCTTCCGCCGGTACGGCAAGATAGCAGATATCGTGTCGCAGCCTCCTGACTCGAAGGTCGTGCCGCGGTATGCCTATGTGGATTTCGTCCTCGTTAGGGACGCCATAATGGCGAGGAACTGCATGCACGGGTTCGTGCTCAAAGAGGAGGGCAGCAAGAACCCGACACGATTGAGGCTGTCGTATGAGCAAAGGGTGAAACCACATCATTTTTGGAGCTGGATCTCGGGACACCCGAAAATTGTTATTCCGATCATTGCGGCCGTGTTGGCTGCGTTCACGGTGGCTGTGTTTGATCCTATTCGGGAGTTCTTCGTTCAGGTATGGCCAAGTATGTTCCTACTCATCAGTGTTGAAGCAGGTGCTAACCGCAGCAGAGCCATATCCAAAAATCGCTGGATCTTACCAACAGCAACCTGTACAAATGGCTGAAGCGACAGACTTCTGATATCCTCTCCTTCAAGCCTCGAAAGGAGGAGACGGCCGGTCTCAGTGCCCTGTTCACTCACCACAGAGAGCTGATCGACACAGTCCAGAGCAGCCTTCTTGAGTCAGGAGACACCTTTGTCGTCGTCCATGGCCCCCGTGGCTCTGGCGCCAGGGAACTTATCATGAACCAGGTCCTTCATGACCGTCGGGACGTCCTGCTCATCGACTGCAGGCAAGTCATGGAAGCCAGAGGCGAGGCCGACATCATCAAGAAGCTGGCTTCGCAGGTTGGCTACCGCCCCGTCTTCTCCTGGGCCAATAATATCAGCAGCATGCTCGACTTAGCCATTCAAAGCACTACAGGTGTCAAGGCAGGCTTCTCGGAGAACCTCGAGGCTCAGATCGTCAAGATCCTGCAGACGACTGCTTCTGCTCTGAAGAACGTCTCACTGTCCGCAAGGACTAAAGACGACAGAGATGCTACTCTCACAGACGACGCCTACCTCGAAGCACACCCAGAACGTCGCGCCGTGGTTGTAATCGACAACTTCCTTCACAAAGGTGACGAGAAGGGCATCTTCTACGACCGTCTGTCTGATTGGGCCGCGGCCCTCGTCCAGTCCAACATCGCCCACGTCATTTTCCTAACCACCGACACTACCTACTCCAAGACCCTTTCGCGTGCCCTTCCCGATCGCGTCTTCCACCAAGTCCGACTCAGCGACCTCTCTCCCGACGTCGCAAAGCGCTTCGTAATCTCTCAGCTCAACAACCAATCCCAACCTCAACCCGGCGCAGACGACTCCCGCATCAAACTCTCCAACCAACAGCTCCGCTCCGACCTCGCTGAACTCGATGAATGCATCTCCCTCCTGGGTGGACGCGTAACCGACCTGCAACTCCTCGCCCGCCGCCTGAAAGCAGGCCAATCTCCTTCCAAAGCCGTCTCCGACATCATCGAACAAAGCTCCATCGAAATCTTGCGGTTCTTCCTCCTCTCCACCAAGCCCACGACCCCGTCGGGCGCAGACAAGAAATGGTCTGCCGAGCAGGCCTGGAGTCTTATCAAGGCCCTCGCTACTTCGCCGAACGAGGCCCTGCCATATAATCAAGTTTTGCTGTCGCCTACATTCGCGTACTCGACTTCCCCAGACGCGGCCAGCCCTGAGGCAGCGCTCGAAGCGCTTGCCAACGCGGAGCTGATCACAATTCACTCCCGCCATGGGCGACCAGCTACCATCAAGGCAGGGAAACCCGTCTACCAGGCTGCCTTTCGCAAACTTCTTGAAGACCCTGTTGTGAAAGCAAGGATGGACCTGGCGATGTTGACTGAGCTAGTCAAGATTGAGAACAAGAATATTGAGAAGGCAGAGGCCGAGTTGGCTGTGCTGGGGCAGGCAGGGGCACAGAATGGGTCCTGGGGATGGGGACTGGCGGGCGAGAGGGTGAAGTATTTATTGGGGAAGGTGAAGGCTAGTCAATGGAGGATCGAGAAGTGGGAGGGGGAAATTAAGGGGTTGAAGAAAGTGCTCGAGAAGGAGGTTTAAAGGAGTTCGTCAGGGGTGTGAGAATGGATTGATGACCAAGATTATTCTTGACAGAAAGGGAGATTAAAAAAGATGTTGAGATGGGCAGCATGATTGACAATCCTAAATGTTTGCATGCATGAGTATCAGGTACCCTTCTCAGTACTTGTCTTGAGAACTTCGTTCACTTCAAGTGTATGGGTAGATGCACAAGAGTTCTGGCCCCGGTTGCGACCATCACAGTAACACATCACATCAGTTGATCTAGCTCGCCGAAAGATGTGAACGTGGCAAACGTTCCTCCCATTTTGACCATGACCATGAAACTGTACGCCTCTGTTGGTCCAAAAACACAACTCCTGGCAATAAGCATACAACTCTATTAGAAAAATTTACAGTCTTCCCCTAATTATCTCCCCCCTCTTCTTCCTCTTCCTCACCGCCCCCGTCCTCTGGCGGGGCCTCTTCGGGCTCTTGCGGCTTCACAGAGACCTCCTGGCCCTGGGAGAAGAAGATACGTGCAGGATAATCATAATCATTTTCTATTGTGTACTCATTGACTGTTGAGGTTAGCATATGCATGAAGACACTAGAGCAATGTGAGAGAACTTACACCGCGGGACAATGAAAATCCCCCCCTTACTAATGCGGAAACTCGTCTCCTGGACGGTTACCAGCACCCGGCCCTTGTGCACAAAGAAGATCATGAACACCTTGCGCGAATTCTTCAGCCGCTTAACGGCGCCAGGCGGCAGATCGACCACACCAGCGCCAATGAACCCCTCGCTAAACACCTTCGCGTAGCGGAACTCGCCGCCCACAACCTCTGTAGTCTTGATCGCCTGTGCGCTGATGGCCAGCTGCTTGTCCATGACACTGACCAGATCGTTCGGTGCCGGCGGGTTCCATTCGTACTCCGGCTGCCAGACCACCACCTCGCCCGTGACATAGCCCGGATCAACCTCCCATGCATCAGCAGGGCCCTCATCATCACTACTCTCCTCATACTCGCCTCTACTCCTCCTTTTTCTACCTCCACTTCTCTTCGCCTTCCTCCCCCCGCCTCCAGACCGTCTCCTAACCTCCGGCTCCGCCTCTTCAACCCTCACAACCTCCTTAATAACCGGCAGCACAAACTTCTTAGGGGCGCTGCTCTTTCCTCCCCGACCAACAAACGGATCCAGCGATTCGTCCTTTTCATACTCAACGCGCTCGTTGCGCCAGTAGGCTAACGGCTTGAAGGACGTACGTCCGGAACGCGTGCGGAACATGCCGCTGGACGGGTCATTGGGGGTCTCGGTACGCCGGTTGATGAGGAGACCGCGGGATTTGGGCAGGGGAGGGCGACGCAAGGTCATGACTTGGCTAACGTCGCCTGGTTCGGGGGCTTCAGAGGCCTTGGGGTAGCTTTTCTTGGCAGACCTTTGTTCTGGTGGGGGTTCGATCACGCGTTTGGTGGTCATCTTGGGCTTGGGTTGGGGCTTAGACGCTTCGGTGCGCTGGCGCTTGGGTTGAGGCTCCGGGGATGGTCCCTTTTCTTCTTCTAACGACCGGCGCTTGTTGGCGCCGCGAGTAGGTGCTGCAGCCGGAGCCTTGCCCTTGGCGGCTGGGCCGCGATGAGGTTTTGGTGAGGGAGTATCCTGCCGCTCTTCTTCCTCGACATCCTCGTCTGGCTCTTGTCTCTGCACTTCTTCCTCTTCCTCCTCCTCCTCCTCCTCCTCCTCCATTTCTTCGTCGACAACTGGTCGTGCGGACTTCCTCGTAGGAGCAGCCTTCGCTGGCGCGGCTTTTGGTTTTGCCTTTGGTTGCGGCGCTGCCTGCATTCCAGGCCTCCGCTTCGATATCGACGCAGGATCAGGGTCGCTCGGGGGATCATCTTCGTGCTGCTCAGATAAGTCGTACTCCTCATTCAACATCGCCATGGATTCCTCCACAAAATTGGTCACCTCGTCATCGACAGCATCATCTTCCTCTTCAGGCATCGTAAACCGGTCTCTCGAAGACGACGAAGTGGGTTGCGACAGCGAATGTGGCCCGCCATTACGCACGCTTTGGAAGTCCAGGCGGCGCTTGAACACGTCAGCATCTGATGTGGGCTGACTGCTCGGCTTAGGAGGGTTGACTTTTGCCAGAGGTTTGCCGCGCTGGCCAGGAGAGTTGAGCAGCGACGATTTCACAGGCGACTTTGCGCGCCCCAGCGGCCCGGCGTTCCTACTGCCTTGGCCGTTGAGGAGGGCTGAGGGGCCAATTCCGGATGCTGTCAACGTTAGCCTTTGAAAAGTTTTACTCTTTTAATCGACGAAGGGGCCGTACTCGTGCTAATATCCATCGCCTCGTCACCACTACCCTCCGAGCCAGCGCCGTCCTCGTGGCGCTCTTCCAGATCAGACTTTCCCGGGGATGAGAAAAAATCTTCGAGCGGTTCCATGCCATGCTCGTCACGAATACCCGAGTCGGGGACAGTGACGCCGGTTTTTCTGCGCGTGACCTGTCAGCGTCGCGTCCGACCTAACAACAACTCAATATTTCTAACCTTCCGACCACGCCCAAATCATAGATATGCTCTGCCGGCGCAGCCAACGTGCGACGCGCCAGCGACGGTCGAGGCGCCATGCTAGCTGGATCGTTGTCGTCAACTCGTAACAGGTAAGGATGAGGATGTTGGAGACGCGACCGAATAAGCTCAGAAGCGCGACGCCGACGCGGGACGGGACGTGCGAAGCTCAAGGGTATCTAAAATAAGGAATCAGCAGCAAAGCGGCAACAAGCCGACAAGCAAATCTGCCCGGGACAAATGGCGCGAGAGTAATGGACACGACGCAGCAACGGACAGTGTTTACTTGAAGACGGGATAGTGTGGGCAGTTCAGGTTCGGCTGGTGGTGGCGCCGCAGCGAGCGAGGAGCCCAAGGGCCACAAGATGCAGCTCTGAGCTCTATGAACAGGGCTGTGGGACAGTGGGCTTGGGCGCTAGAGACAGCGGGAGCTCGCAGCACAGCGTGTAATCAATGGGACCCGCACATTTGTCTGAGGGTTAACATAATTGGATGAAAGCCAGACGCGGCCGTCGCGCCGCACGGCTGCACGCGTCGAGGATCCACATTCCTCTTTCTGTTCTCTTGGTCGGTTTCTGTGTAAGTCGCCGACGACAAGATCTGCAACATTAAGTTCTGGTCCTGCATCTGTCCATACACCCAGAAATTGAGGACAACGACACCAATCTGACCTCAATATCTTGATCTGTGATCAATTCCTCACCCACCAAAATGGACGACTTCCAAGCCTTCGAAGACCTCACACCCGAGGCCGAGACCCCCTCTTCCTCAGTCTTCATCCCCCCCTCAATCAACCACACCTCCCTCCTCTCCGGCGCCTCCTACACCTACATCTCTCCCATCCCTTCCTCCCTCCTGCCGCCCTCAGGTTCCCCCTCCGGGACCCTTGGACCCCCCTGCGTCCTAGGCGTAGACGAAGCCGGCCGCGGCCCCGTCCTTGGGCCCATGGTCTACGGCATCTTCTTCCTGCCACTCGACCTCTCCGACTCTCTCCTCCGCGACACCCACCACTTCGACGACAGCAAAGTCCTCACGCCCGCGACCCGCTCCGCATTAATGCAAACCCTCTGTACCGAAGGCTCCGACCTACACACCTCCTGCGGCTGGGCCATCACCGCTCTCTCCGCACGGGACATCTCCTCTGGCATGCTCCGCCCTTCGACAGCAGGATATAACCTCAATGCGCAAGCCCAAGACGCGACTGTCGCGCTTATCAAGAAAGTTTACGCCTCAGGCGTGAACGTCACAGAGATATACGTCGACACAATCGGGCATCCGGCGACGTACCAGGCGAAGCTGGAGAGGGTGTTCCCCGGGGTGAAGATCACTGTCGCGAAGAAGGCGGATAGCTTGTATCCGTGTGTCAGTGCCGCGAGTGTGTGTGCTAAGGTGACGAGGGATGCGGCGTTGGAGGTTTTGTGGGAGGCTGCCAAGGGGAGGGGGAGGACACCTAAAGGGGAGGATGAGATGGATGTGGGTGAGAAGAGAGGTGAGAGCGAAGAGAGTGAGGGAATGGCTTGGGGATCAGGGTACCCCTCTGACGCGAGGTGTGTGTCCTGGCTGAAGGCGAATATGCATCCCGTCTGGGGATGGGGACCGGAATGCCGTTTTAGCTGGGGAACGGCAAAAGACATGTTGGAAGCACCCCCGACAAAAGGGGGCGGTGTTAAGGTCGACTGGCCTGTCGATAATGACGGCGACACACATCGCTTGACGGACTTTTTCACATCAAAACACCAAGAGCAGGAAGGAGACGAGCTAGGGAACTGGTTTGGTGCCCCAGCGGGCGTGGAAGCTTTTTAAGTAGAGACATATACGCGGTATCATGCTGTATTAACCCTATCCTCATGTTCTGACACGGTAATCTGGCGTTGAAACAGAAAGCAACCATCTAATTATCCTATCCATCCAGCCATCCAGGACCATTCAACGGCCCTCCTTCCCTTCCCCCCTTTATGAAAGCAGGAACCCTACTAGTACTGAAAACAAACAGTGAAGCCATACAATCCCGTTAACACCCGTGCATGCCCACATCGTCAAATCTAAATATCATCATCACTCTCCTGGCTCGCTACCTTCTTTCCTCGGCTATCCAAACGATCCAGGTGGACGGCACCGCCGTTCTGGTAGTGACCATTCTCCTGGCGAGCCGGCACGCCAATAGCCTGCCGAACCCTGTCGTTCTCCGCGATGAACTGGCGTAACTTGTCCTTTCCGATCTCGACCGCCTGGTTGGTGGCAGCATTGGCCATTTGCATCATGGGGCCGAGCAGGTTGAGCGAATAGGCCACGTACAAGCCGCCGGTCACGATCAGAAGCATCATGAAGAGCACGGGGTTGCGCAGGACTGTGACCGACAGTCAGTAAATAAAAAAAAAATTAAAAAAGGTACGTAGATTTCAAGACAACTCAGCTGTGAGTACTCACCCATGACGAACTCGTTCCATCCCAAAACCAACATAGCCACATAGAAGTAGAACGGCACCTGGGTAATGCCCCCAATGGCACTGCGCTTGGCCTCCACATAGACACCATCGGCCATCTTCTTGAAACGAGCAACAAGATCCTGTCTCTTGCTCTCGCTCAAGACGGCCATCTCATCGTCCAGTGTTTTGCCATCCTCATCATCGATGCCGCCAATCGGCACAAGATCGTCCTCTTCCCTGATATCAACTCCAGCCGGCTGGGCGCCAATGAAAGCTACCAAATCCGGCGCAGCGCCTGTCGCAACAAGCTTAATCTTCGCCAACAGCGGAATAAGCGCGAGTGTGGCCTCCCGCGCCTTGGTGTACACTCCCTCGATATCATCAGTGGGCCGCCAGATCCTTGGCACGCCGTCAGCATCATACCGAAACTTATCCTCAAAGTTTTCCCTCAACTTCATCAGGATATTGCCCTCCTGCATCTCCTCATCGATGCGCTCGCGCAGCGCAATCCAGCTCTTGCGCCGCAGCCGCCAGATGCCCACCGCAACCTCCTCCTCACTAGCCTGGAAGCTCTTGGCGCGGTCGGCAAACTTCGCCGCAGCATCATCGACAATATCAGTGAAGACCTTCCACACGCGATCCCAAAGATCCTTCTCACTAGCCGGCTTCTCCCCCGTCTCTGGAGCGCCAGACCCGCCCCTACCGGTGCCCAGCTTATTGAACTCCAACCCAACAGCATCCCCAAGACGAGTCTTCACACTGCGTTCGACGCGAGCCGCAAGGCGCCTCAACTCCTCCTTGCGCAAGCGCGCGCTGACCTCGTCCAGCTCCTTCTCGAACAGCCGGAGCTGCGGCCCGAAGTTTGTCCAGGCAACGCCTTCGATCAGGAGGGACTGGGCTTCCTTGCGGAAGGCATCGAGGGACTTCTCCTTCTGCTGCGAGACAATCATCGCGAATTCGTATGCGCCGCCGGCCTTTTGGCCAGCCTTGACAGCCGCAGTGACAGCATCGCTAAAGGAGGCGATGCCAGCCTTGTGAACGTCCGTGAGATGGGTAGTGTAAATGGCCTTGAGACGGGCATCGATCTTGCTCTCGAGTTCGGCGCGCTTGGTGCTGTAGACGCCCTTGTGGTAGCGGGAGGCTTGGATCTCGAAGGCTTTGACACACTTCTCGCGGGCGCCGCCACCGGTCGTGCCCAGGTTGGGAATGATGCCCGGCTTGCCCTGACGGGCGGCGTCGGCCTGCTGCTCCTCAAGAGGAACAATGACGGCGTCGAAGCCGACCAGGACTTCGCGCGCAATCTCGTCACAACGGAACTGGGCAAGCAGCTCCTGCTGCGTGGGCAGATCGAGGTCCTTGTTGTTGACGATCTGGTCCCAGACACCCTTGCAGTAGACCGACAGACCGTCAGCAGGTATTCTGCGGTGGTATTCGGGCAAGAAGACGCCACCCTCCAGCTCCTGGTCCTTGGAGGAGCGGTAGCCTTCCTTAAAGCGCGTGCTCAGCTTCTGCACCTCCTCCTGGAACCTCTCGGGCTGCAGGATCTTGTGAGGAAGGGCGGCGAAGGCAAAGTCGAAGTAGTCTTCAATCTTGGAGTTCTCGAGCCCCTCAGGCTTTGCGATAGAGGACCAGATCCTCGTCAGGTCTTGAATCAGGGTGTTACGGAGGTTGGCAAGGGGAGTGTTGCCGATGTGGTCGCGGATGACGAAAAAGAGCAGCGAGCGGGTTTGCGATCTGCGCCGTCAGCTAAAAGGTATCGATTGAACAAAGGAACGCAAAAGAACTCACTGTCTATCCTTGAGAAACAATTGCAGATTGACCTCAAACACTGTCTTCAGTAGACCCATGTTGGCGCCCTGATACAGGCCGACCTGGTGCTCCCAGATATTGACAATCAACACCTCGCTAGTGGCCAAAGCAAACAGGGCGCTCTTGCGTTCGAAGTCTTGGTCCTCGCCACGCTCGCGACCGTCGGTACCCTCGACATCCATAACCAAAATGTTGTCGGCCATCTTGTCCTCGTTACCCTCAGCAGCAATACGTTTGTTCTTGGCCATCCAGATGCCCTTGGTAGTCTGGCGACGCTCGACCTCGGACATGACGTCGAAGTTGGTACCGAATAGATGGTTCAGCAGCGTCGACTTGCCAGTCGACTGCGAGCCAAAGACAGAGATCAGGTGGTAGTTGAAGCCGGCCTTAGCCACGTTGGTCTCGGTCAAGTAGTCGTTGAGGTTGGCGTTGAATGCCTTGTCTTCGTCGATCACCTGTATCCCATGCGTGAAGTTGTTGGCTGCCGGCGCATCGCCGACAGCAGAAAAGTGACCGTTCATGATGGAGAGGTCTGGGGATATTATCTGGGATGTCGATTGGGAGTGGCGTGGATGGGAATTGGATGCGAATGGGGATGATGATGATGCTCGAGTCTCGAGTCGAGTCGAGTCGAGTCGAGTCAAGTCGAGTAAAATGGGGTTCCCTCAGTAAAAGCGGTGATTGCAGCAGGACACAACACACAAGGAAACGTTAAAAGATTTTTTGGCCCTTTTTCTTCCTCGGCTTATGCCATGACGCGACCAAACAACAGCCGTTTAAAAATTTACCTATGGGAGTGTCTTTCAACAAAGTCGCACGACGGGGCCGTTGAGGTTTAATCTCGGCTGGCGGGCGGTGGTAGTTGATGGGCTCAGGCTTGTGACATGGCCTGTTCACCACTCACTGTTCTTGCTTTTGGGGATTTGGTCGCACCAGGTGTCCCCAACTGCCCGCGCAGTGTCCCCCCAGCTTTTTGTTCGCCCTTTTGCAGGGGGTCTATCATCAGAAACAGGCCACCGATTGGCGCCGACCGGCCACAGCAGGGGCCACAGCTGCTCCTAGGGGGTGAAGTAGCGCTAGTCTTAATTTGGTTAGTCTTCTCATCCACCAATCAGCGTGGCCTTTGGTCAACGGCTCGTCGCTGGCGGTCGGAAAAAACGGCTACACTTTCGCAGGGCTTCGACTGCTTCCACAGCGTGACCAGTGGCCTTCCAGCCTGTGAGCATGCGCCGACGAGGTCGGATGACGTCTTCCATCGGCGCCCTCGTGGTGGCCTCCACACGTCCGATGCGTTTGTTCCCTTGCTCGGTCTCGTTCATGCCTCATGCGAGCCATGTCCGGTGATCGCGACACCCTCCCTCCTACTATCGCTGACCTCTGCGGCCGCCCGTACCACCGCTCTCGGGGCCCCTGGGATGGCCGCAGAAGGGTTTGCCGATCGCGGAACGAGCCGAGCGCATCGCAATGGCTGATCAAACCGATCACTTGTTCGCCTTTCGGTTCTTTGTTTTGCCATCTTAGAGCTTAAGATTTATACAATTCGAGTCGATGACGAGGTTTTTCTCATTGTTTTTGTTCACCTTGTGGTCATACTACTCGGGACGACATATCTCCTGTATATTTTCTGATCCTGAGTTTTGAAGATTCCCAGTCTTTTCACATGAACTGACTCTGTCGCCAGCTCTGGGTTCTGGAAGTTATCACCGTCTTTCTTTTGCAGGGCTGAGTGTACACGGTGTGAGCGTCGATGTCTCTGGCTATACGCACTGTCCCCGCATGCGACTCCGTACTTGCTCCTCCTGCCCCTCCTTCGATAAGGTTGATGTTCACAACACAACTTGCTCTTGACATGTCCAAAACAACAAGATAGCACAGATTTGTAAAGGGCAGTTGTCGCTGAACTTGAACCATATCTCATACTTTCTCAATTACTCTCGCTCAGTTCAAATACAAGTGATTCGAGTTTTACTTCGCATTCCCCGTTCCTTCTGGAATTTCAGAGCTGGTCTTCGCCGGCTCACTGACCGCACTTTTGTGATGATGGCCCCTAACGTAGACCCAGCAATTCTTGAGGCCCTAGGTTTAGACGAGACGAACGCCAAGCTTGTCTCCCATGGCGGCTCTGGCTTCTCCTCTACCTACAAGTTGATTGGCACAAAAGATGGCAAAGAACGAGCCTACTTCGTCAAAACCGGGACAGGTCCTCAGGCCGAGGTGATGTTCCGAGGTATACTTCTCACTCCATATTCTTAAGCTTGGTAATCGAGCTTATCGCTGACTCCCACATATGCGAACACGCCTCTCTCAACGCCATCCACGACGCCGACCCCTCCCTGAAACTCTGCCCCCGTTCCTACGCCCACGGCTCCCTCCGCTCCTCCCCTGGCAAGTTCTTCCTCGCAACCGACTTCCTCGAGCTCGGCTCTTCTGCCCCTGGCGGCACAGGCCTCTCGCTCGCCGCCAAGTTGGCTAAACTGCATACCACCCCAGCTCCGGTCCCCCCTGGCCATGACAAGCCCATGTACGGCTTCCACGTGCCGACCTGCTGCGGCGCAACTAGGCAAGAGAATCCCTGGACTGAATCTTGGGCAAAGTTCTATGCCGACCATAGGCTGAGGGCGATCATGCGGGAGGGGATCCGGCAGAATCGGCCGGATAAGGAACTCAACGAAGCGGTCGAGAAGGTCGCTAGCGTTGTGGTCCCCAGGCTGCTCGGGGACGGGCACCTAAAGGGGGTGTATCCCGTGTTGATTCATGGGGACCTGTGGAGCGGAAACCATGGACGGGCGAGGATCGGGGGCGAGGGAGGGGCTGAGGAGGTGGTATTTGACCCAAGTTGTGTCTATGGGCATTCGGAGTATGAGCTGGGAATTATGCGAATGTTTGGAGGGTTTGGCAGCTCGTTCTGGAGGGAGTATGAAAGGCTGGTGCCGAAGGCGGAGCCAAAGGAAGAGTATGAGGATCGGCTCGACTTGTATGAACTGTATGTGCCCCTTCAGATTTCTTTTGGGTTTGGGCATGGCTTGCTAACTCTGCAGGTATCATCATCTCAACCACTATGCCTTGTTTGGAGACGGTTACCGGGGAGGGGCCCTGTCCATTGCCCGCAGGCTGATCCGCAAGTATGGACAGTCTGACTCGAACCAGAAATCTGGCCTGTAATGGCCTTGGTTCAGCCACGCCGTCCCACGTCAATCGTGTATCTATTTGTCGTGCTCTAGTAGGATAAAATAGATGAGAATTGACAAGACTTCACCGCAATAGTCATACAGTTAACTCTGCACATAACGATTAGTCAATTTACAGTAGTTCAATCGTTATGCCTAAATTTTCGTTAATGTTAAGGTCCCACTTATTACTATCTCCAGTAAAGGGCGTAGGCTCGGGGATATCTTAAGAAGGGCTACTACTGCCTACTGACAATATAACCGTGGGGCCAACCCTCGGGTTACTACCTAAGCTAACCTGTTCCCATCTGTGGCTCGGATGGCTATCCAGCAAGTTAATTCCAAATGCCTATGGTTCAGATCAAATTCCAATCCCTCCTTGAGCGATTGTCTTTGATGGCTCCTTCAGCGTAAAGGCGTCACAGTGACCTCCCAGGAGGGCGGGAATATAATTCGACAATACAGACAGCATCACGGAATGTGTACCTGGAACCCAAGACACAGAAGGGCGAATAGTTGGCCCTAACCCTTTCCTTCCTCAAGTCGGACCTCGTAACGGGTCTGGAGTAACCATAAGCCTGTCCTGTCGCATAAGCATGGAAGGGAATCTCGGGTTGAACTGCCATTAGTTAGCTTTCGCGGCCTGTCAAAACCTAAGTAGGAGAGACCTACATCGTTGACGACATGAGCATATTTCAGCCCAACTAGATCAGCGATAAACCTGAGCCGGCCCTTTGCCAATGTCCTCTGTTCTTCCTTCGTTATATCGTGATTCTTTACACGCGTCAATGACCATATCAGAAACATCGCCGGCAGAGCCTTCTCCAGGCCCTCCTCGCCACACGCAAAACTCGACATTCATGATTATCCAGTATCCTTGCGTTTCAGGTGCCAGCCGAGATGAAAGGGTACTGAGGCGATGATATCCTCGACCATTTCCTTGCAGACCAGTTTCGAGACTTCGTACTTTGAAGTTAACCGGTAGTCGACCAGGGAGTGGATCCACGCCGTCAGCCTAAGTGCCAAAGAAGCGAGAAGCAGGCGCGTCACGCGCCCAACATTCCATGCGCTGGCGGTTACATAATCGGGGTAGACGTCGACGCGGCCGGGAAAGGCTTCGAGATCGCCATAATTGAGCCCAGCAGGGGGACTTGTTCCCTTGCTCTGCACCCAACCCAGCGCCTGGTATCTCAACTCCCCCGGAATTACCCCCAACCACCTCTCAACCTCGTGATCTACCATCTTTACCTTCGAGTACAACTCCCTAACCTTCCCCCTGACCTCATCAGGCACCACGCTCGGGACAAGCACTTTTCCAGCCTCAGCCCTCAACTCCGCATACCTGAATGCTAATCTTTGCGCTCCAGAGAGCAGGGAATTCGTGTCCCCAGCAGACATCCACCAGTCAGCCCCCAGCGGTAAGGGAGTGTCATGATAGAGTGTGCGCGACAAAAGGTGGTGGCGCACCGAAGTGAAGAGAAGAGAGCCGAGTTTCGTGCGACACAGCTCCTCGCAGCCGCGAGCCAGGACGATATTTACTTCGCCGTCAATGTGGGAGCGCCAGGCGAGCAGGCGGGATTGTGGATGGGCTGTTATGCTCTGTTGGTGAAATCGGAAGAGAGGCAGACATCAGCACATGTGACGGAACGACAAAAGGAGGATCATGTCAGATAAACCTCATACAAACAGAGCAGCAATACCGCAGCCAACGTCGAGTCCGCCGTCGCCGTCTCCGCATTCCCCAGTGCCTTCTGCGTCTGCGCCAGCGCGAGGGCGTGCTCTTTCAACGAGAACCTTTCTAGATTGACACTGTCGGCCTTGTGGCGGTTACCCAGCAGAGCATACGCACATGCGTTGAATGCGTATCGCAAGGCGCTTTCGGCGGGTTCGTTCCTCATCAGCGGAACAAGATACTCCATGAAACCATGCGGGCCGGGATATTGGTTCTTGAGGGGGACGATTATGAAGTTAGAGGCGAAGTAGCATGATGCCTGTTGCGCAAGGGGGACGGCGATGCTCGGCGGAGGACTACTACTCCCACCGGCATAGGGAGTTGGAGGGCTGGGTGAGCGCTCGTCACTATCGTCCAGCCATATCAAGTTTCAGTTCCGTCTGGGACCGACAAAGGAAGAGGAAGAAGATCCTTTTGAGCACTGAAGCCGGGGGTGGAGTCGGGCTTGACGCTGAGGACCTTACGGAGGGTACGGCGGGCGGTCGACACGGTTTGGTCTCAATGGATAATTTCGAGCTCGTGCCAGTAGCCGCCGCATTCGCACTTGGATTTTTCGCAGCGTTTGCAGGTTTGCTTGCATTCGTCACATTGTAGAGGCGTAAGGAGCGATGAATGTTAGTGGTCGGTGGTGAGATGGGACTAAGTGGCAGATGTAGGAGTGACAGGTTTGTCTGCGGCTCAATGATGGTGAACGTGGTGAAGCGATGTTGGTTCCCATGCCGCCGGACCAACGACAGGAAGTTGATCTTGAACCTGCCAGATTCAGAAGTATTTGTCGACAAAGATGGAAAACCCACCTTGATCCGGGGCGCGCGACACGTCCGACATCCCGCGAAGGCTTCCCGCCGTAAACCATCTTGCGAGAGCAGCATGTCCCGTGTGTGTGTCGTCGTGACGGCATCTTGCCGGTGTGTGGTTTTCCTACTATCCGCTCTGTTGAATTTAATGTCTTGCAAGAACAAAAGAAGGCAGCAGCAGTGTACCGGGGTTTCATGTCATCATTTGTCAAAAAGACACCGAACTTACAGGACAAGGATGTCATAAAGGATGGTCTGAAACGGTTAAGACAGAAGAGTCACTCCCGAATGGACAAGGGGATCACACATCCCGCTACTCTAAAACGCTGGTGGAAAGATCCCCTATTCCGTCTAGAGGACCCTATGAAGTGTTGAACGGAGCCTGGACAGGGGATTCGTCTAGTGCGTACCTACCAAACCGAATCTGATGACGTCTCGCTTCATTCTTGACGTCCCTTCAGCGGGTGTCAAGTTCTGTTAGTGTTGGGCCTGGCCTTCCCATGTTTGTTTCCGCGAATCATCAATGGGAACCGAAGCCGTGAACACTGTCGATGCAAGCGGGAGATATGAAGGAACTTCGTATGTTGAAGTGTATAGAACATGTATTTCCGATTATGGCCAGAATATAGCCGTATTTCCATTCCCTTAATAATATCAACAATGCAATGATTTCAGCCTCAGCTCAAGGGTAATGATATGAAAGATCGTGCCCCCGAGACCACAAGAACATGCTTGGTCGAGGCTGCTGCCAAGAACAGCAATGGGGTATCGAAGCCAAGTCATAATCTGTCAGCTGAGCGACGGTGATATAGACAGCAGATTCCCAGACACCATCACTCTTGACGAGCTCTCACATATCCCCCATACAAGCTACTCCAAAATCAACCATCCGACCTACTGAATGAACATCGCAAGGTGGCTGCATGATGAGTCCTCTGCACTCGACCTGACTCGCTTCCGAAAAGCATGGCAACGCTGCGGTCACGCTCCCCGAAGAATGACGGGCTTGGGTGCTGGTATTGCTGCAAGCAATGATTGGTTCCCCAACACGTCAGTCATCCTTGGGCCAATCGCGCTCCGAATCCGAATCGTACTCGGACTCGTCGTCGTCCTCGTCCATCTCTGTGTCGGGAGTGTCCTCAACGTTATCACCGTCGTCATCATCAGGGAGAGGGATCGTCAACTGGCTGTCAACGGGACTGACCTCCTCCGACGATGAAGCGGTGGTCGGGGACACTCCGTTGCTTTTTTTGTTGGAATTGTGCGCGTCTCCAATGACATTGCCATTACCTATATTGTTTTTCAAAAAAGAACACGATGCTGCCGTTCCGGACTCCTAAGCCGGACCCTGCGTCGGTTGTTCCATGATCCTGGTATCGTGAGCGCGACGATCCCAGACTTTGAATTCGAAGACGCCCAACAGCTGGTCCCGGATCTGCTGCAACTGGTTGTGGGCCTGCTGCATGCGGTCGGGTGTCGCCTCGACACGCATGCGGACGTACAGGAGCCAAAAGTCGCCGATGGGCTCGAGACCGGCGAGGCTGGGGACTTGGTCTGTAGTCTGCGGGCTGGGATCCAGGGAGATTAAGTAGGTACGGACCATGGAGTACTCGACGTCGTTGAACCACCAGTGGTAGGATTCCTCAACCAGGTCCGACTTGTTCCTACACAAAGAGTTAGTACGAGGGCTTGGATGAATGGTACAGCTACTGACCTGAACTTGCTGGCAGCAAGGATGCGAGGGGCTCTTTGATCAGGAATCTCGATGATCTTGCGCTGGGTGATGAAAGGAGGAATGCGCTGGTTGGGGGGATCCGGAATATCAGACCAGCGCAAGATATGTGGTTTGCCACCAGAAACAGTGCCATGAGGAGCCGCCTCAGCACTAGTAATCCGTCAGCAAGTTATTTCTTTATTATTCCGCTGTCAAACTTACCCGGCTTGAGCAGGACCCAAGATGGCATCGGTAATATTGGTACGGATCTGAAGAGTGTAAGGCTGCCGAACTAAGATGTTGTGCAGCTCCTGGTAGAGCGCTGTAGTCGGGCCACGCTCCTTCAGCAGCTCCTTGATAGTGGGGAAACCCCTAATCTTGATGTCCTGTGGTTCGTAGTGCTGGACGCGAGTGAAGCGATGGTGCTCGCGCATCTCAGTGAAACCACCAAGAACAGCGCGTGCCTTGGCTTCATCGTTGTCGGAGACTACGCCTGCGAGGAAGATCTCGTACGGCATTTTCACAATGATAGTGTTTGGTAAGAGGTTTTATGAGATCTATGGTTTGTGCTTACATTCTGTGAAGAAGAAGTGAAAGTTCCCGCAGGCTCAGTGCTGTTTAAACTGCTGAAAGCGCGTGAAGTCCAACACATAGGTATAGATGAACATCCGCGCGTTGGTGGGGCAACTTGGCTTCGGGACCAAGCTCCACCGGGATCCTCCCAGTCACGTGCAGCTCAAGCCTTGTCCGATTTTGGCACATCCCAATGTTGAGAATAGTTGAAGCTTTCAATGCAACTTATCAAGGCTTGCTCCTAAAAACACTTTTTCTGGTGTTATACATATGGGTCGTGGAAATTCAGGTTAGGCACTCATACATGTTAGTCTTCTGGCCCTACACCTATCGGTGCCGACTGCTAGTCAGGGTTAGCGTTCATGATTGAAGAGGGAGACAAGAGCTCACAGGCAAACTTTGACTCGTATTAAATGGAACGAGTGCCATCTAACATATTCTCCAAAGCTAGTTTCTGCAGAGCATTCAGGCTTGCTTCTCTATAACTTAGAATGCTTGACTGTACTCAGATTCGCAAACTCCATGCTCTATCCTGCCCCAACAGTCAAGACGAGAAAACCATCCCCCACAAGTAGTACTGTACCGAGGTTCCGCGTTACTAGGGAAGACTTAAGCGTCCAGTATCGAATTTTGCTGCCCAAGGAGTCCAGTCAAGGCTATTTTCTACTACTGAGGGGATCTCGACTAAGAGTATAAAGATTAAGCTGGCATGAGAATATTTCCGGCTCTAAACTAGTCTGAACGGCCTGTCACATTGACCTGCTTGCCCCAATCAACTCATCTAATCATTCTTTATAGCACCAGATAGCTTCAAGCAGAAACTACATCCGATGCAAAGTAAAGATAATCAGGTAATACGAGTCTCTATCCGATGCGTTCGGACTATGGCCCTATACTTCACTCGCGACATAGCAATCTGACATTAATCTTTTTGACCTCCATTTCCTTGACAATTATCTACATTTACATGGTACGAGGCTATTAGTCTTTCATTGAGATGATGAATAAATGAATATTATCAAAACATGGTGACAACGCTTGAGAAGAAATGAGTCTGGAGCCAAGGTCTGGTATTACTTCGACCTATGTAAACTCAGTGTCCTACCGTTTGATGTCCCTTTACCATACAATTACTGACCTGTCATGATCTCAATAGACTGCCAGCTTCTCAAAAATTTCACGTCCTGATCACAAAACAGCCACGTGCTGTCAAGATTTTCTTTGACCAGGATCAATATGCTGTGGAAGACTGCACCGATGGCAGCTCTACTCCGAGGGTCATTGGGTGTTAGAAAGCATACATAAAGGCCCAGGTGAACAACAAAAGAAGCAAAAGCTCAAATGCGATATCACAAGGGCCGAGATAACCATTCCTCTTTACTGCTTAAAGCACCGCAAGAGGGAAATTCCTCCAATTATCAACCACTTTTTTGCCGAGTGACAGATGTACAAGATCGAACAGCCTGTCATACGCACTCAGGAGGAAAAGCCCACCCTTCTCCATTCTCCATGAGAACGTGGTTCAGCAGGTCTTGATAAGTACTTAACCACCAAGGAGAGGGAGTATGAGCAGAAGCACGAGGTTGCTGTTCAGGTGTGGTTTCATTATTATGCCAGTGGTGTTTGGAACACCAATCCTGGGACATGCCTGAATGGAGAGACAGTCGGCGATTATGCCTTTGCCAGGATCTTTGACGATGATAGACAGCTTGATATCCGCGAGTAAAGGTACAGTGTCGCAATCCATGAGAGCCCGGCTGGTCAGCCGGACTCGGTCCACAACTTCTTCTGGAATTGGAATAATCCCATAACTGCTCTGCTGGATAAGGCGATCAAGAACCCCTATACAGAGTACCCGCAACCTAACCCTCCTGCCAATCTGTTGGGTGATTTGCCAAGGCTCGCCGTCCAAGCCCAACTAAGCAGATAAATGCTCGACTCCCGACTTGTTTCTGAGGAAAAAAGTGATGTGGCATAATGGCCAAGGGTGGTAGAGATATGGGACAGGAAAAGAGGCGGGCTCGAAAGAACATGATTGATAAGAACGGGAGTTACTCAAAAACAATGGTACCCCACTCTCGGTTTCCACTTCCCATGCACCATAGTGAGTATATGGAAAAGACATGCCTTGCTTGAGACATTTTGCAAATGAAGTAATCGCATACACGAGAGTCAGTTGGCTTGCACGTTGCCCTTGGTGGTTGTCTTGAACTTTTTAATGATCAACTTCGTTTGCGCCAGTGAATCAAGTCACACCTTGTCTTTCAGCCCCCCGTCAAGATAATCCTATCATTCCCTGAAAAATAAATGCCCATTTGGTATGCTGGTTAGACGGTCTTGTTAACGTAACTCTTCAGTTTCCAATCTCATCGTCGCCTAAGACTCGAGCGTTGACACTTGCTGTTATTTCAGAGATCTCGGTCCAGACAAGATTGGTATCTGAACCCCACCGTCGAAATCATTGCAGGCACAACTGCCCCACTAAGTTTAGCCCTACAAAAACCCCACCACATTGTCCCGCCATGAAGATTTGAGGGTTTGATATCAGTGATTCCTTTCAACGGCCAAGAGGCCTTTGAGCTTCCACTAGACAATCCAACTAACTGAAGTTTCCGTGGCATTCTATTCTACATGTCTGTTGTCTGTCTGCTGCCCATAAGCTTTGTGTTGCCTTGGGTTCACAGAGCTGTTAGTTGAGGAACTAAGAATCACAAGATCCATGCAGCCATTTCTTCCCCGTCTCTTCATTTGGAAATAGATCAACCAGCTATATCATCCCTGGGGTTACGTGGTGCAACATCTGCTAAGTGTAAAACTGGTCAGTTGTGGATGCTTACTAACATATCTGATCTGACCCCATCTCCGCTATACGGATCTCTCTTGCCAAAGTGTTTGATGCAAAGACATAGAATGAGCCATGGTGCCGAAATGCCAGAAGTCTTCTCACTCTCCTTCATGATATTAGTTTTGAGCCGCTGTGTTTTGTTGGACTCATTTATATGACAGGACTCGCAGGCCTTCGTGTTCTCCATCAAGCATGCAACACCTCCCAGCTTCCATAGTATTTCTACCATGCCCGTAAAGAATGACAGGAGCCTGTAGATGCTTCACCGATACCGCTTCAATCAATACACCTAATGGCCTTCAGTTCTCTAGATCATCAGACTTCCGTCTAGATTCTGGGCTTGAGCATGAGAAGTCCTGGACTTTTCAAGGTCCTTCCTCAGCCCCAATGGGATATGTACCACGATAACACCGTTGATCTCTACATGAAGCATACTATTGATTAAGTGAGCAAGGTCATAAGGAGGTAGTACGGCGAGGCAGGTGGCATCTTGTCCTCGATATCCCAAAAATTGGCGGTAGGAGACATACCATGGCACTTGACTGATTTTCCAATAGCAAACGGATATATGGCAGAGGTTTCGAGAATGGGGTATCTTTGATGGCTCAGAACACAAGAATCGAACCCGAAATCCTATCAGTCGCCATGGTCAAAACTCTGCTGGTTGTCGCCTAATCAACAGTTGCGACGATAGAAAACCCAATTCCAAGAGTCATGCAACTTTGCATAGTAAATTGTAACTGTCTTCCGACAAGCAAGTCTGGTCTGCTTTCGTTGAAGCCGGTTCCATCGCTGCTAGCGTCATGATCAGCCACCCGTTAGAATTCCTCCGCAACCTTTTCGCCACCCTCTCCCTCGTCAACTTGAGTGCTCAACCCAAGCTACGAAGCATCACTCACCAGTTCTTTAAGGGTCAAGCTGAAAGCACATTCCCCCAGAATCACCCAATCACTCACATCTGCGTAGAGCTCCAGAAGGACGAGGACTGTCAGGAGATCTCGCATCGCAGTTACAGTGTATGCCAAACCTCTTCGCCATCCGCCCTGACCAGTGTCATGCTGGTACTCATAGGCTTCTTGATACACTGGCTACGATGCTTTGCCGTAGCGATGAGGTTAATCCGGGTTGGAGATCATGCTGAGGCTGTATCGGGAGTCTTTTGCGATATTTGGGCCTGGTTTGTACCAAGTGTGCACGGTTGAGAGTGTAACGGGTGACTTGATCTGGTGCAGACAGGGATCGACAATAGGTCAAATGGGTTAGATGATGGCCACTGACAATGTGGAGTGCACAGCGAAGTCAATTACTACGTGTAATAATCTTTCTTTGCCCTCAGTGTCCTTGTGTCAGGGAGAAGAGGAACCAAGAGAAGTCTATCATGACCGGGCAGCCTCCTCTATAGAATCCTCATCATGCCTCGGCCATATGGCTCATTCTCTTCGGTCATCCGGCTCTAGACATCTTCCGAAATCAACCACGTATTTTTGCCGCTCACAATCATCCTGTCCCTGGTGTCCCTTGTGTTGGCAGTCGGGGACATCCCTTTCCTTGGACTGCCGTGTCCATGTGACAGAGAGTGAGCTTTCGCTTCTACATGTTGATAGGCGACCTTGATATGTCACTGAAGTGTTGTCTTCTCCTGGTCAGTTAAACCCTGGTAACACATCCGACAATGGGATAATAACCTTTTGCCAGTATGGTACAGCTGCCTGTGCCATGGAGAATGTTGCCGAGAGTTGCCAGCCGCAAGGTGACTTTGGAAAGGCTTTGACTTGACTTCAGCACGCTATAGCTATTGCCTGTGTATTCTGGGAGCCATATGCTACTGCCATCAGCCACCCCAGTAATGAAAAACGACCAGACGGCCCTGGTGTCTAACAGCTGAGTGCTAGCCCTCCATCCTAGATCTTCAACGGCATCCGGGTTTGCATTTGGAGGGGCTTTTTACCACATACATTTCCTCATAGTCAGGGCACCTCGGGTATAGATTCAACCCCTCCTCACCACCACACCACTATCCACGCTAGAAGGCATCTAGTCTTAGCGTCTGCAAACGATATAAGTGTACAGATGCAACTAACCGGGCCTATAATTTCGCACCCTCCATGTTGCACTCTCTATTTGAGAAACCAAGCTGCCGCGGTATTGTCACACAGAAAGGCAAGAAACCATTTCTGTGCGCGTTCGTGATACCGGGCTTGATGTTGTGGTTCAACGGCGTCTCAAAAATAACAGTGTTGGTGGTTATTGTGGATGGGCTTAATCTTGATGCTGGATACATGTTTGCTTAAGATAGAATTCCGTTTGCTTTAGCTCTCTATCATGTATGTCTGGCCTACTCTTTCCTGTTAGTTCAGCAAGCGTCCAAAGAACTGATCTCAAGCTGTCCGGTCCAGTCCTACCATCACCCTCTCTCCTGACCTTCGGTCGTTAAGTTTGCGCGGGGAGGATAAAGAATCAGCTAAATAATCTCGGAATGAAAAACAACGACACCCTCGCCCTCATAATCATCGCCTACATCGTCTTCACAATTCTCATCTTCGTCGCCGTCTTCCATTTTGCACGATCTTTCTTCGGCGCGACAGTTGCCAAGAGCTCCTCATCATCTTCATCAGGATCTTCCTCCAGCTCAAGCTCATCATCAGGCAGCAGCTCTAGTGACAGCAGCTTTAGCCACTCTGAGCCGGAGTTCGTAACTCAGCCGATATCCGAATCTCGCATCTCGGGGCTTCAGGCTGCCACGAACATGTTCCCTCCTGCACCGCCAGGGGCGTTTGCGCCGGTCCCCGCACCGCAGGTGCAGCAGCAACGACGATGATACTTGGGGATGTGATTCCACACATGTGAGGGGAAAGAAATCGGAATGCTTGACCCAGGGACTTCGTTCTAGGGCCATAAAGCGGGCAGGACATGTAGCCGTCTGTTTTTCATTGGTTCCTGTTTAAAGAAATCAGCAACATACTGTGAAGACTTGTGACATCACCACTGCAGAGTTGAGCTAGAAGCCTTCGCGTTCCGGACAGGAACTTAGAGAGTATAGGAAGGTTTATATCTTTTTCATGTTAGAGTTGAAAGTACAACAAATACTAGAGATTCTCCAAAAACCCACTGCACTAGTTCCACTGTTTCGAGCGCCTTTTTGGTATCATATGTTGTTCACTTGAGACACATGGAATGGATAGCAAGCTTCAGAACCTGCGGTCAAACGAGTGGAAATGCTGCCTCAAATTTTATGGCAAGAACGGGGGGCTTTGACTGTATCCTGCAATGGTTGATGCAACTCTGAACATTGATCACGACATAGCTCAGTAGAGAAAATCCGTCAATCATTCAAGTTCTGCTCCATATCTGGCCACTGACGTGCTATATCCCTTATCCTCATCCTCTGGAAATAAATTTCAATGACGGCTCATGTCAAACCCTTCTAAACAGCCGGCCCCGTAAATTGGGATGTCTCAGGCCTTTGCAGACTGTATAGGTTGACCAAGATGCTAGGATCATTATTTTTATAAGCGCCAGCCGGGGCCACCAATGGACTAGGATTTCCAACTCCTCCGCTAGTGATCTGAATCTGGGAGCAGGAACTATAACCCGTGTCTTGTTGAGCTGCGAAGCCATATGCTCGACTCTCAGCAGGTACTCTCCGCTTGGGTTGCTGGAGGGGATGGTGGTGTTTACGGTCCCGTATGCATCTAAGTTTTAGAGGAAAAGAATAGATAATTAGCAACACAAATCTGAAGAAGCACATAAACAGTATGCATTGAACAGCATATGTGATGAAAAGATGCCTATGTACAGCTCATCTTTTACTCCTTCATGTACTGCTCCTCCCAAACCCCCAATCTAGTCACCCAACCCAGAAAGGGCACCTAGCAGCTGAAGACACTCGGACCAGGGTTCTTATAAGATGTCGGAACAGGGTAGTAGATGTTGATCTGGATACCGGGGTCATTCGCCTTATAAGCACCTGGGAAGGAGACCTTGTTCGGAGGATCAGTGCTGCCGCCGCCAGTGACAGCCAGCTGAGCACACGAAATGTAGAACTGGGCACCACCCGGGGTGCTGGCGCTGTGCAGAGCAATATGCTCAGCGCGGAGCAGATAGTATCCGGGCCGGATACACCTGGGGATGGTGACAGGGAAAGCGCTCTTGCCTGTGGGTTGGAGTATTTGCGTTAGAACATGTCTTTCTGCACAACCTTTTGATATTCTGGATTCATACCCTCGCTAGACCACTTCAGAGAAGAACCAAAGGTAGGCTGCTCGTGATAGATCTTGAACCAGACTGCTCCTTCGCCCTTCCACGAGTTGATATCCTGGCCATCGGGCACCCGGGCCATGTAGAAGGACATGGGACCAGGATGGAAGATGGCCTGGTTCGAGTAGTATGTCACTGTAGAGCCGGCTGTGACATTGAGGGTAGCCTGTGCCGGGGAATGGATGTTTTGGAAACAGCGGATCTGTTGTGAGTTGACATCGGCGACGAAGCCGTTGCTCTGAAAGTTGTCTGCTCGGCGGACATACTGCCAGTCGAAGCCGTTCTGGACTCTGGGAAATGTATAGTGAGCAGTGACGCCGTTGAGGGCAGCGCCGAGCAGGAGGAATGCCGTTGCCAGCATGGTAATGGTTGACTTGCAGGGTTTAAGAGTCACAGGGCTGAGGAGATAATGATGATGCTAACTCTGATTCCCATGTCTCTTTCTAGCTGTCGTCGGTATAACCTCAGCTTTATAGCCCTCTGCTCATGTCCCATCGGTTGCGGCCCCATCTTCCCCAGATCAAGCATCTTCCGCGAAGGTGCCGAATTACCAGTCCTGGTAAGATGCCTCGTTGCCCTGGAACGCCCAAACTTGCTAATCCTGGGTTCACCTAACATCGCTGCCGCCTTGTCCCGGCCGGTTAAAATGAGAATGTCACCCGCACCACTTGGAACAAGCGGGGGATTTGACCCAAACGAATGTTTATTCTAGTGCCGGCAGCTAGCCCGGCTTTCGGGTAGCGCCCGTTCCCCATATAATTACATCAAGCATTAGGGGCTCAGAGCACATGAGTAGTTGTGGGGTGCATTATGTAACCCCCGCAAACCGTTGTTGATGGCTTAACATTCGTTTTTGAGCTGGCGTCATCCATGGAGGGGCTTTTTGCGTAGCCCATGGCGACTCGGGCTTTTCAGCGTGGGTCATTGGGCTTGGCCATTGCAACACTTCGGTACAATGGCTCCGAATGGGATATCAGCTGGTCCAAGAGGGGGTCACTGGGTTTCTTTTGTGCAACAGGAGCATCTTGACAGGAGCTGAGCGTGAGATTGCAATTTCACATGCTGCCTTGTTCATCTCGTCCGCTGACGATAAAATTGGGCCGACTTCCCAGTCAAACTCTCGATGTCGGCATTAGAACTTAGGGGATGTTTTTAATGCAGTCCTGATTTTGAGGAAACTACCAGCTCTAAGACCTCGAGCGTTGCATACTCTCGAATGAACAATCTGCCGAAGTCATACCCTCTCCGCCTGAAAATTACGACCACTCCATCGGCCCTCATTTGAGACCACCAGGAAGGTTCGAGTGTAGACTCGGGAAAAAAAAGTACAACTTCCACAACTCCTTCGATAAAACCTCAGTAAATGTTGGAGGGATTGAGTTTATCGAGAGGATTTCTGCCAGAATAGGGGTCAACTGATGGCCATAGGATGACCATAGCTGAGGACCACAAAGGTTTGTAAGTGAACCACTAGACGAAGCATGCTCAAACATAAATAAATAGCAGTATCATCTTGACCTCGATTTGGTAAGAAGCGTCTCAGTTATTAATTCGAATGAATTGCAACGTGTCGCTGACATCTCTGCAAAGTCAGCCTTGCGGTTGATCATAAGTTCTAGGACAAGAGTCAAGCAATGTCTTAACCAGTGTCTGTAACTTGTGACTGTTGAGGAACAGACACGGAACGCGATGCATCTGAAGCGGGCTTCTTTGTGAAGTCCGTGATATAATACTTTTGCATGATCATTGTTTTCCTCTTCCCTCCTGCCTCGGTTTAGCGCTACCAGCAAGGAACCGGACTTTAATCGTTAATTCCCGTCAGGAAGGAAGGAACAACTTTACGCCACCAGAAAAACAGAATTGGAGTTCGTGACAGCAGCTGGACACTTGATCCAATGACGAGAGCCCGTACGCGAATTATGAATAACATCGGGAGAGAAGAATGGCTTAACGATGTGTTAGTTAGAAAGTTGTGTAAACTCTGCTGTTGTCGACTCTAGATGCCCTGCATTCCTCTGTTTTTTGCTGTCATGAACTGAAGACAGCAATTTGGCCAAGTCGGATATGGAGGGCTACCACTTGAAATAAAGGAGGCTGTCAAGGAAGCAAAACAATTACACACAGCTGTGCCATTTAGACATGACTGATAAAAACAAGAATCGTACTTGGTTTGGTCACCACTCACAGCCCAGCAGATGGCAGAAGACACAGCAAACATGTCAGTCAACAGGTTCCAATGGGCTACGGGAAAACTGCATTATCAGACTCTTTGGCGTATGGGGGCCTATCCGTCGTCCACGGACACCAAAGCATGATAAATGAATTGTAGGCAGGCATCTTTTGCCTTATACGGAGCAATGAAGAGAAGACGGAAGACACCTTATACCCTGTTTGATGCTCTGTATACATACTTGGATGCTTAGTTGGGCAGGTGGAAGATGATGCCCAACAGAACTGCCAAGGACGTTCAGGGGAGGTTGGATTGGCTCAAAGAATTGCAGGCCTGAAGGTGATATTCTCATTTATGCGACGACTCAATGGCTTTGCTAAGCCCTTGAACCTGATAGATCTGTTTGAGAACAATGGGCGAGGCTGCAGACCACTGTTGCGATAGAAATAAGGGATGCAAAGCAGATCGCATTTGTTCGGGTTCTTTACCGATTGTCAATGACATACTCTCGTCCCTGCGCCGAAGCAACGAAGCTGCAAGCTGAGACCACCAAAGCGCTCGTCCGACGCGATCCTCACGTGGAGCCCGACTGGATGTGGCAGGCTGACAGGCGATGTGTTAAGGCGATCGTGGCCTTTCCAGGTCATCGGAGACCCCAATGGAATGCAGAAGGCTGTGGAAGTTGAGGTCGGCCTATGCCGTTAGCAGGGGAGCCCTGTCAAATCTACCACGATCGAGTGCCGTCAGCCAACGGGCGATCCCCAAGTGCTGTGGAAAATGGTGCAACCTGCCTCAAGGGGGAACGTCAGCAAAACCTGCCATGCAGCAAGAGTGGGGCCGAACGGCCAGTCCCACGCCACGCCGCGAGTTTTTGGCCTGCGTTTGACCGACATGAGTCCGTCTTCGGACGAGTTTTCCGGGCTGTCTTGAAATCTGGCCGATTGCCCCTGATCTCGACCTTCCGCTTCACGTTCTCACCACCAGCACCAACTATTGTGTACTGCTCATCGCACAGCGGTCGCGCACCTTCAGAAACCTTCTGTCTTCCCCGATTCACGACCAGAATCGCAAATTCAGTCACAATGGCTCTCAGCCCCCAAATGTAAGCAAAGATCTGCGCGAGTTTCCGGTCGTCGTCCGACCACGATGCATGGAATTGGGCTACCGAGTGCTGACATGATTGCTCTCCAGAACGAACCTGATCATCATCTTTGGTATGATGCAGGTTTCAAAGAAGATTCCCTTCGATGACCCGAATGTGCTCAACATGTGCCGCGCCGCCTACCTGGCCAGCAACCTGATCATCCTGTGCATCTCGCTCTACATCAAATCTGTCGTGGACAAGAAAAAGGGTACGCATCTCTGCCATTACAGGGCCAATTGCACTCTCATAGTCTGCGCGCAATATGCGCGCGAACTGTGCTGTGGATTCTCCCTGCGTTGTTTTTAAATGTTATGGCTAACCGTAATTGCATGTCCAGACATGACCACCCTCAAGTATATTGAGCCTGCCCCCCCAGGCTCGAGTGAGGAAGGCAAGCTTGTCACGACCACCGTCCATGCCTACGATGTTGAGCAGGTCAAGATCCTCATTAAGAGCCAGCTCTTTGGCATCGGCATGATGGCATTCATGCACCTGTACCTCAAGTACACCAACCCGCTTCTTATCCAGAGCATTATTCCCCTCAAGGGTGCTCTCGAGTCCAACATGGCCAAGATCCATCTCTGGGGCATGCCTGCCACGGGAGATCTCAAGCGTCCCTTCAAGCAGCCGGGTGGCCTCCTGGGTGGCCTTTTTGGCCAGTCTGTGCAAGCCGACAAAAAAGCCGTTGAAGCTGCCGAGCGCGCTGGCCGTGGCGGCGTTAAGGAGGAGTAACAAGTCCAATGGAGGCTGGATAAATTGTTTGGGCTGCCTCAGCTTTTGGTGCGAGTTATTCTACGGCATAACCAGGCTTTCTCATTAGGGGGACTTCACCGTAATAGAGGCTGGCGTATAGATTACTGGCAGGGCAAAGAACCACGGTTTCAAACAGCAGGGGCAATATATACACAATAGCAAATATAAGCGTAATTGATATTATTTATCTGCTGTTGTCTCTAGCATCGGGCGATCGTCTGCATCTGTCTGCGAGAGAGGTGGCGGTTGCTGTCGCGCCTACTCTTCGTTGAACCACTGATCACTTGATGGGTCCAGTCCAGGGTCCCAAGGCCCCATCTCTCGGTAGGTAGGCACCGTTTGCCGATTGGCGTCACCACTTCAGCACAGTGACCCCTGCCCCCTGTGTTTACTGCGTCGCTTTCTCAACCTTGTCGGCCTCATACAAACTCTCAACGCCTTCGACATTTGTTAGGTTTGATACACGCGCGAAAATCCTGAGGACTTTCGCAAACCATACTCACCGTTGCTTCATTGGGCGACCAATCGCATAGACTTGGGCCGTAAAAACGTGGCAATGGATCGACCACAGAGTCCTCCCCCACCAGAAGATGCGAGTGCATCTTTCCAACGCCAGCCGTCTCCTACTCCAGAGGACACACGCCGTATCGTGAGTTATGTCTATTGTTGCGCTGCTTCTCCCGGAAGTCGTTGTGCATCCCCCTTCAGTAACTTGTTAGTAACGGTTTGCCGTTGCAGGAAGAATCTCGTCTTCGTGCCAAAGCCCTTCGTAGCCAGACAGAAGTCGAGCATCGGTCATCCGCACCCTGTCTCCAGTCGCAGTTAAACTCTGTATCAAGCGCAACAAGCGATTCCCAAACGCCAATCAAATCCAACACAAGGAAGCGGCCGTATTCGTTAATATCACGGAGTGAAGTACCTGCTACCAACCGCGATGCCCGAAATACAGCATCCAAAGATGGCGCTCTCCCGCCAGTCTCGCGCAAGTTCAGTAAATACGTCGACTATAACTTCAGTGCCATGACAGACACAAAGGGTGGCTTTCTCAGCGTAGAGGACGACCCTTGGAACAAAAGCATGTCAACAGGCACCAGCGCCAACTCTTCAACAGCCGAACAGAAGCCAGCACATATATCGGCTACTGAGTGGGAGCGGCTTCAAGTGCGGAAAAAGTTGGAAAAGAACAAGGCTGGCCCGTTTGAACCTGGACTGAGCGTCCTGGCCGACCCAACGACACGGAAAAGGTGTCGAGAATGCGGTAGTGTCGAGATCGATTTTGTCTGGGAAGAAGTGTTCCGCTGTGCCGTCTGCAATCCATGCAAGGAAAAGTATCCGGAGAAGTACAGTTTGCTCACCAAGACAGAGTGCAAGGAGGATTACCTTTTAACGGATCGTGAGTTGTGTTCTACCACTTTAAGGAGACGGGGCAAACTGTGACCTGAGGCTAACCGATCCATGATAGCTGAACTCAAAGATCAGGAATTGCTCCCTCATCTATCCAAGCCGAACCCACATAAGTCTCACTGGCACGACATGATGCTCTTTCTACGCTACCAGGTCGAGGACTACGCCTTCAATCACAAATGGGGTTCGGCCGAGGCGCTAGATGCAGAGTTTGAGAGGCGAGAGGCAGAAAAGAAGAGACGCAAGGAGGCCAAGTTCAAAGAGAAGCTGCTAGATTTGAAACGGAAAACCAGGACAGAGGCATTCAGGCGAAACAATGCAATGGCTGGCGCAGGCGAAGGTGGAAGTAGGCCAGCCAAGTTTGGAGACGCAATTGGTGGAAGAGAGAGGCACGTCCATGAATGGGGCCGGGCGGTAGAGAACGAAGATGGCATGACAGTGAAGAAGTGCGTGAGCTGCGGCATGGAGGTTGAAGAGCTCGAGCTATGATGGCCGTAAGACCCAGATCTGTTGCCAAGATTTCATCTTGTTGCTTCACGTCGTCTATAGTATACCCATCCTTGCCTACCAAGATCATTCTTAAGAAACCTTAATGAATACCGTGCAGATTCTTAGGCCTACCAGCTAGATTATCGCAACAATCTGCGTGAACCAACTGCACCTGTGTATCTCAGTTGTCTGAAACAAAGTGGCCAGATAATAGCTTGTGTCTTCTGGTCCCTCCCAAGAGCCAGGTACCTTACTGACCAAAAGCCAAAACTCCCCCTGTGTTTGGCTCGGTTTGTCTTGTGTCCCACAGTACGCCCGGGTCTGCGATCCACCAAGGGATGGGGAAGAAGCTAAACAGTTCTTGATTGGCTGACCTGTGCGTCCAAAGAAGCTTGAAGCCCTTGGAACGTTGATGCCTTGCAGCCTCACGGTGGGATGACAACCTGTGATTCAACAGCCGCGCCAAGACTTTGTGGGGTTTAGGAGCTGCTTGCCTAGACGTGGGGCTGTTATTGGGCAAACGGGCTTGGCCCGTCCACTCCAGCAAATGGCCAACCAATGGCCTGTGGCCAGCCACCATCACCACAGCGCAAAAAGTCCAACGTTGCCGCCCTGCTGCGTCAGTGCATGGCTGATTTGGAAGGGCAAGGGAAGCTGAAATTTTTTGACAAAGACTTCCTGCGTCGATCGACACGCGACACCACGCTGCAAACCTCCCGATTCATCCATCTCGATCCATTGTAGACTGTCAACAAGCAACGACTTGCTTCAGAAAACATCCAACCCTTGCTTACCGTCGCAGAAGAAGCTCCATACCCCCTACAGGTACGGGGCCTTCCACTGGTCCCCACAGCCCGACCTCGACGCTGCTGCTTGTCGGCCCTCGTCTATGGATTAATCGAGACGCCGTCCGGCTTTTCTTACAATATCATACACCTTGCCCTTGGTTACTGCCATGGGCACCAATGGAGCAAGCGGGATGGGCGCTGGTGCACACGATCAGACCGGCATGATGGGCGGCAACAATCCCAGCCATCCCCCGACTACCGAGTACACTCTCCAGGGTTCGTGGCCTCTGCCGTCTAGACAGTCATGCACCTGCGCTCAGGGAGTTTCCGCTGACGGCCTATGTGTGCTTTCTAGGTGTTATGCGCTTTCTCCAGTCGGAATGGCATCGCCACGAGCGCGAGCGCAATGCCTGGGAAATCGAGAGGCAGGAGATGAAACACAGGATAGCCCAGCTTGAGGGCCAGGCACGGAGGGCAGATGCGACTCAGCGGGCACTCAAGAAGTATGTCGCTATTCTTGAAAAGAAGGTCAAGGAGCAGGCCGCCTTATTGAAGTCTGGGAAGGCCCCTGAGCCGGAGCCCAACCCTGATCGTGCTGTTCTACTGCGGGAGAAGTTACGCCGTGAGTCCAAGTCCTTTTGTTTTTATTCATTCGCTGGAGACGAGCAAGGAAGTGAGACTAACCGGTTTGGCCAATGTAGCCTCTGCAGAAAAGCTTGCTACTGGCACCTCAGATCCTGCCTCTCTTGAAGCTGCCCTCGCAGATGAAGAGGCCTCGCGCAAGGAGCTCAAGGAGTTCTTGGATCAGTGTCAGGCCGAGTTTACCTACTTGATGATCACGCCCGCGAACCCGCCCCCCCCCAAAGGATCTCCTCCTCTGCCGGTGCTCGAGGATTTCCGAGAAACCGAAGGCTTCGGTCAGCAAATCCTCGATCCGCAGCAACAACAGCAACAGCACTATCAGCAACAGAACATGCAGCCGCAGCAGAACCATATTCGTGAGTTTGGCCAGAATAGGGCAGCACCAATTCCAACCAACCAGTCGCCTGCGCCGCCAGGTCCTGGCAATTTCCATGTCAAGCACCAAGATCCTCAATCTGTATCCATGACACGTAGTCATTCTGAGCATCCTTCTTCAAGTTACGGCACTACGGCTGAGTGGGCAGCCCAGATGCAGATGCAGGCACCTGCACCCGGGAAGCCGATGCCGGAACCTCTCCACGAGCTGCCTAGTCAGCTCACCAAGCATCACGGTAGGGGAGAGGAGAAAGGCCCCGCCTCTGCTACCGACAAGCGTGCCCCTGAGACGGACAGTTGGGATTTCAACGACTCTAGCTTCCCGGAAACAGCTGCTCCACAACCCCATCAACAAGTGTCGTCTCGTCCAGATACGGATGTTTTCCCTGCAGCCGACAGCATTCCCAAGTCGCCCAGCCGCGGATCTCTACCGCATCGCAGGAAGAACTCGAGCTCATCGCGCAGACGCAGTAGTGAGCACGACCTGTCCCTCCTTCCTCTCTCCTCCAAGCCAGAGAGCACTGCTTTCAAGCTCAAGTTCCATTTGCGAGGCCACCTCGATACGATTCGGACTGTCATCTTCTCCGGCGGCGGCAGTCCTGGAGAGCCCGAGATATGCACGGGCGGCGACGATGGCATGATCAAACGCTTCCATATCCCAGATCGGCATGGCAGCCACATGGGATCGGGAAGCTCAGATTTCGACGTTACTGCCGACTTCACTCACCGCGGTCACACAGGTTCTGTGCTCTCTCTAGCTGCCTGGTCGCCATCTCCCAACTTTTTGACAGGAGGTCGCGCGCAGGGTGATGGCTGGATCTTCTCCGGAGGCCAGGATGCCACAATTCGGGTCTGGGAACGCGGTCGTGTCGATCCTAAGGCTACCATCGACGGCCACACAGACGCGGTCTGGGCGCTTTGCATCCTTCCTACGACCCTTGGTGCCATTTTCGGCCAATCCAGCACTTACGGCCCACCGGATCGCATCCTGCTTGTGTCTGGCGCAGCGGATGGTACAGTGAAGGTCTGGGCCGTGACTGCTCCTCCCCAACTTACTTCGCCACAGCCGTCTACAGGGCGTCGGCCGGGAGGTCGCACTCGGGGCAATTCTATGAGTTCTGGCTCTGCCTTTCCGAGCTCTCCTCAGCCTACGACGGCGTCGACTACACCGTTCCATTATACACTCATTCACACTATCTTACGCCAGAACTCAACAGCAAGTCCCACATGCATCACCCCACTGAGCCCGAATGGCGAGACATTTGTTGTCAGCTACACCGATGCTGCCATCATTGTCTACGACACACGCACGGGGGAGGAGATTGGCAACATGGCAAGCTTGGAGACGTACGACGGTTCCATGGGTACAAGCGTGAATGCAGTCGTCGCTACCACAGTTGGGCTTGACCAAACGCCACATCAGGGCATGAGTGAAGAGGACAGTGCAGGTGGCGGGCCGACAGGGAGCAGCCGTGCCATGGCTGGATCCGGGGTCGAGGGAGTCATCATTTCGGGCCATGAGGACTACTATATCAGGTTTTTCGACGCTAATAGCGGTAAGTCTTGCTCGCAGTCATTGTTGCTGCCTGGCATAGGATCTGGGGAAAGACTAATTTTCATTCTTACAGGCCAATGCACCTACAATATGGTCGCGCATCCTGCGGCCATTTCGAGTCTCTCACTAAGCCCCGACGGTCGTGAGCTCGTCAGCGCCGGCCATGACGCCTCACTGAGGTTCTGGTCACTCGAGAAGCGGTCCTGCATCCAGGAAATCACCAGCCATCGCGTCATGCGCGGCGAAGGCATCTGCACCGTTGTCTGGAGTCAGGATGGCCGGTGGGTGGTAAGCGGCGGTGGCGATGGGGTGGTCAAGGTATTTGCGCGGTAGGGCGCGCAACGACGTATCCGGCCCGAAGCCCGTACCCGCTCTTCCAGAACATACAGTACTAATAGTAATTCGTTCCTGTCGTCCCTGAGGCCTTCGGTCGTATCCGGAGATGATGCAGAGTCGGTCGCCCGCGCAGCGGCTGAGTATCTGGCCCAAGTGCGGCAGGTGTGGGAGAGATATACTGATAGATGATACCAAAGTTTTGTGTTTTCTTGTCTTCTCGGGATGATCAGATGATTCTCAAACGCTTTTTGCTTGGGGTTTTCGGAGGGAGGTTGCCTGGGTTGTGCTAGAAGGCTAGACGAGAGGCTCTCCTCTGCTCGTAGGTTTCGGGTCTACCGTCCGTCCTGTCTACATAAGATGCCGGGCTATTCAGAGCATTCCGACTGATAATATATACCTCTTTCATACGGCAAACAGGAAAACCTGTGTGTGGTATGTGATTGTACGCATTGACAGCATATTGTGTATAATCGAGAATGTCTTTCAATCCTCTAGGATTCCGTCTTTGAATGACATGACATGGCTCACCAGCGGTTGAAATTCCTGCGGGAGATCTTTGTATCACAACAAATGGTCATAGGATTCTACCCCGTCCTTGACAAATCCGGATTTATATGAGACTTAAAGTTGTAGCAATGTGCTTGAGCCCCTTCCTTCCTATCTCTAGTTTGGAAGTTGTCGGGATGATGCCTAATCGGACATCTAAGGCCATCCATCTCCTGAACATCAAAAGCCATGCCGCACTTGAGGCATACCGATCATCGCAGCTCACGTTATCTCGAAATGCACTCCCAGACAACCGTCCCCGGTTCCACTCACCTTCATCAGCTTGCACCGTCAGGGAAAGGAGAGCTCAAGGATGTTGCAGGTACGGGACCAACTTTACACCAAGTTGATGGGTGTGACGCCACCTTACCATGATAGGATGACTGGCAAATGCCGTGCTGCCGTAATGCAACGGCACATTGGTGGTTGCCGGGAAGGAACTGCCGCGCTGAGTGCCGGAACTGAAACATATTAACGTTGCTTTGACGACTTACGACAGCAGGGGAATATCAGCCGCCTAAAGGATCTCGTCCCGCGTAGATAGACAACACCTATCCATTTCTCGCCTCAAGGCTTGTCCCTCGGGCTACTTGCCCATGTTAGCAGGTAGGTAGAAATGCGATTGTTATCCGCCTGAAGATCCAAAGTGCCGGCGCTGATGTCACAGGACAAGCAATGATAACGCTCACAGAGCTCTTAATTGCCGAGATCCTACCAGGCCAGAGGATTCCATATTGCATCATCTGTGCCCTACAACCACATCTTGCATGCCTGATGCTCAAACCACTCTGCTCAATGCCATCCATAACACCCAAAGGACCCAAAATGCAGCTAACTGCCTTCCGGAATAGGCAACTAGAAAAGAATCACTTTAAGTGCCCACCACGCAGCATGGGTGAAGGAGGGGGAAGATCTCGAAGGCACAGCAATCTACAGAGCAAGTGGACTGGAACGGGATGCTTTCGCCCTGCATGCCTAGTTCAAGTCTCGTGTAAGTGGCCACAAGTCTGACGAACCTTGCAACATCTAATGACAGCAATGTAAAGACAAATCAATGCAAACATGCCGGCTTGGAACTCAAGTAAGGTCGATGATCCGCCGCCGATACGCATATTTCCTCCAATGTGAGCAGTGAAGGATGCTTTCTCCAACATCCAACATGAATCCTACCCCTTCGACGTGCTTCTTAGGCCCGGTATCGCCATCCCCGGCGATATTGTCCCTCCGTCGCTCTCAGTCGGTGGACTTGCATAGATAAGCGGTTGTAACCCGTCGGACGTTCTCAAGCTTGTTAAGAGAAGGGAAGATGTACTGGGCCTGAGGGCATTGACTGCTGCTTCCCTGTCTACCGTCCTGTTCTTTTTTCGATAATCGCTTTGATATCTCTAGATCTCCTATCGACGTTGATTTTTGTCACCAACAGCCCGCTGTCTATAAAGCATCTTTAACACAAACACTACAATGGTGGTTATCAAGGAGCTCATTCTTCTTACCATCATTGTGGGCTCGGGGCTTGTCTCAGCTCTACCCCCCACTAAGATTGGTACGACCAAGACCAACCATGGAGATGTCCCGGTACTGGGAAAGGGACGGGCTTCACTCCAGCAGGTTCGAAACCCACACTACCGCTTCAATGGCGCCCGTGCGATTTATCGGACCTACCTCAAGTATGGTGTTCAACCCCCTGACTACCTGATCGAGGCAGTCGCCAAAACGGATGCTCTCAATACAGCAGCCGAGGGAAAGCGAGACACTGGCAGTGCCGCCGCAATTCCTGTTAACCCAAACTACGACATTGCATATGTCACTCCAGTAAGCATTGGGACTCCTCCCCAAACCCTCCACCTGGACTTTGACACGGGCTCGTCCGACCTCTGGGTGTTCTCAAGCCATCTGCCCGCATCTCAGATCAGGGGCCAGACCATCTACGTTCCTGCCAACTCTAGTACGGCAAAGCTCCTGGCTGATCACACATGGAGCATCACATATGGCGATGGCTCGGCATCTAGGGGCAACGTCTATGTCGATAACTTCACAGTGGGAGGGTTGACGGTCGAGAACCAGGCAGTCCAATGTGCCTTGCAAGTCTCTACATCATTCACTCGCGAATCCAACATCGATGGGCTTGTTGGATTGGGGTTCAGCACGTTAAATACTGTGGTTCCCAAGAGTCAGCTCACCTTTTTTGATAACGCAAAACCGCACATGGATGAGCCAGTATTTACCGCAGACTTGAAATGGAAGTCAGGTATGCTAGGTTCTTTTCTTGCGTGCTCCAAGCCAATTTTTGCTATTTTTGGGGAAATTTAACACAAAGGCTAACTCACTTGACCTTGAAAACACATCCGGACAGAGGGTACATACGACTTCGGCTTCATTGACGAAAAGAAGTACACTGGGAAGATTACCTATGTACCTGTGAACACATCTCCCGGGTATTGGACATTTACAAGCTCGGGCTACGCTGTTGGTTCGGGTAACTTCAGCGCCACGTCTATTGTCGGTATTGCTGATACGGGCACTTCGTTGGTGTACTTGCCTCCCTCGATCCTCACAGCCTACTATCGTCAAGTGGAGGGTGCTACCAGCAGCCGCACATACGGCGGCTATGTGTTCCCCTGCAACTCAAAGCTGCCGTCCTTCACGTTTGGCATTGGCGAAGCACGAATCACCATTCCTTCGTCATACATCAGCTATGCTCCTGTCACAGCGGGCTCCTCAACCTGCTTTGGCGGGCTCCAGAGTAGCAGCTCTTTGGGAATCAATATCTGGGGCGATGTGGCCCTGAAAGCGGCCTTTGTGGTGTTTCACGGCGGAAACCCGCCGACCATCGGCTGGGCAAAGAAGCCATTGGAAAGTTAAGGGACTGTTTTGGCAGTACTATGCAAAATGTTTCCATGATCCTCTTTTGTAGGATGTTAATGTAAATACCTGCGTCATTGTAACCACTTGACCGTCTTTAAACTCTCTGGGATCTAAAAGCAACAGCTTCCGTGATGATACTCCCAGACTCAGAAACATTCACATGAGCTTGGCCGTAGTGGGAAATATCACTTTGGGACAGGCAGTGTTCTTGTACTTGCATTGACATGCCCACCTGGTGGCAGCACTCGAACAATGTCCAAGGGGATATAAGAGATCTCCGCATAACTCAGTGGCTCAAAAAGATCTGGCAGAGTGGCATCTGGGAGCCAAAGCTCTCTGTATTAGCATTGTTGCAGCTGGATTTGAGGGCAAGAGTCTGGTAGAGGAGAATGATCAGGATCATACCTGAGCACTTTCCAGGAGACCGACGTTATTTTCACCTATACAAAGATAACGGTCAGTGATGCAGCATATCTCATGCAGTTAATTTCCCCTCCTTTCATTAGCAATCTGTAGGTAAGCCCAGAACATTGGTGTTCCTGTTTGAAATTGGGGTCGTGACAAATATATTGACACTTTCATACATGCCAACAGGGAATTTGTACTGATCCATAGCTGATGCAAATGATTCCATTACGCGCCAGGCCGGAGATTCTGCAGAAACCAGTTTGAACCGACAGGATGCAGTAGGATATGGTGCCAACAAGACGCTGATTATACTTTGACTATTCCAGTAATGGTCGGACACATAACAGCTTTAAAGTCAAAGACGGTGAAAAAAAAGATCTCGTGGAATAAAAATTGCTATAATTGGAATTGCCTGTCCTCTCTTGTCCAAAGCATGTGATTCAATCCAGTCTTCCTCGCGTCCCGAGGAGATCCCGAGAGCGCAATGAAAAAAATGGCCGGTCAGACTTCCATCGACACCCACCCCGCCTGAGCGCCCGAAGGCAAGACCTCAGGAAAGCCGGGGTACAGATCATCGCCACTCTCTATACAGCCGCGAGACGAGGCACGCGACCGCCACCTTTGCAGGTAGAGCGAGAGTAAAAAATGGACCTCACTGTTGGGCGCCGAGGATCTCGTTCATCAACCCGGGTGGGATCTGTGGCTCCTTTAGGAAACACAAGAGAGGACAACTACTATAGAAATGATTCTCTGAAGTATTGTCGCTTGAGGAAAAAAAAGGAAAAAGGAAACCTAAAATCTGGAAGGGAGCATGTCCTTATATAGCCAGAAAATGTGGCCTGTGCACATCTGTGGTTTGCAGGCGCCCACCTTTCAAGTGGAGCCCGTGAAAACTTTTCTGGCCGAGTTTTTCGCTGAGGATTTTCTGTCCCACAAGCAGCGGGTCCTAATTTTTCTGCCACAAGACACCGCCAAAATTTCGACAGCTGCAATGTCTGTTTGAACCAAGCAAGATAAAAAAAAGAAGCAATCTGGAGAGAAATGACTGTCTATTGTATAGAAAGAACTTCTGTATCTATTTCTAGGGGTTTTCTTTTAACTGAATCGATGAGGCACCTGTAGATTCTTACAGGAGCGCTGGCCTGGCCCTGGTGGTGCTGTCGACACATGGCTGGCACCTCCAACGGTGGGAGGGTTCCTGGCGAAGTTGTTTAACGGCTGCAGCTCTGTTCCGTTCCCTGAATGATATACTTGATGCTCACTCTTGGTATAAAGACTCATGTTCAATCCACCACCTTACCTCAGGAGTTACCATTAAATCCAGCTTGTTTGCATCTTGGTACTTTGCTGCTGCCCGCGCATACGTGCTACTGATGACATCGGTACCAGCCTTCAGACCCTCAACCATGTCAATTCTGTTGACCCAGTCCCTGGCCCCTCCAACTTTCTGCAACAGCCCATCTTCTTTCATGAGATCTTCTACATAAGCGATTTGCTCTTCCATTCCTCCCCATTCGTCATCCGTCCGCATTGTGACTCGCAGCCTAGACCGAGCAAAGAACGGGCCAAGTGCTTTCTGCATCGGTGATTGACCAACCGTGGTAAGCTGGGCGATGGTCTCAACAGGACCGTAATACTTAGGATTGAAAATGCGAATTAACGTATCGTAGCCGACAAGGAATATCTGTTCCATAGTTTCGGTGTTATCCTTGCCTTCATCGTGTTTCTCTCCATATTTTCCAGAGTAGAAAGTGGACTCGGCAATGGCCGCGCTCTTGGCGTGGAAATACGGTAAGGTGCATAGACCCAAATCGACGTCAATGCTAACACCCGACGTTGGCCCTGTCCCGTCAACACGCCGCTGTTCCTGTCGCATAGCCCGTTGGAAATCCCAAGCAAAGGCCCACATCATGGCCAGCCGCTTGTCAAACGCCGCCGGTTTGGGGGCCTTGTCAGCGTTGTTGACTGACAGCAAGAGAAGCAACCGGGAATTGCTCAGTGCTTTGCTGGGGTCCTTGGCCATAAGATCATATATCGTTGACGTCGCCATATGCATATGTGCACGTGTGGGTGGGTTGAAGGAAGAATCGAGCACGATCAGAGTTCGTGGTTGGACCCGAGGTGGAACGGGTGTGGGCGCTTGTTGGCGATCATCGATCAGTAGTTTTTGACTTATGGATCCCTTCCCTGGCCCGCTGTACTGGAAAGAGCTCGCGGCAGTGCATATCACTTGAAATTTGGAGCCGGAGCTTTGAAATGACGAGAGTGCGCAAGAGAAGAAATCGATCAGTGAGCGAGTGGGCGCAGACTGTTGGCTAGGCATGTTTGGTTGTTCTGTCAATTCGAAGTCATTATGCTCGCAAATATGTTGACAACGATTGGATGGGTGCTTGCATGCTGAGACTTCGAGATACCACTGAAGAGAGCTGGATGATTATAGCGCGGGGCAAAGTTTCGGTTGGTCCCCCTGATTACGTCATCGGGGATCTTGCAGGAAACGCCGCACGCAGGCCACCGACATTTTAAGATGCTATCTGCAAACCAAGACATATTTCTGCCGTAGACTGGATCTTAGACCCGACGGTTATGAAATATATAGTCTGCCAACTATGTTGTATCTAGAAATGAATATTACCCCTCGATAAAAGGATCGGTGCTCATTCAGTTCAGTTGAGCCGTACTAGCGGGGCTTCGTTATCGGCACCCCTTCCGCTGTACGATGCAAACCAAACGACTCGAAGCTCGATCCAAGTCCAACAGAATCTCGGATAAATGAAACCACAGTGGAAAAATCTCCAAACATAAGGGGTATCATGTCACCCGAACCAACTATCCACCCAACCCATGACTCAACGCCCCAGCCGTGAGCAAAACAGAATGCACCATCCGTTGCCTTGTGGTTGACAGCATTTCAGAGGGAAGCAAATATAGGTGTTAGCGAATGACAGGATCACGCATGAACTCAGGGATATTGGTGAAACCAGGATCCCCGCCACGGGATTGTATGTCTGGATAACGCTCCAGAACCTGCAGCAGTTCCTGGAAGCTATCATCGTTTTCCATGGTCAGTCGATGAATCGGCGGCTGAGCAACAGCAGCCATATGAGGAGCACGTGAGCTGCCACCCAACGAGCTGTCGTCTAGAGCATATATCTTGATACCGCGGATGTGGGTGTCCTTGCCATTTTGGTGGTTTTCTTTTATGTGCATTTGGACAATCCAGCAACACAGGGAGTTACCATCTGGCCCCCCTCCACAGCCCTCAATAGGGACATCTTGCCATCCAATGGGGTTTGAGAGGGTAAGCTCTGCGAACTGTATCAGATCGTGGTGTCCGGTGCCAGCAAAGAAAACAACGTGGGCTGGGGTGTAGGATTCGTCCTGGCTGTAATCTACGTAGAAGCGAATTGCACGAATTTCGACGCGGCGCAGAAAATGGATAGTGAGCGTGTGTGGCTGCTGGCCGTCCGATCTGATGACTTCTGATAAGCAGGGAAACCAATGCCAAACAGGCCATCGGGAAGACTTACTGCCAGTACTTGTCTAGATCCTCGCTGAGCAATTCAGCCACACCGTTTCCAGGCTTGTGGCTACTGACACCAAAGTGCGCCAAATTGTTGATTTCTTTGAGGCCCATTGTGGCAGGATCAAATGTAGTATCATGCATGTCTTCCCCGGCATCAATGTGTTCCTCGTTTTCGGCTACATCAGTCATCTCGGCCATGTCGTCACTGAAATTTTCGGGTACACCGGCGCTGAGGCGTTCTTCGTCATTCCCCTGGGTTTCACCAAAGCCGTCTGATCCCTCATCCTCTTGGCTGAAGTCATCATCGTCCATGTCGATAGGTGTAACATCTGCATTCGAACCTCCGTTGTCCCTGACCAATGCTGCTGACGACGCATTTATCTCGTTAGTTAGTGCTATCACTTCATCCCAGTCATAGATGCCCAGTCAAAGCCCTTGGTGAATTGTGATCCATTCTCCTGGGCATACACAATGGGCTCACGCTTGCAAAGACTAAAGGGGTTGTTGAGATCTTTGTTCGGGTCCAGTTCGCCCAGGGCCCACCGGCTCCGGCTGGTGCAGGTGTCCGGTGCGAAGCTCATGGTTGGTGAAAAGGGAAGAATACTGAGAAGAAATGACAAGTGTTAAGTGTAGCAGTAAAAAGGTAAATGAAAAAAGAGAGAACAACGAATAACAAGAAACACAGTGTGGGGAGAGGAAATGGGTGAGAGAAATAACCACAACTTCCACAAGCGAGAAGGTTCCGTCGAACAGCGAGGTGTGGAAAGGGACAAATCTTAGAAAATGTTGCGGAAGGGCAAATTCAATGAAAAGACTGGCAGCTATCATGACCAGCTATCAACATGATTTCTGCCAGGGCCGTTTCTATTGTCCAGGCATGCGGGAGAAACGAGGGATAGAGAGAAGATGGGGAACTATACTGGGATAGGAATCCAAGTTGAGTAAATGACACAGGGGTCCAAGGAGCCCCGCCAGAAAAGGACGTTGGAGTTTTGGAGGGGCTAGGGCTTCATTCAGACTTACACCGGGATCGGGTCGCCGTGGCACGACCGGCAGCAGCGGAGGGAAGCCGGTCAGACATGGAGCTGGACGTTAACTCACGGTTCGTAGAGCTTTGATCAGTGCCCTAGCTACGGCCTGGGCTCCTTGGAGTGCGCCTGCAAGAATGTTAACCATTTGGTTTGAAAATCATAACGATCAAATATGCTGGGTGCTAAGATATGGCTATCGGGCCGCAAAACAATCATTTTATTAAGTAATACCTTCAGCCTTAAGGAGCAGATCTGGGTGTTTGATGTAACTGGAACTTATCCTGCTCACTATTTAAATCGCAATGGGCAGCAATCTCTTACTCGTACTGTCTCTCAGGAAAAGTCCAAGCCAGATGCTGTTGGTAGAATCGAGGGTTAAAAAGTTGAAGTAAACACAAATTGCAACTATCTGGCTCTGCTTTTGTCGAGCAGTGACTTCCAGGGAAAGTTCCAGGTCTCGAAGAGTTCGCCCCGCACCACCTCAGGGGAACCAGGAGAGGATGCCAGGCACCCACGATCTCACAGACCTGAAATGTGGGGCCAATCGGCTCCTCCAGCGAATCATCATTGCAAATCCAGAGCAAGAGAGTTAGAGAGCACGTGACCACGTGCTAGATTCGCGCCCTCAAACTCGACAAACGCGACAGAGCTCCACAGCGCTAACATCTGGCCCGGTAATCGTTCAATACACCGCAATCAACAGAGATACGATTTCGAGGTACTCCGAGGTATTGGACGTCTAGGGTACCTACGCAAACTCTGGCCATTACATGCAAGATAATCACAGCATCTATATCCAGTACCACATTGTCTATTTTTGGTTGATTTCTCTCAGGATGCCACAGACCGCAGGTATGCTTTTTGATTCTCTCATTCAGCTCACTACAAAGCTCTTTACATGCATGCCTGTAATGCCAAAGACCAGCCAGAAATTTCTCCTCATCTTTGATAACTAGGCTGACATGATACCGCGTTATATTAGGGCCAGATACAATTCGAATTCTCGTATCCACCGACAACCATGTTGGCTACGAGGAACGCGATCCCATTCGTAAGGACGATAGCTGGCGGACATTTGATGAGATAATGCAGCTTGCACGTACCAAAGACGTGGATATGGTCCTCCTCGGGGGTGATCTCTTCCATGACAATAAACCCTCCCGCAAGGCTATGTACCAGGTTATGCGCTCTCTGCGGAAGAACTGCCTTGGCATGAAACCTTGCGAGCTAGAGTTCCTCAGTGACCCCGCCGAGGTTTTTGAGGGCGCTTTTCCCCATGTCAACTACTACGATCCTGACATCAACGTCTCTATTCCCGTCTTCTCCATCCATGGCAATCATGACGATCCGAGCGGCGATGGCCACCTCTGTTCCCTTGATCTGCTCCAAGTCGCTGGGCTGGTCAATTATTTTGGTCGGGTTCCTGAAGCAGACAACATCCACGTCAAACCTATTCTGCTACAAAAAGGAAAGACAAAGCTAGCTCTGTATGGGATGAGTAACGTCCGAGACGAAAGAATACACCGGACATTCAGGGACAACAAAGTCCGGTTCTACAGGCCAAGTCAGCAAACGGGTGACTGGTTTAACCTTTTGACCCTTCACCAAAACCACTACGCCCATACTCCCACCGGGTACCTGTCTGAGAACATGCTACCAGATTTCTTGGACCTTGTCATATGGGGACATGAGCATGAGTGTCTTATTGATCCTAAGAAGAATCCAGAGACCGGTTTCCATGTCATGCAGCCCGGTTCGTCCATAGCAACATCCCTTGTTCCAGGAGAAGCCGTTCCGAAGCATATTGCTATTTTGAGCATTACTGGCAAATCTTTCGAGGTGGAGAAAATTCCCCTTCGGACTGTTCGGCCATTTGTCATCCGCGAAATCACCTTGGCCACCGATAAACGCTTCAAGGGCCTCGAGAAAAAGCAAGACAACCGACAGGAAGTCACAAAGCGACTCATGCAAATCGTCGAAGAAATGATTGCGGAGGCAAATGAAATGTGGCGGTCACTTCACGAAGACAGCCAAGATGATGAAGACGAGGAGCAGCCGCTGCCTCTGATCCGCCTCAAAGTTGAATATTCATCTCCAGAGGGTACCAAGTTCGAGGTGGAAAACCCTCAGCGATTCTCCAACCGGTTCGCGGGCAAGGTCGCGAATCAAAACGACGTCGTTCACTTTTACAGGAAGAAGACAGGAACAACAAGTAAGTGTTTATCCATTCGACAGGGCCGTGTTGAAGCGCTGGATGCGGGTTCATTAACACCGGGCAGGGAAGCCAAAGGAGGGGAAACGTGAGCTCCCGGAGGGTATAGCAGAGGCACTCGAGGATTCAGATAGTATCAGCGTCGACGCCCTTGTCCAAGAATTCTTTGCTCAGCAGTCTCTTAAAATTCTCCCTCAAGCACCTTTTGGTGATGCTGTTAACCAGTTCGTCAGCAAGGACGACAAGCATGCAGTCGAAATGTTTGTTATGGACTCGCTATCTAGTCAGGTCAGGGGTCTGCTGCAGCTCGATGATGACAAGATTAATGAGGGCCTTGATTCCCACATCGAAGACTTCAGAAAGGTCATGGAAAAGAATTTTCTTTCTGGTCAGCAGAAACAGGCTCAACGCCGGAGACGGTTCAAAGAAAAGCCTGAAGGTTGGGATTCGGACTTGAATGGTCATTGGACGCTGCAGCCTGAAGCCATCGAGGAACTCTCCTCATCTCCCGAGCCCGCGAAAGAAGGTGGTCGGGTGCGCCCAGCCTCTAGAATTACGGTTGGCGATGAAGACAACCTGTTTGAGGAGGAAGAGTTTGTGCAGAAAACGACGGCTAAACGAGCACCAACAACTCGAGCGACAAGGAAGACTGCTGCTGCTACCAGAGCAACAACGGCAACCAAAGCGTCTGCCCCTGCGAAGAAGTCTATCGCGGCACCTAGGGGAAGAAAGAGGGCCAACCCTTTTCAAGACAGCGCTGAGGAGGAAGAGGATGTGATCATGGACGATGATGACGACTACAAGCCGGCGCCCCCCGTGAAAGCACCCCCACCGAAGCCGGCGCGAGAGACGCAAACTCGTGGTGCGCCAAAAACTCGGCAAACAACGCTCAATTTCTCTCAAGCAGAGCGCCCCACGAGAACGACGCAGAAGGCAATCGAAATCAGTGACGATGAGATATCAGAAGATGATGCTTTTGAGTCCATGCCCGCGAGGAAGAGCAAGAGATACTGAGCCTAATATATTTCCAAAAGCAATTACAACGAGGGCGCTGTGTCAGCAACTAGGCTGAGCTCTCTATTCAGAATTTGCTTGGTAATGGCTTGGAATCATTTCTGGCCTTGTGTTTGATGTGCCTGAAGCGTTGAGTGAAGGAGCTGGGACACTGGGGGGTCAAAGAGCAGATAGCACTATGATAATGCAATTTTCTGTGCCATTCATGCTAAATTTCTGACACCAATTGCTTGATCAGTCATCTGAAGTGGCGTGGGTCGGCAGTTCACGTCCATCTCAGGTACCCGTGATGAGGAAGGGTTCTTTGGATCTATCGCCATCGCCATCACGTGATTGGCTCTTGCGCAACAGCGGACCTCTTCTCTGCTGGTTCGTAAACCTTTGACGAATTCTACCACACATCTATTACGACACTTTGTCCTCCGCAGACAAAACCCTTCACCAGCGACAATGGCGACGAATCAATCGATAGATAATTCCGTTTCCCAGCCGGCCGCGCCCACAGCGAGCGCAAACGGAACTTCTCAGCCAGCGGGAGAGACAACAAGCATGTTTCCAGGCATCCCCAGTGCCTCGGTGCCAGAGCCAAAGCTTCCGACTCGGAAAGATGCCTCACTGAGGGAGTTTTTAAATAAGATGGACGACTATGCACCGATTGTATGGTGGATCAACTTTTCAAAGAGTGCGCAGGAATGAAAGAGCATGCTAACACTCCTACGCGGCAGATCCCCGACGCCGTTACGAATTACTACATGACGCGGGCTGGGCTGCCGCCGCCGCCGCAGACAGATATTCGCCTTGCCCGTCTTCTTGCGCTAGCAACACAAAAGTTCATCGCCGACATTGCCGCCGACGCGTATCAGTACAGCCGCATTCGCGCAAGCAACACCAATGCCAATAACCCCATGGGTAGCCTCGGCGCTGCGGCGGGATTCCCTATCCCTGGGCAACCATCCAATCAGCCTGGTGGCAAGGAACAGGGCCGCGGTGGTCCGCTGGGTATCCAACGCCCGGGTTACGGAGGTGGCGGCCAGGGCGGCAGCCAAAACCGCACAGTGCTGACCATGGAAGACTTGGGCATGGCAGTCAGCGAATTCGGCGTCAACGTGAAGCGTAGCGAGTTCTACCGCTAAGGCTGCCTAGAACACCGGAAAGAATTAACTACGCATCGCTCCCAAACTTCCCATCACTCTACAAGCGTCCATGTGAGTTTGTACTCACTGCACTTCACTACTCTTCCACACACATAATAATACCCCTGGCAGTAAGGCGTTTGGATGGCAAGCTACTGAATTCGGTTTGGTACAGGAATTGAAGAGCAATTACTTTGGAGCGAATAAGGAATATGGTATTAGAGGTGATGATGGGCTTGAAGGCCACCAGATCTGTATTCTGTGCTCAGGTCAGGCGTTGAGGTGTTTCGGGCATTAAGCATTGTAATGCACCTAACCACGTATTGTGAGGTGTAACACAATCAAGGGGGATTCATCATTTCGTTTCTCTCTTTCTCTCCCAAACAATATTTGGAATATGTCCTTTTTCCCCATGCTCCTAATATACAATCAATATACAATGATTGACCTACCGCCACATTTCACATCTTATTGAAATGTGCAAGCCGGCCGCAAAAGCAGTACATCCTCATTCACAAATCATCATTGACCACACACTCAATTTCAAGCTTCCACATCACCTTATGCCTTTTCAAGGACAAAGCAGTTAGCATAAAGTTGATGTGTCAATCTAAAGGATGTATTAAGTACCGTCACACATATTGTACACAACGTATTGAAACAAGCCTCGATGCATGTAAGCAGTGAGCTCCATCCTGAACTCGAGGTATTTTCGTGCTTCCGCCTATCCCATGTCATTTACTTCCTGTTCCAAATGAACGGCTTGCGTGTCCTACAATCCAAAAGACTCAGTCCCGATTCGACACAACATATGACCCAACGTAAGGGAAACGTACGGAGAGAACTCGCCAAGCTTGTGGCCCACCATCTCCTCAGTAATGGTCACCTCATGGTAAACCTTGCCATTGTGAATTTGGAACTTGAGCCCAACAAAATTGGGAAGAATAGTAGCCGATCGCGCCTGTGTCCTGATTGGAGGAATCTTCTTGCCGGGTTCAGGCCGCACAAGTGGTAAACTAGGCATCGATCGACATGGTCAGAAAAGGCTGGCAATATCGGTGGTTTTGGAGCCTGTGGAAGGACGTGTGGGCAGAACTTAAGACGGTGAAGACCGATGTCCACTTATCCAGCGCGGGGATGTCTTACGGCACAATGTGTGGACCTGTTGTCAAGCTCCTCAGTCAGTAAATTTATGAGTTAACAGACTATTTTGGAACTGCAGGAACCAAGGGAACGAAGAAAACTCTGCCACTTCGAACGTGCGAAGCTGTGCGAGAACAAGGCCTCCCTTACCCTTCCATACGGACCGCTTGAGCAGACACCTTGTCGGCTGCATGATTGCGCAGAATCCAGCAACACAGCTCGGTGGGTGCAGGAAAATATAAGGTTGGCGGCTTGGTGCTTCTCGAGGTGAATCCCTAACTTTTGCCTGGTCCAAGATGTTCCAGACTTACTGCGCCACTGCCCCTATCCATTGAGCTATCAAAGCCACACCAAACGGTTAGACTCCACTGCTTTACTTTATATGGAAAGTGGGGTATTCTGTGCCGAGGAAGATAAGATAAGGACATACGGAGTTGTTTACCAATGATCTGACAAAACGCAGTCCCAAACTTCGACCACACGCGGATTTCCTACTGCGCAGGAACTCCCCAAGTGGAAAATTGTTTTTCAGAATTTCTACAACTTACCCGAAACACTATTATTGAGCAATTAGCCCCTAATTCCACTATCAGTATTGGAATTGTCGGCCCAGGTGACTGGCTACTTGTATACAGTATTCTGACGAAGCCTAGAGAGTCGAGATCCGCGAAGATGAAGGATCAGAACGCCCTCTCCCGTCTTATTTCTCAGGAATTGGAGCCGGACGACATAGAGGTGGTAATCATGATGAATGAAGACAGAACTAGCCTATCGCACCCCAGCTATCTACGCACGGAGCACATTCGTATTGCCAGCAATGAACGTCCTAGCGCTAGTTTGCGGGGCACATCGGGGATTAAGGAGAGACCTTCGTCATAACATACCTCTGCCTCTTGTCATGGTCCATACCAGCTACTTATTGAATGGGGATTCACTATTTCTGAACAATTCTAGTTTACTGAATAGACCTTATAAAACCACATCTGCTGGCGGCTTTAGCAACACGGGTGTTTGCTTGGCGTAGTCGTGACGCAGGATTGCCTAGGTCACTGTGAGGAAGATAGGAAATGTTCATTGTAGATCTCCATGTTCCTGTACAGGGATGAAGATACAGAGGTCGTATGTGCGTCAGAGCCAAACGGGTAATGGTCATGGAGCCTGTTGATTGCGAATGCAGTTATGATGCAGCCCGCATTGCCGGTTACAGTTTCCATTCACTGTAATATGCCTTCCGTTGGCTACTTATAGAGGGCCCCTAAAGTTTGAATACCTAGTGTCATGTAGCATTAAACACTGGGGAAATTATCTCGGTTGTCATCGAGGTCCTGATATTGGCCGACATCTAGCCTTCCCTGGTATGGGCTCTGAATATTTGGAGTGTGTCATATCTTTGGCCCCAATTCCTTGCAAGAGAATTACTCACATACCCGCACTGGCCCTTCGAGGCCCCGAGTATTAACTTCTAGTTGCAGTTCGTCTGTGCTTGGAGGGGAACCTTGTTTTGAGAACTACCGCGTGAATGTCCTGTTGCATGCCCTTCCACGAGCAATGAGCCAAGAGTGTGCTACTTCACCGGAAGATCATCCAGCACACCCAAACTAGACACAAGTATCTCATCATGATATTGTCATGCGTATTTCAATAAGGAGACATGGATAGCCCAACCAAGGGCCTATATGAACAGACATAGCACAGGACACACTTATATATAGCCCTTTATGATGCACTGGGACGCTTAGGTGGACTGCTTGGCTGTATCTCGAAGCACATGCAACCATCCTCCTCTGACTGCCAAGTTTGGAGAAGTGATATAGAACTGCTCAACTACCATGCCCCGGCAACACCTGACGCCAAACGCCTGTCTTATTTGTCGCAAAAAGAGGACGAAGGTACGAGCATATGGTCCCTTGTGGCGGCTCCCTGGCATTTAAGCAGAGTGTATCCATTGTCGAAAGTGGATAACTTGGTCACGCTCCGAAAACATGCAGTACTGCTAACATCACTGTGGCACCCAGTGCGACGGCCAATTACCATGCGGCCGGTGCGGCACGCGAGGAGAGGATTGTGTCTATGAAGACAAGAAATGGCGGACCAAAGATCATCTTCGCTCTGAGATCGAACGACTCCGTGCTGAGCAGCGCCGTGGACACGCACTCATCCGCTCTCTTCTAAACAACAACCCAAATCACTTGGAGGCTGTGCTTGGTCGATTGAACTCCGGGGAGCATCCAGATGTCCTGGCAGACTGGATCTTAGCAAACACGACAAGGCTTATCCAGCCCTCGGCAACAGGTCGTGCTTCCTTCATCACTACCGAGCAGGAGGACGTTGTTCACACCTCAGCTTCTTCACGTTCACATATGTTTAAACCAGAAGATGAACGGAGCCAACCTGATATAAAATTGTTTGGGCCTCGAGGTGGACATTGGAGCGTGGAGCTAGACCATGCGGTATCGACAAGAATCGGTACCGGTTGCAAGATTAGACCACAGGGATATCAACCAGAGAGAGGGGACTTCACAGACGAAACGCCACTAGGATTGTCAGACATTCCGTCCAAAGACCCTGACCCCGATTTGAGAATAAATGATCTCGCAGTATCCACGGCGAATCTCTCGAAAGACAATCAGCGTGGACATTCCGGCCATCACAAACCGCCCTCTAGTACTCGATTGAAATCCAGTGATCATTCTTTTGGGTCTGAGCCTCGAGCACCTTCTGATATTATATTTCCCTCACAACCTGGAAACATGGTAGTGTTAGAATCCTTCCAACTTTTGGGAGCGACCGATCAACATTGTACCTCTAGCGAGACATGCTTGCTCCCTGAAGTTGAGTCAGGACGCTATACACCTGACCCTACCCGAGCATCAGGAGCACCAAGTCACTCGGTCTCAACTACACTAGGACCAGTATATGGCAATATGACCCTTACAGTTTCTAGTGTTCTTGAACCGCAAACAATAGCACCAGGGTGTGGTGAGTCTTGCGAATTCGATCCTACATGTCACGTCATGTCTACCGAGAACGTCTTCCCCATGATTGATGTCTCTGCAACTGTGGGCCCTCATTCATCTACACGAGACACTTATTTTGTACACTAGTTTTTCCAATATCTAGGTAGCATCTACCATAATCTAATAGGAGTATCGCCCAACAGCTCCCTTTGCATGGGATTTGGATAGAATTGTTCATCTGTGTTGAGCTATATAAAGGCAACCAATGTTTGAGGTTGCTAACAATGCAGATGAGATTGCCCACCATGAAATATAGCCTCCAGCAGGTATGTTCGAAATTTGGCGTTTGAAGAAATACACTCGCATTTGTTGTCCTCTGGACACCTCTGACACGCACTGTCGTGATAGTATCAACATGTCCTGGCTTGTTACGAATACCCTCATCTATTCAAACATTCGACGCTTAAAGCTCGTCGTGGTTTCCATCAACCTTCTGTCCCCCACGAGCAAGGGTTGAGCGATTGCTGGTTGCTGAATTGGCCAAGAAGTTCTCGACTAACCATTCAGCTTGATGAGCGAGCTCTTTGCTATTCATAGCTCCCTCGTATGGGATCAACTTGCCCGTGGTAGTGTCCTCTAAAACCAGCTGACCATGAAGTTTTCTCGTTGACCCAGCCGCACTCAGTATATCAGGAAACTCTTCGTCATCGGTTATAGTGAAGTGGATGTGATCAAGATACCGCTTAGCAACAGGGCGGATTGTATTCACATATGACCCCTTCTCATCATCGTTTGCTGGAAAATAATGCAAAATCCCTTTACCAGACTACGCAGATGGATTTTTTGTCCAAGTTAGCATGCGATAAAAGCTCAAGGCATTTGGTGAACGGATATGTTGTCTTCCAGTAGGATCTATACCCACCGATCGATATATGATCGCATTTCTTTTGGTAAGCACGGGAACAGTTGAACTGGAGCAGAGTTCCACAAATCTCTTGATAGAGCTCAGGGTGATCGGGTCAGAGGCAGTTCGTTTGAAACCCTCAAGGTTATTGTAGCACACCAGGGTTGATTTATCTTCAGCAGGCGGGCCCATCAGAAAGCTGAAAAAACGGCGATATTGCTTAGCCACAGACCGAAAAGCATCATAGAAATCCCAGTCATCCGGACTTGTACGCCCAACGAACACAACATCGTCAATCTGTGTAAAAGAGGGAGTGACGTCGACATCGAATTCGAAGATAGTTGGGCGTAACGCTCGGTAAAGGAACAAAATGATACTAGTTTTGGAACGATATTGTCACTGATATCTTCCTTGAATAGTTACTTTGGAAATTAGGAGACTTACTCTCGTGCGTTCAGTTTACCCTCATATTGGTCTATCTGTCCATCACGATGGTAGAGGCGAATTGATGGGTAAGAGTTGACATTAAGATCTCGACAGAACTTTTCATTTGCTGAGCAGTCAAAGCTAACGATATTGTCATCCCTTTGTAATTCTTCTGCAGAAGTCCACTCAGGCTCAAGCTCGCTGCTAGCGTTCCTGGCAGATGTCAGTAAGAGCGCATGAAATGAGGAACTTGATGCAAAAAAAGCCTACTGTAGTGGCAGAGAAGGTGGCGAGGAAGAAACTATGTTAGTCTTTTCCATTCGGAACAAGCTGAACACTCTTACCCAAAAAACTACCCAGCGAGGGACTATGTTAGCAAAGTAATTCCAGAAGAAAATTGAAGAGAACATACAAGCAACCAAGGTGTATGCACTTGAATCCAGCGCATCTTGCAGCCTATCTTTGCTCACATGATTCCAAGCCGCAGCCGTTATTGCGGCCGTGATAAGACAAAGAGTTTGGAGATGCATTGCTTTCGAGTCACCAACATTCCAAATGTTGCAAATCACAATCTTACGCTGTCAAAGAAGACTGGCACAGATGCCAGCCTATGCAGTTCCCATTTAACCAAAGTCCTGATGATCATGACACATTACCATTAGCAGTCTAGGAGTCTTGTATCTCGCTAACCCATTTAACCGGATGTTCGAGCATGAACATAGTTTGGTTCCGGATAATACGAAGAGCAATATGATTAGAGTATATACATCTCGGCAGATATGCCTATAGTACTACGACATTTGACAAAAGACCAAGGACAGAAGCAATAATTGGAGGTAGTATAAGAGCCGTTAAACTACCATACTACTTGTCACAAGGACATGGCAGTCCAAGGGAAAGGGTATC